ATCTTTACCCCTGAAACCTGATTCTTGATTCTGCTTGCCGAGGGGCCGAGTGGTCGAGTGGTCAAGGGACCGAGTGTCCAGTAGCCGAGGGACCGAGGGGTCGAGAGGCCGGGAGTTCGGGAGTTCGGGGACCGAAGGGCCAACTCGTATCGACTGAGGACCGAGTCCCATTAATGCAGGACCAAGAGCGACCTTTAGGGACAGGGGTCGAGGTCCACCGACCGAAGGCCATGGTCTACCCTCATTAAAATCCGAGGTCTATCAAATATAGACCAGGGTCTACTTTGGAAGACCAGTGACCACCTCGAGGAACCGCTGTCCATCGAGTTAAACCGCGGTTAGCTCCTCTGAATGGCGGCTTACTAGCACGCTTTGACCGCACATTCTTCTCAACTAACGGTCGTTCCCCGTCCCTTCTTAACGTCCCGTCTCTCTGTCTCTTTTTACCCAACGGTCGCTCCTCCTTGGCGGGTCCCCTTCTCTTTGACCCACCGGTCCTCAATGACCTACCATTTCTTAAAACTCTTCACCACATCAGTTATAGGGAGGTAGAAAAAGAAGTATTGTCTCTCCTTTGCATGTTGGATATTGGATATACTATGCTAGTATCACGAGGTTCTCACGCGATCTTCGACGTTATCATGGCTAGTACAATTTCCTGGACTCAACGGTAGACTGGGAAGATGGGCTGCACTGCTATCGAATTGGACGTTAGATGTTTGAAGATGTACGAAAGAGAAAGTTAAGATACTAAGTGTTCTTGCGGCAAGCATAATTCCTCACAAAGAAGTGGATTAAGTGCTGATCGCAACGCTCCACAACAACAGCCGAGGCATAACATTAGCAGGCGAACAGTACCGCAGCGAGGATGGTTCAGACACTGACTAGGTCCATCAAAATGGATGTCTCTGATGTCGGACAGCAGGATCAGGATGATTGTGCAGAACGCTTAACGTCTGCGATGAACACCGCGCAAGACCAAGTCCGGAAGGAGACACCGTTCTATCTGGTCCATGGTTGGGATGCTACAGCTACCCTCGAGGCTACGTCACCTGAGGTAAATACGCGAAGTCGAGTATTTGGGCCGCGCAGATGGAGATATCACATTCATCATCATTATCAGCGGGCGAGAGCCCAGGTGAATGAGAACCTGTGAGCGGTCAGTCAAGATCGGATCCTAGCCCATAACGAAGGGGTGGTCGACCACAAGATCCAGCCGGGAACTCAAATGTGGCTCTACCTGGACCGAGTGAAAGAGGAGTACGCCAAGAAACTGGCACACCTCTGGAATGGACCAGTTCGAGTTCTATAGTTGGTGGGAAAGCACGCAGAACGTTTGGAAATTTGAGGTACGTTGTACAGTTTATTCCCTGTCGTACATCGGTCCAAACTCAAGAGTGTTTGAGAGTTCCCCGACCGACCGAGTGCCGCGTTAGAGACGGACGAAATAGATCGGGTCGACTTCAATGAATGCCTGTTGCCAGCGGACAGTTGGGAAAGAGAGCTGGAAGGAGGAGAGTACGAGATCGAGGTCAAGGAGATTTTGGAAGCCCGCACTGGAAAGAAAACACGTGACGGGAGACAGAAACGAGAGTTTCTCGTCTGATGGAAAGAGTATAAAGACCCCTTGTGGGTGGATGAAGTGGATTCGAGTTGCAGAGCCTAAATTAGAGATTTTGAACGTAAGAAGACAAGGGAAATTGCTTTGAAGTGATGCAAAGTCATGAGGATTAGTGGCGGTCGCTGAGGCCTTTGGATGTTCGACCAGCGTCTATAGGGAGTGGACCTCGACCTGCTGAGTTGGACCTTTGGTCTTTCGAGGTTGACCCTGGTTCATCATTAGTAGACATCGGTTATATAAGATTATCCTCGGGTTTTCATGGTAGACAATGATGTATCATGAGTAGACCTCGGTCTCTCAAGGTCGACCATGGTCTATCGTTGGAGGGCCTTAGTCTTTCGTCAATAGATCTCGGTCCTTCGCCGATCGACCTCGGTCCTTCAATCGATAGACTCTCGATCTAGAGGTCCAGCTACCCTAGCCAATCAGATCAAGAATCAGGTCTCGGGGGTAAGGATAGTGTAAAGAAGCTAAAAGATGGGGACTATATTAAATACTACTCGGATCTACGTAGCACACTTCCGTCGTGCTTCCAAAGTACTTACTAAGTCTACCCACCTGTTCCGGGAAGGGATATTTTGTGGCTCCCCGTCGCAGACAGCTGTGCGGAAGGACCCACGTGCAAATAGAGCTTCAGGATACATTTGGCCTGTGGGTTCGTCTGAGTACCACCCTCAATCGACCTGCTATCGGAAGCGGTCTCCCTACCCTATTGTTTCTAAAGCAAGTAAAGTCCAGGCGGTTAACAACCCTGAGATATCAAGGAAAAGGAAGGAAAAGGCCAGGGTCGAGGAGAGATCTCTCTTGAAACATTTGATTATAAGTCCACCCTCAACCTAGTCGATCAGAGTGGCCACCTATCCGCCTACAGAGTGAAGTATACCCACTCGAGGCACCCCAAGGTCGACCTCTCTCAAAACCGACCTCTCTCAAAACCGACATCACATCTCAACCAAGTCCTCCGAAGAGTGCAACCCGCCAGCCGACGGGTACACAAGGTGAGAGAAGGTCTATACGCGGCATCGGAGTACCCCCTTCGATAGTAGGCAGTCCGGCACAGTGAGTGGCTTGGGGTCTCATTACGCAGATTTGAGAACTTCTTTCACCGCATGAGAGTAATTGGAAAATTAATTGTAGATATGATGATTGCCGCAGGAAACGGGTTACTTACTCTCGTCGATCCACGTAGGAAGGTAGAACAAACGCAAGCGTTGATCATAGGTTTTATGTTCTTCGTCGGAATAGGATCACCGAAATAAGAACGAAAGCTCGATTTGTTTGATGCTATCTTTAGACCATCGCAAAAATCAAGGTGGACCGTCAATGGAATATCTTAATGACAACGTTACATTGTGCTGTAAATGAAGAGAGAAGCTTGGATCACATGGCCATGTTTTGTACCACGTAAACACCTCACTGGTCATGAAAAGGCCATTCAACGCTACCACATGATGAGTCCTTGACGCTCACATTAACCTCATTGGCAATGAGTTGAACTACAGCATTGGGCTATAGGGGTAGACATCATATGGTCATCTTCAATACTAGCTTGCTCGGGACATCTTCAACGGTCGACCAGGCAAGCTCTTGCTTTGTCACATGTGTTGATTGGCTGACACTTGTCCAGAAAAGCTTCAAATGCCGAGGGAATCTTAACAAGATCTTTGTTCGTGTCAAGATGCTCTCGTAAGTATTTGATTCATGCAACAACCAGTGTGTACCATAATGTTGTAACAGTTAAATCTCGTGATTTGTTGTAAGAACATAAACGACTTTACCGAAAAGCAGCTCAGGAGATAAGGATAGACGCGTTTAAATTTTCAAGCGCGCCTATCCTTATTGTGTTTTTCTAAATTGCCCACCAAGTTCAGTAGCCCAAGGAGAAGTAGCTTGATAATACACAGTAGATGAATATGAAAACACTCAAGTGATTTGCTACGGTGACAGAGCTAATGACGTTCGTGCATTATTTATGATGCATACAAATTATAGGGTCGTTGTCTGTGACGAGTTTCTGCAATTGCAAGTAAAACAGCCGATTCTTGCCGTCCTCGATATTTTAGCGTTTCATAGTCTGCCATGGCGACACATGTAAGAAAATATTGCTTCGGCGCAAACAGGCAGCTTTATGCTCCACCAACGCTGCGCCAACATATGACGAAATATGGACGAAACACCATGCAACACGAATTGACCGCTTAAAAGCAAAACGATTGCAGGTAAAAGACGCTAAGCATGTTACGCCTTCAAAACAACAAGTAGCAAAGCAACGTGCTTCCACTCACAGTAGATTTTCGTAGCCAATATGCTCCATCACGCATGAGTCTTAGGATATGCGGAACACGAGCAGTGCCAACGCTAGACAACCAGGAATCAGGTACATCTCTAAGCTTTTTCGTATATCGCGTCGGCAATAATCGGTAACGAATTGAGCGCTGCTCCAAACATCTACTCTTCCTATTCGCACACGACCTCGCTGCGGCGGCGGCCATGTGTGCACATCGTCGAGCATAATCGTGATGCCCTTCAAACATGCCTCAAAATGCATTTCTAAAGCAATTAACCCCGCAGTATTTCCATCCCACTTTTGTACACAAGCAAATTCTTATCTCGCTTTTTCGCATTCTTGGCATTAGCACTAGCTTCGAGGATAGTTTTGGCTTCATGGAAAGAGTCCTGCGTCCATCTTATGCTTGTAAACAGCTTACTGTCATGACTCTGTAAATCTTATTCAAAAACAGGCTTGCAAGGGCAATAAAACATCATCTAAATCACGCCATCAGCAGTTTTAAGATACAATGTCCCTCATAGCAGCAACATCATCAATCGATTGTACTCACACCTACAATCACGTGACTCGCGCAAGGCAGCAAGATGCCGCCATCTTTATAAGTTTACGGAGTTGATTGATTTGCGTGTATCTGGACGACAATTGTAGTGCTTCATTATATCTTTCAGCTTCATATCCTTGTTCCGCGAAAAGTCCGCCAGTTTCGCACTAAGCAGTCGACAGAGGAGAGAGACTACTGAAGATCGTTGTTACGAAACATTTGCTGCCAATCAATATGATGTTTATTTATCGTTTTAACCAATCAAATATCACGAAGTATAAGAATTTATAGGTTCTGAAGTACGGTTGCTTTAACCCACTGGATCTCTTTTTGGTACTAAAAACGGAGAGAAAAAACTTCCAGAAGGACCCTTATTGAGCAACTATCTCCACGTGTCATGCTTTTTCTAGCCCCAAGTTGTTGGTTAAGAGGAATTGCGCGAGGTTTCTCCCCCCCCTTTTTGGATGTCTAAGGTCATTTTCCTTTCGTAGCAGAAAGCAGCACAAGTGAATAGAAAAGGAAGACGTGACAAGTGATAGAAAACTCTCATGGCTTCAAAACGAATTAACAAGGAGCTTCAAGATCTTGGACGTGATCCACCTGCTAACTGCAGTGCTGGTCCAGTGGGTGATGATTTATTTCACTGGCAAGCGACCATTATGGGTCCTGAAGACAGTCCGTATTCTGGTGGTGTCTACTTTTTGAACATTTACTTCCCGGCTGATTATCCGTTTAAACCACCCAAGGTGAATTTTACAACGCGCATCTATCACTGCAACATCAACGCTAATGGCGGTATCTGTTTGGACATCTTGAAAGACCAATGGAGCCCTGCGCTAACGATTTCCAAGGTCCTGCTGTCAATCTGCTCGTTGCTTACGGATGCTAACCCGGACGATCCACTTGTGCCTGAAATCGCGCAAATTTATAGAACAGACCGTGCGCGTCATGATGCTACTGCTCGTGAATGGACCGCCAAGTATGCCACTTAGAGGACGCTAGGAGTAGGAGATTTCGTTCTGTCCACGTTCTCCTGTAGCCAGCCAGCCGACTATTCATTTGAAATAGCTACATGCAGTCTACATTTTTACCTGTTATTCAAGTTGATGCTCATGTGAAGACGTCATACGATGAAGGTAGTCAATAAGCAGCAGCAGGAGGAAAAGTGCAAGTTAGCGAAATCTCAGTTTGGTTTTTTTTTTTCGTGCTGAGTCAGGTTCTTGTTGATTGTTGTCTTATTTAAAATGAAGAAGATGACACACAAAGAAATATGCAGATTTTTATATTCTCTACAAATTCTGCGTATGATTGTATGTATGACGTGGATATGCTATCATGCAACGATTGGTTGGTCTTGACCATACGCTCGTTGAAAGTGCTGGGGACCTTTTGTCTCCTTGAGAAAGATACCTCCCCGTGCTTCACATATCTACTCACTGAACACTATATTCACTTATGTATACATGGCTACATCACTATATTTGATTACGCGTCGGCGGAAATACAATGGCTAATGGCCAATCAAAATAGTTTTATTCATTAATGTACACCACACTTTTTTTTGTTTTCGACTCAAAAGAAGGATAATATAGATGTACAATGTCCAACTCATGTAGCTGGTGCCAAGCAACATCTTGGCAGTATATATGCTTGACGTGTGACCCTCGTAAGGAAAAAGCATTGTGCTCCAACTGCTCTATACTCTGGCACTCACGTGGCGCTGCTCGTAGCCACCAACTGACGAACAAATATGGAGATACGCGGTCGTTTAATGCCTGGATGCCGCCACAGCAGAAGAATGTGACCAAGTGCAACTTGGAAATAGAGGCACAGAAATCTTTTGCACATGCAAATGCCATAAACTTTTGTGCTGATGTTGTACAATCTCAGAAAGTAGAGATGAATAGCACGGATGATATCGCGCCAGGAGGTTCAGAGAAGCAGGAAAAGTCGAATGAGGAGGATACAATAGTAGCTAACGAAACTTTTAGCAGTACTGAGGACAGCAAGAGAGACGAAGAAAGAAAAAAAGAGGTTAAGTTGATGGAGAAAGAGGTTGAATGTGAAGCAATAGATGAGTCAGTGGGCATGGGAGAAGATGGAGAGATTACGAGTGTTAAAGAAATAGTGCTCAAGGATCGAACGCCAAGTGCCTTAGATGGTGTAGCACTTCCAAGATCTGTGTTTGAAGTGAAGACACTAATGGAGAGTTCTGATTTCAAAAGATATGAGCTGGTTGGGCCACATGACCAAGAAGAGCATCAAAGACAGTTCCTCTGTTTCAATAGATTCTGCTGTCCAAGGTATTTCTTCCACATTGCTTTCAACCCCTGATACTTCTACGATTCGGTCTATACAAGATCAAGGTGGTAGTTTTGTTTTAGCTACAACTCCTACCGCTCTTGTCTCTTCACCTGCTCCAGCGTCTGCGACTCTAACGCCTGAGACAGCAATTGTTGCGAAGCCTGATGAACCTATATGTCCATCTTTTGGTGAAGAGGCTTCCTTTAGATCGATTCCGCAATCTGTCTTTGTGAACCTTGAGAAACTGCTGCAGTGGTTCCCGACAACCGATCGATACCTTATGGAGATGCTGGCAACACGGATAGAAGAAGCTCTTGTCATCGAAGATGCACTGATATGCGCACGGATTGGAAAATGCCAAGAATTATCTTGCCGTTCTGTGCTAATGCATTATGAGCATTGTAAAGACGGCAAATTTTGTGGCGATCCGAAATGTGAAGAGATATCAATAGTGTATCATCACCGGCGTACTTGTTCAAAGAAGGGCATTATGACCACAAGTGATGGCACAAAGTTTTTGTGCCCGTTTTGCATTCGCATTCAGCAAAGACGAAGTCTTGGTGTTGTTGCAGCACTGGATCATCTTATTAGTGACCAGTACCGTGCGCTTCAGCGAGCGCATAGTGAGGCTGCCCGCAACTTTTGTTTGCAGAGTATAAATACGTGGAGCCAACGCAAGCAGATTCTTCGTGCTGAAATTGACCACTTGAACCAATTAGCCCGTGAAAGCAGCGCTCTTGTTTTTAATTTCCCGAGGTATCAGTGGCATTTCGGTGATGCGGTGTCTGTTAAACGAGAACCAATACTTTTGGAAAGCGAAAACAATACGACGGGGTTGTCTGCACCTGAACCATGTATGAGTGGTACAAACGGGTCGACAGCAACAGAGGAATCATCTTCAATGCGTTCAGAAGACGAGACGAACTTAGATTCAGGTAGCTATTGTCTCGTAACAAGCATTTATTTGTATTATTTGTCATGCAAGGCTAACACGATTTGTTTTGTGCAGATGCCCGCCTATCTGAGGACATTCAAAAAGAAATTATGACAAAAAATGTAAGCTTTGACGTGAATTTCATCAACGAGCTACTTTGGGCTAAAGATGAAGACGATGGAAAAGAATTGTCGCAGCGGCGGTTTGATAAAGTTATGGAGTTAGGCTATGCCATTGTGGATGCATCCTTTTGCGCCCCGTCCAAAGCCCAGCAGTGTCTTCTCAACTGCAAGGCTATCCTTTTACACTTACAACACCACCTGGATTTGCAAGTGTGCACTCAAACAATGTGCGCGGCAGTTGAGCACCACTTCTCGCACTTGTCACAATGTAAGGCACGTGACGACAATGAGTCGTGTGAGTATTGTTTACGCGTGGAAGAACGCCAATTGATCCGGTCCGTCGATTCCATGGAGGCTGAGCAACCCGAGGCTGAAGCAGAAGTGCAGAACATTATCAACGCTATTACAGCATCCTTCACGAACCATCAATCTGATGAACGGGAACAGGAGGTGATACAACTGGAAGATGAGCTAGAACAAGCTGAGGCCAATAAGCAAGAGTTGCTGGAAAAACTGAGTGCAGCGCGCATGAACCTTCGAAAGGTGCGGAGAAGAATGGAGCGTTATGGCATATCTACTTCCATTAGTCGTCAACTTCCGGTGCATTTCGTCCAAGTAAGGCGTGCCGAAGGATCTAGCAACAGATTCAAAAAGCGGCGCCGCGCTGGTTCACTTGACTAATAGTATTAATATAGAAAGATCTGAGTGAGTGATCTTAGCAGGATATATATGAAAGGCTGTAAGTACTAGTAGCTACGAGAAAACTTCAACGTCATATTAACGTTGTTCATCCAAAAAATGCATTGAATTGACATGGCCTGAAATATCATCTCTGCTGCGTCAAAGCTGAAATCAGAAGCTGTTGCAGCACCAGCTGGATTGGTTTCCGTTGCCTCCATTGGCAGCACTCGTGGGGCGAAACGTTTCGTTGTGTTTCTTTGCTTCCGACTTCCGCTCGAAAATATCCTGGTGCTCCAAGATACCCGTTACCAACGCCTTGGCAGCATCATCAATGTGGATATTTTCTTTGGCCGATGTGTCGAACCAGCCCGTAAAATTATTGGTCCTACAAAACTCGTCCAGAAATTCTCGATCCACGTCTTCCTTCAGGTCGCACTGCAACAATGACAAAACACCTCAGTCACTTCATGTAATTCAAATATCAACCATTCCATCAATAAACAATTCAAAACGTACTTTATTGCCACACAAAATGACAGGCAAGGGTTTACCATTAGGTAGTTCCACTTTGGAATCAATCTCCTTCTTCCACTACATTACCCAATATGTAATATATATACCAACAAACATAAAACAGCTCAGTATCTTGATCCAAACATCACCTTTTCTCCTAATCGTTTATCAACCTTGAGAATACTGTCAAACGTTTCTGGACGAGACATGTCGTAGACAAGCAGAGCTCCCAATGCGTCTTTATAGTAGACTCGATTAAGCGCTCGAAAGTGCTCTTGACCAGCAATATCCCACAATTGTAGACGAACAGTAATACCAGAAACTGTCACTGCTTTTAATGCAAAGTCAACGCCAATTGTTGTACGATGATGCTCCGAAAAAGCATCATGCACGTATCTGTACAAGACAAAAGATCAATCCAAGTCGTTTACGCTCTCTCTATGCCCCATTCTTTCTCTCTCATTCTCTTTCACATATACACATATACACATATACACACATACCTCTTAATAATACTCGTCTTTCCTGTCGCTGCATCACCTAATACCAATACCTTAATAACTGCGTCTTGTGCAGCATTCACTCGATGTTCACTCATTCTTTTTTATTTTCTGAATAAAATCTTGGAAAACCTGATTCTGATTTGGAGAAAACACCAGAAAATCAAAACAAGGTCGAATCAGATGAAAGAGGATGCAAAGTTCGAAAACAACGACATCAGGTATTCGTCTAAGTACGATTGTAAACAAGACCAAACTCATCAAAAGTACCAAGCCTTGGCTGAAGTAGTTGTTATCCGTAGTAGGATTAGCTCTCTTCCTTCTTCTACTTCTTGCACTTCTTCAGTGGTTTTACGTTATGAATGACAATCTCAAGTGTATTACTAATCCAACACGTTCTCGACGTCGTAGTCAAAGTAGTAATGCAATTCTTAAAACATCTCCATCTTCTACTACTTCTTTACCCGTTTCAACTACTACTTCAACTACTACTACTACTTCATCCAATCATGACGTAAAGGAAGAAGAAGAAGAAGCATCATATATTATGGAATTTCAACGTCACGAATATTTTGATCATATTATAACAAGTGGAAGACATTTTATGCATTCAGGTTTTCATCCACTTTCTTATAATTCAAGCTCTTTTCGAACAGGAGCAGACATTCCAGTCTCTTCCTTAGGATTACGTAATCATGCTGATGTATTAATGATGGATATGGATATGACGACTCGACAATCAATTGATAGTAATGACCAAGTAAGAAATGATATTGATAAGGAGGAGGAAGAGGAGGATAACGATGAGGAAGATCAAGTCGCAGATGGTGGAAGACTTACACGAACTATGCTGGGTAATTCCATTAGCAAGAGACAAAATAATGAGGCAGAGCGATGCAGAAGAGCTTGTAAGTTTTTGTAAATTGAGATACAGCAAAGAAAAAGAAGAAGAAGGTTGCAATGGTGCTTAACTGACTGACTATGATCTGTATGCTTATATTTCTTGTGCTTTTTTATTCCTTTGATTTTTTCATGTAGCATCATTGGATTCAAGTCCACCATTACCTCCAGATAGTACGATATCAGCAGAGGAAGTGATACGAGAAAGTATGGCTAGTGCATTAAGCTCGTCCTTGTATACGGATAAGGATGAGTTTTTGTTTCCACATCAACGACGATCAACTACAATGAGTGGAAATCTGATCGTCAATGATCGTGACTCGTTGGCCTTGTCAAGGCATTCGCGGGATAGCTTGACATTTTCGTTTTCGAGTCGAAGTACATTTCGAAGAAGTACAGTATCAGAGCAAATGCTGTACGAGACGGACTTGTTTGAACCAGAACGTGAGCTGAGTGCTCAGGAATTATCTGAAGTACTACGTGGATCGGATGAAAATGTTAATAGTTATGAAGTTACTAGTATCAAGGAGGAAGAAGAAAATGTCAAACTTGAAAATGCTAGGTCACGGTGGGCACAGCACGTCAAGCTCAAGGCAAGGAATTTTCTGTACTCTACAGTAGCGGGCAATAAGCATGGAGCACCTGCTACTAATGGAAGCAGCAATGGTAGTGCCATGACTTCGGTAACGCCGACGTCGGCAGAGATTTGGGCGAACAAACAGAAGCAGATTCTTGCGCAAATGAGCAGTGGCAGTGAATTTGGTACGATATCTGGTGCCTCGTCAGGTACATCATCATCCTCCACCCAGCATCATTCACTTCTCTCCCCCCTTCCATCATTTGGACCAACGATTAATGGCGGGGCCAAGTTTCAGAAGTGGAATCGATGGATGCATGATCAATATCAGCATAATTTTGGCAAAGTAATGCAGCGCGCTTTTAAGGACGAGGTTTTGCATCAACAGCACTTTCCGTTTCCAACGCATCAGCCGACCCCTGACCCAACTACCCTTATTTCCATTGAGGAAGTTATTAGCAACCCGCGTATGATGCGCTACTATGCTGCATGGCTTCCTGATTCTGCAGGTCAGAGTAAATTGTTTTTCCTTTGTTCCTTTGAGGAATATCGTCAATTTTGGTGCACTTTGCATGCTAACTACAAAAAAAAACCTTTTGCGAAGGATGATGTGCTCATGTTACGCACATATGGCGTCAAGATTGCTATGAAATACTTGGCGAAAAATGCTCAATTTCCAATTAATGGTCCCGCTGATGCTGACAGAACAGGGAGTGGAACTGAAGATCCTCCACTCGTGGATGCTAGCAAGCTACGATCTATAAAACGCGATCTAGCGGCTGGCGGTGAAGATGCACTACGCACTTTTGACGATATCGCCGTGAAAGTAAAGCGCGTGCTAATGTTTAAGTTTCCTGAGTTTCGCAAAACGGAGCTATACACTGAGATGCGGAAGACCGTGCAGCGTGAAGTCATTTGTCTTGAAGATATTTTGATGAACCACCGATTTGCTAATTTCTTTTGGATTTTCCTTTTCCCGCACAACTATCATCGCGAGATCGCGCTGTGGTTGGACGTCGAATACGAGTTTAAACCTGCATTTCGCATGTATATGTCACTACTTAAGAAAAGCGGCAGTTTTCGAAGTGCTGGGGGGGACTAGTGCCGGGGGAAGTAGTGCCGGGGGAAGTAGTGTCGGGGGAAGTAGCAATAACCAGCGTCGTGAACGCATTGAGCAATCTGCTCACCGCTGCAGAAGACTGCTGAAGTACATTTCGCAAAAATACTATGCTGGAGACACTGAAATGCAGACTTTGACGCGCACGCTAGTGACATCTTGTGCCCGACTGCAGGCCGAGCAAGATGCGATTTTGACGAAGTTCAGTCTTCTACATCTGGAGTTGTATCATCGTTTTTTGACAAGCCGTGCTTACGCTGAGTTTTCGCTGTATCCAAAGCTTTCGCCTGAGGACGAAAAGGATTCTATTGACGATTCCATGCGGCTCTCTGCCCTGCTTCTGAGCTATGGCTTACGCGCACATCATTGGGCTGGTGGTAGCACGGGGTCTTCGACATGTAATGGGTCATTGTCTAGTGCGTGTGAAGCTGCAACTACAACGCCAAAGAAAAAGACACTTGATTCACTCCGTACTGCGCGAAGCTTTGAAGCTATCTCCGGTGTGCTGACCTTTGAAGCTGTATCCATGCCAATGACAACTGAAGAAGCGGAATATGGTACTAATGAAATTAGTATGTTTGAAGATCCAATTGAACTGAAGATAGTGCAGCATCGGTTGCCTCGTGACTCAACAACACATACCATAGACAAATCTGTCGAGAACTTTCTCGTTCCCTGGAGTGCGGACCCTAGGCATGTGGTTCTTGCAGCTTCATCTTGTCCAGCGCCTCTTGCGTTTAACTTTCGCATGGGTGACAGTAGTGCTGGCGCCTCGGCTGCTGAGTTATTCGCGGCTTGCATTGTGTTGTATAAGCCTGCACCGCCGTTATCGTGGCGCGTACTTGAGACATCGCAGATAGATTCTTCGCTTGGTTGCCGATGGGTGCCTTACGGTGTTTGTGTTTTGTCTAAGTTCCCAATGGTGGATCTTCTTCGAGAGCGCTTAGCAGAAGCGTATGAGTTCATTCTTGAGCTTGAGACTATTGCTGCCGCTGCAGCAGCAACAGGTGCTGCTGGGGCCGATGACGACGCCACCACAGGGATTCTTCAGAAGGGTGAACGAGGTTTTCAGCTTGACAAAAAGGTGCTTGCCAAGCTAACCCGTGCTGTCTCAAAGGAACAAATCTCGCAATATCATCAATCATCACCATTGCCAAAGTCGCCGCTTCTTGAAGCCTCAGGCCTGACACCAAAAGCCACAGCTGCTTCACTGCTAGCAGCTCTTCCGCGTCTGGACCACTCCATCCGTCTTCTGTTTGACACATTAGACGTTTCCACCGTGCTTCTTGTGTTCACGGCAGCCTTATTAGAGAATCGCATTTTGTTGGTTTCGTCATACTTATCGGTGCTCATGAAAGTTTCCGAGTCTCTGCGAGCACTCATGCACCCGTTATCGTGGCCTCACGTGTACCTTCCCATTCTTCCACGCCGAATGCTCCAGTACCTTGAATGTCCGACACCTTTCATTTTTGGCGCTGAGAAGCAAGCACTTGACGACGCGCAACGCCAAGTTATTGAAGACGGTGGTGATGATTTATTTGCTGGGGCTGGCGAGGAGTTGTTGGTTGTGGATCTAGACAAGGGAGCTGTTTTACGTGGAGAAGTACCTTGCGCACTTCCTGGCAGTGTGCGGTTTGATTTGCGGGACGCACTATATGAATGCCTCAAGCCTAATGTAAGTTGTAGTGACCACGTGTTCGCTCATCACTTTCCGAGCAAGCCGCTGGTGTTTCCGGAGGTTGCTGTCCGCGGCCTTTTCTTACGGGCTGTCAACAAGCTCATCGGTGATTTTGGCTACCACCGCTACGTTTGGACGGACGAGTTTGCACGCAAGCGCACTGTCTTTTTTGACGAGGCCAGTTACCTTGCAGCTTCCGCACCTGAGATGCGCGAATTTCGAACACTGTTCATCACCACCCAGGCTTTTTCGGAATTTATGGTCACACACCACGGATTTGAGGAACAACCAGGCCAGTCAAATGGCACCACATGATTCCGTAATCGTACTTTGACATTCTCTACGTTCTCATTGCTACAACGAGAGTACCCTCGGTTTGCTCGAATTGTATGTGTAAAGTGAACGTTAGTCAGGACGAAGGAGGCGAGGTAGAACATATATGTACGTGACGTTCGCGTTTCTGAGCTATTCAACTCGATATTTACTGTTGCTGTGAATAAAATTGTTTTTGTCTGGATAGCTACTGTCTTACGACTTACGTTTTACTCGCGACGAAGCATGGATGCCACAAGTGTTGTAGCTACCAGTAAACCAAAGAGCGTCACGGGTGCTGTGAAAGATGGCACCCGTGAACTCATCGGGCTCGACGTATTCGCCGAAGCTGTGCTGAAAACGATATTCTCTAGCTGCTCATGTTGACGGTGACGTGCCATTTCCTTGTCAATGATGGTATAGAGAATGGCAGCTACACGATGGCCGCTATGTTTGAGCATGGGCGTTTTATTCCATTCACGAGCCACATATCCAGCAACCAGGTCTTCTTGAAAAGTTTGGCCCTGTAGCAGTATTGGGTGCTTCCTAGCCACTATTTCGGGCGTAGGCAGCAGCAATTCTTCTCCTCGCTCGACGTAAGGCGCAAGTACATCTTGTGGTGGAAAAGTATTATTCGCAATCACATAGTCAATTGCGCTCGCGCCGATATAAGTGGAAAGCACCTCCAGTGTTTTCTCTAAAGTGTAGCCGTCGGTCTGGCCATTCTGCGTGGTCACGTTGCTCACGTAAACTGTAGCCCCCCGCGCTGCGTGCGATGGCGTCACGTACACCTGGTACCAATAGTGTGGCAACTATCGATGTGTAGAAACCACCAGGACTCAAGATGATAATGTCTGCCTCTTCGATAGCGCGCACAGCAGGTTGGAAGGCTTCCACGTTTGGGTTCTCAAGGTACACACGTTTGATCGGCGCCTTTTTGATCTTCTTCTTATAATGGTCAGGCGTCAGAGGCATAGATGGTGGAGTTCTATTTGCACTGCTAGTTGAGGAATCGGAACTTGACTGAAATTCAATGTCATCATCAGGTACAAAGGGGCTGCGTACATTGACTTCCGATATTACTGTCGATCCGTCAGTAAGCTCGGCGCACAGCTCCGTGCTTTCAAGTGTAGCCGGTAACACGGCGCCATGGATGTTGAGAATTTCAGCGATTGACGAGACAGCGCGGTCAAAACCGCCCTGCAGATCAGTTAGTGCTGCCAGCAGCAGGTTACCCAAGCTGCAACCTTCCATGAAATTTTCACGAAAACGGTAGTTCATCAGCTTGCTCAAGAGTTCATCTATGCATGCACACAAAAGAAGGGATCAACCGGGAGGCATACATGCGCTAGGTGCATGATGACTATAAGATTAGTTACCGGAGTCGGTCAACGCCACCAAGCAGTTGCGAATGTCTCCTGGTGGCAAAATGCCAAGATACTTGCGAAGAGCACCTGAATGACGACCTGAGTCGAAAACTGCAAGTGTATCGCACCATTAGATTATTGCTGGTAGCAAGAGATATTGATTTGCGCTGTTATCTTTGTCAACAAACCTGTGACGACGGCAGTGAGATCAGCCGGATAGTGGCGCAGTTCCTTCAGCAATACCGCTAAGCCTGTACCACCACCAATTGCCACGATCTTGGGCTGCAGCAATTGCTGATCTGCCAGTTTTACAATTGACACTAGCTGTTCAATGGATTCAATCTACAAGTAGCAAGCATCACCACGCTCAAGTTGTTTAGGCTTTCATTGTAAGGACTTAACTTGCGTCAACTGTATATGCTATCTCACTTGGAAATCCGGCTGTTCCAATTCCTCCGTTGGCATTACGCTCGTGTACTTGCCGAACAGCTACAGACAACCAGTCACAAGGTTAGTCAATGCTCATGATGTAACAAGCCATACATACCATGCGAACAGTGAGCATCCCAATAGTATTAGCAGCCTTGATCTCGTAGAAAGTCTTGCGGCCCACAAACATGACACCGGACGCAGGGATATCCAATTGTTTCGTGAGCTGCTTCATAGCACTCGTGAGCTGTGCTAAGCTTGGATTGGGGCTCACATAAACCACGCGATGAAATAGATCGTTGACTCCCAAAGCTTTAAGACGTTCGCGCTGCACTTCTGGTTTACCAATAAGTAACAGTGCCAAGTGCCGGACTTCTCCGTCCTGGAGCTCCAACAACGTCCTGCGTACGCGTGGAAAGGGTGTGATACCTTGTGCCTCAATCACATTGCTCTCATAATAAGCAGCAATGACTCGTTGCGCTTGAGTTGGCGAGAGTTTGGCATGTGGGCCCCCTACGAGACTATCAACGAAGCGAGGAAAGCGTTTACGGAGTCCGTAAGCGTTACGAAAGGTTTGTAGAGCTTTGAATGCTGCTGCGTTGGTCGGAAACGCACCTTCCGCGAGCAACTGGGCCACACCACGGTCAATTGCCAAGTGTGACAAGAGCTTTGAATGGTCGTACAGCACGTCGTCTAGGATCATGGCCACCGCACGAACACGACGACGTCGTGGACGAGGAGAGCTTGGAGACATTGATGTGGGCACACGCATACCGCTCGGAAGACGATGTAACGGATGCTTAGAATCAAAAGTGGCGATGGTCATGGATGCTGATTAATTGAATAACGATCAAGTAGCAAATTGGTCCCACCCCGATCTAGACGAACGGACTTTAAAATTGATGCATGTGGAACTTATGTAATGGTGTTTGGTCCAACTGATTAGCTATTTTATCGACGCTGAAGCATGCTCAATGCCATCGCTTCCTGATTGGCCACAGCGCTGTGATCGATCTTCCTCTTCTTGTTGCTCACGTCCTCCTCCTCATCGCTGCTAACTTCTTCGTCGCTATCACTGTCGCCGTCTTTCATATCTTCATTGTCGGAGCCCGTCATAAGACGTGGTCCGTCATCCTCGCTCACATCGTCGCGCTCGCCCTTGATTTTCATGCGCCTCTTATTGTGCTTAGCACGCACACGCTCCTTCTCCAGACGACGGTCCTCAGCATCCTTGGCGGTGAGACGAGCGGCTACTTGCTCTGTGTAGCGCTTAGCATGCTGCTCTATGTCGGCAAATTCGTTGCCGCTAGTGTTGCGGGCCTCAAGGCGGTCCGCTATCTTGGTGCTATTGCCCTCGTCGTCGAACACAATCTTGGATGCGTTAATGGCTTCGCAATCCACACGCAGCTTCTTCTCTTTCTTCTTGCTGACGCCATGCGCCTCCAAATCCAGTGGCTCGATGTCATCCTCTGCCCAATTGTGCACCCGCTTGACAACCATCAACGAGTCTTCCTCCTCTTCTGACTCCTCCTCTTGCATCTCTATCTCCTTCTTCTTCGCCTCTTCCAGCTCTTTAGGCCCCAAAGTAGCCAGCTGCTGTGCCAAACGCTTGCGCTCCTTCTCCGCCTTTATCTTTTCTTTAAGCTGTTGAAGCTTACGATTGACATTTTTCTTTCCACGAAGTTCGTCTCGCAATGCCGCATTGCCACCATTTTCGTGCTCAGCCTTCATTTTGGATAAGAACGGCATACGCGGTGCACCAGGAAGTCCTAAAGACTCAGCAAACTCATCCAGTGGCAAAGTTGTGGCATCAAAAATTTTCCGATCTGGCTGCAAGTACACAGACCGAACGTAAGACATGAAAGCCTTCTGTGCCAGCGCTTTAATCTCCTTGTCACCCGCAACAACCGACGCCAACTTCTGGTGGCAGCTCTCGGTCTTAGCTGGATTGAGCTTTGTCTCACAGATGGGCACCTTAGCATCCTCGAGTCGCTTTGTCATACCGTCCACCTCGGACGGCAACAGGCACATCAGCGCTTTACCTTGCTTGTTGTAACGCGCCGTACGCCCGACACGGTGAATATAGTTAGCAGCGTCCTCTGGACAATCTAGCTGGAGGACCCAGTCGACCTGAGGAAAGTCCAATCCTCGTGCTGCAATATCGGTGGCAAACAAAACCGCGGCCGGTTTGTTCAAAAACTCGTAGTACACCTCCACACGCTTGCCCTGTTTGTACTTACCGTGTAGCGCACAGAGCGGTACACCGGGCTGCAGTTTGCAGAAAATGCTATGCACGTACCGGACTTGGCGGCACGTGGACAGAAACACAATCGTCTTCTGCTTCAGGTGCGACTTGATAAACGACAGCAACACGTCTAACTTACGCTCCAGTGGCGTTACCACGTAACTCTGAGAAAGACCCTTTGGCGTTGCATTGGCCGAGTGCTCATGCACAGCAACATACTCAGGTTCTCGCAAGCTCAGTGCAGCCAGATCCTTCACTGACTTGGTCTGTGTAGCAGAGAAAAGCATCGTCTGTCTCGTTCCAGCAGGTGGCAGATGCTCCAAGATGGCTGTTAATTCTTTTCGAAAGCCCAAATCCAGGATTCTGTCAGCTTCGTCCAGTACAAGCACCTGCAAGTTGCTTGTATCAAACGCAGGTGTCTGTTCCATATGCTGCAGCAACCTACCCGGCGTGCAGACCAAGAGATTCATCCGAATGATACGTAGCTGTTCCTCCCAAAAGTTCTTGCCCCCAATAACCAGACCAGCCGAAAACGCGTGGGCCTTGCCAACATTACGCAGCACCTCAAAGATCTGAAGGGCCAGTTCTCTCGTGGGTGAGATTACTAGAGCTCCAAGTCCGTCCTCGACACTCCAGGAAAGACGAAACAGCTTCTCCAGCACCGGCAGTAGGAAGGCCAGCGTCTTGCCAGAGCCTGTCTTGGCCGCTGCAAGCACATCGCGCCCTGCTAGTGCATGTGGCAATGCACCCACTTGAATCTTGGTGGGCTTTGTAAAGTCACAGGTCCTCAGACCTCGTTTTGAAGCTTGAGACAGTGGGAATAGATCAAAACTAGTGGCGTTCTCGAGCTGCGAGCCGCGCGCTGGAGTCTGTTCGGCTATGCGGGCTTCTAGTTGCTCAATTTCAAGACGTTCACGTTCGTTCTGCTTTATTTTTCTGGTAGCAACTTCAGCATCTTCTTTGTGCTGTATCAAAGGAAGCTGATTTGGGCGACTGTGGGCACTTCGAAATGCACGCGACGCCATGGCACGTGGTAGATGACAGACAGACCAATGTAGTAAGTAGTATAGCTCAATAGTGGAGCGAGCTTTTGGAAGAATGGCTGGTGTCAAAAGTTGTTGTTATTTCTATAAATGTCATTTCTATATCGTTAAAAACAACAACAAAATTGACTTGATGAAAAACAATGTGACGAGGCGACAGCTTCAACACATTCCTATAATTTGGACATAACATGACACATACTTTCACGCAAGACAAAGCGTTGATAGGAAAGATAGTATGTATAATTCGAAACCTTGAGAGCATTTGGTTTGAAATAAAGCCTTTAGCTCTTAGACTACATGTTGTAAATCCTCCCAGTATTGCCGAAGAAAGGTTTCGTAATTTAACACAATGCTAAGGTCTTCAGGGTGAAGATTCGTGCGGGACGGGCAAGATATTGTCCGTTGGGTAAAAGATTTTCTTAACATCGTCTAAGCTCATTACTTGCTTATTCTCCACCACACAAACAACTCGCCTAACAAATCGTTTCTTAGAAATATATCTTTTTCGAATAGCTCCATCTCGTTTGGGTTCACTTGCAACTGCCGTGCTAAATCTGCTTTGCAAATACCCTTTGTTAGCGCTTTAATAATGCCTTTATAGTCACATCTCCCTCGTTCCTTGATTTAATCAGAAGGAGCCACGTGTTTAACAATGTTGAGTGGCCATGCAGAAGTTCGTTCAATGTCTTGCCATGGAGACCGAGAATCTTCAACAAATTTTCTGCTGACTTTTTTTCGAGCCACCACAACGCTATATCATCGGAAATGGATATGCTATGATTATTGCCTAGGTCGGATATGCGCGTCATGAGAACGTAAGATGCTCTATGCTTAAAGGAAGCCCGTTAGACCTTAAAGCCCGCGTCGTCGAAGCATGAGAGCTTCATGAGAGCTTCGACGATGCGGGCTTTAAGGTCTAACGGGTTTCCTTTTAAGCATAGAGCTCAACCGATAACACTTTTTTCTCTGTCTCGTCTAATCAGCTTGGCAACATCACACGCAAATTCCTGGACTTAGTACTCATACCTGTAAATTCTTAATGTCACATCGATGAAAACAGACCGACGCAGTTGCACCCACAGCCGATTGCCCAGACAATGTGATCGAGTACTCCGTTAGCCTGCCACTGCAACATTCGTGCATCTGCCTGTCCATGACGTATCGACAAGAAACAATTCTTCCGCTTTTCTTGTGTCTCGGCATCTCTTGTCATCTACCAATTGGGCGCATCGCGATTGCTCAACGGTCAATATAGCGCGCATCAAATTGTTGTGTACTGTGCTGCAGGAGTAATGTTACAGTGTTGGTACATGTGGCTATATGCTTGTGAAATGGATGTTTCCAGAATTCAGCAAGATCATTCAAATGAGTCACGTACTTTGGCACCACTAGCATGCATACCATTGAGGGTTGTACGTCGCTGGAGATGGGGCGGGGCATAGTGCGAAATTTTTGCTGCGTAAGGGTCCGTTCTGATACTGGGGCTATTCATCCAGCATAGATAAGGCGAGAGTTTGCGCTATTTTCTGTCAATGCTACGCATCAGCTTGTAAACTTTACAGATCTGTAAAGAGTTTGCAAATGTTCAGGATACCTCCTCAACTATGAACTGCTGTCGAATACGAGCTGAGAGCATGTTTACGCCTCGCCTTCGGCAAACCATCATGGTCCAGCGCCGAATAAATTTACAGTGTCACCGATTAGAAGCAGCCGAGAGCTGGTGGAAAGGGTGTACATGGATCCTCTACCTGCACAATTCCGTCCGTCTGCAAGCGGGCGACGATTATTTATGGAAGGCACATTCTCATCGTGGATCTTAGGCCTAGACGTCGCTGAGTTGCGGCCCCGTCATTACAAACGAGCTGCTGATGGCCTCGTAAACGGTATTGACATCAAACGAACGGAGCAGGGGTCGCCTACAACAGTTTGATGCAGCCTGACAAAGACCAGCACTGGGATTCACTGGAAAAATTTGATGGGACATACCGTCGCTGGAGGTGGAGATCGTGCCGTTTACAGCCGCAATCTGCGAGACCCCGGACTAGTTTTCGTAGCACATCCTAGCATTCACGGGTTACCATGGGCCGCGCCTCGAACACTTCCGAATGGCAGTCTGTTGGTCTACCTCAACCGGCTGGCGTACGCCGATTGCAACAGGACTTCGGCAAACCCTTCATTGCTATCGCTCATTGTCTTGCAACCAAGGTGGTAGCAACAACTGGCAGGCCGACCTCATAAACCAGGACACCCAGACCCTGTGGACTCATCTGTACGCCCTCACGGATCATCAAGTTTGGACTGATAATCCGTGAGGGCGTGCAAATGACATTGGATTGCAACGCACCAAGTGAGCTTCTTTACACGGGTTGCCCTCGGGAATCCAAGCCCCACCGGGACTTGATACGCGGCGCAAGGAAGGCGTACGAGCACCTTCTGGAGCTGTCCGTTTGTTCAAGCGACTTGTGCACAACTCATCAGCGATTGAGAAGACGCTAGGGTGTGCATGTTCGGCTTAAATTAAGCTGCCCTCCTCGAGTATCTGGTGGATCGTAGTCCAACGTACCTTGACGAACCAAATGGCTTTGCTGCCGATTGGGCTTGATGTTGTACGCTTGTCTGCACGGTCTCAACCACCAGCCTCTCGATCAAGCAAGTTTATTCTGTCTTCCGCGGCAAACGGATGACGCCACAGGAAGGGCAGCGGCCTATTGGACTGAGGCAGTCTGGCAACTTGAAGCCGTCGCCAAATGCGACCACCGCAAGGCGGACGCTGTCATCCGGGGCACACCATTACACGCGTGTATTGACCCTCACCTACTCACCGAGAGAGTCCACGAAGCCTCACGAGGAGTACCGTGACATTGTGTTGCGCCCTTCGGCGCCGGCATTTCTTATCTCTGACTCGGCATTTTATCACAATTACAGAGATACGAGGAATCGTGTACTAACGAGTAAATAGACATTTTGAATCTCTCGCTCTCCTCTCTTATGCATTGTACCTGCGCTTGAATCACCTCTCTTATGAATTGTACTGACACATCAATGCCAATCAGAGCTGTCATTTGCACCTCGACAACGGACAGAAGTTTTATGGATTAAAGCAATTGCCTTGAGTTTTTTCTTCGTCGACAGCTGTATTGTTGGGATGCATCAAGTATATCGGTGGTTGACACACAATATGAATATATCTGTAAGTACCTGTGGATCTGTCTCAAGAGCAGGTTTAGTGCCGATGGTGTTGCTCCTCCTAGTCATGATACGTATATGAAAATATATGCTTTCATCGTGGGTGTCCTGAGTGTCGCCGGATATATTCGACATATATGTCAACACGTTGAATAAGAAAACCTTTTTGTATGCTGCGTTATCTGCTTTCCTGCTTCATCCTAGGCGTGATAAAGTTTGGGTGCTCTTGGTGCTTACAATCGCAGCAACATTGCTCCGGTCCATTAACACGTCTTCAATAGCACGAGCACGCGCATTCGAAAGCAAGTCAGATAAAAGGCTCTCCACTTCCTCCTTCGCTTCGCCGGTCGCTACAAGATACATCAGGATGTTATACAAAAATTCGGCATCCAATTGTATCTGCTGTAAGCCAAATTTTGACAACTCCAGCAACCTCACCCACTCGCTAAAAGCTTTGACGCACATTTTTAGCATGGTCTCAACAAACGCTTCTGCACTGAGTTCAAGCTGGGATGGGAAAATATGGAGTTTGCGTGCAAATATCCGATCCACGTCAAGCTGCATCCCCGACGTTGCTGCTGCAACTCCTGCGTTGCGAGAACGCAGTGCACTGGTACGTCGGTGAAAATCACGTTGTGCTGCATGACCGTTGCTTCCAATAAAGATGCTTTGCTCGTCACCAAGAGCAAGAGCAACTTCTTTTCCAAAACGAAAGGTAGCCTCTACAATCAAAGCCATCATTTCTTGCACACTTCTTGGCTCCTCATTCATGTCAGCCCATGACGTCGCAGCCAACCCATTTTGGATGATGATACACAGCTGGTTCCCATACTGCTTTGCAACGTGCTCCAATAACTCTGCCGAAGACTTGCGAATCACTTCGATCATTTGCGTTACGTCGTGCGTTCGATGGCTGTGACCTGATTCATTATCAGGGCATTTTGATGCAGATGTGGGTGCTGGTAAGCGCTCTATAAGGCCGCGCATACACTCATCAATGCCTCCTGCTGACAGCTCTTGGCACATACACGACAGGAACAGCAAGAACTGCGGAGTAGGCTCCAACCACGGAAGTATTATACTGTCTTGTTCCTCGTGTCGTGTTCCAAGTTGCCCATCTGGTCGAGTAAATGCGCGCTTGGGCTCTGCGTATCGGAGCACCATTGCGTTAAACCACTTGAGAAAATCGTAAAATTCGCCCTGGGAAAAGATCATCTACAGTTAGTACACATAGTAGAACACAATCTAAGACTGACAGATCAACTGATGTACATCTTGCCTGGACTAAGTCAGAGAAAAGTCGACTAAACTCGGGAAAGATCGAGAGACCTGTTTCCGTCATAGCCTTCATTTGCTGCAGTACTTTATGCATCATATCGATGACTCCCTTTGCTGACTCCTGCGCTAACGGTACAACGCTCTGTCCACCTTCAGACAAGTCTCGCCCCAGACACACATTACCGTGAGAAGAAGCAAAGAGATGCCCAGTACCCTCTCGTAGTTTTCGAAAAACACCCTTAATCTGGAAGTGCATGCAGCCGCTTACAAACTCAGTGGCATTTCCAACTAGTCCACACATGGGCATACTGCTATCCGCAAGTTTCACTTGCAAGACAAAGTGCTTCATCACTCGCATGAATACAAAGTACTCACTTCCAACAATGTCCGAGGAGAGGCCATCATCTTGCAGCACATCAGTTACTTCAACTGTTGGCCCCTGCACAAAACGAGCAAAAGTCGATCATATTACTAATGGCGTAAGGACGGCAATATATATAGCAATGGTGGGCTCACATATTCTGTGTGCGGACGGCGGAACTGCATCGAACACCCCTCCAGATACAGCGCAAAAAGATCCTCCACAAAATTGAGAACTAAATCATCTCGAGTAGCATCGGAGGGCTTGCATGATGTTGAAGATTGTTTGCGCGAGACAATCTGGGACATAAAGTGAGTTTTGCATACTGAAAATACTCGATCCATCTTTGATAAGACAACCGCATTGTATCTTTGCAAGAAATCCAGCACCGAGGCAGACTGCCCTTGAGACTGTAAAAAGAAGATGGCGGAGAGTGTAAGTTCATACACACTACACAGGAAGACGTAGCATGCTGCATTACCTTAAACACTGCCACCTCACGCTTAAAATATGTGTGATGCCACTCAAAAAACTGGTCTCGAATTTCATTGCTGCAAGCATCCAATTGATGCAAAAGTATTACTGCCTCGCAAATCTGTTCATACCCAAGTGATACAATCAGCTCGATAAAGTTCAACCGTCCGAGTTGCAAGTCATCGGCTACACACCTCCTCAGACTCTAGTGTCATGTCCAACATTCGGTTTTTTGAGCAGACGTTCAAGTTGGTCAATAATTTTCTCGGCTTGCACTTGAATTGTCTACAAACATTTGACAATTAGATCAGAGCCGCTATACATAACAGCGCTGCCATTACAAATGACAAAAAAAACTCACCTTAAACGACAAAATATGTTCATATCGTTTCAAAATACGACGTGCAAGCAGATAGTACTGGGTAGCATTGGTATACTCCTTCTGCTTTACCGCACTATACTCCAACCACAAAATCAGCCTCAATTCATGGCCGTTTACTTATACATAACAACAACAACAAAAGCATTCATTCAACGTACGTGTTCAGTCTCTGAGGCAGCTCAAAGATAAACTCAAATCTTCTCAGCAACCGTCGGACGCCAATGAGTTTCTCCACTTTGGATCGATGTGGTGCTAACGCCATATTCATACTCTCACTCTTGGTCGTGATTCTATCCATACTTGTAACCACACGCTCCGCTTCCTTCTCCATACTCGCTACATTATTCTACATTGTCATATAACAAACATTCAGAAATCATACCGTCATATCAAAAAGTATAGCCACAATTTGGCTCCAAAGGTCAAGAGAGCTCAAGCGCTTAAGAGATTAGAGATCTCAAGAGCTCAAGAGGTATAGAGATCAAGAGGTGAATCAACATCCATTCCTCTCTCTTCCTTCTTCTCTCTTTCACTTACTTTCATTCTACGAATTGTATCCGTCGCATTAATAAACTTGTGATAATTTTCATACACAAGCATTTGCATCTTTGTATCAAGCTCTTTAATCTCACAAATCATTTGAGCATCAATCGTAAGCAATTCATTCAGTCCCCGAGTCTCTAGTAGCTTCTAATATCAGATAGTTAATCAAGGTAAAAGTCATATTCTCTCTCTTTCTATACAGATACAAATAGCTAGTATACACACCTTGACGTATGTTTCTGAATTATAACCGGAGGAATCAATATTACACTCCTGTTGCTCACTCTTTTCTTCATCTTGTAAGCCATAATAACTACTCAATAGTTCCTTCATACGTATCATACCATGGTCTGTCATGTGTGTGCAAGTAATTTATTTCAGTGGGTTTTTTATGGTTGAAATGTTGCACTTTTGGTCTCTGACGTTTTTTATTATTGTTACTTTTACAAGTTTTTGACAAAAACAAGTACAGCATTTTGATTGGTCAATAGTTGTGCTGATACTACATCGCAACTGGATCCGATCTTTTCGTCACACACCCACACACACGCACGCTGGACAACAGTTGGTTTCAATCTCAAAGAGTCGTCACATTAAGCAGAGAGCAAGATGAATGTCAAGCGATTGTTATGGGAGTCAAAACTTGCATTGGCACTATGTCTACTTATTATGGCACGATGTGTGGATCGTGTACTTTATACGTATGTATATATATCGTAACATTGTTCTGTCATCGTGAATGTTACTTTTAATCGTTACTTTTGATACCATGTCTGCTTTTTTTATAGACGAATTACGTATGATTACACTGAATTCCTCTGGTATTTTACCAATGTGATCCTCCCCGTCTCATTTTTAATTTCATCAGCTCCTGTTGTAGCGTATGTGACTAATGATACACGAGATCAATCGTAATCTATTGCTGCTACTAATACTATCAGTGCTATGTGTCTAATCTATTTGATTCTACTTGTACTAGCTACAAGATTTACTTCACAGGTATTTTCGTACACATCGTCTCCATTTCAACGTCTTGACTGATCTGATTCTAACCTCTTGATGATCTTTTTTTCTTACTATAGATGACATTACGACAGACATGCGCGAGTTTCCACACTATAAGTATATGCTGATGGCGCTGTTTGACACACTTTACAATCTACTGGGCGCGTTCCCAACGCCTCATATCGGGTGCGTCTGGATTATGCTACAGATGCTTGATATCAAGTGAAAACAACAACCAATAGTCTTAATTTATATGTATGTGTGTGACAGAGGGAACATGGCCAATGTACTGAACCAGTTAAACTTGCCGTTCAATATGCTGCTGTCATACATTTTTTCTGCAGACGCGCTTCAAGCGCGGCCATATTTTAGGCTCGATCCTGGTGCTCTATGGTGGTATGGTGAACTTGATACCGGCTATTACTGGTCAGGATAATGCGAATACTCCTGACCCAAGTGTAGGGTGGATATCTCTGTACGTCACGTCATTGATACCAGCGGCGGCTTCGAACGTCTACAAGGAGATTGGACTGAAAGACGTAGATCTTGATATCTGGTACGCCAACATTTGGATCAGCCTCTACCAGCTTATCATTGGCGCTACCACAATCTGGACAGTGCGTATTCGAGCGTTCAGTGATCCTCCAGTGCCTTGGGCAGACTTTTTGCCCTATGTGAGCAAAGCCCATTCGTGTTTTATCGGCAACGAAGTTGAGCTAAACGGCAAGGTACTGGCATGTGATGCCGGGGTGTTCCAGGTCTTTTTGGTTTTTATTGTCTTCAACACAATCTACAACCAGCTCATGCTGTATATCTTCAAAGAAGGTAGTAGTGTGCTTTTTGTAGTGTCTTCCGCCGTGGGTCTTCCCCTCACGGACTTGCTGTACATGCTTCCCTTTCTTACGGGTAAGTTTGCCGGCCAAGCTTTCACTATCTACGATGGATTTGCGCTTTTCGTACTTGTGATGGGACTACTTGTTTACCATTCTGAGAAAGAAGAGCGCAAAAGTGGCACAGATTCGGTGGAGAAGTCACCCATGTATGCATCACCTTCGTTGCAGAAGACGCGTCTTATGCGCAAGCGTCGTGGCAAAGTGGTGTACCGTCAGAGTCCAATGATTCGGCGAACTGGAAGTGGCAGCGATATTCGACTTTTGGGTCGTAACGCCGCTGGTAAGAGTTTATACGGTTCCAATGGCAACACCGCGATAAGTCATGCTGGCGACAACGTGTAAACGTCCGAGTTGGGTCCCTATTAGCCTACCTCAGAAGTTTATATGAAACCCTTTCTTTCACGCCATGGTGTTGCAGAGTCGTGTCGCTTTGATAGTGGATTCATTTCCTTGTTATGGCGAGCATTACTGTCTTTGCTTCGAGTCGGTAGATGGACGTTTGTAGCATCAGAAGATAAAGTTGTATCAGAGGTGACGATTAGATCTAGTGACAGGAAGTACCGATCAACTACAAGGGTTCATGTACATGTAATTGCCAAAATGATCACCATTTATCTTGCAAGAATGTCGTAGCTGCGATTACGTTTAAATTAACAGGATATTCTTCCTCTTCTTCTTTCATGCAGTCGTGGTCCCACGTAGTGATAATTGCAGACTACGTGGCACAAGATAAACAAACAGCACGGGCTAGAAAAGAAGAATCATATAAACATGACGATGTATTGTAATACAAACTTGTTGTCAAGATTCGCTGGTTCTTGGCGAAAGTGGAATGAGTGCTGAGCCAGTATTGTTAAAGCTCATTGTTCAAACTCTTTACTTGAAGCCAAAGAACTTACGCCAGCCCGACGTCTCCTCAAACTTGACGCCGTTCTCCGTGAGTTTTACAAAAGCCTTTGTAAAGTCTTGAAACCACAGCTCTTCATCCTTTGCATACATTTCAACGTACTGTTTGAATTTAGGGTCCTGAATCAGCGCCATGTCAGACGGCAGCATCATGAGTTTGCCCGTTGGATCTTCGTACTGCATAGGACCGTCCCATTTCTTAATTGTCCACTTGTTTTCAATCAATTCACGAAAATATTCGTTCGAGAATGTCCATTCAGCATTTGTCCATGGGCCGCTGTAGCCACTGCGCGTAGGATAGCACCGACCAATAGCATGAGCACCAACTAGTGCAACAATATCACGATCATTAAAACCCATGCGGTAAAAGACATCGCGCACGTGCTGCGTCGTCTTTTCCTTGCTGCCTTTATCAGCATGAGGCAATCGGTCATCAGGTGTTTGTGTAGGTTCGTGACCATTTTTGGCATCAGGACGACCAAAACGAAAGGGAATGTTAGGTCCACCCATCTCTTGAATCATTGTCACACCTGCAAGGACGTATAGATCAGCATACGTGATCTCTGGATGATTCTTCTTGACTTTTTCCAATGCATTGATTGCCAAGTATAAACCAGCATTGGCACCGTAATGGATCTCTGGCTCAAATCGAATCGTTCCACCCGTTGAGCCACCGGATCCATCACGTTTATCAAATGTGCCACTCGAGTGCCATGCAAGACGTACAAGTGTTGGACCCATATAAATATCTTGATCAAAGAGCTCAATAATATCTTTCTTGATTGCATCAAGATCCAAAGGCTTTTCATGGGCATTGACTAAATTACTAAGAGCAAAGCTACTTACAGCTGCAATACCTGCAGCAGCATAGACTAGGACACTTGACTGTTTCTTTTTATGTTTTGTAGTAAGAGTACGGATTTGACATGTCGTAGCAAAGCGACACCTGATTATGGTGGAAGATGCCACAGATGTTTGTTGAGTAGGACGAAGAAGAAGGAGACGACGAAACATTAGGGGAAGAGAGTAGTAATAAGGTTCAAGGGTTTGAGCTTTAGGATGGAAGAATTGTAAGTGAGTCGGGAAGATCGCCAAAGAGTTAGGATGTCCTACCTTTAGAATCTAATAGGGTTGTTTAGACGTGGATTTTTGCTTGTACTTAAATGAACGAGGAGTTTGTATGCAAGTCTAGATTTCTAATCTATTTGGATCAATGGGTATTTAGTTAGCTGTTCTATTCTATAGTTAATTAAGATTTTAGAAAACTACTATTTTGGAAAGGACAGTGCGTAAGGCCCTGACACCACTGATGAAGTCGTCCGTGCCACATGTAAGCCATGTAACAAATGAGCCTGATGTTTTGAGAAATGTATTGTTTTCACTCATTGCAATGCGCCCCCCCCACCCAATCCATCCACTTTACCTAGACATTGCTTCGACGTGCTTCTAAGACGTCTGTTGTGTGGGACTATAAGGCTTGCAAGTTGCATTCTTTCATCGATATGACGCAGCTCATCTTAGTCAAAGAACAGAACGATCACAGTTATGTCATCGTGGCGACGACGGCGATGGCTTCCAGGCGGTAAACTTAGCAATTCCTGATACGTCATTCCGTAGCGCTTTGCCGCTTTCTGTAGCACACGATCGACCAGCGCACGGGCAGCTAGGTCATGATTTCCGCATGATGCCTGTCCATTAACAATCTCAACAGCCTCTTCGTTGCTCAGGTAGTCCCAGAGCCCATCCGACCCAATAATGAGGAACTTGTCGTCCTCTTCCAGCTTGTGCGACTTGACCTCTGGAATAGCCGTAATATACGGAGGGGTAAAAGGTGCTGAAAAGTGGCGACCTGCAGTGCGATCGCCATTCACGTAAGGAGGGCCGTTGAACTCCGGGTACTTGAGCGAAAAGTCTCCAAAAGCACGCGTCGGCTGCAGTGCACCTTTCACATAGCATGAGTCTGGATGGCGGCACGTGAATGCGTTTCCCTCCCCCGGATGCTCCTTACTGAGCTTTTCTTGTTCAAACTTCGCCATGGCATTCTGGTCATTGCTGAGTGGCTCAGCCACAATCGTGTCAGCATCCTTCCCGAGCTTTCCCAGCACTGCGCGGATATCACCAGCATTGGCAACATGAACGATGCCTTCATGCACGTAAGCCAAACATGCGCAAGATCCGCACCGCGCGACAGCTCCAAATCCAAGGTTGAACGCAGAAGCCACCGCAGCCATGAGGTCGCGGTCCGTGCGCCCAAACGCACGTTGAATAGCAGCAGCCACACGCACGTCCGAGACCGTTGTTCCGTCGCCTTGAGCTGGCTCGTTCGTCCCCACCTTGTACAGATATGACAACTCTTTCTGGACATTGCCGATGAGCGTCTTCCTTGCATACTCAGATACCTGCCATCCACCTATACGAAAGAGTAACAGTACATGCTAAAAAAAACGGGTAAGACCATACGACACAGCGGTGTGCCATACCATGACCATCCAGCACGACTGCAAACACGTCCCCCGAATCCGTCGTCTCCACCGCGTACTTGTCTTCAATAGGAAAATTGGCCTTGTACGACGTGCTACTCACTCGTGTAGCACGCGACTTGGCAATCAGCGCAAACTCCTCGCGCTCAAGCGGCACGGAGATTGCTCTGTCTACTTCAGGCGGCGCGTATCGAGCGTCACATTGTGCCTCCAAGTGTGCAATTTTCACTTCCGTGAGCTCATCGTGAGAAAGGGCCAATACCGACAGTCCTAAGCCGCCTATAAGCAGCGCCTGACGCAACGCTGAGCCATGAAACTAAAGCAAGTGGAACAAGAAGAGGTGTGAGGTTTGAACTGAAGGTAGTGAAGCTTGTAGAGGGTGAAAATCAGTCGGAGTAGGATCAAAATGAAGCAAAGAGGTAGAAGCACAGTATAGAGTCAACCACATACGCACCTTCTGATTCCTTCGACGTGCCAAGCGCACTACATTTCGTGCTGCAAAAAGTCGCATGCTTCGTGTCAAGTTTAAGCAGTTTAAGGGATATTTTTTAGTCTTTTCAGTGGTATGATGACGTAATCAAAGATCTCGTAATGTTGACAGGATTAGGACGCAGACGTTACTAAAGTAGGATGTAATACCGAAAATTATTCCAACTATCATAGTCTACATAAGAGTTTCGACACAAGTGACGATGGGTGACGACGACAACAACGTGTGTAACAACAATAAGTGAAGAGGCGGATAGTATTTACCGGATAAAACCGTCCCGCTCGTATTCCGATTCTATTTTAGACTCAAGCAGTGATTTTTGACCTATTTGAGAGCATTGTTGAAGTAAAACATGTAACATTGAGCAACATGTGATGATTAGATAGATATCTATCTATTAGTCATGCAAGTAAGTATGTCAAATAATTTGTTGGAGTTTACTATCAATCTCAATAGATTCATCAATACAACAATGTCACTACTATAGAATGTATTGTCCATCGACAACGTTAATCAATTGTGAATCATTCGACATGTTGCGATTCAGCTCAAAGTCCTCAATGTTTTCCAACGAACTTTGTCACGCTAAAACGGATATCAATGAACGTACGTTAAGCGGCAGTTGGGAATTTTCCATGTAGCATCAGCTAAATCGAGCGTTACCAACTGCCACAAGCCAGAAAAAGTGAGAACATACACGAGATAAATGTGACCCGACTTCTTCTGACCAGCGTAGCATGAACCACCAAATCAACGTTTCACTGCAAGACCATTAGTCATTTTTGATTTTGGAAACAAAACGACATCTTGTAAACTTGTCGGTCTCTTTGTGTGTGTGTGATTGATTGATTGGATTCAACGTCAGAGAAACAAGTAGCGGCCTTGATTTGAATATCAAAATGGACATGAATGATCATTTTGTGCTGCACCTTGCGGACTCGGCGGACTGGGTCGCCGATCACAAACGGAATCTATGCTATGTCTGTACAAGACCTTTTGGTACCTTTCGTCGCAAACACCATTGCCGTATGGTACGATAATGTCCATCGATATCCTGCAATCAGCGCTCTATCGAACTAACTTTTTGACATTTGATTAATGTCATTGCTATCGATGCAGTGTGGCGAGGTAGTTTGCAAGAACTGCACGTTTTACAAGGAAACAATGATCGAGCCCACGCGTGTTCGTGTGTGCATGTCATGTGTCATGAACAATTCGAACCAGCGTTCAAGTCAACCACAGGATACTACTTCACGGCAGAAGTTGGAGGTATATCGCTTGTGGCGACAGAACCACCTGCAGTCTCCTGTATCAGGATCATTGCCCGGTCTTGATTATGATGAGCAGCAACGTTGTTCATTTTCACCCAAGTCGCAGCAAGACGTTAACCTTTTCAGTGCAGAAGGTGAGTGTAGAAACACTTGCAGACAAACCGTGGAGATGGAGCAGCAAAATAATGAAGCTTCATCTGAGTGGACTCACCCATGGCCTCAACCACCTAAGAGTGCTGACGAGGACGATCGACTCCAAGTCCTGCACTCATTAAATGTGCTGGACACGGAGTTGGAGAAGCCCTTTGACATGATCTGCGACCTAGCTAAGACACGGCTGTCCTGCCCTATGGCTGCGGTGAGCTTTTTGGACGAGCATTGCCAATGGTTTAAGGCTAGCGCAGGGCTAGCACACAAGATGATTCCGCGCAAGATTGCATTCTGTGCCTACACAGTGTACACGCGCGAGCCAATGGTTATACTGGATACGCTTCAGGATTCTCGTTTCCGTAATAATCCGCTTGTCTCAGGTGCTGCTGGTGTTCGTTTCTACGCTGCTGCACCGATTATCAGTCCGAATTCGGACCATGCGGTTGGGAGCATCTTTGTTCTAGACACACGCCCTCGAGAATCGTGCGATGTTTCGATTTTAGAACGACTTGCACTGGCAGCAGGAGAAAAACTTGCTTGTAGGGCTACACCAAATGTTGACAACCAAGTTCAGCTTGATAACAACACTGACGAAGAGTATACAAGATATCTGAAGAACGAGCAAAACAATGTCAATGTGGATATGAATGCTCAAAATAAGCGCGGAAGTTTTGAAAGGGAGAGGATCAGGGTGCCAATATCTCCAGCTACATCAACATCACGTCAATGTCGTCGGTGGGATCGGGAGCGTCCTCAGCGCAAACATCTTTGCTTCCAACGCTAGCCAACAACGATGACAATGGGAACCAAGACGACGATACTTCGGTGGGTATGGCGCAGCCTTCTATGGATCCATCCGCAGCAAGTGAAGAAATGGAAGAACTTCTTTTGCACTTGCTGTCTCAATCCAGCGAAACGCAGGAACGACTAGCAGTGCAGCAGACTTCGCTCTCGACGAAGCTAGGGCAGCACGCCGACCAAATCAGCAAACTCATGTCTGACTTTGCCCGAATCGAGGCAAAGGTTGAGTCGATGGTCAACGGTAGGACAAAGTGAGCACAACATAGATGGCTACTTACGTCCATGACCTCGTGAAGTGATGTTATTCCCAGACAATACTGTTTGTAGTCAGTCCCCAGTATCAGAAATGGCACTCGCGACAAAAGCTTGAGTGCGAGTTTATCTCTAGAGCCAGCAACCTAGCAGCCAGCTTTGTCGGATCGTCGCACCAATTGTTACCTATCTGGGCTATTCGTACGAAGCTTGGTCGCCACCACACAGACACCTTTCGTTACAAGCATGTGACTCAGTCAATCATTTGCAAGGCAAACTGTCAACGTAGCAAAATGAGAATACAAAATTGTGTGTTTCGTATATATCATTATGAAGTCTACGAAGATGTCACGTCCACGTAGTTGAACCAAACGACGATGTGCCAGGTCGGTTGTCTTTGTTTTTCTTCACGTCCTAAACCAGCCTATATCAAGAACCTTACGAGCAAGTGTAGATTGCTTTCTAAATGGAATGAAAAATAGGATAGTGGAGGATAGAAAACTATAGACACGACCTAGCAGCTGAACTTCAGGCGTAGACCACCTTTTGCTTCTCCACCTCAGCAATATAAGCCTTCATAGCGTCCTCTGTCGATAGACCCTTTTTGGCATTCCAGGCGTTCCATTTCGCCTTCCCCGTCATATCAAACATTCCCGGGGCAGGTGTCGTATTGTCACCAATAGTGGCCTGCTTGTAGTAGGCGTAGAGTGTAAGCTTTTCATCGTTAGTCTATGACGACAGCACATACAGAGAAGAAACGGTATATACACTCGTCAGTTTGATCCTGTTTGTACGACTATGAATGTAGCTAGGACGAGATACATACGGGACTCTTTGTGAATGTTTTCACAAGCGCCGCTGCGGCTTCAAAATCAGTCTTTAGGTCAGACATTGCAAGAAGATTTAGGACGTAGGATTCTCTAGCCACAAAGTAGAAATGCTGTGGATTGCAAGGAGATTTATGTACGATCAATAGTTAGAAAAGGGAGCATAATAGCCCATATTTCGCGGATTAGGGGGCGTATTGAAATCTTGCAGTTTTGAGTCTACGTGCTCATTTTAGCACCTGTTTTCAAGCATTTTGCTTTGGCATTATCATTTCTTTTTTATTCTGTCTGGTATCGTATATTTTTTTTTTAGTGTTCTCAACTGTATATCATTTCTTACTTAAGCCAAGTTATTCCAAAGTAACAGTTTGCTGTCCAGTCAAAGTATACACCACCGAGACGCACGCACATCAGACACTATTCGTTGTAATCTTCTGGGTAATCATGGTCTTCTTACTTGAGTCATTTTCGATTCTCCTCATATTAACAAGTGGAAAAAAATTGACACTATATGCTGGACAAGCAGATCGAATTTCATGACGTGGTCGTTATCGGTGCTGGTGTTGCCGGTCTGCGGTGTGCTAGTCAATTGGTGCATGTGAAGGATATCAAGGACGTGCTGATCGTGGAAGCGTCAGACCGTATCGGTGGTCGAGTAATGAATACCATGAGTTTCATTCCGGGAATGAGCGTTGAGCTCGGCGCCGAGTTCATGCATGGTGCCAACACGACGCTCACGCACCTTGCTGAGGAGCTTAATATTGGTTTACGAGAGATCTTTACTTGGGCTCAGGTGCGAAGAGATTTGTGGAATGATTGGAATCATGTAGTAGATTATAGTTGCATCGATTAATCAGCCACTGATTTGCTCCCAACGAGCGTAAGGTAATCTTCTGGCCTTCATACGAATGCAAGAGCAAACGTTAGATCATGTTTCCTTAATTAGCATCTCTTGGGCGAGCAATTGGTCTTCGTTGGAAGTTTTATGTGCTCTTCTGCGTGCAATCGGCAGCACAGTTCTTGTGTCGTTGAGCTTTGTACGTGTCCACCCAAGAGAAGTCAGTCTGGACTCATATATATATATATACTCTATCTAGAATGTGCATGAAGTAGTAGATATGTATGAATGAGCCTTAGCTAATCAATCTACGGAACTGACAATGCATTATTTCCATGTATAGGGCGACGGTGGTCCAACCAAACCCACTCTAGATGGAGGTGTCGGGTACTATTACATTGGTGATCAGAAGCGCATGCTGAAGTATAACGACGAGGACGAGGAGTTTTTCAAGTTTAACTTGTCTGTAGCCAACTTGAGTAATCTTGACCAGATTCCGCCTGAGAAGTCCATGAGGGACTACTTCAATGAGGTTGGTTTGTCTCCGTCAATGATGAAGCTGTGTGAGGCTGGATATGCCAACACAGCCGGGGGCCCGCTGGAGGATATTTCACTGCGCACAACATGTCGGTACGAAAAGCAGTGGGTTGATCTTGAAGATGAGGGCGACTACCGCGTTGTACCGAGCTTGATGCGCTTTGTCGAATACTTTGCTAAGGGCGTGACAACCCGACTCAAGTGGCCCGTAGCTAGCGTAGATTACTCCCAGAGTGATCGCATTCTGCTGACCAGTATATCGGGTAAGCAGCTGTCATGCTGCACGCTAGTTGTGACTGTGTCTACTGCTGTATTTTCGAAAATCGTCTACACACCAGCACTGCCTGAGGAAAAGGTGAACGCCGTGAATTCTTTCGACATGCGTCGTGCTGGAAAAGTACTTCTTCACATGTCTGGTCGTTTCTGGCCCGAGGACGCGCATGGTGTCGTGTGCTCGGAGTGCTTCTTGCCGGAGTTCTGGTTTAATAGCACGCAGGGTATAGGCCATTTAAAACATAATGGTGACAAGCTGTGTGCTGAGCTGAAAGCGGTCAAGCTTGACGACAGCGAGACGCAATACCTAATCACGGGTTTTGCCGGCACCTTGTACGCGGAAAGCTTCGTGGACGTGCCGCACGAGAAGATCATTGAGGGCTTTCTCGACCAGCTCGACATGATCTATGGCACCCCAGACGAGCCGTCCCCCGCGCACAAGTTCTTTGTCAAGGGGATGTATAAAGACTTTGGAGATGAGCCGTGGATCGGTGGTGGGTATGCTTTCCCACGCGTTGGTCAGTTAGATTTAGCTTCCGAGGACTTAGCGGCTGCTGTAGATAACCGTATCTTCTTTGCTGGGGAAGCCACAGCTTTTGAACAGCCCGGAATGTCGGTGCACGCTGCAGTGGATACTGGAACTCGTGCGTCCGCTCAGGTTGCGAGTGCGTTGCAAGACTATAAGCAGAAAGCAGGAAAACAAAAGTGTGTTGATTGGAATGGAAGGCAATCGATGAAAATTAATGATGTTGTTTACCACCAATGAATAAGTGTATTGATTGATTGACATGTGTAAAACGACTTTTCCTGCCAAACTTGACCTTTATCCATTTTAACCATTATTGATGAACCTCATTATCAGTTGGTGTGGTGCCCATGTATCGTTCTTGATCATTGTGCGATGGGTCTGGAACGCAAATCGGAACGATCAAGAGATCGAGGCGACGCAAAATATTTATATAAGTAAGTGTAGGCAAGTGCAATGCGTAGGAGCATGTTGAAGGCTGCTGCGTTGGTGCCTCACCCGCTTAGAAGGCCGCAAGATGTGTCAGAAGTACTTGTTCGCCTGCTCCTCGCGCTCTAGCCGGCTTAAAACGTGCTTTCCAAACGTGAAGCGCTTCAGATAGTCCTCGTTGTGTCGAACAATACATACAATGCGTTGGCGGTCGTGATCATCTGCCCGCTCTAGCAGTTTTTGCACCACGTAGTTCCCGTACATGTGTTTCATCATGGGAAGCAGTGCACAAGACGCTCCACTCTCGTCACACTGAAGGATAAAGTCAACAATTTGACTAATCTCTTCATTTGTCGCATGCTCCAAACAGGATTCCACGACATTGCTGGCATACTTGTGCTGACTCCATCGTGCGATTTCAGGAAGCACTGCTTGCATGACAATATTGCGTTGGTCGAGTTCGCCGTGACTAATGACATGTTGCACAACGTAATTGCCAAACTGGTCCTTCACGAGCTCGCGGCACTTGAAGATGATCTCACTCAGCAGGGGGCGAATCTGATCGGGTGCGCAGTGTTCCAACACGCGCTGGATAACACGGCACCCGTACGAATGTGTGGAGAGTACTGCAGCATTGCCGACAAAACTATCGATGATGAACTGGATATCCTTTCCCGTCACAAAACGTTGCGGTTCCAATCCGGTGCACTCAGCCGCCCTTTTCCACGATGCTGCTTCAATGCATTTCTGCAGAACATGGTTGCCATTCTGGTCGACAACGCACTTTGTCACATATCCCTTCAGCTGTCGGATTAGGGCGAGTTGTTCTTCTACTTGGGTCACCTCTAGCGCACGCTGGATCACACGACATCCGTACACTTGCAGGGCCAAACTGATCATATTTCTAGTCATCAACTCCACCAGCAGCTGCTGCTGCTCCGGAGATCCATACTCAAGAAACTTCTGAATCACATAGTTGCCGAACACATCCGTCATGAGTAAGAGCGAATTTGGGAATATCTCGTTGAATGCGTCAGCTTTCAAGCGTTCGTCAGCCTTCTCCAGCTTCTGCTGAATAAACCGTGAGCCTGTCTGGTCCTTTGCAAAGAGAAAAAGGTGTCCTTTGATGGCAGATAACCCCCATTTCTCTGATTTCGGTGCCGAGTTGAACTCCTCCAAAAGGCTATTGGACGAGTATGAGTGCGCGACCGGGTGAAAATACTCGAAATCATTTTGCTGAGGTCCTCCAAAAATTGGCCTATGGAGCATCTGAGAATGAGGCAGGTAGCTTCCGAAGTCATGAAGATCATACAGTGGACGATCAACTAGAGGATACGATGGGCGAGCTGTGAACAATTTGTCAGTGTATTTCCCACTTCCGTGCTCTCCTGTGTAGTTAACAGGGTAAGCCGGCGTAGCCGAACCGTAAATGGGATGCGGAATTGCGAAAGCCGATGGTGCGAAACCAAATGCGGACGATTGGAACGAGTGTATATGCTCGTTGGCAGACCATCGAGACTTGGTGGCCCCCATTACTATGGGGTAGCTCTGTGCTCCTTGAGCTTCTATGCCATAAGGCGATGAGTAGCCTTGCGTCGTAGCTCCACGGTAAGGCTTTCCGAAAGGAGGCTCACTGGTTCTTCTACTGAACGAATAACGGTAAGTGTTCACCCCAGGAAGTCTGGGGTCAGAAGTGTGATGCGACAAATCCTTGAAATCGTGACCAGGCTGTGCTGAGCGGTAGTTGCCAAGCTTCAGCAGCCCCATTCCTTCATTGACGCCGAATACAGACTGATCCTCCTGATCTGCATCTCCGAAAGAATATCGAGCAGGCAAACCACCGTCTTCAAGCTGCCCATATTCGGGCGATGGTGTGCGGGGAAAGTCTTCTTGTATTCGATCAATTAGTGACATTCCCGGAGGTATACGGTCGCCTAAAACTCTGCTGTTGCCACGTGATCGCCTTGCAGGGGCAGACTCGGTGCTTGAGCGCAAAAAACTCTGCTTATCAGGGGAGGGAATGGGACTCACAATTGAAGTGAAGTCACTGTCCTCAAAATCGTCGTGCGGGTTCTTCCAAATATCCACCGAGTGGTGATCACGACGTTGAGACAGCACACACTTGTCATCTTCGAGTTGCTGCAGCACAGATAGGAACAATACCGTCAAAAAGAAGTAGCAGCACGCTGCGAAAACGACAAAACATACCATATTCAGTGGAAGTTCAGCCGACTCGGACTCCTGGTTGTCAATGGGTTGGTTATCCTGCAAAAACAGCCACATAATAATTCATATCAGAACCAATTTTCACACCATTCTAGAGGCCGAATGAAAGCAAGTACCTTGCTAGACTGCTTCGATGTCGTTCCCCACAATGTTGGCAACTCTCCAGCATTCAAAGATAGGGCATCATCCTGACTGTGGTCTTCCTCTTGATTGTCCACCGCCACTATCTCGCCTTCGTCTGAGTCGGTGGGCGGTGTGGTCTGAACACTGTGGACGGAGCAAGAGTCCGCCATAGACTGGACTCGTGGGGCACGCAGTGAGAAGCTGACTGGGTGCTCGCTCAGAGCTTGCACGGAGAAGAGCAGGGAGGAGCGCGATTTGAGTCCTTCTGACGACCAAAGAGAGTCGGACGGGTATCCAACGGGGTCTTGCAGCTTCACACGCACTGGTTCAACAGGGTTGTCGTGGTGGACGGGCTTCTCCAGCACCTCAATGGCCGACCCGCCAAGGTTTTCGACGCGCTCTGGCGGCGCAGTGGACGGCGATAAGGAGGAGCAAGGCCGTCCGTTGTTGCCGTTCTTAACAGGGCTCATGGAGTTGCTATGACCCATAGCACAGACAGGCGAGCAGATGCTAAATATCGAGTACTTTGGAAGCGCCACAAGCTCAGCGGTCATTCACTTGCGCAGGAGACGGCAAGATCGAGAATGATATCGCTGTGGACACGGGATGTGGGCAGGGGATTTTACGCGCGACGTCAAAACAGGTCCTTTCGCTTTAAGTGAAAGTGAAGGCAACCTGTCACAGGCAAAAGAAAAGCCTGTTTTTTTAGCGAAACGACGGAAACTCTCAGCGACGAGGATGCGGGTTAAGCGAGTGTCTATCTTTTTTATCGTCTGTGATTTGTATCCATGCAATTAATCCGCTATCAAAAGACTGAATTTTTAACGACCACACCACGGGTCTGAGATGGCGAGTATGTAACGTGACCGCGCAAAATCGCAGGGCTCGACCAAGTGGCTCCGCGAGCTGATAGCTGGCACCGAACGCGTGCTGCTGGCGGTAGAAGTGGTTTGCTTGCACCGGAAATTTCAGGCTGCGCGTCGATGCAGGCGCCATGCATGCGGTTCGAGAGCACTCGAGGCAATTAGATATTCGGGTTGCTTTTCATGGAAATATCCGAGCACGCACGTGTCAAGACACGGCAAAGTGCCGGTTATGATGTGGCTTGACTTGACTGGCGCGTGGTAACTGCCCGGCTGGGGTTTCCACCAACGACAGAGGTCGGAAGAAAGGGTAGAAGCGCGCTTGCGTTAAACTAACGGCAAAGTTGAATCAGAACGAAATCCTTGTGATCGTCAACACGCGTTTGTAGAAAGGACAGCGACCATCACTCTGTTAAGAGGCAAGTCTACCAGCTGCCCCATGCATTCAGCAACGCTACGCCTCGTCAACGACGCAGTTGAGCCGGAGGAATACTGCTGCCAGTCTTTCCGTGGAAGCAGTCCGGCTAGTTAAAGAAAATAAGGTGGCTTCATTGCCGCGGATGGAACGGCAAAGACTGCGGCAACTACCGCGTCGTCGACCGCCCCTTTCGCTTTATACCCGACAGAGCCGCCTTGTCGCTTTAGGCAGGTAGCTAAAGGAAACATTAGAGCTTGCTTTGATCTGTGAATATCTATAAGTTCAATAAAGACTAAAACGTGTATTGCTTCTCGTCGGCAGTGTTAAATGCGAATAGGTGTAAGATTTAAGGCGACACAGATCGATAAACAAGATTCATGCGCGCTCACCCACATGTTCTGCGTGCCCTGTCCCAGTCGCAGCTGCTGGCTGCTTACTAGCTCTCACAGATATATTGAATGTCCTCCGGTTAGCGGAGACGGCAGCGACCTGAACAGATCACAGCCACGAGAGCCAACGCCGGAGGTAGCTGGCACCTGAGTGCCGATCGCATCTTACGAGCTCAATGGCTTCAGTGCCATCAGTGCTACGGCAGCCACGCCTGCAGTCACCACCGACGCCGTGGCCAGTGCGCGCGTAGTCAAGTACCACGGTTCGGCTTCGTCGCCAGCTATTGCTGCCGGTGCCTGCTGCTTCTGTTGGACCTTAGTCTTGTGCGTGAAGATCGACATTTCCTTGCTCTGACCAGTGGCCGTCTTGCTAGTCACTGCCACTGTTTTGGCGGTGGATGCTGACGCATCGAGATTGTCAAAGATGCCACCCCAAGCCTTCTTCTCGTTGCGCTTCTGCTTGTCCACCAGCTTGATTACCTTGTCCAGCAACGTGCGGCATGACTTATCACGAGGATTCAGCTTCACTGCTAGCAGCAAATCCTGCTTGGCATCCGTATATTTCTCCAGTTTCACAGATGCTTGGGCGCGGCGGAAGCGCGCCTTAGATGGCCAGTCCTCAAACATGAGCTGCTCCGACATACCCAGCCGCCCCATCCACGTAACCACATTGCCCTCGCGGTTTTCAGATAACACTTTGAGGATACTCAAGGCGTTTGTGCACGCGATCTCAGCGTCCGTATACGCATTCAACTTCAACTTGCAGGCACCAATGTTAAGGTGGCAGCGAATCATTGTCTGGATGATCGTTGCCTTCTCCTTGTAAGTAGCATTGTCCTGTTCAACGCGCTGGAGAAAGCCCAACGAACACAGGTACTTATACACGGCATCTTCCAAACTACCTTTACGAAATTCCTCGTTACCTGCATCGGCAAGCTTGATGGCCTCGTGTATCAAGTCCTTCAACGTCATTTCCGTAATGTCTTTCTTCGGTATCTTCACGTCCTTGCGCTGCATGAACATGCGCGCGTACTCAGTCTTTACGATCAACACGTCGTCGTATGGACGAACCTCTTCCAGCGTACCGAGACCGTATGGGGTCTCCACCTTTGAGTGCATGCGAAGGTACGGCTCATCTGGTTCCTCCTTCACCATATTTTGCCGCAAGTAGGCAATAGTATGGGTTTTCGACGAAGTATCAGTGTCTAGTTGCACCACGTACATCTTGCTATCTGGTCGGAAAGAGACCACGACACCTAGTCCGAATGGAGTCACAATACGCGTCTTATCCACCAAAGGTGTCACGCTTACGGCAGCCGGATGGTGTAAATTAATGTCAAATTTGTTGCCAGGTAAGTATAGTGCAGATTTTGCTGTCTCTTTGCCAAATGCAGCAGGGTGTTGTACGGGCGAATTCACTTGTCGTGCAGTGATCTTATATATCTCAATATCCTTATCATTTTCATGTTTTTTCTTTCGGAGCATAGCCAACTCACGCTCGTGACGCTCACGCACCGAGTACTCAAAAGTGACGCACAGCAGCAGCTTACCAATAACGCCACCCGTATCAGCAGAACTCGGTGCCTTTAGATTAAACCATTTCTTGTGAGGCAATTGATCCTCGTAATCAGTACTACGCAGCTCCAGCTCCCCCAGCACCACATCAGCAATGACCTCGGCGCTAGCACATAGCGAGACCTTAATACCAAATTTCTTCGTCTTGGCTCCATCATACACAAGCTTTTCCTGCCATTTAGCACTATTATTGCACACTTCTTGTATCCTTTTCGTGCGCATAAACTTCTTCGTAGCCTTCTCGAATGCCGAAAGCGGCGTCACCTGTGTAGACACGTACAATTGCGGGTGCGCATTACCACTGACCGCCAGCACTGGTGTATTCTTTTCTACCACCAATTCCTTAGCTTCTAATACTTCAATTGTCACGCGTCCAGTAGCTTTGCCCGTCTGAGCGCCTACGTCCACACCGTTCTTGTTTGTTTTGCCAGTACTTGTAGCTGCGGCCACCTCTTCGGCGAGCTGCAACTCGTGCTCCAGCTGCACAGATATCAGTTCTAGCGGTGACAGTGTCACCTTCTCCCATACAAGCGAACTACCAAGTTCCATGGACGACGCTGGTGAGTCAATTAGTGATTGCACGTCACTCATGTCTTTCGTCGGATGTTCCGAGCGAATGGCCGAGGTGTGATGGAAATGGCATGACCCATTTGTGTGACCACGGACCCGGCCCGGTTCCGAACCGGTCCCGATTATATTCACCCTGCTTTTATAAATAGAGTACCGTAATTGCGTCTCATAACGCAATTCGCCAGGTACGATGCGGATTCAAGCCGAGGCCGCAGGGCCTCGTGCCAGCTCCGCGACATCTAAGGAATCAAGACAGAGTTTGCGCGAGATTCATGTCAATCGGATGAAGCTCTTTGATCGTGCACATGCAGTGCAGCGTCGTCTCCTCCACGAAGAGCGGGAGATACGTCGTGTAGGCAACCGCAGGCAATCATCGTGGCTGTTTCGTGATTCCAAGAGACCGCAAGAAGACGCCGTGGAGCTGCCGTCACCTTTTGCTAGCAATATAGTCGTGAGTGCCAAGTACAATGCCTGGAATTTCTTGCCGCGCGTACTGTTGGCGCAGTTGCAGCGTCCATCGAACGTGTATTTTCTGATAATCGCAGTGCTCCAGACTATTCGAGAAGTGAGCAATACAAACGGTATTCCAACGATACTATTACCATTATCGGTGGTGTTTATATGTAGTGCAATTAAAGAGGCGCTAGAAGACCGAGAACGTCATCGAGCTGACCATATTGCTAATAGTCGACCAGTTCTGACACTTACATCGTTGGGCAATTGGGAGCAAAGACAGTGGGGAGATTTATGTGTAGGCGATATTGTTAAGGTGATGAATGACCAAACTATTCCGGCGGACTTGTTCCTGCTGTCGGTCGAAGCAATGGAACACGACAACGAAAGCGGTGGAAGGCACGAGAAACAAACGCCAAAGCCTGCAAAACCAATGGAATGGCAATCTGTAGACAAATTGGAAGGTGGGAAGAGTTGTACCGGTAATGCTTTGAGACTTGTTGGATCTGTGGATGAAGAAAAAGATGCACGCGAATTGGCGCCGGCAATGGAGCAGCAAACAACGGAGACTGACCTGGCATACATTGAGACGAAGTCGTTGGACGGTGAAACAAATCTTAAGATTCGTACAGCCTTGCCGTTGGTGGCTGCGCTTTGTCGACAATCGAACTGTAAAAACCGGACCAATGATGGTGGTGGACACAATGAACTGCGTGGAACGATGATTTGCGAACAGCCAAATAATCGTATTACCAGCTTTGAAGGCACGTTTTCGGCCATACTCAGCTCAGATCAAGCAGAGGCATTAGGTGTAAAAGAAGGTGGCTCAAACAATGCAAGGCGTTTGTCTCAGCCAACATCCCCAGTACAGTATGCTGGCGATTCGAATATAGATGGTCTTGTGTGCGTGAGCATGCCAGTTACAGCGAAGCAGATGATGCTGCGAAGTTGTGTACTCCGAAATACAGGCTCGATTACAGGTATGGTAGTGTTTACTGGTCACGAGACAAAGGTGTTTTGCAGCAATACCGAGCCTGTTGTAAAAACCTCGTCCGTGGAAAGGCGACTTAACCAACTCATTATCGGTATTGTATTTATTCAGCAGCTCGTTTGTTTTCTGGGTGCACTGCTTGGCGCTCACTGGATTCACACGGCAGGAGATTCATTCTGGTATCTGCTCAGCACAAGTGAGCGTCCACATCCTAATCTGACTGCCGCTCCTCTTGCTGATCCTCTGGTTGAGCTGGCAAAGTTGCACCTACGATATTTCATCATTATGCAAAACTTTGTTCCTATATCGCTGAATGTTTCGCTGGAATTCGTCAAATATTGGCAGGCTTACTTTATTGAGCAGGACCTAGAGATGTACGATGAATTATCGGATACACCTGCCGTGGTTCGATCGTCAGCCCTCAATGAAGACCTTGGCCGCGTACGTCATGTTTTCACAGATAAGACTGGGACCCTGACAATGAACCTCATGCTTTTTCGTTACTGTATGGTGGGAGGGAAGCACTACGGCGGTCGTCTGGAAGACAAAGAAGCGGAGGTGAATGTTTCTAGCAATACTTCGTCTCCAATGGGTGGCGGTGCCTCGAAAGATAGTCAAAGGTATGTTGACTTCGATCCTACGGAGCTCTTTGCCGACATGCAGGCGGGAGGAGAGCAGGCAGAAACTCTCCGCCGCTTCTTACGACATCTCGCATTGTGTCATACGCTGATTCCCACTAAGTCTCTTGCAGAAACGTGCAGCACGTCTTTCCCGGAATATTCGGCATCGTCACCAGACGAGCAGGCGTTGGTATCTGCTGCAGCGGTTTGCAACGTACGCTTTGTTCATCGAACGCCAAATACTATGATGCTCTTGGAGCCGGGGCAAGCAGCACCTAGTACGTACAAGCTACTGAACGTACTTGAGTTCGATAGCGACCGAAAGCGCATGACAATGATTGTAGAGACTCCAACTGGATCGATTGAGCTCCTTTGCAAAGGCGCTGATAATGTCATTTTTGAGCGACTTGCTGCTGATCAGGCGACATTTTATGGTGGCATGTCTTACAAGCAAGCTGCGAGTCAACTGACTCTGTATGCAAAAGCGGGAATGCGAACACTCTGTTTAGCGTATAAAACTATTGACCGCGAAGAGTACGATGATTGGAACGCTCGTTTTACGCATGCTCATACTTCCATGGAGGAGTTAGTGAAACGGCGTCAAGGTCGTGCGAACGCAATTGATCCACTCATGAATGAAATTGAGTGCGATCTAATTCTATTGGGAATCACAGCTGTACAAGACAAACTACAGGCTGGTGTGCCTGCGACGTTATGTCTACTGCAAGAGGCGAATATTAAAGTTTGGACGCTAACTGGCGACAAAATGGAGACTGCTGTAAATATTGGGTACGCCAGTGCGCTTCTTTCTCACGACATGGACGTACAACAAATCGGCGGGGACGACTACGTATCGACAGCTGCAGCGCTAAAAGAATTACTTCAATATCGTGGACCAGGAGCTTCATCGCATCATCTATCACCATTCTTGGCTTCGCTTTCTAATGCTTCTCCAAGGGCAACAGATATTCGGCATCACACTCGAGGTGGTAGACGACGAAATCAAAATCAATCGAACAGCTTTTTTGGTAATGCAAAGACAGCAATCTTTGCATTTCTTCTCAACACGAAAACGAAAAGAAAGAGAACGCGAAAGCCAAGGCGTCACCGAGCGAACCGAGTGCCAAGGACTTCGTCACCATTTGGCGATGATTCTATGTATGCATCAGTTGCGACGGATGCTGAACATGCTGACAAGTTCATGTTTGATGATGAGTCACTACACGATGTTGGGATTGGGGGTGACAGCAGAGCGACTCACACACCCGAGTACGGTTCGCTCGCCGCAAGCTTGCCTGGTTGTAATGACCGCCATCGGAGTGAACCAACCCCACAGAAGTTAGCGCTTGTAATTGACGGACAGGCTCTCGATTATGCTATTTGCCCTCAATTGCGTAGCCTGTTCTACCAAGTTACCCATCGATGTGCGTCAGCCGTGATTTGCTGCCGCGTGTCTCCCAAGCAGAAGGCTGATATCGTTGAGCTTGTTCGCGAATTTGAGCCGGAGAGCGTGACACTTGCAATCGGAGATGGAGCAAATGACGTAGCAATGATTCAGGCAGCCCATATTGGTGTGGGCATTTCTGGTCAAGAAGGAGCACAGGCTACGAACGCCTCGGACTATGCTCTAGCGCAGTTTCGCTTCCTACGTCGGCTTCTGTTTGTGCATGGTCGATGGGCCTACCGTCGAGTGGCCAAACTCATGAGCTATATGCTTTACAAGAACGTGACCTATGTGCTCACTACCTTCTGGTTTGGATGCTTCTGTGGGTTTTCAGGTCAGCCACTCATTCTGGATGTAGCCGCACAAAGTTTCAACGTGCTTTACACAAGCGTGCCATTGGTACTCTTTGCTGTCTTCGACCAAGACGTTTCTTCCTCGAGTGCGTTTAAGTTTCCGAACCTGTATGCACTCGGCCAGAAGAATGTTTTGCTGGCACGTCGCGTGTTTTGGCCTTGGATATTCAACGGTATTTGGCACTCAATTGTAATCTTCTTCGTTTCTACTTGGGGCTTTGAGGGCTTCAGTTTAAGCATCCACGATTTTCCGGTCATTGCTACGGAGACAGGAAAAAGTGGTGGCCTTGTCACATTGGGATTTGTGGTGTTCACGAATCTTGTAATTGTCGTAAACCTAAAGCTGTGCCTTGAGACGTTCCTGCTAACATGGCAGTTCCTGCTTACAGTTACTGTATCTATACTGTTGTGGTTTGCTGTTGGGTCCTTGATCTCGCTGCCAAATACTGGGTTCCCACAAGCCACTGGCGAAATGGAGTACCTTCAAAAGTTGCCGACTTTCTGGCTTGTATGCCTCCTTGTGCTATCACTAAGCCTTTTGCGTGACGGTCTGTGGAAACTCGTACGCCGGCTTTTGCTGCCTTCTATGTATCACATTTTGCAGGAACGCGATTTAATGGGTTTGCCAAATTCGCCTCGGGGCATACTGCGCGAGCACCGTCGATCTGCGTCCAATTTGGCCTGGTCTGATATGCCAACAACTACAGATGTACACTACAATCGACCTTTCGACAATAGTTCACGGTCGGAAACTCCAGAAGAAAGTCTGATGCGGTCTTCTCCTCTTGGTGAGAGATTAATCACATCCCCCTTTCCTGGAACATTCAGTACAGGGGGTTCTGATCGTGCAGCAGATATTTCAGTCCGAGAGAAGAAGCGCAATATTCGCATCCGCGGGCCTTGTCATGCCACAGGTAGCAATGATAGCTTCAGCACAGGAGCAGAACCATCCTTTTTGAAATCTCCCGGATCTGTTGCTGCCACAACCACAGGACGCATAACAGCCGCAGCTTCAGGAGGCTCGTATCATGGTTACGCATTTTCAGAGGACGAGAATGTTGATAGTGACGTCGAGGCAGCATCCTCTGGGCTTGACGAAACTAGGACATTCGGAGCGCAAGCATCGATTAAGAAAGTTCTTAAATCAGTTCGTGGTACAAAGTATGCATAATAGATGTACAATAATGTCCTGCTGTAACCATGACAACAATACTGTTGATGATCTTGTCAATGTGCATTGAGTTGTCATGGCTGCATTGAGCACATAAACGTCGTAGACGTTCCATGTGATCACCGAGGAAGGATCACAGATTTACTGTGATTATATAAACCACTAGCGATATGGCTACGAGGTGACCATCGACATGAACCAACATACAGGCGAGAATGGTAGAGCTGGAGCTGCCACAATCTCAAGTAGAAGCTTTGTTTTATCGTTCTTGATAGAAGAAAGCACTTGAACGCACAGGGAATAGAATGAGCGCAATCAGCTGACACCATCGCATTCGTTTTTTATCTAATCTCAAGAACTGTCACAGTCGTTGCTTTTCGATCTTTAAGGCTACAGGCGAGGCTAAGATGGCACTGACAATGCCATCATACCATACAACATCTTCGTCACGTAAGTACAACCGCTACCCTTTGGCCTACCATGTTGTTGTAGACTGTTTGCTCCTGCCACATGGTGAACAAACAGTCATGAAAGTGTGCGTTGCATTATGTTAGCCCTATAAGAAAATGGACACCATTCAGAGAGCGTCGATTTTCACATAATGAATGGAACACCCATATTCCTTACACTGCGTACTACATGCAACAATAATGTGACTCTTGTCCCGCTGTAAGCTATCAATTGCATCGTCAAACGCTCGTTATTTTCATCTCGGTACAGACGCTGACTGTACGTCAAAGTCTCTACATTAAGCCCTGTCAAACTGAAGGCTTTAATGGTTGAGACGGTATCGTTGTCCGACTTGACCAAGTATTCATCCAAATCGTTTTGCCGGGTACTGTACAAATGGAAACAGCACAAACGAAACAGAAGTAGCGGCTTCAAATTCGGTGCTACACTTCATACGTCTGACCGACCATCACGTCGTCCTGGCAATATTCAGACGGACTAGCATAAACATTGTTGGTCGCACGTTACAGAAAGTGCTTTGTGTATACACGACACGATATCGCCTTTCTTGCTGACGAAGCATTCTACCTTTTCGTAGCTTTTCTTTGACGCGTCGACCATGACGCGTCACGCGCAAAACACTGAAGTCCGTACGTTTCGGTTAACGACTCGACACATTTTTTGGCTCATGAGAGATACCATTGTCCTGGATGGGCACATGTGGGGTGGACCGGACGAAGAGATACAAACGTCTCATGACGTCAGATACATTAAGTCAAATGTATATAGAAATCCGGAACACAATGCCGCTTCCATTTGAACAGCAGTCTCCTAAACACCGTTTCTGACAAAGTGTTAACGATCAGACTCGAAGTTGAAATAGTCAGTTATACCTATCTGTTGCTGGGTGGACCAAACGAATGTATTTTTTTGCATAATGGATCATATAGCCAGGCACTTTCATAATTTGGTCATGGGATCAACTGCACTAATCTATCATATACTGTCGCTATCTAGACGAGTTCGTGCATGTAGCAGATGATCAGACTGCCCGCATTTTCATTTGAGTCGGAAAGACTCGTATGCTGCATCTCGTGCAGGTCAACACATATTGCAATTAATGCCTAGCACGTACGTTTCCTCGAGCCTGCAAGTACTACTACTACTACTACTACTACTTGTTCATTCTAACATTTTTACCGGTATATGAACCAAAGGTCAACTACGAACATTACAATTTGCATCCCGCCGCCGGCAAGTATTCTCGGACATTACGGTTAACCAATCGGACCGGTTAGGGCTGACGAATATAATAAATTGTGATTCGTCAAAATGCATGCATATAAGATATGTAATTGGCTGAAATAAAAGCAGTGCTATTGATAGCATCTTTGGTTGGACAAAATGTACCCCTAGTCCATATATACTAGTGTTAGAGAGTAGACGTTTTTTCGGCGCAAAGCCGGGAGCATGTGCGGTCGTTTGCTCTCATTAGAGAATTTGCACTGTAAACGACAAAGCAGATAGAATCGACTCAGGTATAGTTGATTTAAACATATTGTAGTTGCAGTTTTGTGACAAGAATGACTGCCATCTTGCAATCTCATTTGCTTCTTACTTACAATTAATGTTAATATATAATTGTATGTTATGTGTGTGTTGTGTTGTGTTGTGCCTCTGTAGTCGTGGATTTATTGAGAATTAAGCATATTACTCAAGAGACAGATAGTTCTTCACCCACCAACGTTACAAAACAAGTTGCTGAGCAAAGTGTTACATTCTTATAAAAGAAGTTGTGCACAAGCTCCTTTCTTCTGTTTCCCCTACCTCTCATCACACAAAAAAACACTACAAGAAGAGGCGTGTTTGTGCCTGTCTGTACTCTTTCTGTGTGTGCTACTTGCTGCTTTGCTGTGCTTGCGCATTGCCATTTGCTGGGTAGGAAACATTTGCTTGCCTTGTTCTTGGTCTTCAATTGGCTGCCACACGCATATACACACGGGTTTTGCATACATAGCATTAACTTGCTCAGTAGAAGTCCTGACACAAAAGACTGAAAGACGACACTGTGGCAACGACAGTCGAGACCCAGGCAAGCGATTTAAAGCAAGTAACAGGAGTGGGTTGATTACTGCTTTATACAGATAAAACAAGTTAGCTGACGAAAGTAAACAAATGACAGTGGAGAGCATGCGTGCCAAACGTCGAACTACCTATCAAAACATGCACGAAATCGTCAAGCTGGCCAAGAAATACTCACCTAAGCTAGTAAAGGGCTACAGCGCAGGAAACATATCTGTGGTGGATAAGAAAAGTTGGCTGGAAGTTTGTGATCGTAAGCACCGGTAAGTCTGTTGAGACTTTGACTGCTTGATTGTTTGCATGGAGTAACGTTTGTGTTGATGAAATAGGTACGGAGCAAATTTGCGAGCATACTATAAGGAATGGAAGCGCCAGCCAATGGAACCTACAAAACCAAGTTTTTGGGAGTGGCTTGACGATGAATCGATTGAAGTTGCAGGTGTACCGAGAACGAAGCTAGAACGAGAGACTGTGCTCTATTGTGACACAGCTGCAGAGCGTCAGAAGTTTGCGCTTTCAGTGCAAGACGGCGTAGTTGTGCATGATGCTACACAAGAAATTGTAGAAACAGGACCGGATGGATGGATCTTTGTGCTGCAAGATGGTGTTCTTTATGGCTCTCAGAAGGAGACAAAGAAAATTCCTCGAATCCATCATACAAGCTTTGTCGGTGGAGAATGTGTACAAACAGCAGGGATGATGATAATTACTAACGGGATTATTAAATCTATATATCCTCATAGTGGTCATTATAGGCCATCAGAGTATGAGTTGCTGGTACTGCTGCGTTTTCTCGTGAAAAGTGGTGTAGATATGAGCGATGTAGACGTCGACGTGCAGCGAATCCAGAAGGTGTTTCGTAACTCGGTGAATGGTGCTCTTATAAAGAAGTTGGACAATGCACATTTCTGGAATGCATACCGAGTATGGTATTTCTTGGAAGAGAAACATCTTGCGTGGAAAATCGGCCTGTTTGACGAACTTGTAGAGAAGGTCGGTGAAAAGACACAGGTCCATGTAGCGCTTGAGCGATCCGAGATTTTGGAGGATAGCATGATGGACGTGATAAATGAAGAAGCCTCTACGATTTCATTCAACGATAGCGAATCACATGCGCTATCGCTCTTGCAACCCTGCGAGATTTGAAGACGTAGTCAAGCAGCTGGCTACGTGCGAGCTGTAGCCGTGATACGCTTGGATGCAGCGACCCCAAAGCTTTGCCTTCACACGCTATGGCGTCACCACCGTCACCAGTGTTTGGTGGAAGTGGACACAACTTACATCAATCAAGTATAATGTAATTTAGAATGACGAGAGACTCGGACGGGAGCTTTCTGGTGTATTGGTAGTTAGTAGTTTTGGCAGCAAGATTAGGGAAGAAGAAGCAGAAGTTATTATTGAAACGCAGCTTGCGGCTTTTAGCATCCTAGTGCGATTGCCGTGGGTGCGTGCAATTTTTATTAATGAAAATTGAGTAGTGTTTGTTTGTTTGTTTGTTGCTTGACGTTCTTGTGATGATGGGTGCATGTAGCTGAGCTGTCTTACACAACCACGTAGTGCCAATGTGCTTGCAATCGAAAAATGGTCATTCTTTGACGGTGGAATGAATAGAAATGAAGTGAAGCAATAAGGAAGAGAAGCAAGTAGCAGTAGTACAAGCAATTGAATGTTGTTAGGCTCCAAGAGTGGTGTGGTCCAGTCGGAGCTTTTGTTTATGGTGTCGTCAATCCAGCAGTTGGTATGGACATTATTGGCATCTGTAGACTAATGGAAAACAAACATACGCTGCTTAGTGTCTCTCACCTTCACACCTCATCGTTGTGCCACGATAATCATCATATTATTTACGTTGCTTACTACGGAAGGCAAACAGCAAACCTCAAACATTATAGTGCATGTAATGTGCATTCTATGCCATAGCTTTCAGCTAGTTATTGTGTGACAAAGTGTTGGCGGAGGTAGATGGTCTTTCTACTTTAATCGTGTGTGTACGCATTTGTAATTAATTCATGCACTGCTTGAACTAGAAGCAATGCGTGTAGATGATACTAAACACGTGTTGCTAACGTAGATAGTTTCCATGTGCGTTTGTAGCTCGGTTTCATGGCATTCTTTCTACAAACACGTATGCTTTCAAACAAATCACATGGGTAAATGATTTCCTACTCACACGAAGCAAGTGAGTTCAGTCATCGTACCGCTGCTTTGACACAAGCATTTTTTGCTTGAATAAGTATTCGCAACGTCCGGAAGAACTGGATGCTGCAAGGTCATGATGAGTTGGCTGGATATATCCACGTAACGTGAGCGAGGCATTACTAAGCAAGTCACTAACAGCGCTTCTATAGCATTTGTCCACTGCAAAGGGATCAATTTTGCAGTCAAGAGGCTTGCTTGAAATTGACTCAAGGAGCTAACAGAATGTTCACTGGAATGACATTATCAGCCTTCTTCTTGACCTGGTGTGAGACATCGTCACCGCTTATCACTCCATCCGATAGAGCGTGTGCAGATGATAACAAAAACAAATCCATCAACAACGTTTTGTTTACGTTTGACAAGTACCCAAGAGAGTGCAGCCACCTTGTTGCAATTCTGCATTATTACCTAGTGCAGCACGTGTGATACCTGCAAGACGTATATTATGTCTTTTCTTCTCTCTACGATAACAATGCTCGAGTGGTAGCCGTAAATCAAATGTCACCAAAAGTAACAACGACCATCCAACACTTAATCGACCGTAGCCATCGCAACATCCTGCTCCGTGAATTTTCCCTTCTCCGTCTCGCTCACAGCACGGTTCTTGCGCTCCAAGATCTTTTTACGGTCCTTGTCAAGCTTAAGCTTTGTAATGATCACCTTCGAGGCGTCAATACCAATGGGCACCGAGGCACCATTAGCCTTTTCGCGCACCACACGCTCGACGTGAATGACAAACTTTTTGCGGTAGACGGCAGTCACACGACCCTCACGAGACTTTTGCGACCCACGTACAATCATGACTTCATCTTCCTTACGGATCGGTAGACTACGAACCTAAAATCACAGCAATTCTTGTAAGCTACAACTACTACATTATTGGCTTTATAGGAGCCTGTGTATGTATGTACGTATGTATGGTTATTTGTCCTTTCATCGACACTTACGGGTCCCCGCGATGCCATGAAGTGCCAGTCTGCTCTGATTAAAAAAGAGAGACAGAATCTGACATGGACTTACAACGCGAATAGTACCAAATGTACTACTCACTTACATTATACTTGTTCTGCAATTCCTTGGACAAAGGTGCACTCATTAGCACACGACGTTGAGTCGAGTGAGCACCAAAGTGAGCCTTACGGCTTTTACGGCGGGATGAGGATACAGTCGAGTTGAATTTCACTGTTAATTCATCATAAGATTAAGTAGTCATACCATACGTTAGTCAGTATCGTAACCATTGAATGCATCATGTCTTGAAGACACTTGTTCGTTGCAAGAACAGCGTGTACATACTGTTGTTGTTGCGTAAGAAAAAAAGAGATACTGAACCTCTTGGTGGTGGCCATACAAGAAGAGAGAGCTCCTGGAAGCCAACCAACAAACATGACGGTTCATGAACACGGTTAAGGGATAGGGGAAAATGACTAAACCGGCTTAGATGAACAGTCCGTACTTGACGAAAAGAATGGAAACGAGAAGAGTAATCTAATTGATTAGTTTTTCATGGCACGACAATTGTTGAATGGTTTGATTGAGCGTATTGATTATTCATCGCACTGAGAGACGCGTCTTACGAGGAGTATGGATAATATTTCTTGCTGATTGTTTCGTATTGCGCAATCTAGTAGATACGATCAACTTTTGCTCGAGAGCGTGCTGTGGAAGAACACAACACGTGATGATATTAGAACAACGAGGACGTAGTAGTAATGTGAACAGGGACAACATGATCTTACCTCAAGAATGAGCGTGGTGGGTCCGTTATCAGTCTGCTTGGTAGATTGCTTCAGAATATCCGCTGCACTCGGTCTTTCTGTTGCATCAGGATGCATCATCTTCATATTTGCATCTTCAATTAGCAACCATAACTGTTAAGGTAGTAAAAAACACATACGTGACATTGCCGTACCTGTCGAATCATCGTGTCAAGTTTCTCAGTGTAGCTTGAAGATAAGGGAGGCAACTTGCCCTCTCGCAACTCATGCCACTGCTGGCCACCTTCGGGTAAAGTCATTCCAGTAGCGATTTCTAGTATCATAATGCCTGCAACACCCCACAAGCAAGTCATTCGTGTAAGGAACACTACCTCCATTGCAAGGCCTGCTATATGTCACTGTACCTAAGCAGAATATGTCCGCTGATGGCAGTCGGGCAGCACTTGAAAGCAGCTCCTTTGCAATATAGTTCGCATCCCCTTCAAGGTCTCCTATTTGACTCAACGATTTCGTCGATGTCACTATTTTTCCCGCCATTCCAAAATCACCAATCTTCAGTTTCCCATCTTCGGTAATAAAGATGTTGTCAGGTTTGATGTCGAGATGAACAATGTCGTGTTCATGAAGGACTTTCAACCCTGTTGCAACATCTCTGATAATCGCCCACAAGCACTGTTCTGGAACTGTGTCTTGATTTCGCTTTGTCATAAAATCCTGCAGCGTACCACCTTCGCACAATTCCATCTGCAAAAAGAAGAAACCTTCATTCAACAAGCAAACCAGTAATCAGCAGCTTTCACAAGTTCGCATAAGCAACAAGAGAGCATACCATCTTCTTGCCAAGCTTGAAAATACCGCACAATGTGATCAAAGTTATGCCGCGACGCGACTAACTTTTCTAACACATTGATTTCTTGTGTTAGAAGGTGTCTGTTGTTGGCAAGGAAGAGTCAGCATCACAGGCGAATAAAAACAAAAGCAAAAAGGAGCCGCAAACGACATTTGCCATACCGTTCTTGTTTGTTTCGTAGCTCTTGTTTCGACTTTTTAATGGCAAAAAGTTCGCCACTTTTGGGGTCTCGAACCTGTATATAACGACACAAGCACAGTAAATTCATTGCCATCATTGCAACCTAATTGTCAATGATGGATTAGTACCTTAAACACTTCCGCCGAAACGCCTGCACCAAGCCATCGAATAGTTTGCACGTCCTCAAACGACGTGACAACGTGGTTCTGTACAACCAATTATTTGCAGTCCACGTTACAATCAACTACCCTCTCATTCTGCACAAACCAGTTACAACTTACCGAACAATCTGCAACCTTCAGTCGTTTCAGGACTTTTCTCAATGACGGACGTATTCGAATTGCTACTGGACTCATCATAGACAACTTTGATCCAAGGTTACAGCTTAGCAACGTTGCAGGACTCGGACATGGCTGTGAGATCGTCTCTTTACTACTACACTCCATCATTACATCACAATCAATCAATCAGCATCTTCTTGATCATAGAAGCACATCATCAGCATTACTTTTTTTTTCCTTTCAGTCAAACAACAACAAAGACCAACAAACCTCTTAGCAATTTGATATCTTGAATGTAATGTCAGTGGATTCTGTTCTAAGGTAGATCGTCTCTGTGTCATTATAATAGTAGACACATGCAATGGACATTATTCACAAAACGACAACATCATTTTTTTGTCTCTCCAGATCCTTCTTTATATTTCAAAATATGACGTGATCAACGTACGTAAACATTCTCTTTAGTCAATATCACATTCACACTTGATCTCTTGGATCTCTTCTTGGAATGAATCTCCTTCTTCTTCTTCTTCTCTTTCTCTTCTTGATCATATTCGTCATCATCTTCACTACTTGTATAATGTAATGTTTTAGTCATCATACATGATGATGATGATGATGAAACATCATTCATTGCGTCAAGTAAACATCGAGCTCGCACTGGCGACGTCATCTTGGTTTGGCCTGCTTTCGGTTTTGATAGCCATGACAATTTTGACTACCAAAAAAAAATCGTTATGTTTTCGATTATCAACCAATCAAACCGCACAAACAAATTAACTTCTCAAAAGGTTAGTTATAGTCGAAACATTGTACTAATTAGTAGTCTTGAAGCACTTAAAACCGTGAGACGCATTATCAACGAAAGAACAAACAACCCGTCCCCGATGCTTGCAAGGATTTCACATTGGCTCGCTATGCGACATGAAGATCAACATAAAATAACAGATTTCTATGGAAAACAACGTTATCATGTTCTTGTACGCAATACCAAATCCAACAAATAATTACTCTATCAAACGTTTTAATCTCAATCTCTCTCTATCTCTCTCTATAGTTACGACTGAAGCATGCGACATTAATGGTTTTACATAAAGAACAGAAGAAGAATGTAGTGGAATTATTAAATACGACCAAGGAGCAACAATCCAATACTTTCATTGGATTAAATCATGAATTGTCGCTACCAAGAGAAAAGCGTCATCCAGTAACAGAATGTGATCCATGTGTTATTGAGCTTTGTACGTTATCGATTACGAGACTATTGAGTGTGTGATTGCTCATCCTAATCAGTAGTTTATAATGTTTACTAATACTTTTGTATATGAATGTATTGTAATGACTAGGTATGGCGATAGAAGAGTGTCTAGTGCTTGGATTAAAGCCACGATATAATACGGATCATAGAGAGAAAGGAGAAGGAAGAAGAAGAAGCGTCCTGGTGGCATGTCCTATATGCTAGTACACTTATTATTGATGAACCGACGTTGGTACAGAGTGTTCTATCTGCAGCATTTTTAGCCGAGGTGTTTGATTGATTGATTTTCGCTTTGGTAGAGATCCTTGAGTGGAAATTGGATTCATAAAACTCATGTACATGTTGTTTTCTTGTGCTATTTATTGTGATAGACGGATGTAGGAAAAGCTCGTTGCTGGCTGAAGATTGCACTAAATAATCATACAATTGAGTCTAGTATTATGGTACTTGCAAGACTACCTTGTCCTGGTCTTGTATGATCATCTATTTAGTGCTGATATTTTACCATTTAACGGCCTTGTTGTACGTGTTTTCTTTCTCATTAGATGGTCTTTTCAATGGCTTGTGAACACTTGATTCACGACAGCTACGAAGAAAGGTCGCTTGTTCGGTGCTCTGAAGGCTTGGGGTTGTTTCTTGAGCTTATCATTGCACTCCGGGAAGTGCACTTTGCTATAAAAGTCAGTGGAGAGCCGTTTCAAGTGTCGAAGCCAGCGGCATTAGCGCGTTTAGAGCCTATCTATGAAGGCGATAGTGGCGAATTGGTTTCTGCTATTACAGATGAAGACATTGCTGCGGCGGTGGGGGGTAACACCGTCCAGGGCTGGATCATTATTGCCACTCGTCGATACTACTGAACCAATAGAACTCAAAATCAAAGATGCTAACGACCAGAGGATTCAAGATACTGTGACTGTAGAGGAAGACGTCATTCAGTTTTCATCGGCCTTGTTCCCCCACCGCCGTAAGAGTATTAAACCTTGGCAGTACGTGTTCGGCATCAGTCTGGCATCACTTACGAAAAATCCATATCACAGCCGCTACGCTTTGATTGACCCACTGCTTGCGCTTCCAAACGTTTTAAACGATTGTGTTGCGATATTAAGGCAAAACCCGGACACTCCACGATTGTTTCGTACGACGGTTTTGAACATACGTGTGAACCAACTTCGCGAGATTGTGGAGACCAAAGGGGCAGTACCGGAAGATCTAGACCCGCAATGTGCCGGAGCATTACTCCTAGATTTTCTGAAGAACCTGCCAGATTCGTTGTTGACTGACGACAAATACGATGCATTCGTGGCAGCAGGGCAATTGCGTGATGAAGATGCCAGCGTGCGCAATGTCACATGCTTAGTGAACGACCTGCCTGTGCCCTGTCAGATTGTACTGAAACATGTGATCAGCTTGATGCACTTCCTGCAACAGCCCGAACATAGTGGAAAAAATGGCGTGGACATATTTACAGCTTCTACTATTCTTGCCCCCGCGATAGCCTTCAAGAGTAACTTAGGAAGCGGCTCGTCATCCGAACGCCCGCGCGGTCAACCGCATTCGCCGCATCAAGATTTACGATATGCTGCAGTAGGCGCTCAAGTAGTCGAGCGAATGATTCGACACTACGCGACAATTTTCCACTCTGTCCGATTGTTGATTATCGACGCACTCGAGCACTTGGAGGCTAAAAAGGAAGCACTGGGAATGGTGTCGCATCGATTGAAGCTCCAGCCGCAGATGGATATCTTGTCGGACAGGCAGCAAGTAAACGAGATTTCACGATTGTTTCGTGACTATCTAGAACATTGTGATGGTCCCATATTCTCTGCGTCTGTCAGCTCAACAACTGAGCAAGCGGTGGAGTGCTTGAAGATCGAAGTTGTGGCAGATCTGGAGAATACATGTCAGCGAAACACTACTGTCAAGTTAGGGCAAGATTTACAGAAGTCAACCGTTGCGGCGCCAGCTGCCAGTTCGACCAGTGGAGCATCTTTATCAACCATGGAAGCAATTGGAGATGATCTTGTAAGCGTCTGGGAGCAATTTGGCTTCAACGGACCAACTATTGTAGAAAACTTTGAAAAGGGTGGCGTGCTGATGCTGCAAGCCTTATTGTACTGGCTGAAAAATGACCCAGACGCACTATCCTTACTCAAAATGCGTGCACTACCTTCCAAGCTGCCGTCTTATGACGCAGGATTGGTAGCATCATCTATTTGTGAGTCGTTGGTAAAGTTGTTGAAACTATCGTACGTAGCCCAAGTGGTTGTCCTGTATATGCCAACAGATACGGTGCTGATGTTTTTCATCCTGTGTTTGCGCTTGCAGCTTAACTCCGAAGTGCCCGGAGGTTGACATGGTGGCAATGTCGTTAGAACCCTTTTGGAAGTTGTTTGACGAAGACATGTTTTTCAACAAATTGTTCATGTTGATGTTTCTAGTATTTGACCGACTTTGGAGTGAACTTGATCCAAATACGGCATCTTTCGCTCATGTAATTACGGAGACCGAGGAACATATTAATGAACTGCTGAAAGAGGCGCCAACTACCGCGGCAACCGTGAAGGACCTGCAAGTGGAGTGGAAAGCAATTCAGACACGACGTTGTAAAGAAGCTAAGGAAGAGGAGGAGCAAAGAGTGCCAGTCGAAGATGAAGCGCCCCAGATTGCTGCGACCTCAGACTCATCTATTCCGTCTCCTTCTTTCCGCCGCTCGAAGAACAAGTCGTCTTTTGATCTTAAATTGGATGATTCTAACTTCAAGCTCTTGGATACGTCACGCATCTTGACACGAGAGCATGTTGCTCATATTGGCAACGCATTGCCGATTACAAGTCAATTGTGCCGGTGGTATTGCATTTATAGCGTGGCGTCAAACGGATCTGCATTAGAGACATTTCTCTTACTTGCAAAGAGACAACGTCCAACGTTGTTGGTGATTAAAGATGCCGAGGGAAATGTTTTTGGTGGATTTGCATCGGATGAGTGGCATCATGCATTTCACTACTATGGCACTGGTGAGTCGTTCTTGTTTTCATTTGCAAGCTCAAGCGCTGTGGGCGAGTTCATGAAGTATCCATGGAGTCGCAAGAATAGCTACTTTATGCTCTGCTCCGACGAATCATTGATCATGGGTGGTGGCGGTAACTTTGGCTTGTTCCTGGTGAGTAAAAGTGTCGGTTGATGTACTTGGTGCTACTGTAATTGAGCACTTACGGCTAACACGTCATGATATTCTGTTCATCAGGATAGCGACTTATCTTCCGGAACAAGTGGAGCGTGCGAAACGTTCGACTCGCCTCCACTAACGCCGTCGCAACAGTTTTCTTGTGTCCAATTGGAGCTGTGGGGCTTCACAACAGGTGACAAGCCCCTTCATCTTGGTGAACGACAGAGAAAAAGTGTGTTGGGTTAGTTCGTGTAATGTGATCTTTACAGATCAAACAATGATAACGACACATCTTATTTACTGGAAACATTTCGTAGCACATAATACCGAGACCGAACAAGACGATATACTATCAGGGTCCTCTCTTGTCCTTCAAATTAGTTTGTCCTTGATTCCAAGTGTTGCCAAGACAAGTATCGTGACAAACTCTTCACGACATCGTGCCAGCTTCACCACTGGGCATCAATTGACTGTCGAGTTCAATTTCAAATCTCCTGAATGGCGCTTCAACAGCTTCACGCTACATAGGTATCACAAACACACACCAGATGTCTCAACCACCATCAACCACAACGACACTAGTATTGGTCCACCCTGTTTCACAATGACATGAATCAAACCAACCTCTTGAGATGTAGGTGTTGCACTGGCTAGTAATTGCGGCTGCAATTGTTGCAATTCATGCTGAAACAAGTCACCAAACCGTTGTAAAATCCGATGTAAAAATGCCTTTAATGCACTCGATGCTGCCTCACAAGTCCGATCGTGGAATAATACAGCCTGAATGGTCTCATTTTGGAGTGAGATCATCACAAGACTGCCAGTTGATGCCACCTATACATGGCAACGCATTAAAATCAATTGCAGTGATCATGAATAGTCATAGAGATATTACAATACATACGTACAGGAATAGTACCAGATCGATCCGTCTTGTCACTTCGACTCGGATCAAAATGCACCTGGACGACTTCTACCGGTATGATTGTAGCGTAGGTATACAATTAGAGAGCAGCATACAGTTAGAGAGCACCTATAAAATAATCGTATAGGTGATGGAATGTAACATAATCAGAAACCTCCGCCATCAATCTCGCGTGCGAATTGCGTAAAAGACATGACAAGTGCATCAACACCTTCTGCATGTGCCTCAGCATTCCATTTCCATTGATGTGTGAATAAACATACACCTGATTGCTGATGCATGACTTTGACCATACGTAATTTCCCCACCAGTGCGTTCATTGTAGTTTGTCCTTGTCTTTGGTGGAATGTGTAGTATAAAATCTAGGTTGAAACCTATAAACCTATGAACTTTTTTCCAAAACCTGTTTATACATGTATTTCTATTTTATAGCAAAACGCTGACTCTAATTTACAGTACAACGAAAACATTCCTCTAACCTTAATTCGAACAACAAAAATCCACACATGAGTGGCATGAAAGCTGTCTACAAATTCCACGGCAATGTGGTGCACTCGTTCGCAAGCTTTCCAAGCGCCACAGAGGCATCCAATGAGTACGCATTGGGTTCAAAAGAAGACAAGGTTAATCATTCGTATACGGGCAGGATGGATGGTGGTATATCCATGCCAGCACTCAAGTCAACCGGTCCTTACGCCGCTCTTGTTACTTCTCTTAAGGTTCCTATTTTAGAAAAACAATTATTGTATTATTCTATGGACAATAGAATACATAATAGTATGAAACATATCTAACGATATTGATTAAATTATTGCAATGATTGTATTTTGTATTGCAGCTGGCAAAAGAAGATAGTGAAATATTTCTCAAAGACCGTGTAGAAGGCCCCGTACCAGTAAAACTTTACAATCAATAAACTGAGATGTACGCTCTCAACTTGTTTGTTGCTCAATACGTTACTCATTTTCTTATATTTTCAACAGACAACACGTCCCCATACGTCCTATTTTCAGCCATTTTGAGACGTATCAACACGATGTTTGGTATCATATCATGGCCATGCTACAATCGTAGCTTTTCGTGAGATTCAACAGCTCTTTGGACACAACCTCTTCCATAGTATCGACACTATGGTTCATAACTTGGATGACGGCATCGGCTGTTATTCTTCGGTTTCACTCTCATTACTGCTTTCGTTCCACACGGGTAATGGCACCTGTTCTAGCTCGCGATACAAACGGCCCAGAACTTTATGGCGTTTTTTGTAACGGCGCTTTGTATTGGACGCTGGAACATGAAAAATCTTCTTGAGACTTGGAATTTGTGGCGCTGCATGCGTACGCAACCGTCCTAGGACGTCTGACTGACTGCTTCTTGTACCTCTAGCAGCGATGATGCCAGTATCCGACGTCTCTGATATTTTCTGCTGAAAATGCTTTGGGTTGGTACACTCGGAGCAAAACCATGGAATTTGATCCGGAGGCACCATAGCAAGGTTTGTACAATTAAGATGGAATGCAGCAGGACAGCCATCACAGCAAATAAGCTCGCCCGCTAGACCACAACGAAAGCAAGCGTCTTCGTTCAAGTCATTCTGCAAATGCCAAATGCATATCGTTAGTATGTTTGTTTTGCAGCGATATACATCCATCCAGATAAGATTGTACCTGGTCAGTGTTGATGAAGATTTCTTTACCCTTTACACGATCAATCAGACGATAAATGCGGTCTGGATTGATGGTATTGGAGGACGGAATGCGTTTGTTCCATTTAGAATTGCCTTTGGCAAAGGCTGCAAGCTCATTTATACCCCTTGCTCGTGCTTGCGAAAGGCTTAGACGTCTGTGAATAAGCTTTGTACCTAGCAAAGCACGATTTGGACGTGGAAGCAGCGGCGCCACTTTTTTATGACAACTACGCTTCTTTTTTGGTGGACGCCCTGGGCCCCTCTTCTTCACTGGTGCATTTGATACGAGCTTGCGGTAACTGGTGAGATCGGCAGTCCAGTCTGGCTTGCCTCCACACGTGTAGCTGGGAAGTACTTTCATTTCATGCAGATGCTCTCCTGCTACAATCTTTCCATACCAGGTCTTTTTTTGTGGCTTCTCTGCAATAAAATTACTCTGAATCATTTGTGGCGGTGTCAACGATACATCCTCCTCTGTCGTTGTCGAGTATACCGAGTCTGGACTGCCCGATGACATACAATGACGAGCTCCGCTGTTGTCTACTCTCTCAGTAGTGTCATCCTTCGTGGGCAATCGGTGACTGAGGAACAATCGACGTTTTTTGAACCCGTAATCGTCCAACCAGCTATCATCCAGCTGAGAACTTTTCAGCAGTGCAAGCGAAGTCAAGTGTACTGGTCGCTTAAGCTCAGGTGGCTCCTCATCCACTGGTACCTGTTTTTTCGCCTTTGCAGTTCCCACCACATGAGAATACAAGGGAAGTTTAGATCGCTTGAGACCAATTTTACCCGTGCAAGCAGTGGATCCACATTTACATTCAGCCGCCTCGCCAAAGTGTGAAAAGTTATAGTCGATCGTGATCTCTTCGTTGATAGCGATATTGCGACGCGCAAAAATTCCAATACGCTGTATGCCGTCCACATTCCTGTTGTGTCACATGCAATACCTGAGTCAGCCGCCGCATCACGCAGCCGACGTCATGAGCATAAGGAACGTACCACTTTTGTGTAATACTGTTGGGATCACAGCTATGGTTAATGAAACGCGACTCGTTACTACGGTACTTTGCGTCAATGACAGTGTTCTTTTCCAGTTCCATCAGATAGAAATTAACCTAAAACGTTCAAAGCAGCAGCATCAGCATCGCATGCATCAAATCACCATTAATATTGTTGACACTCACCTCGCCATTGTCCATGTACTTGATCATCCTTCGTCCACATTCTTCGTCGTCAATGACTTCTCCAATATACTCGATAATAAACTCTCCTGCATGTATCATTTCGTTAGCAACAAGTCCAAATCCAGGACCTGGGATATATTCGACTCGCACGGCCTTGAGTTCTCTTCTCTTAATAGCACGATTACTACATATGCTTGGATCAGGAGCTGAACACGTTTCATTTGAGCAACTAATGAACAGCATACGGTTATAACATCCTTCACCACAGTACACCATCGTTTCCCTTTCTGTCCTTTTTTTCAAGTCACGATATCGTCGTCCTTGGACTGCACATTCCTTTTGAGCCTTTACACTTGCCATGACCGTTGTACGCTTCGTCATGGACTTGTGTATCTCTTCATAACACGTGCATTTATGTACTGGAAAATCAGCAATTGGGATCTTTGTTGAAACGTACACACAGCGACTAATTTTACCAAAAGGTGGTGGACGGCGTATCCATGGACGTTCCTCCAGGCTCTTGAGTTCAAAGTCATTAAATGGCAATTGAAATTCCATCACGTGTTTCTCCTTTGACAATTTCATGACACGAGATTTGGTTACTACCGTTATTGGAGGTGGTAGACGACCCCTATCGTCCTTGAGAAGCTGTAAAAAGCTTCGTGAGGCGGAGTCAAGCGATAATTGTGGCTGAGGCTCGGATTCCGATGGAAGTTCCTTGGTTAAGATCGTCGTGTTGTTTTTCTTCTTTATTGATTGACCAGATCCATGTTTTATTGTCTTCTTTGTATTGTCACGAGTCATTCTCATTGAACACTTCTTTGTAGTCGATGGATGTCGCTGCATTAAAGACATAAAGCTCTTTGGCGATTGATTGGCGACTGACTGCTTTACGAGCGCCAAAAAGTACCCGCGCAATATTTTTGACTTGATGTTTGTATAGAGAAGAGCTGCCATTTTTCAATTCAAATCCATACCGAGCTATGGTTAACAAAAACAAGACTAGCGAAAAGAACGTATATCATTGGATGAATATCCTACGGTATAGTCGTCAATGGCTACATTTTGATCTTGCAGTTATCTAAAGTTGCGCTTCCATGGCATAAACTTCATCCAAAGTAGCGGCAAGTGTCTTTACAGTCTCCAGATCACCAAAATTTACTTGTGCTTTGGTTAGCACACTACGAATATACAGACGACATGAGCATAATGCCTTCTTCGTACCCTCTGCAAGGTAATCCTGGGCCAGTCGAGAAACTGCCACACATAAATCCTCCACCTTTTGCTGGTCACGCTCCCAGCCAGCAACTTGCAAAGCACGACACTGCTTCAAGCGGCAGTCACGTGCCTTCTCGGCACGCCCATCGACGCCGTTGTTAAAGTGTGCATACACCTCCCACACTTTGGCATCATTTGTCACGATGGACGTCACGCGTCCAAACAGCATCGCCAATTGTCTCTTGTGGTGTGAATCAGACCGCGGAGGAGTCGAGTCCGTGGCTGTTGCTACTTCGTCTAGCTGCATCAAATCGTCATTGCCATCAATTTGATCGATGTAGTCTTTATCGTCGGTAGTAGCATGACCAATTGCATTATCTTCAGTATCAACCTCCTGTTCCATCTTTTTTAGCGAGTCCGGATACACAATAGCTTCCACGAGCCATGCCAGCATTGCGATATCAACTGGGCGTTTGTGCTTGGTGCGCATGTCTAAAAGCTGGTGCATGGCGTACATGGCCTCGCCATACCGCTTTGTCTCCATGGCGCACAGTGCGTAGTTTTCCCACATTTGCCACATGTGACGTTTTTGTTTGAGCGCCTCTTCCAGCACTGCAAAGGCTTCTCCATAACGCTGGTTGTGCAGATGGATCGAGCCCAGATTGCCCCATGCTTCACCGTTGTCCGGTTCAAGCTGTACCACGCGCGTGAATGCGCGCATTGCGAGTGACCACCGGTGCACACGCATCGCGATTGCGCCAAGAGTAAACCAAGCGCCCGTATGCATGGGACCAACACGCACCGCATCCTCGTAATGCGTGATTGCTGCCTCATGGTCACCATCCTCAAAGTAGTACCGTCCAAGCGAGCGTTTAGCGCGAGCAAACCGCTGCTTCGAAAGTCTCCAGGATGTCTCGTAATGTGATGGATCCTGGGTAAGGTCTCCGAGCGTGACCCACATAAATGGTGTGGGGGCAACCTCCAGGCGCTCGCGAACAAGCTTTTCGGCGCGCATTGGCTTGTCCAAAATCTGGTAGCATTTAACGACGTCATCCCACATTTCCAGTTCTTCACATATTTCAACAGCACTGCCTAAAATGCCAAGCTTGAAGTAGCGCTCGGCCAGGTCGCGCTTAAGAGCATATTGCGGAGGAAAAGCCAATGAATACACAAACTGCATACGCTCACGAGCTGGCGCTGAGTCCACAATTGACTGCAGCGTATTCTGTGCAATCGTAAGTCGCGTGGTATGCTGGTCTACCAGGGCCTGCATTTGCAACACAGCGCGTTCACGTCTTTTTGAACTCTCACACTCGAGCCATGCGCGCTCCAGTAGCGCCGTGGAGTACACCATCCAATTGTTGGGATTTTCGAGCACACGCGTTATGTACGGCATCATTTCTTCCCGAGTGAGGCCATCATTAGCGTTGCTGTTCTTCACATCCAGACATAGCCCCAACAGGACAATCTGATCCAAAATCTGCAAGTTACCTTGCTCCGTGAGCTTATGGTCTTCAAACTCCGTGTTTTCCAGGAGATAATTGTCCTGATCTACTTGATCCAAATTCACGTTGCGATAGCAAGCCTCACCTTCATGCACAAGCTTCTGAATGTGCTCCGCTTCGGTCGTAAGGCTATTGGCAGGTGAAACAGAAGGACACGCCGCGCCATTTCCAACCACGTCTTCCGCCTCTATCTTCTTGCCACCAAAGTCCACGTGAGTTGACTCAGCTACTGCCGCGACGTAGACAGAAGTTTCGTCGTCGACGGTTATAGGCTCTTTCTTCGATGCCGCAAGCAACACCATCTGAGCTACACTTTTTTGCTGAAACTTAGTACGTTTTCCCAAGGACCCACTGAGCTGCACACTCACACCAGAAATCTCTTTTGCACGTGCAAACGTAGCCTTGCCGTGCTTGTTCTTGTCAAAGTAGTGTTGTGCCAAGCCCCACTCCACATACGCACGAGCGCGCAAGTATTGCGTGACCTTCTCATACACAAAAAGTTCATTCGTCTGCAATGTCTGAATGTATCCACGCCGAGCTTCAAACCATAGCGTGTTAGAAGGCTGTTTTGATAGTAGCAATCGTTCGTGCGCAACGGCTGCACGCGCGTTCCACCACGTAGCTGATATAACCTGTTTCAGCAGCTCTTCGAGCGCGCGAACAGCTGCTCCGCCAGTAATCTGTCGCTTAGCAGGACCTTCCACAACATCATCCGACACCTCATTATCATTCTGTCCGTGCACGATTTCGTTCGCAGCCACTGACCAGTCGTTGAACGCGTAGTTGCCCACAAAATGAAGCAAGCAGCGACCAATCAGCAAGAACTGCGGGTACTCGCAAATAGAGAATGGGCTTTCACCGTCTACTTGCAGTGACACAAGTGAATCGCTATGCGACTCGCTGTCACTCCTATCAGTAGAGCAAGTCACGAGGAACGCAGCAAGATCGAGCACATCACGAAGAGTCCTTTGCTCGAATGCAGGGCCCGTGTAATTCGCCTGAACGTACATGTTTAAAAAGGCAACACCACTAAACATAACCTCATATGCAGTCACAAGACGGCTCTCTGCGCTGTCGCATTGCTCCAGCAAGTAGATCTGCAAGGCTGATACGATACTGCTGCAAATGTGCACGTTATCGTCGTCTTTTTCCTGATTTTCAGTCCGTAATCGAGCGATAGTCTGTAATAACTGCTGCACGTGAGGTATTCGAAGACTATCTGAATATTCACCACCGCAAATGAGTTTTGCCATTGCCACTACTGGCACCATCTCATCACCATCCTGAAGTGCTTGTTGGGCCTTCAGAATGCTCTTGGTGTCACTTTCCAGGACTGCACGCTCCACTGACAGCATTGTATGTTGAATCAATTCTACTGCAGTATCACATGTATCATGGATGACTGAGAGACTCACGCCACACAACTCGTGCATGAGGTCGTCAGTATCAGTCATTGCTCTGGTTTCAAAGTCATGTGCTCCAGTGAATGATTGCAACAAAAAGGACTGTCATCGTCAAACAATACCGGTATTGCATGATTCGTCATCAAGCTGTCAGACAGCACGATTTGCTCAAGTTGGCGTACTTTTCCGTCAGATATAACGTTTCGCCTTATATTTGGCGTATTTTTCCGTCGGCCTCGTGAATATACTGATATCAGTATGGCGGATGAAGAGCACGACCAGCTGACGGCTATGACACCAGCGCAAAGGAGACTGTTTGAGCTACGCATGAAGATAAATGCAGGAAGAAAGGCGAATAAGCAGGTAAGATATGACGTCACGGGGTTGAGGATTGCTGAAGTAACACCAATCTAACGTGTTAGTGTGTCGTGGATAGGAAGTAGCGGCGGAACATGAACGCGTAAAGAATAATGATAAGAAGGCGAAGAAGCAAGAGCAGTACAAGAAACGAGAGGTGATGTAATCTGTGATTGGGATCTACAGACGGTTGATGTGTGTACATCTTCTCATGGCTTTTTGTTACTTTAAAATAGGAGAAGAAGCTGTTTGCAGCAAGTGGCAAAGCTCATCTTTGCGAAACAGGTTTGTAATTATCATGTTCATGCGACCATAGACGTCTAATGATAATGATTTATTTCAACATGTACATGTACTAATAATCTAATAGCTGAGGTAGCTGAACTTAAGAGGAAGAAAGCTAGCAAGAAGGAAAAGAGAAAAGCTGCGTTTGGATGGGACGTTTTTAACCAAGACTCGCTATACAAAGGCTACAAGAAGCGACTAGTGAGTCTGCCTACATCAGGACATACCACGTCTTCTGCAGCTATCACTAGCGAAGATGCGCTTGGTGACGAACTGGCGTATGGCAAGAACGACAAAGTAGAAGAGGTGTGTGCTACTCACATTACATGGTAAAGTGCTGCGTTGCCGCTAACAATTTTGTGGGTTTTTCGTGACAATGCAGGAAAATGTTGAGCGCATGGCACAGGAGCTAGAGGAGCGTGTCAAAGCACGCAAGAAATTTAGTCGTCGGCGTCAGCACTACGAGGGCGAAGACATTGATTATATCAACGGCCAGAATCGCGTCTTCAACCGCAAAGCATCGCAAGCTTTCGACAAATACACGGTGGAAATTCGACAGAATCTCGAGCGTGGCACAGCGTTGTAGTGCTGGTAATTATACCCACGAGAACATTACAATCAAAACTTGTCCCTTGTTTTTTCATCACCCTACAACATGATACTTTTAGGTTGGACGATATATGTCACACATGATGCATTAGGTACTGGCATTGTTAGATCCGCTCGTGGCCCACTTTCGTCCGTTTTATATCGTTTCTATTCTGATACACCGCCAGCCAATTGCAAGCACGGTGTAAGTTGAATCGTTGATAACGTGTTTGACAGGGTATTGGTGGGCCACTACCGGTCGTTGTGGGCCACCTCCTGTCAATGAGGGGCATTGATGATAAGTCCATGATCACTTTCATTCTTAAATTCGCTGCGTATACGAGAGGCTGATACAAGATAATTATTATGGCGTCCCAAACAAGCACTTTTGCTTCCGGCTCGGCCCCTACTGAAGGTACTTTTGTAGTAAAAGCAGGCCTTGCCAAGATGCTGAAGGGTGGCGTTATTATGGACGTGACGAACGTCGAGCAAGCACGGATTGCCGAGGAAGCAGGCGCCGTGGCTGTCATGGCACTTGAGCGTATTCCTGCCGATATTCGTGTGGACGGTGGTGTGGCTCGTATGAGCGACCCGGACATGATTGAAGCTATTAAGAAGGCTGTGACGATTCCTGTGATGGCTAAGGTCCGTATTGGTCACTTTGTAGAGGCCCAGATCCTTGAGGCTATTGAGATCGACTACATTGATGAGAGTGAAGTGTTGACTATGGCCGATGAGGAGAATCATATTAACAAGCACAATTATAAGGTGCCGTTCGTGTGCGGCTGTCGCAATCTGGGTGAGGCTCTGCGTCGCATTGCTGAAGGCGCTGCCATGCTGCGCACCAAGGGTGAGGCCGGCACTGGCAACATTGTTGAGGCTGTGCGCCACGCTCGCTCGGTGGGCCGTGAGATCCGCCGTCTGAAGTCCATGGACGAAAATGAGCTGTTTGTCGCTGCCAAGGAGATGCAGGCCCCGTACGAGCTTGTAAAGCAGGTTGCTGTCACGGGCAAGCTGCCTGTTGTGAACTTTGCTGCTGGTGGTGTTGCCACCCCTGCTGACGCTGCTCTCATGATGCAGCTTGGCATGGATGGTGTGTTTGTCGGCTCAGGCATTTTCAAGAGCGGCGACCCGGCTAAGCGTGCCCGCGCTATGGTGCAGGCCGTGACCCACTTTCAAGACCCGAAGATCTTGAAGGAGATTTCAACTAACCTGGGTGAAGCTATGGTCGGTGTACAGGACTTGAAGGCTGCGACCGTCAACTTCCGTGACCGTGAGGGTGGGCTCCACGGCGCCTGGTAAACGGGCTTTGGTGTTGAATCTTGCAAATAGGCTTTTTTGCAAGTCCAGGCGTGTAAGCTAGAATAGAATACTATGCAATTAATCATGCTTCACACGGTCAATATATTGTTATTGCTCAAGCTTTCATGCTTGGATTGAACATTGTTTGCAGTGTATACCTGCGGGTGTTCATTTTGAAAGGCTCATTGGTATGCTTGAATTCGCTTGCATAATGTCAAAGTCCGTAACGAAAAGTACCGCCGGCAATAAGATCGTATCTGTGCCTACACTCAGTACAAGCCAGCACGAGATTATTCGTGTTTCATGACTGGACAGCTTACTATTTTGACCATGAGTCAAGTACGTTCGACACAGTTGAGACGATGACGATTCTTGATATTGTTGACACCATAGCAAAATATTTACATATTGACAAAACTGTGTATGGACACTTCTAGTTGCAAATATCGACGGAAAAAGGGTCACCAGCATCGTCAATAGTGGACGTGATACCCTGGTAAGTCATGACCACGCCCCCCCACGAGCACTGCCGCAGCGATGCAGAGCACGATAATCGACTGGCGACCCGTTCTTCGAACAAAGCCCAATATCACAACTTGTGATAGCGAAGTTACCACGAAAGCTACAGCGCATAGCAGCAAAGCCCAGTCCCACGCAATCATTTCGAATACAGCAAATTTCGATGTGGCAGCAGCAGATGAATACAAAATCATCAACGCCGTCGTGGACGATGCCACTTCAGGTACAATGCCCAGCTCGACCATGATAGGGCCAGCAATAATGCCGCCACCAACACCAAACATACCTGCGGCAATACCAGCAACTACACAGCCCATCGAGAAATACACGACCATCTTCTTTGTCCAGCGAATATCGCCCTCGACGTACTGATAGTTCACCTCAGCCTTGCGTAGGTACACTTTGTGTAGATAATTTGATGCAAATATGATAAAGACAGCAACCCACGGAATATCAATCAGCAGAAGCACCCAGTATGCAACGCTACCGCACTCAGTGGACGTGTCGCCGATGCTGGTAGCCACGATGCCCAGGTAGCAAACCAAAATGGCAATATGGGGACCCCAGGCAAAGTGCCGCTCCTTTTCAAGAATCAACGCTCGCGCTGCAGCCAATTTAGCTTCGTCGTCAATGGAAGCTGAAATGCTTCCACGCTTTTCCTGTGACACATCGTCTTTCCGCGGCGTGCTAATTTGTACATACACAACGGGACTAGTCGGTACGTCCGTAGCAATTTCATTCGCAGCATCTTCGACTTCTTTTTCCTTTGCAAGTTCTTTCTTATGTAGACGGATGCCCTTCATCAATGTTCGTGAGCCGCTCACAGCGAGCACCACGATGAACAGCAGCGACAGCACGTAGCTCGGGATAAGTCTGTTAATCACTGCACCCAGGACAGTACCACCAATGACGACAGGAATCATGCCAAGCGCTAGCTCCGGATCAATCAATGGACGGTCTACGGTTGGATGACGCTTGCGCATATTGTACCAGGCGTTAGCCACGGCGCCGCCTAGGATGGCCATATTGGAGATGGGGGTCGCACGCTTAATGTCAAAACCCATGATAAGCACCATGGACGGCACAATAATTACACCGCCACCTAATCCACCTGCAGAAGAAACAGTTAGTCCAAGGATGATAAACGCAATGGCTAATGCGTCGTAAATGTCCATCTCGGATAGGCTTGGTACCCCATCATCATCATTGCTACTACTGTTACTACTACCACTGCTGTTGCTGCTGCCTCCATTAGCAAGTACAGTAGAGAGTGTTGTTGCAAGTGATAGAAGCATAAGCACGGAGAGTGCGACATGACGAGAACGTGGACAACCCACAAGTGAAATGTCCATATTGCAACTGACACTGGACAATTTCTAAGTAAAATGTAAAATGTATTTCTAATGGCTTTAAAGAGATAATAAATAATCAACAAATGTGCGATGAAACGTTTGTATGCAAATAGTCTGTTTAATTTAATATAAGATTTAAAAATTAAACATGAAAAGATATCACTTACAACAATGCGACACCATTAGCACAATTATCAGCAATTCCGACGACATTTAAGAAGAACAAGGTTATACTACGACTTGTACTTCTTTGCTTGTGCCATATAATTCAAATATTGTGACAATGTTACTAATGCTCCTTGCTTCAATGGTCTTTCAATCTATAGCAGATTGACAATACGTCTACAATGTATTACTTACTCGTAGCGTTTGTGTTTCAGTAGCTGGCGATGGTGGAAGGGGCAGCATTAATACGACGACGGCGTCACAACCGATACGCTCTGAGCTTATTGAAACAAAGCAAACGTTCATGTGAAGCAATAACACATACGATGGACGGTATTCAGGCAACAAGTCCGACTCGCGTTTGCTTGAGAGCTTTACCCACGTAAACACTTGTCAAACGCTACTTTTGTCCAATTGTATGGGTCTAGCGTTTGTTCATCCGCATTGGAATGGCCCCATACTTCTGTCGCTCACTACGGTGTTTGGCAACATGACGAATCGAAAGCACAAGAAAGTAGAGAGCAAAAAGACTCACTACCGTCCACGGCACCGTCTCATACGCTACGGCTTCGTTCGGCGGTTGGTCGAAGCTATCAGGATTGCTCATTTCAACCTCTCGCACTCGATCCGACTTGACAGTGCTTGGCAGCAAACGGTTCCTGTCCAGCTTCTGTGCGTAGGTCAATGACTCAATAAACGGTTGCAGCGTATCAGCGACGCACGCATGCTTTAGGGTCTTGCCAATTAGCTGCTTGAATTTTGAAAAAGGACAACGGACATCAATCTTTCCATCGCCTATGTCCATTTCCTCCGAGCACGACGGGATGATAACTTGCACACGATCTGGAGGCTGCTCAAACAAAGTCAGACTCGATGTATTGATGTGCAGAATCAAAAACGCTTACGCTGTCAGCGGATAACTCTTCACCATTGCGAATCTGTTCAGGAGAAGCCGCAACAAAGTATAACTTTACGTAGAATCGACTGTCGTCGGAGCGCACACCTTCAGCCCCTTCTGCATGCCATGCTACACGCGCCTGATCAGTATCATCAAGCTTAAGCTTCCGAGACTTCAAAATACTGAGAGAGGCTTGATCCTTAGTATTTGCGGTTGTGGCGTGGAGCTCGAACACAAGCATGCTTCCTGGTACTGGTTGATGTGGGTGCCATCCTTTTGTGTACCACTGGAGCCTGTTGTACAATGCAATATCAAGGATCTTAGGGTCTCAATAAAGCGCATTGGCAATAAGCAGTGTTCAGTAAATACTCGCCAAGCATACCTTAGCAAGTTGCGAACATATAGCAGGTTAATATCGTGGGCAGCATAATACAACAATCGGTTTTCCGGTCCTTGCAAAAGACGAGGTCCTTCACCTTTTGCCACCGGCAAAGGCTTTTGCATTATGTTTTGCTCAAAACTAGCCGTGAGATGTGCAAGAAGAGTTGCACCAAAACTTGCAGAGTTGACTTCATTCGTAATGAGATCCATGTGAGTCTGCATCATTAGCAGCAGCAACAGTATATTAGAAGACACACATTCAACGACCAAAGCAAAAGTCGAGGCAACCTCGTGAATCTTGGCAAGAGACAAAATTTTCTCGAACGATAATTGCGAAGGTAGACTCATATTGTTGAGACTCTGCAACAAAAGCCACTCGGAGAAATAGTCAGCATTAGAGAGGGTGTCTTTCCACGGCAAATAGAATGCCCCGTTCCATTGCGTAGATATCCTAAACAAATCGCATTTTGCGGAACGCTCTGACAAATCGATATTACGAGAATCCTTGTTATCGGGACATAGGGATGCGGCACAACACTGGAGAAGGTCATTAACTTCTGTGACTTCCTCACAAATATCCTGGAGAATGAACCTTGTGTCATTGCTTCCAGTTATGCCTTCGTAAACTGCAGGAAAACGCATCACGAATACAAAAGAGAAGCAACAATCAACACAGGAGACGACCAAGTCCGACGACACAAAGTTGCTGACACGTACTAGCTTTCGAGCACACTGGGCAGTTGGCTGTAGGATCTTGTCCCTGCTCGAAAAGCAACTGGGTTTCCTTAGTGATTGGTACGAGTTCCTTGCACGATGGATAAAGCCCGCTCAAGAACGCTGCCGCAGTCAGCTATACGCATATATATGCAAGCATAGGAGTGTCAACATTAACCTGATCTAGCTTGATACTTATTACGTATAATACTTACATTATCACGTTGATTATTATCAGCATACGAAAAGGTTTCTTCACATGTAGCATTCAAAAACTCATTGTAGAGGTAGTCTCGAAAGTACTACTCGTAAGATATGTCAATACAATTCCATCAGTCCAATATCAATAAGCGAAACACACATACCTCACCCATTCTCTGAACGACGCGAAAGCCGTGTTTTGTGAGCTTGGGCGACACGATTTCCGTCGGATCTTCGGTTTCTGATGTGCCCCATGCGTTCGCACTGAGCGGCAAATTAAGATTCGAGTTGCGCACATACTTCTTCAAAAGCTCTTCCGATGGTATTTCCGTGCCCATACCATAGGGACCACGTACTCCATGACGAGATAGGATGATGACCTAAAGTGATACCACGAAGACTGGAGTCAATCGACGCGCGCCATGCGTTTTGATGCAATGATGAGTAGCAGAGAGATGTACATAGTCCCAAAAAACGCACCTGACGCAGTCCTGACTTGGGCGTATCTAGTCTTGCGCTCGTTGGCACTAATGCAATGAGCACCACGAGCGCAACAATTCTACCTAATGCCATTGTCAGATATATCACAAGGCGATCAAATGCAGCTCGTATGATGTGGTCCACACTCTATTCCCTCCTTAAGTCACTCACATCAGATTTGAGCGGTATTGTAGCAAATACAAGGGGGTTTGATACTTCAACGAACGTTCATGGTACGAAGGTAATGTGCTTCATCGTACCTGGAAGGGCCAATTTGCCATGTGTGATGATTGCTCGCAACGGCCCTTGGTTTTGTCAGAGTAATCTTAATCATAGGTGACACTCCATCATAATTGGCTTCGCCGACGCAGCTGCTCATACCACCCACACTTGTGTGGCCCATTCGTGCTCTTACGGCTTGCTGTATGTGGAGTGTGGTGACGGCGATTCGACATGGTATGTGCTCAGCAGGCTATGTGTGGAGGAGTCTAGTGGTGAGTCACTTCTGACAACCAAGCGCAAGGTGCCGGAAACAAACGTCTTATGCTTCGATCACATCTAATTTATAAGTACATGCAAAGCATCACACCTAACTTTTCGCCCAAATCACCCAAACGAGTGGTGATACACATGGCTAGTGGCTTTCGGTGAGCTTTGCTTACAAAAATTTGAGATTAGTGCTGTAAGATCTGCTACAGATTGTTGGTGCGACAAACTTGCATTTCATACGCGATAAGCCGAGCTCACCAGAGAGCAGCTTTCTCGTGTGCCAAACGCCTGAAAGATGACCAAGCCGGACTCTTCGTAAAACGGACGGACATGCGATGCAGCGGTCTATCACAGCCACAAGGTGAAGGTCTGAATGCCCTGCGACTATGTTCCGCTTTATGGAGGAATGTAGCCCTAAAATAGGTTTGTCTTGGCTACATTAAGCTTCATCCAAAGACCATCTTTCTAACAATTCATCAATGGTGGGATCAGCTTGAGCTTGCAGCTGTTCTTGTAATTTCACGTGAAACCTGATCTGAGCCATTAGATTGAGATAGGTGGCACATCGTCTTTCTTTGCTTGACATGTCTAATGGGAAATTGACTTGCTGTTCAGGTTCTACTCGTTCACATTAAAAACACACTTGGGTAAGTAAGTACCGCGGTCATAGACGTCTGGTTAAAAACAGTAGACCTCCTCGTCCTTGCTCCACGGGGCTTTCCCCGAAATTCAAGCTAAGGCCAGTAATGCACAATAGAACGTCACTACTGCCTGTGCTGCCGCAATCCCGACGTGGTCTCTGCTCTTAAACGGCCGTTCCCATTTTGTCGTGGCATTGATACAGACCACAAATACTACCCCAACCGCAACGCAACACTTGGTCGACTGGCTGATTAGAGGTGGACAGGTCGGTTTGGCCACTGAATCTCAAAGAGTCGCGGGTGCTCTTATTTCATGGCATTTTGTATTTGGCATTAAACGTCACACTCGAGTTACTTGTTCAAGTTTGAAGATTTCGATTTGATTACTTTGAAGTCAACATGACATCCTGCGTAGTACAAGTTCAGGAATTATCGCGCCGTCTGCTCAAGCGCATCGAGCCATCGCTATCGACTATCAGTGATGAAGAGGACATGGCTGCTGCACGCGACTCGGCAACGAGCGAGACGCTGCTCAAGGTGTGCAAGCATCAGATTGAGTCGTCGCCGCGCTCGTCATTGCCACCAATTGCACTCCCTCTCGAGCCACTGCAGGAGGAGCTTGTGTTAACTACACCCGTGAGCAGCAATCACGCTGCCGCACAGTGGCCCAGTGTCGTCGGTTGCGAGGGCGTGCGAAAGGCACTCACGTTTCTGCAGACCTCGCGTCAGCACGCACTCATGCTCATGCTACAAAACCATTGGGAGCGCGCTATAACCGTGCTAGAGAAGATTGAGAAGGCTACTGAAAGCGTTAGTGAGCAGCGGCGACAGGTCGTCATTCAACAGGCCAATGCTGGTCGAAACTTGCTTGTGGAGAAGATTCAGGAGCTAGACCTTGCCGCGCCGTGTCGTCTCGTGCGATTTAGTGACGAGATTGCTGTCGCTTTTGCGGATGAGATGGACCGGAAATGCGACACTGTAACTGATCCTGTGCGCGAAGAGATGCTTGTCCTGCGTGCGTCACGCAAGATTCCACAGGAGAACCTCTCCGAGTTCTGGAGCTAGTGAGTCGTTTGTCAAAGCAATTGTCCACCGGCCTAATGCAACGGGTTTGTGCACTAACTTATTTAGCCAAGAGGAGAGACGGAGGGACGGAGGGAGTAGTAGAGCTTTAGGCGTTTATTGTGAGACGCAAGACTCAAGTTATTCGGCTTAGAACCTATTTAAATACTAGACAGACATTAGAGCTTACATGATTTGGTAATATGTTGCAAAGCATTTGTCTGGAATGTGGATATAGTCAGTCTGGATAGCAAAGGTCGATATGCTGTTAGCCCCCACCGACCACCATGACCATTCTAGTATCATTGGCCATGTTCAAATGACGGTTTATCATCATCTGTAAGCGAAACGCAGTAGTTGCGCTTGTTTAAAACAATATTGATTTACATAAATCATTTTACCGCACGAAGAAGTGTACGTTTGGTTTCATGTACTCGCCATACTACACACGAGAGTTCGATAAGCTGCACACAAAACGACAAAACATTAACGCACAAACACAAGCAAATGAGCAAAAATATGTTGATTCAAATCATCATCAACTCGTGTGCAACATTTTCTAAAATAAATGACCAGTTAGTTGGCTTACCACCAACATATAGAAAACGTAGTAAGTAGCTCACGAAAAAAGGCCCCAGATGGCTGTTTTCAAGTGGATTCGACATTTTTATTCGATTTGCTTTTGGTTTTCTTCAAGAAATTCTATTGGAAGAAAGACAAGGTAAAACACCTCGTAACAAAACTGGATACATATAAAGTGTATATAAGATATATAATTAGAATTAGAGGCATTCACTCATTCACTGACTGACTCATTCATTCACTGACTGACTCAGTCACTGACTGACTGCCTATAGCAAATATAAGAATAGGTTGTATACAAATATCAAGCTAAACATTTCGATCTCTTCCCTCAAGCCACTAGTGTGAGCTTTGCTCCTTCTCTATTCTATCTACCTACAATGGCCGATGCAATGTTATACCGCAGTGCTAACCACCCAGAAAAGACACGATTGATCTTTAATGCACAATTACATCAACAGCTGAAGAATATTGCCAAGAATCGTGAAGTTACGACCGTTCTAGGAGCTCCTACTATCTCGAGCAATGGTAGTATGCGTCCTACACAACCTGTAGGCCGCTCGTCAGAGCTAAATGGTTGGAATTTAGAGAAGAAAATGATAGCACTTGTTGAGATACTGGACCTATTGCGACGTCCTTTCTTTTTCTATTTGGATTTTGGCACGGCTGCAGCTGCTGCAGCTTCAAATGGAGGCAGCGCTGGAACGACTGGGGATCGTAAACTCACTTATCACTCGTACTTTAACAAGATGTTACCGCTACATGTAGGACAAACTGTATTGCTTGATTTGTGGTAAGTGAGTACTGACGCAACATTTTGAGCTCTTGAATGCGTGTTTACAATCTATTTGTTCTTGTATGTGTTGGCTTATAGGGACTATTTGATGGATATGGTTGATCACGTGCCGGTACGCAATCGCTGTAGAGCTCTGTATTTACAGGCGGCAGTGTATATTTGTCGTCGTGTGGAATTTCTCGAGGGATATCCGCTAGATGGACAGCAGGTACATCTGGACTCGCTTGTATCGAAACGATATATTCGTTTATTGGAACGAAGCGTGCATTTTTGCTCCGTCAAGATCCGGAAAGCTCGTTTTATGGCGGAAGAGTACCGATTTTTTGCAGCACATGTTTACACAGCAGTGTATTTCCGCTTTCCTTTTGCCACGCCCAAGTTGCTGGAAGCTGTGTTGCAATGCACAGAAAAACTAGAGGAAGCGGGAGACAAAGCTGGTAAGAATAAAAGCGCCAAGTGTGGAACAGGTGGCAGGTTATATGAGAGCTCGAACGGGGTAAAGAGTAATGGTGCTTGTCCTCCGAAGGCGAAGCGTCAGTATCGTGGAAGCAGCACCAACAGCTTGCGCAGTCCTCGAGATTATCGCCGCCACTGGAATGATATTTCAGGTATCATATTGGTTATGTCGGATTATGGTGCTAGCTCTATGCTGATTTTCTTCATATTTGATGATATGCTTGATATTTGTAGAATCCAAGTGTCGGCCTGATTGTATCAGTGGTGTCGATTTGCAGCTCGAAATTTTCTCGTCTTTCTCAAAATACAAGCTGAATCGGGGTACAGATCGTCTGGTGGTGCCTGTGAAAGGCGGGAGTACACCAGGCATTCCGCAGGATATGTTAAAAAAAGTTCTAGCGGCAAAAGTGTTGCCGCCGCACTAGAGGCTGTATTTCAGCAGGGAGTAAACCGCGTTGGGGGAGGAGCAAGAGGTAACTTTTATTTATCAGCTTCCTTTGCTATATATAGGACACAAGTTACAGAACGACGCATTTGTGAAGCTGGCTGTGACAACTCGAGCCAAGATTGAAGCGGAACTGGACCTGTTTATTGAACGGATAAAATCGCCAGGGCGGGATGATCTCATGGGCGTGACCTTTGTGGCCGCCATGCTGAATGATGTGAGCAGTTGGTGTAACCATCGCTATGCCGATGGTAAAATTTTGTGGCATTGCGTTCCTGGCTACTTTGCGCTTGTTCGCATGTATGTGGTCGTCTTCCAGCGCATGTGCCAACGACGTGCGCGATCTAGCATGGGATCTTCATCTTTGCCATCAGTAAATCGCATTTTGTCCATTATTGAGGGCAAAACAAGCGATCCCTGGGTGGACTATTGGAATGATTGTGAAATCGATGCAGTGCTAGACGCAGGCAGTGAGATACTGAAAAACGAAGCACTGGTGAATGTGCTTATGCAAATCATCTTAGAGAGCACAAATATCCTTGATCCTGCTAGCGTTAATTACTCGTTTGGAATTTTGCAACGAATGCTTGAGATAGCCTCCATGGCTGCAATGCCTGATGCATCGGAGGTGTCATCGAGCGGGAAATTCGGCGGTCGTGTTCGTCACTGCCTCGGAGCAGCATTTGATGGAGACTATTTTTTGAGAAGCATGCGCAGCGCTCTGCAGTCATCGCACGTGCAAACGGTGCTGAAAGTACTTACGTGCATTTACAATTGCATCGACCTGTTGCCAACTACTGCCCGTAAGCGTCTTGTTGCGGAACTGATCCTACGCGAGAATTTCTCCCATTTTTTTCTGCATTGGAACGAAGAGGTAAGTTGTATTTGCTGGCTGTTTTTTGATAGTTTATCGTGTTTGTTGCTCACGTTTGCTTCTATTGTACGCAGATTCGTAAGATTTTCTGCTACATGATTGTATTCAAGACGTCGGCTTCGAACCGGTTAGACTTGCCCAGTGCATCTGACCGAATCCTGCTTGCCCAGACACCATTTTTTGTAGTCGGTCCGACATCCAGATCGAACGGCTCGAGTTTGTCAGCTGCATCGCCTGCACTCAGTTACTTCAGTCAGTTAAGCGAACTGGCTCAAGCCATGTTGCGGCCCACTGCGGACAGCGAGATGGATCCAGTGAAGAAAGCAGATGTTGGCAAAACAGCATTGCAATGTCTCACAAACTGGGATTCGAGTGCACGATTGAAACGCACACGCAGCGGTGGTGATGCCGTTTTTCGAGACAGTCTCGTTGACGAGGAATTATCTGTGGACCTTTCTATTGCAAGCAAGCTAGATGCGAATTTCAAAATGATTGCCGAGCAAATGAAGGCTAAGCACCAGCATGCACCTGTTAAACAGTATTTTCCTCGAGAGTTGGAGGCTTACGCTGAGCGCGCACTATCGCAATACGTTTTGGTATTATGGGAATACTACGAAGCAGCTTTCGAAAACCCAGCAAAGATGCCGATAGCGCCGTCGCTCGAGTTTGCAATTTCCGTGCCATTTTTTTCTGACTAGTTGATCATGTCAGTGTATAACTAATTTGTAGACATACACTAGGCCTGTTTACCTGATACGCTAGTGCACAGGACCCAGCTAGACTTGAGCGTAGAGACTTAACTGGCGAAACATTTCTTTACTGCTGTACACCGTAGTAGTTGCCCCCGCTAAGATAATAGAAACAACAATCAAAATTACATCTACAAACTTTCTGTCACTCGACGCAAACTACATGCATTTCCTCACCATACAGTGGCTCTGTCGTAAACATGCGCACGTCACCAGCCCGTACGCGCTTCCAGTCACGTTTTCGACGAGCAAACAAATTGTCGTGTTCTTTCTTATCTGCCGTACGACCTAGTGAGGCAAAAATCGAGAAAGGTATCAGTTGACTAGAATAAACCAGTTCAGCATAGGAAACTTACTTGGATGGGCCTGCTTGCGCTTGCGTGTCGTTCGAAAAGAATGCGTCTGCACATAATGTAGGAAGCACACCATGCAGTAAGTAAAATGAAGCTTCGTTAGCTCCATGTATACAAGCAATCAACGGCACAGACCGCAGCATTAATCTGAACGAGTCGCTCACGTTCTTTTCGATCCAGCGTGTGTTCCACAAATGCTTTCAGCCACCACTAAATGAACCAACACAAGACACTATGACTGTTACTATCCAGGACAATCCATACCCTTCACCCACAACACGCACCCTTGCGTCCATATTGCGCAGCGAGTGTTTCTTCGTGCGCACGTAGGTCTCAAGAAAAGAGTCGTCGCGCAGTCTTTCGCGTTGCCCATTCTTAATGCAATCGAGTACAAATTCCCGTAGTGGTTGGTAAGCACCTTTTTTCAAGTCCGGACACTCGTGTAGCTCCATAAACTCAAACACCTGTGTCTTGAGCACAAGTGGCGCTAGATCATCTGCCAGGTCCCCTTCCACGGTCACACAAACTGTATGTACTCCAGCATTTTCAAGACGAATGTCCTGCACGTAATAGACACCGTTGGGAAAGGCCGTGCCTACTCTCTCATTGAACACCACCTTATCTTCATTTTGGATGGTCACACGCAATGCCGCAACCGCGCGAGACTTGACGACCATTGATTTGCCATTCTTAGTATACGCCACATAGAAACCCAAGTAGCTGCAAAGGCAAAGAACGAGTTGATGGGGATCAGCGAAGATTGATCTTACAATCGACATCGACAGTCAGGGACAGTGAGGATAAGACGCCTGCGAAGAACGCACCGGAAAAGCGAGAATTGAAGTGGTACTCGTTCTGGCAATAGCTCTGCCCACTTATCTGCAATGGGAAAGAGCTGATATCCGTCGGAGAGCGACGGATTGCGCTTGATAGTGATCAGCTTCAGATTCTTGAGCGACATGACTTTGAGTAGCTGGGAAGTAAGTGTAGCATATAATCGATATTACCGGTATTCATACATAATTGTACCAAATGTACGATAAAGGCCCTATTTTTGATCACTCTTGTTTCTGATGTGATACCAAATTCGTAGTTTATCTGATTCCATACGTACAAATGCACTCAAAGCATTTAATTGACGCGAAGAATCAGATCATATCCGTGTGGCTGACCAAACGATCGCCAAGGCTTGGCATAGTTGCACGTTATAGTGGCCAGCAACTCGTCACTAGCTGCTCATTATGGATATGTTTTATCGCGTTAGAGCTGGCAACGCAGTACCAAGGCGACGGCAGCAACTGCTTACACTTGTTTCCATTGTAAAAAGCTGCCAGTTAATGTGTATCCAACTTCCTGAGCATCATTCTCTTCGACTACAACAGTGCTATCAGACGTGAATCACAATTATATTGGAATAATTACCATGCACCGCAACGACTCATTTTACTAATGTCTAGTAAGACCAGACACGTCGTGATGCCGTTCAGATATTCGTCGAAACAAAACTGGACAAGCTTGATTGATATAGAGCAATGAACGCACACATCTATGTGATAAAGAAAGACGTTTTGCAGACGATGAAGACCTATCTATGAGGTGCGTAAGGCTACACATAATCAGCAAAGAATCATGGAAAGTACCGGTTTTAGTACGGTATTTGTATCTCACAAAAAAGCGTGTGATAATATATTACTTACCATTGCGTTTCATAAATCATGAGCAGCCGCTGGAACATTGCGGAGACGCATTATGTAGCAAAGAGGAAGACAGAAATGGGTGAAAAGTTTGTAAATAATTATCAAATTTTGCATACATTGGGTCAGGGACGATTTGGTAAGGTAAAACTCTGTGAAAGGCTTGCAAATAGTGAGACACCGAGCTTTACTTCTACCAATAACGTTGAGGATGTGCATACTGTCTCAAGTGATGCGCATAAAACTAGTGACGATACAATAACACCATTAATACGACCAGTATTTTCTCCTCCTAAGGCAAGACTGTTTGCAATGAAGATCTTCTCCAAAAAGATGCTACGCCGTCTCAAAGACTACTGTGCGGAACCTGCAGGGAATCAACTTGGCGATGACGATACTAAAAAAGGTGCAGTGCCTATGAGGATGCGGGCGGTAACAGCTCTGGACCGTGTTCATGAGGAGATTGAGATAATGCGCTCGCTTTATCATCGCAATATTGTGTTGCTGTTTGAAGTGATTAAGGCGAACGACAGCGACAAACTCTACCTAGTGCTTGAATACATGGCATGTGGCCCATGTATGGTCTTTCGACCGGATACGAAGGACTTTTACAGTCCTGTTACGGGTGGCACGCTACCGGAGGAGCTAGCACGTCAATATTTATCCGACATCCTTCTTGGCCTGCAATATCTGCATCAAAGACGAATATGCCATCGTGACATTAAGGTGAGTGATAAATTGCAGCATTGAGCTGTGCTCAGTAGTCATCTAAACTGCTCATTGTATGATCTGTTTAGCCCGACAACGTGCTACTGAATGAGTCAGGGTGCTGTCACATTACTGATTTTGGTTGTGCAAAAGCTCTTAATGGTGTCACAAAGGATGATGGAGTAGGTGGGGCAACACACATTAATGCTGAACCAGTGCTACTATCGGATACAGTAGGAACCTACCAATTCTTGGCGCCGGAATGTTGTTCTGGCGAGCCTTACGACCCATTTAAGGCAGACATTTGGGCAGTCGGTATTGTTTTTTACATTTTCTTATATGGAAGACTGCCGTTTTCATCTGGAAGCACGCAAGAACTATTCGATGAGATTATGCGTGCAGAGATTATACTCCCTGGTCCAGAAAAGTCTGGCCGACAACTGCCACTTTGTCCTGAAGGCAAAGACTTGCTGCACCGACTGCTTGAGAAGGATCCAAAGCAACGGATATCGATTGCAGATGCTCTAAGCCACCCATGGTTTGTGCAAGATGATATTGATGAATCTCTTTCAGTTTGATAAGTACTGGAATAGAAAGGAAATGATGTGATTGTTAGTGTCAATTTCATGCTCTGAGATTGACATCACTCTTGCACTCAAGATCCACCCGGACGTTATTTTACCATTTTAACTGCGTCACAATTAAAGGCCGTCAGTCCGCTCAGCCCGAAAACTAGAAACTAATGAAAGCCTCCAGCAAGTACAACAGCTTTTTGACTGCATTCCTCGCTGTTGTAGCAGTTCTTAGAACTAGTGTTAACCGAGGAAAGCGTGCAACAGTTAAACTTTGTCATTTGCAAACAATGTAAAGCGCCTACTTTGCAAACGATCCTCAACTTGCTCAAGTCTCTTGTGAAGCACTCATTAAGCATTCAATAAGTCAGCCAAAATTACCACGGTGACACAATTGCTATTCATTCCACCACCAGTAAATGGTGTTCTTTGTCATTTTCTACACGTTGAACAAGATAACATTAGTGACCTGACACTGGCCTCATTGCGCAACGTAGAAACAGAACGGCCCGTGGAAAACCGGCAGTACAAAGATAAAAAGCATGCCAATGAACGGGTAGCTTGAGGGATTCTGTGAAACGATGCAACGAACAAAGCTGCATGACACCCATACCAGTCTTACCAGTCTTACACGTAGAATCTACCGTGACAAAAGAGAAGTGTTGATTCTTTTGCTTTATATCCACCATATCAAAGCTATACTTGTTGTCAACAATCATACTTTATAGATCATTCTTTGCATTCAAACGTTATGTTGGACAAGACGGTGGACGCCGACCTTTCTAAACATTCACATTCTAGCACTTCTTCTCAGTCGTCACCCTCTTTATACGATGTACCGCCATCGAGAGCGGTTTGTGTATTTCACATACACACCTGCCACACCCTTTTAGTGTAGCAGCACTTTGGGTCATTGATGTGTGTCCCAGAGACCACGAGGTCATTATACTAAGTTAAAGCATATGTTTACATATTAGGAGGCTACAGAGCCGCTAGAAGATTAACATAAATGTAAATCAGTTTCAAACCTGTTCTATAAGCACCACTGCTTGAGCGTTCTCTTCGTTGAAAGACAGAAAGTTGTATCATTGATACTAGTCTCTCTGAGACTCGCTTGTGACAATCGATAGGCACAAGCTTGCGAGCTAGCCTTCCTAGCCCATAACGAAGAGGTAGTTGACCACAAGATTGAGCCGGAAACTCAAGTATGGCTCTACCTGGACCGCGTGAAAGAAGGGTACGCCAAGAAATTGGCCCACTTCTGGCATGGACCAAGGAAGGGTTAAGCACCCCTAGATATATAAGCTCTTGGAGCTTGTTTTCCTCTGCACGTAGTGCATAAGTAGCCTGGATACAGTAGCTCGACACACCTAGTAACACTTGTAGTCAATTTCGCACCTGGGTTTGCGACTACTTCTCTGTTGGAATGAACATAGATGAGATGTCCGGTTGGCCTATTGCAGGCAACAGGAAGGGTTGCAAATGGTGTCCGTATCCTTGGCTCTAAGGGCGTGGAGCACCTCATCTCCCAGGGCGAAGAAGAGGTTAGGAAGCGTATTCATATGCTTGATGAATATAATAAAGCTCTAGTCGAGCATGTAAAGGCACAGATGCCTTCTTCTTCGCCTTTGACCATGGCGACTATGGCGCAAGAAGTGGTCCGCAGACCAACACCCATACAAATGGAAGTCGATAAGTTCGACGGCAAAGAAGGTGATAGCCTTATGCTGTGGTTCCGACAGGTTGATTTGGCTTTGACTATAGCCGACATCAGCTATGAACTGTACCGTGTTGGCTTTTCCACGGTCAAGTTAGATGGTTTAGCCAAACTGTGGGCATTCACATGCGGTACATTACTGTAAGATGCATTCCCAACATGGGCCGATCTGAAAGTTCAGATGACCCGGCAGCATGCACGGCCAAACCAAGCACACCGAAATTAGTCGCAATTTTTGGCGTGTAGCCAAGGCAGGCGTGAGCTTGCGGCATGTGTGCGTGAGTTGAGAACTCTTATTGCCGCCATGGTCACAGACCCTCTGCCTGAGGCAGTGACCGTCACGGTCTTCATGGAGGGCCTCCGAGTTGGCGTTGCCAGAATGGAAGTCTTCCGGGTAAATACGTCCTCATTTGAGGAAGCTGTTGGAGTGGCATGGAATGCCGAGACCAACTTTGACATCGAGTTGACGACGCTGTGCAGCGTCAAGAGGGTTGGTTGCCTCTTCTTCAGTACCCTCTCGTTAGGGAAGCGGGGGCGCTTGGCGCGATGCGGCTGTCTGCTTTGGAAGAGAAGACACAGAATGGGATCGATATCCCTCGCTGGTGAACGTGATGATCTTGGGTTACCTTGACCCAAAATGGACTCGGATTTGCTACCCATAGAGGCAACGTCACTGTCATCGTCCCCAAAGATGTCGCGGCGCATTGCATCATCCGTGATGGAGCAAGCGCTATAGGGACAAGTGCTCTAAAAGCAAGTGTTGTGAACACTGTAATGCTTTAAAGCAAGTGCTAGACACTTAGTGCTGTGAAAGCAAGTGTTCGTAAACACACAAGGGATATTAGCTCCAAGTGCTTGGCACTTAACGCTTATAAGCAAGTGTCGTAACACTTAATGCTTTAGCGTGAGTGCGATGCACTGTATGCTCAAAGAGCGAGTGTCGTAACACAAGAATGCTTAGAAAGCGTGTGTGCAAGGCACGGGTGCTCAAGGAGCAAGTGTTAAAAACACCAACGCTTTGTTCGCAAGTGCAAGCACTTATTGCGAGGGAAGCAAAATGAGAAGAAAATGAAATCGATGCCTGCAAAAAATCGTGGGTACGTCGGCTCCCACAAATTGGTGGGGGGGGTGTAACGGGGTTACACGAAGGTGTGTATTGTACATCACACCTGGGTGTGGCTGTACCTTGGGTACAAAAGTAGGTGATGTGACTGTACCTGAAGTACGAAGGGTCGCATCGTACTTGGTCACTATACTTAAAGTATAGTGACTATGCATGTTTGCATACTAATAACAGACTACAGGGCCAGTAAATAGTGACTAGCACTAAGTATAGAGTAGGTGTTGCTATATTTAGTGTTAAAAGATAAACATAAATATAAATCAGTTTCAAACCTGCTCTGTAAGCATAAATGTTTGAGCGTGCTATTCCTCCTGAGGAATTTGTATCTTGATACTAGTCTCTTTGAGACTAGTATCACATAGTGCATAAGTAGCTTTGCTACGGTAGCTCTGTTACAATTGGTGTAAACTCAGTTGGCCACATTTGCTTCTCAGAGCGCACGTTTTGCCAGTGCCCAAGATAAGATGCAAGAGCAAGACATCGTGAGGTATTAGCGCATAATATTGATCAGTTTTTCAAAAAATCATTGTATTCTCAGTTTACATTGCAACTGAGTGCCCTTAATAGCTAAGCTTTGGCTTTGGAAGGACTCCAGTGTGCGGAGAAGCTACAGAGCGGGCACGCCGATATCAAGAGAGATAGGAAGCTTAAGCACAAAGATACAAAACACGTTTGTTTTTCTCTAACTCAAGCCCTTCTCGAGCGCCTTACTACCTACCCGTACGCTTCCCATTAATGACGATATAGAAAATAGAACGAGTCTAGAAACTTTTACAATCGACTAATTAATACTAAAGATGAAGTATTGACGGTAATTTGAGTGCTAAATCTATGGCATTATAACTCTGTAGTATCCTTCTTTCACGACCGCTATTCATTTGTAACAATGACACTCAAGGCGAGTGTTTTGAACGGTAACGTGGTGGGGATGGAAGAGCTCGTATCCAATCGTCAAGGATGCTTGATTATACGCGGTTTAATCAAGACAAAGTGCGCTTTTTTGGCATAATAATGCGTAATGACGTTACCAATGGATTTTTGTTGATGACATGACAGACTTGAGGACTTTACGGTGCGCGAGATCAGTGTCACCGGTAAAGTGTTGGATTTTAATGATAAAAGTGACCTCTTGCCAACCGAGAGTGAATACGACGGTGTCCTGAAGAAGCTTGAAGCAAGGCAGCAAAAGGAAAAGAAGTCAAGAATCCTCTTTGATGAGCCTGCTGATGGCTGGCGAAGAGCGCTGACGGAGCTAATTGGATCCAAATCTTTTGTCGGCGTTGAGGACGTGGCAATAGGCCACAAAGAAGATATCTATATTGCATCGCCCGTAGAAAGTCAAAAGCGCGTGTATCTTTAAGTTTGCATCCAAGTATGCTACGCAGCTCTTAGTTTGATTTTCAGCTGAAGACTGATTAGCTTTGTTTAGAATTGCTTCCAGGACTTGACTGCAAGATTCACAAGATGTCATCATTGGAGGAGCATGCACCACAGCAGATTCAAGTGTTGTTGGATCCTGTCTACAAGAACTTCGAGTTGGAGGGATGGCGCTGGAAAATTGCAACCGTCTACTTACATTTCTTCGAAAAAGAGCAAGTGATCCAGCGGCACCAAAAGGTAAGCCGGGAGTTTGCAGTTCTCACTGAAGATCTCAGCTGACAACAATGTACAGGACTTGAACTTGAGCATGAGGACACAAATGAAGCTCGGACCATGCTGCATCGGCTGGTTGCCAAGAACGCGTCATGTCTGAAAACGAAGACGGAAACCCGAAAGGGTGTGCCCACCTGGTTGTGTACTTTGCACCAAAGAGCAATCAGAAGCGCAAGCGCTCTCAGTCGCACGTGTATCTTCGGTTTGTGCTGCAAAAGGTAGTATTCTTATAGTGCTTGGCACACTGCTTCTCTTTTCTTTTGACATTCCATTTTCTCGAATGCCCTATAGACAAACCTAGAACATTTTGCGGCTATTGATAAACTAGCTCGTAGGCTTCGTCGACCAGTCTCAGCATTCTCATACGCAGGCACGAAAGACAAAACAGCTATCACATTCCAGCACATCGTGGTTAGTGGAATCGAGTCTGATCGTCTCTTAAGCATCAACACATCTGCAGGTGACACGACAACGGCCATTCGGGTTGGAAATTTGAAGTATGTCGAAAGTCCGATGTCATTAGGTGAAGCAAGTGGGAACAGGTTTACAATCGTAGTCCGATATCTTTCCGCCGAGCCGCAGTCCACTTACAAAATTTTTCGGTCGACGCTTGAGTCTGCACTGAGCGATGTTGAGCGTCAAGGCTTTATCTATTACTTTGGCTTCCAGCGCGTTGGTCTGCCGACGAGTACGGTGAGACCGTACCATATTGGTAAGATGATGATTGCTTGCAAATGGGAAGAAGCTTTGAGACTTATCTTACAAGTTAAGCAAACGGATTCTGAGGCTGCTGTCAGAGCAAAACGGCTTTATCTTGAGTCGGGTGACGTTGAAGATGCTCTCAAGCATATGCCACGCGGCATGTCCATAGAACGTCAAGTGCTCCAGCGATTAAAACGGCACGGAAGTGGTGCATTTGAGCAGGCGATTCGAACTGTGGCGCACTCGCGTCGCGTGATGTACATGCACGCGTACCAAAGCTTTCTTTTCATCGGATGGCATTGTTTCGGCTGCGCCATTACGGAAACATACATGGTTGTCGTAGGTGATCTGATTCAGTGTAATACCCAGAGTGAGACAACAGTGAAGGTAGTCACTGCTCAAGAAGCGAATGAATCGAACAGAACTTGCAAACAGGCGTTAGGACTGGTTATCCTACCGCTGGCTGGCACAAGCGTTGTTTTACATCCAACGCGACGAAGGACGCGTGTATCAAGGTTCATTCTTGTTACGAAGTGTGTGCAAGGGCTTCATAGCCGACTGACTGCATTGTGCTGTACTCTAGATAATGGAGCAAGATGGCACGAAAGAAGCTCTCATTGAGTCGGGTCCATTGAAAGGCGCCTACCGATCTCTGATTGCGTACCCATGTCACCTGGACTGGACTTGGCAAGAAGACCATGATGAGTGTAAGTGATGCTATTTCTTTCATTGCTTTGGCACGGCCGACTCAACCTCAATTTACGTGCGTCACTGTTGTAGCGCTCTCACTGCAGCTCTCGTTCTCACTTAACACTGGATGCTTTGCTACTATGTGCTTACGAGAGTTGCTTCATTCGGACATCTAGCAGCGGTGATATCCAGTACACAACATTAGCAAGTCAGCAGTCGATTCATTACGCGTCTGGCCGCACCAGTACATTGTCATTCTTCATTCTTTAGCAAAGAGAACACATCACAGATTACGTTCTATTTCTTGTCCTCTAACGCTTGTCGCACGAGCTTAGCGCCCGTGACCATGAAGAGCGTCTGCCAGATGCCCAGACCCAGACGTGGCACAATGCCCTTGAAGAGACCACCATAGCCCTGCTCCTTGACAACAGTGCGAAAGACCTGAACCATGTTCTGCTTAGGTTCACCTCGGTCCGCGGCACTCTGCATCTGGATGCGTGCCACTTCGAAGGGGTGATTCCAGCAAGCCAGACCGCCACCAACAATACCGGCGCCAGCTTCCTGGGCCACCGTGAGCTTCGCATCCTTGTCACCGTGAAACAGCGTCTTAAACTGACCGCGAACAATCTCCGTAAAGCCCTGACGCGACGCCCAATTGGTAGCCTGACGGAAGGCAATAGCAGTTCCACCAGGGTAAAAACCCTTGATACCGTGAGTGCCGTAGACGTTGTGGATGCGCTGCATAGTAGAGATAGAACGGTCACCCGTGACAGCACCAGTAACGAGAAAAGTGCAGGGGCCCATGACTACAACCTGACACACACCGCCGCCAGCACCAGCGAGGAAACCCGTTGCTGTTTGTCCCACGCCCGCAGACAGTAGCGAGTCAGAAATGGCCTCTTTGGAGAAGAGCAAGATAGCGCCCTTTGATGCTGACTCGACCATCTTTGGACCTGTGCCGGCCCAGAATGCAGAAATACCACCACCTTCATGCATTACGTTGCGAAAGGCTTGCAGCGTTGTCTCGGAGCGGTAGCGACCCATGCGCGTTTTCCAGACCTCGAATGGCATACCTAGCGTTACAGCTTCTAGACACTGTAGTAGACCACCGTTAAATAGGTCACGTGGACCTACTTTCTTACCAGATGTAGGCGGGGGAGACATCGTAGACTAATAAAACCACACGTGATGGAGAGATGGGAAGCAAATGATTCTCAAGATGCTTGAAACTCAAAAAAATTATTGATATCCTACGTGTCTAGTACAGTTGCATACAGTCTTAAGATATATGCAATACGGTACTTGATCACGTCGATCCTTGGACATTGTGACGTCACGGCGTCGACTATATTACTATTAAGCCATATTTTAGCTAACCATATTCAGAATCATATATGTATTGACACAACTAACCTTCATGGCAAGTGAGACGTCAAGTGTGCTTGTATTCCGGGTCGTAGATGTTCATGAATTGCTAGTAAAGTCTAATCCATTTAAAACACAAGACGTGTCACGGCGCGTAATTGCGTCATTAGATCAATTCAGTCGACAGATTCTAGACCACTAGTAATATCAACTCATTATTTCGACATTGCTAGTTGGCGATTACTATCATCGTACAAGCTTCTGCTTTGACCCCTTCCCATCATTCATTAAAGCTTATGTACCCACCCTCCTGTGTCACATGGAGCTCGCTCGGTACATGAGACGTTTCAAACACGCTATAGACTTAGCAACAAGAGTGTATTTATTTGTACCCTGTACATCCATACCGCAAGCCACAACACACACACGCATCCACCATCAATCAACGTTATGAGGATGACAAGAATACAACTTGTGTCTAGATCGATACGACACTCAATGCCCCGGTAGGCCAGTTTTCGCTCTGATTACTGGCGGGCGCTTCAAAACCGACATTTTCAGCAGAAAAGAGTCAGTCAGTCAATAGTGTCAAGTGGTTGAATTTTTCAAGCGTTGCATCAGAACTTGCATTTTGTATGATCGATAATAGTGTATCAACTCTTGTCATAAAAATCTCTCCCAACCTCGAACGAAGCCAAGAATTAGTCGAAGGGTCAGGCACGACAGCGGGAGAAAACAGGTTGAAATCAAGATAGTGGTACAAGAGTCAGTTTATATCGCAACTATATACACGTCCGCGAATTCAATTCATCCTGAGGGTCCCATCTGTTCGAGTAAAGAGGGATTCTACTAGGTAAGAAATAAGGGATATTAGGGATAAAGAGAGACACGACCACGGATTACAGCGAGTTGTCACACTCGTGGGTTTTTCTACTCTCTAGTGTCGTGCATTCATCATCCTGAGGGATTTTCTTTTCCATTTTGTAGCAAAGTCTAGTTTCGTGACAAAGAGTGTGTATCGACTGTTTAGGACGAAGTTTGAAACTGTGACATCCTTTGGTTGATTCCTGTGTATATCCATCGATCGATCGATCGATTTGTCCGATAGTAGACAACGTCGTCTACACACACGTACGGAGTTTAGATGTCAAGGTCGCTTAGTATTGAAATCCCGTACCACCGTCGCTCCATTACCAGTCACTTGCAGCAACACCGTGGTACACCACTATTGGAAGATCAGAATTACATGAACGCATTAAATCAACCGTCGAATGGCTTGTACGTCATGGAGACTCCAAAGGAAGGAGATGTGGTACCGAGTGGACGACGATCACTGCGTCAATTCCCGCCTGTGGATCACAATGGACCATTTCGACAACACCTTGGCACACTTGAAGCCTCTGGGGCCTTTTTAGCGATGGATAATGGCAGCACTATTAGTAGCCCGAGCAGCAACTGCATTGAATCATTGAGTCTCAATAATAATAATATGAGCGCTACAGCACAGCAGCCGTTGATCTCCACGCCACGAGCGACGCAAAAGAACATTGTTCGCGTCATTGATAAAGACATGACACAGCAATTTCGTGGCCGCTCCAAGTATATGGGACAAGGACGTATTCGCTGGTTTGAGAATCGAAAGTCACAGCTTCTGGGGTTTTGCCTTACAATGGCGTTCTTAGGTGTATCCGTCGCAATGTACAACTATCGGTGGACGGGACTTATTGCTGGATCGATAAACACTATCATTTGCGGTTCTGCCGTCGTGATCACGTACTGCCGCAAGAAACAGTGGCATCAGCATCCGAATCCCATTGTGCATAACCGTTCGGTGCTGAGTATCTTCATGGCAGTTTGCTTGCTGTTGAACGTTATTGTGGACTTTGACCCGAGTGGGTCCAATACAAATTGTCAGCGACTTGCCGGTATCACTGAATTTTTTTTCTTTACAGGCGAAGCATGGGGACTCGTCATGGCTTGCGATCTCTTCTTTTCGGTTCGTACCATGCAGTGTTGTTCTCTCGTGCTACTTGTTGCTGCTACGAAGAACTTTAATTTGACGTTAATTGTTGTGTGTACAGCTTACTAGTCCGTTCACAAGCTACAAGCGGTTGATGAAATTTTACCACCTATGGGTATGGCTAGGCGGAATCATAATGGGCGTCCTTACGTACTCGGTACAGGGTGCAGGTGGTTTCTTTACCGTCGATGGTCAGTCGATGACGTATGGATCCGACACTGATACGGTTATCGGCTTTTGTCTTGCGTCGTCGCGCATTTGCTGCGACTCTGGTGAAGCCTGTCCGGATAGTATAACGAAATGCTCAACCACCTCTAGCTTCTTAAACGCGCAGAAGTGGTGAGTAAAGGGCTATGGCTATTTCCTGGACTTGTTGCAAGCCGGCATGTACGATAAGTGGGTACTAACGCTGTTTGCAATAATTTACAGGCCCTGGATATTGATTTACTCTTTTGTCTTGCTGGTGCTCTTTGTATCTGTGTGGTAAGGCCTTTGTTTGTTAGCATTGACTGAGTGTGTCTGTATCTAATACCACGATGTTTTTTGTGCAACAGCGTGTTGACATTGGCTTGGCACCGACTTTACCTCCGCGGCGTCCCGAAGACGTATAACATTCGCCTTCGTGTGCTGAACTATATTTCTTTGTAAGCACACGCGTGGACATTGTTGTGCTAGCGAAGTCGTATCTGACCAACTTGGTATTGTGTAATCTTCTTCGTTCTTAGCTTCACTGGTGCTTACGTTTTCTACTGGCTGCTCCTGCTACTACTATACATGTGCGCCTACTTTTTGTCGACGAAGAGCGACACGTCGAACTCAGAGGCCGTCGCGCAGGTGCTTCGTCAGCTTGTGATTTTCCTCATTTCGTCCAAGGGCTATCTGGACTATGTGATTTGGTTTGCTGTAAACAATATTGAGAGGAAGGGTGGAAACGGACGTGCTAAGTCTGCAGATGTGGATGTTGACTTGAGCCCGCAGGTGAACACAGCACTGCGTTCAGAGATTTTATATTACACTACGTCTGGTATTAAGGAGTCCGTCCGCGCGGTGACTGATGAGCTGATTTCCATCCCAATTTCTGGCGAAAGCGAAGAGGTGTGTAGTTTTGCATTGTTTATGTTGTTGTTGCACAAGCTGGATGGGATGCTGATTATGATCTATGACGTTCAATTGACAGGGCAAGAAGTCTATCAAGTTCTGGTCGTTTTGCCCCGCTTCGTTCCGTAACATCCGTCTGACGTTTGGAATTAGTGATGCTGACTACGTTCAAATGTTTGGCGCCACCACGAAGGAACGGTTCAGTGAAGGCCGCAGTGGAGCTTTCATGTTTTACACGTCAGATGAGAGTTTGATTGTGAAGACTATGTCACCGGAGGAGTGTGCGTTCTTGCGCAAGATGGCACCAAATTATGAGGCCTACATGACCAGTAACCCCGATACTCTTTTGACGCGTTTCTATGGCTGTCATTCCGTCTCACTGTACGGAAAGATGTACTACTTCGTGGTCATGGGAAATCTGTTTTCGGACACGGATGTTGTGCACCACCGTTACGATATCAAGGGATCATGGGTTGATCGTAATGCGAAGGTACCGAGCCCCGGTGACAAAACTGCATGCCGTTACTGCAATGCCTCGTATACGTTTGGCAGTACAAAGAATCAAGAATGCGGAGATGGCATGAACTTCCACGAGCCCGATATTGTTCTGAAGGATAATGACTTGATGACCAAGGTACGTCTTAAACTTTGAGTTCATAACTTTTGTGCAATGTGATGGCTTAGTTTTTTTTGTGGTTTAGATTCGAATCCATCCAGCCACTGCCCACCGCATCTACGACCAAATCCACCGAGACAGTGATTTCTTGTGCTCTCAGGGTATTATGGATTACAGTCTGCTGATGGGTATTCAAAGTTCGGAATACTTTGTTGACACGAATCAATTACCGCAAGCTCGTCGTGACCTGCTCTTCACGCAACCCGCAACGAGTGTAGCTGGTCCCTCGCTTTACCATTTCGGTATAATTGATTTTCTCCAGCAATGGTGCGTCCATGTTGTGACTATTAGAGTTTGTTGCTGCCGGCACTGACATTTGTATTACTTGTTCACATATTCAGGACGTTGGAGAAAAAGATGGAACGTTTCTACAAGACTATTATCAAGCGCAAAGACCCTGAAGGTGTCTCTGCGCTGCCGCCAAAGCCTTATAAGTTTCGTTTTCAGCAAAAGATGTCACGGATTTTTGCATTATCAACGCACACACGAGCCAAGAACGACACGGCATTTAACCACAATTACCCGACGCTGATTGATGTGCTGGATCAGGGCAATTATGACGCTCAGCGCCACAATACGTTTATCAGCAACTCCGTGGTGGACCAAAGGCCCGTGTTTAATCCAGATCAACAGCAGGATATTCGCGTAGTGTAGTCAAGAAAAAACGTCATGAGCAGTAGCAGAGCGAAGCCAAGGTAGAAAGCATTGGGACACGTTTTGAGAGAAAGGAGAAGACATTTGGGCACCTTTTGAAAAAAGTGAGTAAGTATAAGATGCTGTTAATATATGAAATGGCACTGTCAATTTTGACCAATCCAATGATCCCACCTAATTCCCATTAGAGCTCTCTTGTAATCAATAATAATAAACGATAATGGTAAAGGTATGACTTGCTGTCTCCTCAAAAGCCTTGCTATAGAGATATATATGCGTGTTATATTATCGAGAAGTGGTGGTATTTGTGTGTTTGATCTATTAGCATCTTGATTGATTTACGTGGTTTATTTTATGGACCCTCTGTAGACGTCGTCTCCAAGTGTAAAAGCGATCTTTATCCTAGATAGCGATGGTACTCGTGTGTGTGCCAAGTACTATGATAAGTCATACCCGACACAAAAGGAGCAGCTAGAGCTAGAGAAGAAGATTAATGATAAGACAAAAAACTCGACTGCTCGTTTGGAAGGTGCGAATATTGCTGAAACAATCGATATATAGACGATGGTTTGACGAATAGAATTGATGTTGTAGCCGATATTATTCTCATTGAGAACGTTGTTAGTGTGTACCGTTGTGGATCCGACACTACGATGCACGTGATTGGATCGGCTACAGAAGTGAGTGAGCAGTGAATAAGGTCGATGATAGGACGACTTATGGATCAATCTATTTATTTATTGTCATGTGTTTTTATCATGATAGAACGAGCTTATCCTGTTGAATGTATTGGACTCGGCCTTTGACACTGTCAGCAACTTGCTCAAGTGCGTTGTTGCGTTTGGACAGTATTGCTAGTGCATTTGTGAATCTGACGATGAGCTATTGCTGGTTGCTGTAGAGGACGGATGGATCGTCACGTGATGCTGGATAACATTGAGCTAGTACTGCTCACATTCGACGAGGTTGTCGACGGCGGGTAATGTTTGCAAAGTCTTTTAATCGTCTCTGCTATCCTTGTCGTAATGTTTAACGATGCTATGTTTTGCACTACAGTATCATTTTGGAGGTCGACACGCCGTCTATCTCGAACCGCGTGCTCATGCGCGTAAGAACTGACGTTTCATTATTGCTAAGTTTTGATGAAGATCTGTTCCACTGACATATTGCCTGCTTCTTTCTTTTCACTGTATAGGGTATCGACAATGAAGTCCCAATGGTAGAACTCACCATTTCACAGGTACGTCTGCTACAGAGCGAGCGAGGCATTGAATTTTTTTCCTGCTTTTGCTTACATTGTGGCACGCTTTGCAACATATTCTCAGGCATTTGCTTCGGCTCGCGAACAATTTTCGCGCTCGTTCCGTAGCTAGACGGCGGCATTCTTAATCCGACTCGAATATTTTTCGATTTTTACAATAGCTCACAAAAATGTCAAAAAAAACAGTTTTTAATTATTGGGTCCAAACAATTTTGAATTATAAGATCAAAACAGTTGACAATAAAAATTGGTGACAATTGTTAGTAATTATTGATTGCAAGAGCTAGCTGCTATTGGTCAAAAATAGCAGCATAATTAGAATCGTGTCATTTTTACCATTGGAATCGTACGGGTCTTGGTCATGACGCAGGAAGAATTAAGGTCAGGTATTGCAAAGCCCTGGGGACGATTTCTACTCGTATCGAAGAAAATAACCGACGATCATGATCATATTTACTTTATAAATCAAGTGACTACCATCGGTCGTAATAAAAGACGCTGCGATCTCGTGATTAATAAACTTTTCATCAGTAGCGTGGTATGATAATTATTGATTGCAGGTTTTATTGACGGATATCTGTCCATACCGTCTTGTCATTGATATAGTAAGATGAGAATGTATTGCAAAGGATATTTATGGTAACATTGTACTGTCGTTGGATTATCTATCGACAGCATTGCGTTGTGCGGCTGGACGGTACTGACGAAACTGGCAAACCTATTGTCAAGCTGGACGATAACAGGTTCTTTGCGACGTTTGTATTGATGCAGTAGGTTTGAATAGATGTTGGATAATTTATGCAATGCTGTAATGATGCTCTTGTACAGCCGAAATGGTATCTGGGTCAATGCAAATCGCGTAGGTAAAGGAGTCTCCATGCAGTTGAACAGTGGCTGCACGGTGCACTTTACTAAACCTGGTACAACACCTGCAGGTAATGTATACAAAAATAGATTGATAGCCATTTGTATGAACTGTCAGCTTAAGGTTGCGATTGATGAATGTTTGTAGGGGTCACTCCAATGGCTTACAAGTTTGAGTTTCTCGAGTACGCACTTTCCATGGCAAGCTTGTGATTATTGTTTGCTTTGTGTTTGACGTTCCTTTCTTTATCAGCGTTGATGATTCACTACCAGTGTTTCTAGAACAAGGCGAGGTGAACGAAGTGATAGAAGATATTGATATGACTGCCGTTGCTGACAAGTCTTTCGAAGCAACACAATTGACTGCACCAGCAGATCCATCTTCACCGTCAGAGAAGAAGCGTAAACGAATGGACGCGGATTCTGTGGCCGTTAGTGTTGCAACCCAAGAACTTGAAAGTGAGCTTGAGGCTACAAAAAGACAGCTTATGATAGCTGGTAGCCAACTTAAAGCTGCAGAAGCTCAGCTAGAACAGAAGAAAGGGTTGAAGGAAACTGTGCAGACACAAGTGAACAATATTGCAAAAGAAAATGTAGATTTGATAGTGAAAATGGAGGCAATTACAGCGGAGAATTTACAACTCAAGGCGGAATTGGCCGCGAAAGACAAAGCTATGGAAGTAAAAGTTAAGGAAGCTACGACAAAAGGCCTCGAAGTAGTCTCTGAAGAGAATGACAAACTGAAGGAGAAGGCAATTATGAAAGAGAAAGCTATGGAATTGAAGATCAAGCAATCTTTCGCGAAATTGTTTGAGGCAGACTGCGAGGCAAAATCACAAGAAATGGCAGCGAAGCTCCAAGAAGCGACGAAGAAGTACCAGCATAAGGTTGAAGCAGAGAACTATGAGCAGCGAAGAGAAATGAGCGAGCAGATAGCTGTCCTTACCAATGAAAACGAAAAGCTGCAGACAATTGTCGATAAAAAAAATGAGGAGCTAGCTGAATGTGGAGATGGAATTGCGCGTCTTCGAGACAAGATCACTGCTTTGGAAGAAACAAACACCCTCTTGACTGCAAAAGGCAAAAGTATAGCAGAGCTTGAGGAAAAAATTGCTGATCTAGAAGAGAAGCTTACCGTATCGAAGGACGAAAGCGCGGAAATTGTTGGCCTACTGGCTGCAGCAGAAGAAAAGATCGTTGCTGCAGAAAACAAGGCTGCCAAAGCAGAAATAGCTGCTGCAGCTTCTGCACGTGCCAATGCTAACAACACGGCTGATGCGAGTGAGCGACACGAACTGCAAAAGTCGATTTCCTCTCTGCGTAGGGAGCTTGAGACATACCATACTCAGCTTACGAGCCGGAGAGACGAGGTACGTAACTACATGGGGCTGTTGCAACCATGTTTGTGTGAAAGACTAATGCTTTTATACTTGCCAATTGAAAACACAAGTACCAGGCGGCTACAATAATGTCCATGGCAACAGCTCCGTTAGTAAGTAGTGCTACAAAGAGGTACGCAGTTGTCGTTACTGCTGAATTGTCGTGAGAGATGTGAGATGATAACTAAAAGATTGATTAGCATTGCACAAGGTGAGGACAGTGAGGCGTTACGCGCCAGATTAGCTACTGCATTGAACCTGTTTAGCCAAGTGCAAGCTCTTGGTCTCCAAGGTGCAAGCTTGGCTACTATGACAAACAATAGCTCCGAGCTAGGAGATCTTCATCTTTTGTCGGCTGCATCTGCAGAATCGAAGCGCAATAGCACACGAGTGCTGAAAGCATCGTCGTCTTTGCCAACTGAAGATGACCAACACATTGCACAAGATGACGCGAATGGTTCATCCAAGGAAAAGACTGCTAAGCAATTTGCAGAGAGAGCTGGAATGGACAACGTTGGCAAGGTGGACGGGGTCGAGTGTATGGTCGAAAATATCCATGAAACAGCTGAATCCAAACTATCGTCGCCCTACTTGAAGCAAGTGACACTTTTGTCTGGGGCGATTGAAGCAAATGCCGCCTCGGCTATTGCAGCGATGGCATCAGCTGAAGATAACGAAAAACGCTCGCCCAATACTGGTGTTTGCGTGACAGGTAAGTAATGATGTTAGCGAAAGTGACTGGGAAAAAATGGTGGAATGAAGTGGTAAGGACATTAGATAATAAACACCTAATAAAGTCACTAAGAGATAATACGCTCATTCATCATTAATTACACCGTAACCGATGATTGTTTTTGACTTGAGCAATAAATAGTACCGGTATGTCCACTCAATCTCCTCATTCATTAAGCAACAAACACTCAAGTACCAACTTGGGCTTCCACAGCCACAAACGTCCTTTCGTGCTATGTTTCGTACCGCTTGTCTTCTACGTCCAGCTCTTCGAGCCCAACGTCGTATTTCCGCTTGTGTCATGCGCAGCTTTGCCTCGTACCCTCCTCATGAAGTTGTTGGTTTACCTTGTACGTCAACAATCGAAACGAGTGTCCTTCGTTTCACTATCCGTGCAGATTGATTAACGCTATTTGTCATTTCTTCCTCTTATGTAGCGTTGTCTCCAACCATGGAAACGGGCAATATGTCCAAGTGGAATAAGAAAGAGGGAGACGCCATTTCGTCTGGTGATATCGTGTGTGAAATTGAAACGGACAAGGCTGTTGTTGACTACGAGGCCACGGACGATATGTTTCTAGCCAAGATTCTCATTCCAGAGGGTACCGAAAACGTTCCTGTGGGTCAGCCTATGATGGTTGTATGCGAAGACGAAGAATCAATTGCGGCCTTCAAAAACTTTATAGTCGAGGACGTACCAGCAACTCCCGCTCCCCCTGTGCTATCGGAGGAGCAGGTGCCTCCTAAGAAGGAGGATGTGTCCGTGAGTACCAAGGCTCAGCATTCCATGATCCCTCAGGACTCTATGGTGAACTTGCAGAATACGGAAAAGAACGTGACCACTCCGGCTATCCCGGCAGCTCCTGTAACCAAGGCTGCGACGAAGGCGGCTCCACCAACGCCTGCTGCCAATGCCATGTTCGGAGAGAAGTGGGGTCTTGGTATCAAGAATAGCGCCATCGCAACGAGCGTCATCAAGAAGCAGCAGGCATATATTGCTCTGTACGGCATTACCGGCATGACGCCTCCAAAGCTGTTGTCAAAGAAGTAGATTTTGTGACATACAAATACACGTTGCCACGCAGAATGTTTGAAGAATGGCCTCACATATTTATGTGCGTAGCACTTAAATGAGCGAGCAAATGAGTTTCATACCTCAATACTCGTAATAAGACTGAGAGACTACCGTAAACTTAGTGAGGTACAGTGACGCTCATTGAGTGAACCTTTTCAAGGTGACTAAGCACGCCAAATGCATCAACGGTGAGGAAGTCAAACAATCCCGGGTGCTTTGCATCCAAAGCCTGTGGAGCATAATCATAAGTCAATGACACGGTCGGCCCTTTATGACGGTACCATGACGTACCTGATACTCGTTCAAATCAATAACTTCATTGTGGTCCAGGTCAGCATCTAGAAAAGTGTTGTCCACAATATGAGCTAGCTGGGTCTCTGACAGAGAGATTTCCAGCTCTATACACTCAGCACAGCAACAAATACAACAAATAATAAGACTTTACGCACAAACCACTTCACTCCAGCAACAAGCTAAACACTCGTACCGTCACATTCATCCAGACACGAGCGCAGCAACTCTGTCGTCATCTTTTTATTAATAAAACCCGTGCCCTCTGGATCCAGTAGATAAAACGATAGCATCAGTTTTTGCTCACGAGTCGCTTTCTGACTCAGAAGCGACAGGCCTTTCATCAGATCCTTAAACGTCACCTAGTATCATTCCAACACCAGCAAATGCTTAATATATACAGCACCATGAGTAACCATAAACAATCCATTCTCTTTCATACATGTCCTTTCTTGTCCATATCAAAGATCGCATACAGGCGGTTAACATAAAGACTCGACGTTCGGCCATCACCACCTGCCAAGAAGCGGAAAAACTCGTCCTTGGGAATGACCACAGCATCATTTTCATGTTGTTCGAGCACGACCGCCAAATGCTTGCGAATAGACAGCATCTCGTGCTGAGAAAAGACAGCAGAGACGTCCACATCGGCCAATTTTGTCTCCAATAACGAGTGTGCAGGCACCGGAGAAGGCGTTGATGAGGTGCGAGATATTCTAGAAGGTACAGAAGTACGTGAAGCATTGGCAGATGGAGGGAGAGAAGTCGTAGATGCAGGCACAGTGGACGGAGCACTGCGTGGCGCACTCGACGGAGGCAGCATGGACTTGGCTTGTTTGTTCCCCATAGTAATAATAGGATAGTGAACTCTATTGAAGCTGAGAATAGGATTTCGTGTAAGTAATGTGTGTACCACATAATCATGTACATGAAAAATTACATTCAAACCTACCATTGGTAATAATTCTACATACAAGTTAAATGGTGACTCAAGTCTCAACATGCGTGCAAGAGGAAAGTGGAGAGATAGTAGTCGCTGTGTATAATGAAATTAATGAAGCTATTAATATGGTACAAAGTGAATCTCCACTTGTATCATCGGAAGGTTTCTCAAAGCTTTCACACGCTACGTTTAATAACCGTGAGTTGTTGATAGATTGAAGGCTTGAGTCATACCTTGAAACGATGTTTAAATCAATTGTATTGTGTCTTGTAGCAATAGGAAAAGAAACAGCAGGACAAGTGGGAGCCATTAAAGCTATTGTGAATGCTATGGAGAGGAATCGTACCAATGGAACTGTGCAAGAAGACGGCTGTCATGCGCTGCGCAATGTCGCATTTCATTGCTGTGAGTTTGTAGACTGAAACGTGTCTGCTAATGGTGAAAAGTAATAGTGAATGACGAGGAAGTGTATTGGATGTCTATAGTGCCTAACTTGGTGTTAGTTCGAGAACAAGGCGCGATTGCTGCTGTGCTTAATGCAATGAAGTCGCATCCGGAAAATGAAGCTCTTCAAGCCGAAGGCTGTTGGGCACTTTTAGTGTTCTGCACCAACACGGGTATGATTTGTGAATCGAATTAATGGATGGTGGTGATGTGAAATTAATGCTAACTTTTGCATTTGAAAGAGGAAAACGCTGCGGTAGCTAAGCCACATGTGTCGCTGATTCACAAGGCCGTTGTTGCGTTTCCTACAAACGCCGACATCCAGAGTCGCGGTCGGTTTCTTACTGTGCTATTTGCTTGAATGATATGTATTGTGTAGTCAAAGGCAGTTGTCACTAGGTTGACGAAGAATCAAAGTTGAAAGCAGTATACGAAGCGTGAAAAAAAAGACGTAGAGCATATATAATCCTGTCTCTCTGCCATAGTGTACTCAATTTTTTTTGCTACAGCAGCAGCAGATGAATGGTTCGGTCATGCTTGCTGCTTGAACGAACCATAACTTGTAGTCCCATAGCCAGTCGAAGATGCGTAGAGACCATATTCCGGGTGCTTGTGGCGTTTGTGAATGTTTTCTAGCTCCATGAGGCTGAGTACACTTGATCCAAGACCAAGTAAACAACCCGATGCAAAGGGTACCACGCACGCCTGGAATGAAAACAATGCCGAGAATGGGTCCATAAACTGCAGTGTCGACGACAAGAAGAACCCGATCATAGCCATCATGTTCAAACCTGCATCAAAAACAAATCAGTTTACATATCTCATGACAATAAGCCGATAATAAGACGTGCAACGTACCAGTAACCCAAGTTTCGAGCGTTTTAAGGCGGCAAGAAAACCACTGGTGGACAACTTCGACATGTGCGAGGTAAGCGCTGAGTAGCAAAAAAAACGATCCCGCAAAAAAAGGAACCCAGTAGCCCACAATGAGACTCAAGTCGTTGCGTTTGACGTCCACTATTCCAAAGTTCTCCAAGTCTGCTCTTGCCCATACGTACGCGCGAGCAAAGACATAGAGCATTGATCCAAGCATGCCTAAGATAGCAGTCCAAAAATCAATTCGACTAGGAAAGAAACCCACGTATTGACGTTCTAAAACAGGCTCCGCGCCATGAAAGTACTCTTCCAACCAGATTTCGAGATTGTGACAGCAATTAATGACTTCCAGGTATGTAATAGCATGGCAAGCAAGAAAGAAGACGGCGGCCAACAGCAGCGGAAGGTCCACGTACGAGTGAACGTGGCTACCCGGTTGAAAATTGACCGGGTACTCATTATCGCCATGGACTACGGCTTCGCCCGTAGCACCTACAATAAAGAGCATAAAGGCTGTAATAGCGCAAAGACCAGCCCAAAAGCTGAGCGAGTAGACCTTCCAGTGTTTCTTGTGCCATGCACGGTAAAGCGTCGTCATCATCTTGCGGTGTGCACGAGACGACCAGACAATGCGTTTTTGATCCACCGTGTAGAAATCCACAAGCGTTGGCGAAAAGGCATCAACACCGTAATAGATTGAATTCACACTATCTGGAGCAGGTACAATGAGCTCTTCAGAAGCCACTCTAGAGTACGATGATGATACAGATGAGGCCGTAGGACTCGTGACTGGATAACTGTTGTGCTGTAGTAGCGGTAGATCCTTCTTGGCAACCATTAGTATGTAAGTATGTAGGTAAGTAAGTAAAGCCTCTAGCAAACTATCGACGACTGTAGCAACTTTCAAACTCTGCTCAAGTCGTGGTGGCACTTAGCTAGTTCGTTTATGAAAACGCTCTACGTTTTAATGGTTGCGGAATAAAATCTAAAAAAAACTTTCCCTGTGCGTTCTGGACAAAGTATTTTTGGCCGTCGTGGTGGCTGGCTGGCTGGCTGGTGGGACTTCTGAGTCGAATGTAAAAGGAGCTGCACGATCGATCGTAGAGATAGATAGATGATAATGAGCTGTGTTAATATATACCGTGGAAGAAAAAACGACCACATGACGGTTTGCTATTGCACCCGTCGGGTATTGTAAATTATAGCTTTGCGATCTTTTTTCTACTTACTGGAAAGGGATCAATGCGCATGGACGTTTGTCCGTGGTTCGAATATTACAAGGTAAACTCAAGACATTAAAGCAAGTATCAAAATTGGTGGTCACCAAGTGAAGGTGCTCAGGTCAACGTGCTACCCCTAAAGGGTTACGAGTAAATAAGCTTCGACTTAGGATATACGTGCGTTAACCAGCTGGTAGTATGGGTTCATCTGCCAAATGGTGTGGCTCAGGGCTCGCGTTATGCAATCGAAATAGATGGGCGTGGTCGCAATGATTTCGACGAATCTGATACCATGGGCCTTACCACCTTCTGTTCTTTTATCGCAGCCTTTGCGGCTATTTATGACGAGAATGAGAATGGGGACAATGTCTAACACCGTTTCGAGCATACGTTTAAAGACATATGACGACTTTTAGCAGAGAAATTGCTGCGTCTATTGGCAATAGCTGCAATAACTGCCTTTTCGAGGCATTCCATTTGACTTTGATGTGCGCCTTTTGTGACGTCTTCGATTGCCTCGCTAGAATATGACACAAAAAAAGTGAGCATAGGTTTTTATTGATAAAACAGGTTTTACTCTTTGTAAAAAACCCATGAGATGGGACTACAATTTGATTCTTCATGACGCATTGTTCAAAGGTCGTTTCGCAAAAAAAATCGAACAAAATAGAACGTTCGCAGAACTAGCTCGTACCGATATCGTCTGGCTTTTCTACCCAAATAGTTGTCTAAACTTGCCCAATTTATTGCTCATCTCACTGCAATTATCGATGCATGGTAATGTATCATACCTTTAGACAGCCCTCAGTCTCGTTAAGTGACAATGAAGATGATAGTAACGATTCCATAAGCATTTACAGCTTTGGTCAGGTATGTATGTGCACGTCAAATAATGAAAAGAAGAATTGAAAATGTACCTATTTCATCAAGCCATTAGATCATTTTGTGGACACTTTTATATGGACAGAATTCGTATGGGGAATTAGCGCTTGGTGATACAATTGACCGCAATAGACCGACTCGAGTTGATTTTAGCAGTATAAATCATCAGGACAAGCACGTGATTGATCTTGCTTGTGGAAATCAGTACACTGTTATGCTATTTGGTGGGTCTTACAGCAACAAAATAGGCTGAAGACGAAATGTACGAGCACTGATGCACAAGAGGCATCGATCGCATTGACGTGTTGTTTGCTATTGTTGGCGCGTAGACAATGGCAATGTGTTTACATGTGGGTATAATGACAGGTATGTTGGTTTATTGTCTAGTGTTTCTGTATGAGGTACTGTCGTTGGTGGTGGTGGTGGTGGTGGTACTGTTGTGGTTGACTGATTGTTTCGTCAATGGCTTTGACAGTGGTCAATGTGCAATTGGTACAACAGATTGCGTGCCAATGCTTCGATTTTCGCCAGGATTGAGCTCGTATCAAACAGTCCGGATCTTTGCCGGAAATGGTAGTGAACACGTTGCAGCATTGAGTGGTATGAAGGTCGTGGTAGATCTACACGACGATATTGTAATGAATGGCGAGTACTTACTTACTCGTATGTTCTTTTGCGTGACGGTGGCTATAGCTGACGGAAGTCTTTATACTGCCGGATTCAATGTGAATGGACAATTGGGGATTGGTACTACGACAAATGTAGCCGAAGCTACACGAGTGGGAGAGATAGTAGGCAAACGCGTGGTTGATGTTAGCTGCAGCTACTTTCACACGGCAATTGTTATGGATAATGGCGATTTGTATGGATGCGGCGGCAATGACTACGGTCAGCTTGGCTTGGGTAGTCGCAAGGGACATCTTGTACCTCAACCTGTTGAGTACTTCTTTCGGGACCCAGTGCTTGCAGTTGCATGCGGTCAGCATTACACAATCGCATCACTTAGTAGGTTTTTGTGCGAAACATGTAAATGGGTCAGCAAAACTAATAATATGCATTCGTGACCTAGAGGATGGAGGTGTCGTGGCGTTTGGGAGAAATGACCATGGCCAACTTGGACTTAATGGTACATCCGAGCCGGTATTATATCCTACACGGTTAGCTCCTCCACTGGATAGAGCAGTGGTGCCGCAGCTATCATGTGGGTACCATCACACCGCCATTGTCACTGAAGATGGCGCTGTCTACACTTTTGGTCGCAACGACTATGGTCAGCTCGGTCTTGGTCACAAACTGCACATGGCCCGACCAACGGTAAAGATAGACTTTTGTTTTGATATTATTTCTTCGCACTCGTCGGTGTGGTGTTTGTTATGGCATGTACGTTTGTGACTTCTACTGCAGATCGTGAAAAGTCTATCGCGTATGAGGATAAATCAGGTGACATGTGGTTGTTATCATACACTCGCGCTTTCAGACGACGGAAAAGTGTTCCCATTCGGTCGTAATAACCACGGTCAACTTGGATTGGAGACATTAGTGGACTGCTTAAGTCCCCAGCTCATTTCATCTCTGCTGAGCAAAACCGTTATGAAGGTAAATGTCAGCAAAGAGAAGAGACGTTCATTTTGAGCAGGCACAAGCTCACGTTATTCGATGTATGTGATGTGATCTCACAATGGCAAGTAGGTTGCTGCTGGTTTTTATCATTCAGTGTGTCTGGTCGGGACGTCCGAAAGAACGACTCAATTGACGAAAGGCATTGGAACATTAAGCGTAGATCTGAGAAGAATGTTGAACAATTTAGCTCGAAGCGATGTTTCCTTCCTGGTAGAAGATCGTCGGTTCTTCGCACATAGCTGTATCTTGGCAGCTCGTTGTGAGCCCCTAGAAAACATGCTAGACGGTCGCACGAAAGACGGGTCCGAGTCCGACATTGTTATTCCAGAGTACTCAGTACGTCGGGTTTATTGCTTTCCAGACTGCACTTATAGCTGATCACTGATTGCCACCGTGGTGTTGGTCCAGTATGACGTTTTTGCTACATTTATGGAGTTTCTTTACACTGACCAAGTGGTAGCCCTTGATTCACCCGACTTGACAGCAGGTGGAGGACATGGTGCTTGTCATTGATATTCGTTTCATCCGTGTTCTTACCTCACTATGTGTTTTGCGTATACAGATTTTATTCTTGAGCTGCATGCGCTAGCAGATCATTACCTGGTTACTAATCTTCGAAGGTATGGATGTTCATAGTGTATTTGACATTGCGCTAAAGTGAATCTGCACGCGATTGCATGTGTTAACAAATGGCTGCTGAATTTTGCATGTTGATGTATTCTCATTCTTTGGCAGTTTGTGTGAGGACGCGTTACTACGAATTCTATCAGTGGAAAATGTTGTCATCATTATGGAGGTGCGTTTAGCTATCTGTTGCCATAGTTTGGACAGGTGCAGACTGACTAACGTGTGAGTGTTTCATCTGCATTACCTGATTCAGTCAGCGCATTTCCGTAAAGCTTTTACACTCAAGAAGCGCTGCTCAGGATTTATCATGGATCACTTCGCCCATATCGTTGTTACCCCGGTAGGATTGCACAATCTAGTCTTACCATGTTCATTTGTTTTTCTCATATTGTCCGTCATTGAGCAGGAATTTGTCGGACTACCCCATGATTTGCTCCATGAGATACAACTTCTAGCTTCTCAGCAAGGAGTATCGGTTCCCATAGAGAAGAATGCTGGCGATCGCGTAGAATTTATGTCATGATAGTAAACGATCGAAGCTTTGGGTGTAGAAGCATGTGTAATTAGACCTCTGCTAGCATCTTTAAGCAAGAGCAAAATTGGTGACTATGTAGCAGTCAACTCATTTCAGTCAGCATGCTCACTGGCGTCTCTAGGTATGCCTTCCACTGGTTCGAAAAGCGCGCCATGGTCGCTCCGTCAATCACACGGTGATCGCCGCTCCAGGACACATTCATTAAACGCACAGGTTTGACATTTCCATCTGCATCATACCGAGGAAGCTTCTGGATCTGGCCTATAGCTCCAATTGCCACCTGAGGAACCATAAGGACGGGACTCATGTACGTGCCGCCAATGCTGCCGATGTTGGAAATCCTACACAAAACATACGACGTAAGTAAGATCTCACGAGCACTAGAAAGAAGTCAAATCAAAGTAAATGCGTACGAGAACGAGCCCCCCACTCAAATCGCTAGGTGTAAGCTTGCCCACAGCTGCGAGTTGTTGTAAACGATGAATGTCTTCAGCAATCTCCATTACGCTCTTTGCCTAATAAAGCAGAATCAAATGTAACGTTAGTTCGTGCACAACAATTGCACGCTGAGTTACTATCATTGTAAGTACCTGGACGTTTTTGACGTTTGGTACAATCAGACCCGTCGGTGTGTCCATAGCCACTGAAATGTTGTGCGAAGCAACCAGCGTGAGCTCCGTCTCACTTTCATTCACAGTAGCATTCAGCACAGGATAGTGCTTTAACGCCAGTGATGCAGCCTTGATGATGAAAGGCATGAATGAAAGCTTCACACCACGAGACTCAGCGAGCGGCTTCAACTTCTTCCGAAGCTCATACAGCGCATCCATTCGTATCTAATCATAACAAGTCACAAAAAGCACAACCCGCATCGGCAACATGCAGTTTAATTCACCATGTGTGCTGACTGACACCACATACCTCATCAGCATATCCAAAGTGCGGTATCTGCAATGCCAAGTTCATTGATTTGGTCATCATTTTCTGAATAGCTGTACTCGTTCATACCCAGTAAATATTATATATATCAGCACATAAGCTCCAGAAGATAGAGCGAGCAAGCAAGCAAAGCAATAGCAATAGCAAAACCCAGAGCAACAACTCACGCGTTAGTGGTACTACCGTATCTTGCTGCAAGTACATCACACTTGATCCATGCTCAGAAGATACTTGCGTCACTGCAACAGTCTCGTTTGTTTCCACTGGAGCAGCTCCTGAAGACTTTGCCGCAAGTTCCTTTATGTACTCGAGCATATCTTCCTTTAAGATACGACCTTGTGGTCCCGTGCCTTGAACATTAAGCAGATCAATCCTGTGTTCCATAGCTAAACGCCGCACCGATGGCGACGTCAGCACCTTCTCATTGCCTTCAACTTGACGAGGAGCAACAGGAATCCGTGACAAACGTGGTGTATCGTCCATCACCATGGGAATAGCTACAGAAGCAGGATCATCGACTCCTTTTTTTGAGATTTGACGAGGAATTGGAGCTCCAGAGAACGCCTTCTTCTTGCCACCTCCTTGCTGAAGAGCTGTAGCTTCATTCACGTTAATATCAATCAGCGTACTACCGACCTTGGCCATATCTCCCACGTCATAGTGAACTCGAGTCACAATCCCATCGTATCGACTCGTTATTTCTACTGTCGCCTTATCACTTTGTACTTCACAGACATTTTGAAACTGTTTAACCTTATCGCCACTTTTGACAAACCATTGTAATACTTCTACTTCAGCAATACCTTCCCCTATATCAGCTAATTTGAATGGAATCTCAGGCAATAAGGTCACAATGCTCGTGTGAAAGCTACGTCCATTGGTGAATAATTGTTTACCTAAACAACAACGTACTCGCAAGAATGCGCAATTCATTGAATGCGCGGTTGAAGTCAAATTGGATTATGCAAGTTGTAGTAGAACAGTGACTTGAATGACGTCGTCGGTGGATAGGGTAATCTGATACCACTAACGCCGAAAAAGGTCAGGCAAGGCGACGTGGACGTGGACGGGACGAAGTCAAGCTGCTTGAAGCTGTAGGTCCACCAATACTACTAAACAACTTACCACGGTCCGTCTCGTAAGCATACGTGCTTGTTTATCTGCATCTATATTGGTTTAGATGGCACGTCTAGTTCAAGATAACGCTCTTTTCTTGGGCCTTGACTGCTTCACGCAGAGCATGTCAGCTCTCGTTGTGGATACTTGCGGTCAGGTTGTGTATGAAAGCTCTTTTCGCTTTGATGAGCGCTTTCCTCATTATAATACAAAGAATGGCGCGTTGCGTTCAGCTGAGAATGAAGTGGCTATCCCGTCGTTCATGTTTGTTGAGTCTCTGGACGCCATCATGGGCGTCCTGGCCAAGAGCTCCGTTGATTTGACCAAGATCAAGAGCATTAGTGGCAGTGCGCAGCAGCACTCGTCTGTGTATTGGAGCAAAGACTTTTCACTGCGTAGGTGTTTTGATGCAGTTATAGATTCGGATGTCACGACGATGATAGAAGCCATGAAGAAGCAGCAAGAACCCGTTTTCTGCCTACCCAATGGCCCCAGCTGGATGGACAGCTCTACAACGCATTACTGCAAGGAGTTGGAGGCTGCTGTTGGTGGATCTGATCGCGTTGCTGAGATCAGTGGATCCAGGCCTACGAGCGCTTTACAGGCAACCGAAATTGCTAAGAGAATTCACGAGGACCCGGCGTCCTAGAAAAATGCGGGCGTATTGCTCTGGTGTCATCAATGCTAACGTCGCTGCTGTGTGGCGCCTACACTTCATTTGACGATAGCGATGGATCGGGTATGAACCTCCTCAATGTACGGAAGCGAGTGTGGTTCCCTAAGCTCTTAAAGACGACTTCGAAATACAGCAACTCTGCCAATGCCTCGGAGAAATTAGAGGCGGCGTTGGGCCCTCAGGTCGTTCGAGCGTACACGCCAGTAGGCAGTATCCGCGCATATTTCCAGAAGAAGTATGGCTTCGTTGCCGGTTGCATGGTGGTTCCATTCTCCGGCGATAACCCTTGCACACTCGCGGGTATCGGTCTCTCGCAGCTTGGTGATGTGGGCATATCGCTGGGTACATTTAGTACGCTGTTTGCAGTAGTACCTACAGAAGCTGTGCACTTTTCCGGTAAGGAAGGACATTTCTTCTGCAACCCTATCGATCCCAACTCCTTCATGGCGATGATCTGCTTCAAAAACGGCTCACTAACACGGCAAGAAGTACGAGACCGGTGCGCAGGTGCATCATGGGAGAAATTTGAAGAATTGTTGCAAGACACGAGAGCAGGCAACAATGGTACGACGTTGTTTTACTACCAAGAGCTGGAAATTACTCCATCCACTCTCAAGGCAGGAATTGTCGGCTTTGATGCGAGCGATGCTCGCATTGATATCTCAGCTTTACCACCTGAAGTAGAAGTTCGCGCAGTGGTGGAAAGTCAATTCCTAGCGCTGCGTTTACACGCAGAGCAACTAGGTGTAAGCAGGCCGAAGCGTCTTATCGTGGTCGGCGGGGCCTCAGCAAACAGGCACATGCTTCAAGTACCTGCAAATGTCTTCCAAGCGCCAGTGTACCGTCTTACGTGCGCCTCGAGCTCGGCTGCTTTGGGTAGCGCCTTTCGTGCCCGTCATGGACTTGCCTGTGCAAAGAACACGTCCAGATACAAACCATTTGACGCGAGGGATAGCCTGGACTATGCGTTAAGTGCAGATCCCATTGACGAAGATGTTAAGACGTACACACGCGAAAAATGCCTCGTTTCAAATTGCTGGAGAATCAAGCTGTCAGTCTACTAAGCTAACGCAGTGAGTGTGACTTGGATCTACCTGTTGTTACATATTGTTTGGAACAATCATAGTAGGAAGTTCAAGGGGAAGGTCATCCCTCATGGTAAACATCTGAGACCGTGACGTCGTGCCTTTATCTCTGTTCCACTTCCTTGAAGTTGCTGTTTTTATGTCCAATCAAATACACACATTACGATTCCACCAATCGCAGCGCAAATGACTACTTTTAAAAATGTATTATTGCTTTGTTTTACTATCTAAATGGCTACACTTCAATTATTCCGTACATCATCAAAACATTTTTCATGATGCATCAACATAACAAAGGGTATAGATGAGACGAGAGTCATCCATCTGATGCGTCACTTCAAAAAGCTCCTTAGCTCAAGCTCAAGCTCAAGTGTTTACTGACTGACTGTCAGTCTCTAAATAGAAAAAACCGATACAAAATTCAAGCCCTTTTGCCAACATGTATGGACTCTCATCAGCATCATCTCATCGTCTTTTTCCACGACGTCATGGTATGACTTCATTCGTGTCACGTACACTACACATCACTTCTTTGCTTCCACAAGCACAACGAAAAGAAAATAATGCGCTGCCCATGCTGAAAACAACACAAATGAATATGTTTACAGCCATTAATGACGCCATGCGCGTGGCCATGGAAACCGATCCTTCGGCCATACTTTTTGGTGAAGATGTCGCCTTTGGTGGTGTCTTTCGCTGCTCGGTGGACCTTTGTGAGAAATTTGGCAGTGACCGTGTCTTTAACTCACCTTTGTGTGAGCAGGGTATTGCAGGCTTTGCCATTGGTTATGCATCTACAGGACGTACGGCAATTGCTGAAATTCAATTTGCCGACTATATTTTTCCAGCCTTTGACCAGATTGTGAATGAAGCGGCCAAGTTTCGATACCGATCGGGTAATGAGTTTAATTGTGGTAAACTCACCTTTCGTGCACCATATGGAGCGGTGGGTCATGGTGGTCATTATCACTCCCAATCACCTGAAGCATACTTTGCACATACGCCAGGATTGAAGGTAGTCATGCCTCGTAACCCCGTGACAGCAAAGGGATTGCTATTGGCATCGATTCGAGATCCAAATCCAGTAATCTTTTTAGAGCCTAAGGCACTGTATCGTGCATCAGTCGCAGAGGTGAGAAAAGTGCTTATGGATTGGTGAGGGAGGGAGTAAGGATGGAGCTGAACGTAAAGATTTGTGCGTTGATGTACAATAGGTGCCGATAGGAGAATATCAACAGAATTTGAGTGAGGCCGAGATTATGCGGCGTGGTACTGATGTCACAGTTGTTGGATGGGGTGCACAGATGAGAGTGCTTGAGGAAGCTTGTGATTACGCTGAAGACATTGGTATCAGCTGTGAACTTATCGATTTGCAAACGATCTTTCCATGGGACGCAGACACAATTGAGCATTCGGTCCGTAAGACTGGCCGACTAGTCATCAGCCACGAAGCTCCGGTAAGATTTTGCTGATGGCTCATAGCTACAAGTAGGGACTTACGATCGATGGTGTTTTGATGTAGAAATCTGGCGGGTTTGCAGGAGAGATATCTTCTAGTATTCACGAGAGATGCTTTCTAAGCTTAGAAGCTCCCATCCAGCGAGTGTGCGGGTATGACACACCCTTTCCACTTTCGCATGAACGAGTGAGTTTGATTTTAGCATCTTTATTGCCTACAGACTCTGTTGCTAACGTCTTGGAATGTTTGTTAGACGTATCTTCCAGACGCACTACGAAATTTTGAGGCAATCAAGAAAGTAGTGGATTACTAATCGCTCACTTCATAAAATGATGAACGCTCATCTCATTAGTGTTTGAGTTTGTTTCTAGCTTGCTTTGTCGTCTCAAGAGCTTTCGACATAGGCACGTTTGCCTGAATTTATCGAAGCAACTTCGCAACTGCTGTTGCCGTCCTGTCAATTGATGATAACGCATTTGCCGTCTGGACGTAAGAATGAACGCGCGGTCAGATAGTAGAAGTACTCATGATATGGTGTTAGGATGGCTCATGTGGAAGTAAAGCTGCCAGACCTCGAGCAGAGTTGTTGATACCAAGACGGTGAACAAGAATTGCTGCAACCGACTGATCATGGCTTGCTTGTCGTACATATCATAGCATGGTATTCTTGATGGACGCAGCACGAAAAAGCGTTCGTTAGCTTTCCAAAGCAAACGACACCATGAGCGGTGAGAAAGAGGTGCAGGACACTAAAGAAGATTCAAGCGGTCGGACTGGTTGCAATTCTATCAACTGATAGTGTCACCGGCCTTTACGCTTTCCATTTCCTTTGGTTGTCTCATGCCAACACATTGCATGATCGGTCTACTGAAAGAAAAGAGGAAGATACTTTGACCACTTTAACGCCAACATGCCAATCAAATCTGAGTCTTATTTCTCCTTCCTCCTTCATTCTTCTTACGAAGGTGCTTTGTCTTCATGAGAACGAATGAGACAAAGACGCATTTTTTCCATGTATACAACTTACAAACAAAAAGACAAACGGTCATTTGCCTCCTTGCTATTTGCTCAACCATCCAGACATCTCCTTCTTTTCAATGTGCTTTGACTACATAATGACACAAGTGCCTCCGCTTGATTCTTGCTCAACATCCTCCATCTCTGTGTCCTGGCAAGTTGCTCGAGTATCGCCAGCTTTTACATTCTCTTCCATCTACATGCACAAAACCAAACAAATGCATTATCAGATTGGCTACAGACATCCTCATCAATGAAACATCCTCATAACGTACCAGATCCTTGGTAAAGAGGAATGAGCTACCCACAGAATATTTGTCACCATTATCATACTGCATCAAGTACATCTCGTTGTCCAGATGTTTCACGACAACTCCACGAACAAACTGCGTGCAATTCTTGTCAACGGTAACCTTTGAATACAGAACAGAGTCGACAGGATATTTATGACGCGACTTATGCGGCTCAATAAGCGTTTCTTGGGGCAACGTTGAAGACACCATCGTTTGATCGCTGTCTGTCAGTGCATAGTTGGCCAAGCTCATTGTCATGGAATTGCTAGTACTATTACGCTCCTTGTTAGATATGGGCAAGCCAGTAGTACTTGAGACCTGATTCGAGGCAGAAATAGCTGAGATTGCCGTTCGGTACGGCGTTAACGCTTCGGTATGGCTGATTGGGAAGGCTGGAATTGTAAATGCTGGAAACACTTGTTCATCCAAGGCAATTGTTGTGGTGAACACAGGACTCGTGGGCTGTTGAAGTTTTTGAGCACAGTGGGGTTCTACAGCCACAGCTCCACCTGTAATTTCCTCAATTGTCGTCACAAACTTCTTCACAACACTTTGCATCGGCCCACTTAGCTGCAACCATAAATCTTTAAACTCGCGGATAAGCACACCACGGGCCGAGTCTGATAAAACTGCGTGCTTATTTTCCCACAGCTGCTGCTGACCTTCCGCAATCTCCATAACCACTTGCACTGAGCTTTGCGTCACTCCTATAAACTCACGAATACGGCGCTCAATGTCGTCTTTCTTGATTGGCGCGGAGTCACCAAAGTACTCATTGTGAACTTCAAGAGCCTTCTCCTGTTCTTCTAGTTCTTTCTTCGCCTTCAATTGCTGGACAGTGTGAAATTCATAGTACGTGCACAGTGCGCGCGCAAGCGTTGGAATCGTCTTTTCAAGTGCTGTCGTCGCGCAGGCTACTGAGCTCGCACGTGCCTCTTCCAGACCTTCAAAGGTCTTAGAAAGGGCTTTCTCGCGCCGTTCACGAACTTTGCAGAAAAGAACTGACAGGCTTTTGTAAAACGTTAATGCGTGCTGAGCTACCCTCAATGCATGCGTAGTCTTCTCCACCTGCCGGTCGCTTTCGCTGCGAGAACTCCACAACGCCTGCACCTCGGAGTTGTCTTGCTTCCAAATTTCAATGACAGACTGAATACTAGCTGATGCGTCTGTCTCGCCCGCTGCCACTAACTCTTCGTGCCGTTCACGCACACACTGAGCTATTTGCAGTGACAAGGTTTCCTTTGTCTCTTTCGCGTCTGACAATGCACGCTCAGTGTTCGTTACATCGACCGTACTTTCGTCTACCAAGCTATTCAGCTTTTGGTTCAATGCTTCAAGTGACGCTTCTGTTTCAGCCTTTTCTCTACAGCTCGTTTCGTTTGAGAATGAAAGCTGACTGAGTCGGTCCATGTAAGTTTTGCAAGCAGCAGAGAGACACTCAATAGCATGCTTTGCAGCATTGGCACGGGCAATTGCACTCAAGCTTAAGGCGTCAGTGTGGGCTTGCACAATAGCTATTGCCTCTTCATCGCTCGCTGAGATCATACAATCGTCCAAAGAATACGCTATGGTCTCATCCGTTATTTCCACTTCACGTGGTTGGCTTGCAACGACCTCACCTGTCAATACCACTCCTCGTGTCTGAATATCATGTGCATCCTGCTGCGATTCCACTTCTTTTACCCACTTGGCCAATGCATCCACCGTCACATTCAATTGTATTGCAATTTCATGTACAGGCGATGCCTGGAGACACTTCCACAAATCATTTATCCATTCAGGCTTGCGAGATGGTTGTCTGGCAACAACGCGGTCCTCGACTGTCTCCAGCAGCAATTGCTGTACTCTAGTATCGTCTGGAGATATCAGCACTAGCTCCTTCTCATTCTGTATCACAAAAGTAGTCTTGCTATTGCATTGCTCGTCCTCTTCTTTGTTCTGTTCCTGAGACTCGATCAATGCAAAGCTCTGGTCCTTCTGTCGTTTCTTGGGCGTGCTACTGTTATCCACAGGTGACGCACTCAAGCTTCGTTTAGCTCTCTCGTGTTTTCCCATACTATTACTAGCTGTAGCAATAGAAGTAGATGTAGGCATTGCAATGGAATGTTGATGACGATGACAGACCTTCAGATACTGATACGCGTCCTCGGTTCGATTCCCACAAGTCCGTAGCGCTCTGAGAAGCTCTTGACTTGAGAGTGGTGGGTCAAATTCGTACATGGACAAGACGCGGAGCTGTTCTAGTTCTCGTAAACTTGAAGCATCGTGCGGCTTCTCCCATGAGTCGCACATTTTCAAATGTTGTCAATCAGTTTCAAGAAAAGAATGAGATGATGGATGAACATATTCAAGACGAAATATCAAGTTTGAGGAAAAAAAAGCAATAAAAATGACAATAGGAGCGTTCATCGTCGGCGTCTTTAGTATGTGGCGTCATTGTCATTTCCAACGACTTTTTTCTTAAGCTGATGAGAAATCACGGCTGCAACACCCCAAGTATCCACAAGAGGATCTTTCTCTAGCTCCAGAATAGTATACTGACCTAATCGTAAGGAACCTGCAGTCAAGATATTAGGATATGGCTTATGTGATACTCTGATACCAATTCATGACTAGGAAGTACATCACGCACCTGGATATATCAATGGAAGTTGTGCATGTGGATGCTGATCACTACCACCAATGATCTCGAGTGCACGTTGTTCCTCTGGTTTATTGGGTTGTAGCATGGGCAGCAAACCAGCGAAGAAAGAGCTTTCTACATCGGGCAAACGAGTCCGAAATGACGAGTCACGCAATACTAACACCATGTCACGATCCGTCATCGGGTTCTTTCCATCTTTCACCAATCTGATCCAGCAATAACTTCCTTTAGTCACTTCATTCATTCATCTCGACCCTCATGTATATCACTCCTTCATTACTTACTTGAAATACTGGGCTTCACCCATAACTGTCACACGCTCAATTAGCTTCTCTTCTCGACAATAAACATTTGAGGAATACTGCGTCAGTGACGGTGTCGAGAGGACAATGCTGCGCGTTGTGGGTGGATCGTTCTGCTCCATTTGACAACCACACACACATTGACACAGATCAGCCCTTTACCAACCTTTACACGGTGCAATTGACAACAGTTTACGTCGTCGGGAATGTAAACTACGCGGCATATGATCATCTCAAGCCGCGAGATAAGTGCCATCATATCTCCTTCAGCAGCCGCCACGGCCTCGAGCGCTTCGTAGTCGTGCGGCCCTCGCTTGGCCACTAGACCACCCGTGACGAGAATAGCGTCGACATTGCAGTCATCTGAGCCTACGAGCTCCTCGCACAGTTGATTCACGCGAGAGATTTGACCCTCCAGGTTGCTTAGTAGCAACAGCTTGAGCTTGGTGACGTCGCTCTGCATTGTCGTCATTGCGTTGAGCTTGGGTCGACACAACGTAAGACTTGCGCAACATAAGGATGAGTCTAAATTTTAGGGGGTGGACCATCACGATTGTAATGTTGCGACACAATGCGACGTCACTAATCTTGTTACAAACGTGTAACGATCGTATGTACGTCACATGTCCACATGGATCTCTCTAAAGCAGATGTATATCAGAGATATGCTAAGCTGCAAGTTTACACGTGTATACATTACCAGGAGAGTTAAGAATTGATATACCAAGTAGAACTGTACATGATCTCCCATTCATGTCGACGGTCACGTTTGCGCGGATACTGACATACGTAAACCTCTAGCAAAAATACAAACAATCACTTGGCTTGATTGAAGAATTGCTTTTGCACAATGTTCAATACTTGTGCATAACCTTTTTCCGCATCGCCCATAGTAGTAGGACATCTGCTTAGATGCGATGTACGAGAGCTAATAGCCGAACATTTGCTGTGCGACCTTCGACCATTTGGTAATATCCTCCAATACATTCGGACAACAACACAACCGGATTGTTTTTGGAATCCGGAAAACTTACCTGACACCATCAAGTGAATGTCGTTGACCGTTTCTCATCTATAGGATGGGACAATACAAACACCCCCACATGTAGCGAATGCTCAGTTCCACTTTACTCTTCCTTTCCCGAGCTCCCATCTTTTGAGGCAGATCTCAATTCGTCATGAACGCCGCTCAGTATCTACTGGATCGTATGCGCACTTGCAAGGCTATGCAAGAAATTAGCAATACGAAGGCACGTGGCTGGTTCTCGTCCGTAGGCAGTGCCACACACACGTTTCATGACGACGACGCCGTGGGTTTTGGTCCCGGTTACATGGTGGTAGCAGACGGTGTGTCCGGCACTGCAAAGGCATCTGGCGTGCTAGCTCGGATGCTAGTGACTGAGACATTGGTAAAACTAGCAAAGCTGCGCAAGCGCAAGCGAGAAAAGCCACTTTATGCCGAAACATTTCGCCAGAGTATGCAAGCGGCGATCAAGAGCGCGCGCAAGCTTGCAAAGCGTAAAGGACGACTGGACTCGGCCATCTCGGCTGTATTTTTTGATGAGACGTCGCGTCAAATGTTTGTGTACACGATTGGCGATTGCAAGTGTGTGGTTTTTCGATGTGGTAATCTTGTGTTCGAGAGTGAATCAATCATTTACGATTTCAACGTACCTGCCGTGGTGTCTAGCAATCAATCCACTAATTATGTCGCCGAAGTGCAGATACAGGTCTTTGCGTATGAAGTTGGTGATGTGTGTCTTTTATTCTCGGACGGCGTGCACGACAATCTGTACGTTGACGATATTGCGTCCTGTGTCACATTGGTAGCAAGCTCACCGTTACCTCAACCGAAAGGTGGAGCAGCAGAAGAAATGGCGCGAAGAATCGTACAACGCGCTACGGACACTTTCTCAAGCAGCACAGAGTTCATCCCATTTGCCGTCTCAGCCGCACGATTTTGCCGTGAGGCGTTAAACGAACTGTTGGTGACCAACACTGTCGATTCAGCCGAGTTTGAGCGATTTCGACACAAGTGCGAAGCCATTCCATCTTTAAACGTAAAACGCGCTGCGTTTGGCAAGGAGCGCCGTGTACGTCGACTCGCTTTTTTACAGCGCGTCTAATTTACTTTCCTTTGCGCACAAGAAACAAGGCAAACGTGACGATGTTTCCGTATGCGCAGCAGTACTTGCGTGATCATGTTCCAACGGCAGACATAATCGACAACGCAGTCATTTTGCACCATAGACGAAACTTAATGATATAGTATTAATTGGACACTGGAATACAAGAGTAAATTCACGATAATGAATACAGTGCATCTTTGTGTCGTTTTGTACCGTGACATTGGTACATAGTCTTTTGCTCGTAGCCAATGCATTTTGCAATATTAGACACGAAATGGGTAAGAGATCGCGCAACGGACGAGGTGGTGGACGTGGTAGGAATAACAAGAAGTCACGAGCAGATGGTAAGGGAGAAGAATGGCGTGCTGATAAGTTTGCTGACTGGGTGTACGAGAACGAAAACTTTGACGCTTACTACAAGGCACAGAAGATTGTGGCGGATACAGACTGGGTCGCGTTTAAGAAGGCGCTGGCCACGCCACTACCAACGACCTTTCGCATCAACAGCTCATGTCCGTTTGCTGACCGGTGAGTTACTCTTTCTAACTCTTTGTGGTCAATTATAAAAGCTCTGAGCTCAATTTGTGTGCTTGTTGTAGCATTCGTGAGCACATTGAGCTGGATTTCAAGTTTGATGGCTTAGTAGTAGATGAAGAACCTGTCGAGCCCATCAGTCTCATGCCTTGGTACCCTGAAAATCGCGGGTTTACGTGGTCCGTTGAACGTCGTCGTGTGCGCAAATTGCCGATCTTGAAAGAGTTTCAGTCTTGGCTCGTGGAGCTCTCGGACAGCGGTAGTATCACTCGTCAGGAAGCTGTGAGCATGATCCCTCCTCTTGTACTGGGCGTGGAGCCACACCATAAGGTACTAGACATGTGCGCTGCTCCTGGTTCAAAAACGTCACAGTTGCTGGAGTCCTTGCACTCGCAGGAACTTGCGACAGGCAAAACTCCCACTGGTGTTGTGGTGGCCAACGACGTGGACCTCAAGCGTGCGTACATGCTGGTGCATCAGTCTAAACGCATTAACTCGCCTGCGCTACTTGTCACTTGCCATGAAGCTCAAAACATTCCGTTTCTTGGTAGGGACGGAACAGAAAGTGAAGGCGTTTTCGACCGTATTTTGTGCGATGCACCGTGCAGTGGTGATGGTACTATACGCAAGAATCCGCTTATTTGGAAAACTTGGAGTCCCAAGAATGGCATTGCTCTCCACCCGCTACAGCTTCAAATTGCTAAGCGTGGTGCGTCGTTGCTGAAAATTGGAGGCCACATGTGCTACTCGACTTGTACGTTCAATCCGCTTGAAAACGAAGCTGTGGTGGCCGAGCTTCTACGATGGAGCAAAGGCTCACTTGAACTTGTGGATGTGGCGAGTACTTTACCGCTGCTAAAGTGCCGTCCAGGCGTTAGTACGTGGAAGGTCCTAGACTCACAATTGAAGGAGCACACGTCCTACGAAACGTATGTTGAAGAAAACAAGAAGGACAAGATTAAAGACAAAATTCGTGCTACGATGTTCCCGCCTACGATGAAGGAGACAGCGGATTTTCACTTAGAGCGCTGCATGCGCTGCCTGCCTCAGGATGGAAACACTGGCGGCTTTTTTATCTGTTTGTTAAGAAAGGTAGCATGCACTCCTGACGATGAGAAGGACCCCGAGTTGGAAGAGGCTAGAGATATTACCAACACATCGGAAATGAAGGTGGAAGAAGTCCAGGTGACTGCAAAGACTGAAGAAACCAGGTTGGACGACGAAGCAGCTCGCTTGAGCGATACTGCAGCTGACAACATCAAGGTCGATGCAGGCGCGCAAAAGTCAGCGTCTGATACGGCACAGTCGCGAAGAAGCCGCCGTGACGATCGCCGAAACAAGAAGGGGGAGGTGTACGTGGCATTTGGTGCTGACAATTGGGCCAAGGTGCGCGAATACTATGGCGTGTCCCCTGACTTCTCGGCAGCACAGCTGATTACACGCTCGGAAGATGCAAAGTCTGTTACGTTTGTGACTGAAAGCATCACGATGGATTTGCTGGAGGAGATGAAGCGCAAGAAGCTGAAGGTTGTATTTGCGGGGCTCAAGATGTTCGAGCGCAATGAAACTACTGAAGGTGGCAAGGTATACCGCGTGTGTCAAGCAGGTTTGCCACACATCCAGCCATTTATGAATAAACGGAAGACCAATGTTTCTACGAGAGATTTCCAAATGATGCTGGATCGGCTAGGAGATTTGTTGGACTTTGATGAATTTGAGCCATCCACCCAACAATATTTCGAAAATGCTCCGGTGGGTAGTGTTGTGTGTATGCTTGACCGCCCAGGTCAGTCCAACATTGAGTACGTGCCCAAAATAATCTGTATCATAGCTGTTGGTGAGATCATTTGCAGCTAACGTTTGTTGTTCTACGGGGTATGATTTGAATAGGTCAAAAGTGATGAATCTGGTCGTATGGCGAGGTCGGAACTCGGTGAATGTAATGGCTGCCAAGGCAGATGTGGCCGTACTGCTGGGAACGATGAAAGAAATGAAGATCTACGACCTGTCTGTGCAGAAAGCTGTGTTGGAAGCAAAGAAAGTCAAGGAGGAAGAGCGTGCTGCACGTGACGAGAAAGAACAAGAGGAAGAAGTTGTAAAGACAGAGAAGACGAATGCTGCATCAGCTGTTGAAAAAGCATAGACGACCAAGTAGTACTCAACCACAAATCTTTCCTTGATTCACAGTTGCACTCTTTACGATATAAAGGAAGCTGCGATATGTCTGCAACTGATATGCATCTCTCTTCCCTTTTCATACCATCAACTTGATTCAATATTGTATAGCTGTTTCATGCTGTAAATTCATATGATCAATAAAAATTGTCGTAATCACCATTTGCCTCTTTTGTTCTCAGGAAACCACCTTCAATGCATCAAATCTATTCAAATCTTCCTATCATCATCATCATCTCTTCTCTCGATTCTTTCCGTTTACTGCATTTGAATATCAGCTGCTTTTGATCTTCATAGCAACAATCAAAATCTAAAAGCTGATTGTATCGATTTACAAAGGGTTGGTCAATCCAACATATTTAAAACAAATTACGTATTTAGCCGAACAAATAAAAGACCGAACCGTCCGTACCCGGTTCCATCTTAACCGTCGAGTCAGTCAGTGGACACCTTCTCTTTTCCCAAGAGAAATAAAAACGTTGAATAACATTTCAATACATTCTCAAAAAAGAAGTCCTGTGTTCATTTAAGTCCAAGAGAGAGTTTTTTTTAATTTCTCTTTAGTAAAGTAAACGCGAGGTAGCAAGTAGTTTGACAGGTTTTTCTTCCTGTGTGGGTCTTACTGTTTTCTCAATCTCCTACGTACGGCCTTTTATTCAAAAAGCGTCGTAAGTGTTTGTGACTTTCAGTAGTATTCCCATACTTTTGTTTATTGAGACAACTCTCTCTCTCTCTCTTCCCCCCTCGCCGCGTTTGACTAGCTGTCTCTCTGTTCACGTCATTCTCTCCTCTACCATCTCTCTCTTTGTTTGCTTGTCATTTCCCCACACAGTTTGGTGGTAAAACAACAACCCTCCTTTGTGTGTCATCATTTATCTGGATTTGAAAGAACCAAGTGACACATACACACAACTACACACACAACTTCTTAACAATTGACAGTGTTCAAGGTAAAGATTCTCAGTACATTTTACACATTTGAAAATCGAGTAGTCTGGTAGTAGACTGCTGTGTATGTAGGCGGCACTTGGTGGTCTCAGTATGTAGCTATCTACATATATGAACACGCTCTGTTGCCTGTCTCTTTTGCCCTTAAGGCAGTGATCTCTTCTTTGCTTATGCTGCTTCAGTTCCTTGTGAGAGAGTATGATATGAACTCTTGTTCTATCGTGGAGGTATGAGGCAATGACAAGAGTCTTTCTAGTAACTCTTGAGCTATCTATTATGATCCTATTATGGTGAATGAGGTCTTGATACCAACTCAAAACTTGGTGCAGCAAAGGCAAAAGAAGGAGAGACACTAGCTAGTCATGCCACGCAGCAGTAACAATTGTAATGGTAGAAATGACGTGAACTTGATCGACTCACTCTTTTGCATGTATGCAAAACTTGTAGAAGATGAACATGGACATGGAACGTACTAGCTTTACAAGTATGCTGGAGGATTCGCAGTTTGGCGGACCGTTGCATATCTCCCAGCAGCCATTGATGCATGCACAAGCTCAATCGGCATTTGGATTTCACAGCACAATGGCTATGGATACACCGCAGTTTATGAAGCAGCAGTCAATCGAACAACAAGCACCTCCTCTCGCGTCAGTTCCAGTGCAACTTCCAGCGGATCAATCGGTTCGTTGTTGTGGTGAGATTGTTCATTGTTACTCGTGATCTAACTTGTGTGTGTTCTGCATGTGGCTTTTGTTGTGGTACTGATTAGATTCCAGATATGCTTCAGAGTACGATGAGCCGCAGTAACAGCTGTACACTGACCCCTTCAAACGCCGAGGCATTTTTGCTCTCTCTTGTGGACTGTGAGCTTTGTGTATCTTCGATTTCTAATCTACCAATCTTTCTCCAGTTTCTGCCCCGGTGTAAGACGGAGCCAGAGCAAACGCTTGCACTTGTAGTACTTCGTGCAACCTCGACCGCAAGCGATACTAAGCTATCTCGCGCTTGTGCTGGTGCATTTGAGAAGAGCGGTGGACTGCATCTCGCGCGGACCTGGGTTGATTCTGCTGTGACTTGGCAGCACAATGACTTGCTGGTATTACTCTTAGAAGTGCTGCAGACACTACCGTTGCAATTAACTAGTATTACGGAAGCACGAATTAATGAGCCAATTGTCAAGTTGCGCAAGAATGCTTGCGATGAACGCGTCAAACGTGCTGCTCAGGATCTTCTCAAGTTTTGGCGTGGTAAGTTTACTGAAAAAGAAAAGTCCTCTGTGGCATCGGTGGTAGCACAGGAAAAGACCCACGAAACTTTCAGCGCAAACAAACCGTCCTCATCATCGACTTCTTCCGCAAAGCAAGTACCTGCTATAGCAGCTAGCTCTAATGCTAGCAAGACAGTGCCGTCAAAGCAGCCAAAGGTCACGAAGAAGCGTACAATTAAGCGGTTAGAACGGCTTCCTTTTGGTGGCGGCAGTGCAGTATCGAAGTCTAGCGACTTGATTGGAAACTTGATGCAGCGCAAGTCGGCAAAGGATGCCGCTACTGCTGCAGCTGAAGTGGAAAAAAAGAACACCAGTAGTAAGAGTACCAGTAGCAGCAAATCGGACATTATGAAGAATGAGGAAACGAAATCAAGAAAGTCTAGCAGTGCAAAGGATGACTCGATAAGTGCTGATGACACGCTGTCCATGCCTCTTCCTACAATTCAAAGTTTCAAGGTGGTTTCATCCACCGGTGGCGTAACAAAAGAACGCAAATGTATTCGTTGGGCAGATGAAAGTGGTGAAGAACTTGTCATGGTAAAACTTATTGAGTCTTGGCGAGATCTTGTGCCGCATGACCCGCGCCACGATGATCAGTCTTTCAAAGATGCCAAGCTTCGTGAGCACGCTAATGAGCGACACGCGCTACTCGCGCAGCATCACAAAGTACCGCCTGCTGTGGTAGCTTCTCGGTCGCGCGAATGGACTACACCACCGTTCATTCGACTGCCAGAAGATGTAGCAAAACGTGTGGACGGTAACACTGTTACAGACGAGATGCACGTCCAAGACAGTCGTCGTCGCCATGTGGACGAGTACGAAGTTCTTGCAGGTGAGATGCCTATTGCGAGTCCTAAAGAGTGGGAGCGCGTGAACGATCCTCACCGCGGACCACCGTTGGAAATTCCATTGAGTGACGTAATTGAAGGCAATGCTAGCAATCAATCTCCACCCAGATCTGCTCCTATGATGGTTGCTCCGGCAACCTCATCATCCCGAGAGAGATATTCTTCTGGAGGGTACGTCCAGACCTCACGAGATTATGATCAACGAGGTTTCAGTCGTAGTGAGTACAATGGTTGTCAAGACCCTGATGCGGACCGTAAGCTCCGTGAGGTGTTAGGTCCTTTGCAAGAGAACACAGTCTCGCTTTTGCTAGACTGTCCAGATGTGGTGCCACAGGTACTCGAGGAGGCGCAACGCCATGGCAATCGTATTTCAGATGCGCGTGTATTTGAAATTGTGGATCAGTACCGTCGCGGACGCTATCAAGCGCCGCCTCCTGTTGGTAGTGGTCAACCACCTTCATATAGTCCTTATGGTAGTCAGCAGCAGCAACAGCAGCAGCAGCAACAACAGCACTTTGGTGATATGGGCCCTGGCACTGGTTATGGCCATCAGTATCAACAGCAGTACCCGCCTCAACAAGGCCCACTTGGAGGGCCCTTTGTATCTGGAAACCGGAAAACAGATGCCTTGAACTCTCTACAAAATGGCCTCATGCCTGATGCATTGCAGTCACACAAGCGGCTAACAAAGAAGGCCCGTAGCATGCAGCCATGCAGGTTTTTTACTTCACCAATTGGCTGTAAGCATGGTGGAAACTGTCACTATGCACATATTCAGCCGGTGCCGGCAAACGGTCCTGAGCTTATTTATAACAATAGTGGTCCCATGATGGGAGGCCGAGGTGGTGGTCATATGGAGCGATATGGCCATGTCGGCATGTCGCGCGGAAATCCCAGTCATCAAGTGCGTGGAGGACGGTAATGACAGATGAAACAACAATACGGGAATATATAACAAACGAATCGTCTAAACGTCCATCCCCAGCATAAAGTCTTTATCTAGTTGAGAAGAGGAAGCCAGAGAGAGAGAGCTTGCTGGCTTTTAAGTCCTTTGAATGGTTTCAATAGACCTTCAGTATACATCTAAGTTTGGGCTATTTATGCGTTCAGCAATAATAGCCGTATTGAGTTTAATGATACATGTGAACACCAACCTCATCGTTTGTTTGCCAAATGAGGTCTTTGTATTGTCTTTTAGTCCTGTTATGATTCAAACTCGCATCTCTATTACGGACAATCAGCGTCCCGACAAAAATGCAGAGAAACAACAAGTTTTGCAGTTGAGAGTTGTCCTTGAACCGTTTGCCTTTTTTACAGGTAGGACAGAGCTTCAAACGACGAACTGCTAGCAAATTACGATAGTTTACGCCTTAATCGACGAACCCTTGCGGCTGCTACGACGCTTAGCAATCTCACTGGCACGACGGTTCTTCTGCTCCTTAACGCGCTGCAGTGCCATAAGGCGAAAAAGGAGCAGGAGAGATTCAAATATCCGCGCAAGATACAAGTTAGTCACACGTCCAAGATAGAGCAAACTGTAGACAGAAAAATCATTGTAATATACAAACGCACCTGAGCGTGGAGACGGTTGTACTCGGCGGCCTCGTGTTGCACCTTCTCGCGCTGATTCACCTTCTTCAGGGCAATCTGACGCTTGTGGTGAAGCGTACGCGGGGTAACAAGACGCTGGATCTTAGGTGCCTTGTCATTCTTCTTGCCCGTCTTCGATTCAAACTTGCGACGAATTACGTACTTGCGCACATCATCTTCCTTGGTCAAGTTAAACAGCTTGCGGATGTTTGAGGCACGCTTGGGGCCAAGACGACGCGGGATCTGCACGTCAGTGAGACCAGGGACATCAGCGTCACCGGACTTCACAACCACCAAGTTAAGCACCGAAAGATCTGGGCCAACAATGCAGCCGCGCACTGACTTGCGCTTACGTTCACCCTTGCGACGAGGACGGTAGCATGTCTTGCCCTTGGAGAGCAAAAGACGAGCACGGCCATTGGACAGAACACCCTGCTTCATTGGAAAACCCTGCTTGTCGTTACCACCAGATACGCGAAAGATAAAACCCTTGAACTCGTCACCAAGGACAGCGCCGTCAACTTCCTGTGAGATACGCTTGTCGTAGAACGCACGGAGCTTGTGCTCATCATCAACTTCAAGCACTTTCTGAGCACCCGTCAAAGGGTTGGCAATGTTAAGCTTCATCGTATAAAATCTATATCAGATTCAACACATTAGTAGTAAGTAGTCATTACATATGATATTATGTATCTACAATTCTTATCATATTACTTTCGTACCTCACAAGACAATAAGGACAATGCTAATGTCGTGACTTGAAAGCTTGGTCACTGCTAGGGCTTTTACTGGCCAACCAAACCATTTGGAGATAATCTGTGCCAAGCTATGCAACACTCGAACAAATATGTAAAACATTTCGCATCTGAGTAATTGTAGCTTCGTCGACTAAGTACGGCTCAAGCTCTTAAGTTTTGTTTGCAAGAAAACACTTTTTTTTGCGTCGATCCGGTGGAAGCAGCCATTGATGTGCAGCTGGTGGTGCTATTATTGCAATACTTTTACAAGGCGAGTTGATCCATGGGGAACCAAGTCAGCGCACCCGGCACTGACACTTCCTCTAATCAGCAAGATAAATGTCCAGTGCAGCATGACACGAAGAAGGTGACAGTAGATGAATGTCCTATGCAAAAATTAAAGATAGATGGCTGCCCTGTACAACATGACAAGACGCCATCGGTAGCCAACGCCATGGCCAGTGGCTGCCCCGTCACAAGAAATGGAAAAGAGGAGCGAGAAGTTTATAACGTGTACAATCAACGCATTGACCCGACAAACATGATGCCATATAATCCAAATCAAGATCCAAATCAAGAACAACGGTATCCGTTGCCTCAAGACCGCGTGCAGTCAACAATTCCCAAGGGCGGAACAGAAGAGACGTGGCTCTATCCGTCCGAGCAAATGTTTTACAATGCGCTTAAACGCAAGAATAAGGGAGAAGATGTGCACGAGGGTGACGTTCGGACTATTGTGTCCATCCATAACAACATGAACGAGCGTGCTTGGGCTCAGGTGGAGCACTACGAGAAAGTATGCCATCCCGATTTACAAGACTCCAAGTTGCTCAAGTTTTGTGGTCGTCCAGATAAGCTGACGCCTATTGCATGGATCAAGAGTATGCTTGGATACGGGACACCTTTTGATCGCCATGACTGGACTGTGCTGCGTGGTGACAACACTCAGGTGCGCTATGTGATTGACTACTATTTCGATGACGACAAGTCTGCACAGGATGAAGTTCCTGAGCTGCATTCAGCCGACAAAGTCAAGAGTATCTCCATGTACGCTCGTCCTGCTGTAGACTCGCTAGGCGCCCTCGTTGACAGGATTAAATTCCCCATTGCAAGCCTTCTTGACGGACTTAAGGGCCCTGATATCGCTGCCCGCTCTGCATTAGTAGAGCGTATACCGAAAAGAAAATGACGCTCCGGAGCCACTGTCTGTGGATGAAGTGGAGCAGACATTTACTAAGGTGAAAGACTCGTGCAAGAGCTGCATGCAGGAGATCAAGACTTGCAGCAACGAAGTGCAGTGCTCACAAGCTGCTATGGCTTTACAGCTCTGCATGGGCCGCATTATTTGTCCGCCACAAGCAGCTGCCTTCATTAAGGCGCTTGAGGGTGGCGATGAGACAGCAGTCGAGACAGCATTTGACGCCATGAACAGTAGCTTGGAGCAGTTTCAGGAGCGCGGAAACAGTGCTATGCAGGAACAAGCTGTGCGCGAGTCCCTGGCAAAGAAGTAACCATGGCTTGAAGACTTTCTAGGAGCTCATATCACCGTCTACACGATTTTTATACCGATTGGATTAGGCATCAGCTTGTTTCAACTTTCCTTCATCTCTAATACGCACGTATTTTACCGAATTGTAGTGCAAAAGCCCTTCGAAGCAGGAGACCTGTGCGTGTTACACTTTTCGTTTCTTCGTTCGTCACGTATATGCATTGCGTTCAAAATGCATCAACTTCGTAAGCAGGCGTGTTACATTCTTTGTCCGCAGCGCATCATAGCTTAACGCACGAGGAGCGACACGCAGCCATTAAAGCCATGAACAGTCTATACGCCGCGTCGCAGATAAAGGGACATCCTCATGAGTTGTGCTTGAGCCAAGCAATTACTTGAATGGTGCAATGAAGACAGAGTAATGGCTGCAAGCTCGATTTGTCGTGTGCAATGAAACCGCAAAGATGCACCTAACACATTCTCACCGGTGTCGAGTAATATGCCGCAATCGGCTACACTGTTTCCCATCCCGCTCTGCTCGAGTCCTCCGTGCAACTAGACCTGTTCACACCTTTATCGCACCATTGTTGCAAGCTTCTCATCAATACAAACGTCCACAGCCGTTCCGACCTCATTACTATGGACATCTCCGCTCTCTATACTGCAAGTTCTCGCTCAACCAGCGTCAGATAGCAGCAGTTTCATCCTGAGAGCATTCATCATGCTGTCTTGTTATCCTTCTTATGCGTTAACAACAAGCTCAGTATCATGTCACATATCCCCTCATGTCCATTGCTTCATACACACGTCCATGATGCCTATTATTTCAATACCATTCTTCCTCACTTGATCGCATTCATCAGTAAATCCTGCACCCAAATCATCAAAGAGAATGTATAAATACCTCGTCAGCTGTGCATAAATTACCACTACGTCAAGTGCCTTTTGATTTGACACGTTGTTCGATACAAGTCTGTAGCTTCTTCTTCCCATAGATAACGTTGCTCCAAATCATCATAAGTAGCACATGATCAATCAATGCGCAATCTCTTCCTTTCTTCGACCTAAACAATTATATATCAACCACGAGCTTCCGTTGCTCTCTCTTCTTCTCTTCTAGGCTGTGGTACAGCTGAACACATTGACATGACACCACAGACGATCCATCCATCTACTGTCACGTCGTCTCCTTGTCCTGCCTCTTGATCTTTTCGTAGCATAGTGCGCATTATCCGAGGTGTAAGTTGAACTTCATCCGACAATGACAATCACTCATGTGTACACCAATAATACACCAAATGCAATCGCGGGTCATAACAAAGTTTACCTCTGTTTGAAAGAAGCAGTAGTGACAATGCTGTCGTCTGCCAAGTCCATGGACGATGAGACAGCACGATTAGCGGTCTTACGTGATCCAAAACGTATGGCAGCGTTACTTGTACGTGCTTTTTCATCTTCTATACTAGAGAATGCTGTAAATGGTGTTGGAGAGAGACGACAGAGCGTTCAACGACGTCAGGAAGAAGAAGATGAAGAGGTGGAGAAGACACAGGAGGAGTTTCAGGAAATAGGCAAGCGAGCAAGAAAGGGAATCAATGCAGCTGATATGTTGCCTTTACGTGTAGAAATACACTCGGTGACGGAGGAGGACGATGACGATGATGCAGAAGAAGAGGAAGAGGAAGAGGAGGAAGAAGAAAGTATTGATAAACCACTGGACGAAGAAGAACTGGAGGCTGCAGCCACTGCGTTGCTGGCTGCTACGCGAATTGTCGACGAACTGCGGCTCAAGATGTTACTGAAAGCAGGGCAGCAGATGGACCGGAAACGACAGGATTATATGAATATTAACGACCAATCTCCGTTCTCTTCAGTTGGGATGACGACACCAGTCGTTTCACGGTCAGAAAGTAGCTTTACAACTAATGAAGCGCCGGGATTGCCGGTACCACATGCACGCGTACGGTATAACTCAACTTGCAGTGGGTGTGGTAAGTCATTTAACCCGTTTCATCGCAGTAAGAACTGCGCTGCATGTGGATTTGCATTCTGTCCAAAGTGCTCGCCGAAACAGTTGGTATTGCCGTCTTGTTTTGGGCATCGTGACGAGTCTGTGCGCACGTGTAATCTTTGTGCGCGTTGGTTTCAAAAAGCAATGGACCGCTATTTTGATAAAATGGAGCTGACCACAAGCCACGATAACGACGACACAATTCGTGCTGGCAGTCTAGGCGAGTTTACTTTTGAAAGAAAGTCGCGCGCTTTATTCAGCTTTAGTAGTAACACAGTGCCAGTGTCAGACCTAAGTGACGGAAAATTGTCATTGCTGGCACGTCCTCGCTTGTCTACTTCATCTCTCGATTTCACTCCTGACGGTTTTAACGGCGATGCTGCGGATGGAAATGGAGAAAATGATGGAAGTTACATTACCTTAAATTCGACGATGTCGGCATCGAGACAGCGTCGTAGGCATTCTTCAATACCTTATGCACCATCTTCGCTGACGAGTAAGAACAAGCCTTGGTTTAGTGGCCACCTAAGTGCAATCCACGTCAATGATAGGCTACCGCGAAAAAAGAAGTCAAGAGGCGAAAGTGAGAGCGACGCTGACAGCACTAGTCCGGACGTAAGATGTATACGAAGGAGTAGCGTTGCATCGGCTCCATCCAAGAATAAATACATAAACAAGGAAATTGATGACAGGCCTTTTGTACAGCAAGAAGAGGGTAGGAGAAGGAGTCCTACACACGCCAAAAGTTCTGCGTTTAAGTCGTCTTTGGACGCCTTGTTGGCCCGCATCGGCAATGAATCCGAAAGCAACGATTTGGCTTGTCCGCTAAGGAAAGCACGGCGCTCCAAATTTACACGATCAGCTAGCTTTGATTTTGCTAATTTGCACTCGGCGTCGCCTTTACACTCATTGTCGAATTCATCGGGTATGAGGCGTTGTAACACATTTGGCCCGGATGAGATAGGACTTAGTGCTGCCGAAGTTTCCAGCAATGGGAGTGGTCGAACCAAGTGCATGCGGTCAAAAAAGGCGTTTGACGACAGTGATATTGTGGACGCGCGTGCTCAGTTTGAATCAGTGGAAGGGAAACTGAAAACTGAAGCGAAATTTGCTGCAGCGGTATTGCGCTTTGCAGTTTACGAAATGGGCGGGAAGGAAGGCACGAGTTTACGCCGCACATTTGGATTCTCTAAAGCAAATCCAGTGCTTGACCGGTATACGTTGGAACTTGATTGTCGCCAGCGTATTGTACGAGCGAAATCCGTGTTCATGCACCGCTTCTGGTCGTTCCATTGTGATTCCGTTCAATCTTTTGATTTTGGATCATCGGAAGGGATAGCTCGTCTTATTGTGTCTAGTGGTAGCCAAGAAAACCAATCTCTTGAGTTAAAATTTGCGAATGATGACGAAAGAGAGCAGTTCAAGAAAGCAATGAATAACTGTCGGTCAACTAATTTGAATCGGATGCGTGAACTTGCCACGGAGGCTGCGATGTCGCTTCCTGCGCGGACTGAGCTTCCACTATCCCCTACTTCAGACATTTTACGCTCGCCAATGCCTCCAGAACCGACCACTACTTTTTCAAGAGATTCGTCAACGGCAATTGAGTCTGAGTTAGTACTTGCACATGATACTGGTGATAGCGACGGAATTGATTGTCCGAATTCGCAGTCGATTCGTGTTCCACTGTTGCCTGGAGAGGAAGTAGTAAAAGATACAGAGCTCCAAGCGACTTTGCTCATCGGCCCAGTTAGCGAAACGAATGAATCAACCCTCGTTTGGGGACGTTTGCGTGGCAAGGTAGCAGTAACGAATTATCGCGTCATTTTTCTACCATTTGATCGAGTGCAGGTCCAGCCGCGATGTGGTGGACAGGGTGGTATCGCTTACATTCCGCTGTTTGCGATCACCCACGTCCAGATATTTCATCCTGGCGGTCGCCGGACGAAAGCTGGCTGCACAAATTACGCGGGAATGGCGGGCTCTGCGTCTATCATCTCGATCGCTTGCAAGGACATCCGTGTGATGCGATTCCAACTTGGCACTCTCTCCTCCGTATCAGAGGACCATGCGCATAAATTGCGCACGACGATTGCAAAACTAGCGGACGAATCTCAGCGATATTCAGTCGTTGAGCGGGTCAGTTTCAAAGGGACAATGTCTCCCAGGTTACGCCCGCTTTTAAGTACCAATGACGCTTGTGATTTACTACCAGAACTAGGTTTTGATGGTGAAACGGTACTGCACGTGAGTAGGGAACCTTCATTGTATTCAACATCTGATGGTCCGCGTAATCCAGCCTATGCATCACCGGTGCTTCGTCCTGATCGAATTTTGACGCTTCCCCGTGAAATTAGCGGCTCGTTTGCCTTTTCATATTCTATTGGCAACATCTCTGCCGATCAGAATGGTTGGAATGTGTTTGTTGACGAGCGAGAGTTCAAGCGACAAATCGGTGGTGACCAAGCCGTCTTACCATTTTTGAAGGTAAATCTTGTTCAGTTATGTTTGGCTAATGCTGACATTATAATGATAACTAACCATGAAAATAATTGTTGTGATGCCCTATTGCTATTCAGTATTATAAAAATGATAGAGGCAATATTTGCAAGTCTTATCCATCCAAGCTACTCCTTCCAGCATCCATGACTTCTGCCACGTTGGTTAAGGTAGCTGATTTTCGTGCGAAGAACCGACTTCCTGTGATCACGTACTATCATCGCCGGAACAGGTGTGTTCTGACTCGTTCTAGCCAGCCCCTCCTCGGGAATTTATTGTCTGGAACCTCAAACGTGTCTGATCAGCTGCTTTTGGGAGTTTATCGCCGACTTCCGGATATTATCAAAAACCAGTCGCAGTCATCGGCATCGTCTCGGCCGATTTATATATTCGATGCTCGAAAGCCGAAGGCTTCGACGGGAAATCGACTCATGGGTAAAGGAGGCGTCGAGGCTCCTCAAGATTACCCAGGTGCTGTTGTCCACCATCTGAATATCGCTAACATGTATCAAATGCAATCGTCGCTGACGGGACTTATGAAGCTGTTTCTTCCTGGCGGTTTTGAGGATAGTGGTCGCACGTGGCTATCCAGTGTGGAGTCCACAAGGTGGCTAGATCATGTTCGTTTGGTGCTAGATGGCGCATTAAAAATCGCGCGCGTGTTGGAACTAGAAGGAGCATCGGTGCTTGTGCATTGCAGTGATGGTTGGGATCGAACAGCCCAACTATGTGCTCTGGCACAGTTAATGATTGACCCTTATTACCGAACCGTTCGAGGAATCATATGCCTCATTGAGAAGGATTGGTGTGCATTTGGCCATAAATTCAGCGAGAGAACTGGTGGTGATCGTAATCGCGACCCGCAACGAAACAAATCGTCGCCCATCATGTTTCAGTTCATCGACGCCGTGTGGCAGATGCAACGTCAATATCCCCGTTCATTTGAGTTTAGCGAGCGCTTTTTATTGCATTTGGCGAATGCGATGACTTCGGGGCTTTACGGAACATTTCTGTACGACTCGCGGCTTCAGCGAGAAGTGAACGAGGTCAAGTACAACACGGTATCAGTGTGGACGCCGGTGCTCATGATGCCGTCTCTCTATTCAAACAGCAACTATGAGATGTATGACGGACCCATTTGGCCCTGGGTGAGCTGTAAAATGATTCGTTTATGGGAGAGCTACTTTTTTCAGTGGCACCCCAAGTTTTACAAGTGCCAATGGGCATGCAGTTTATTTCACCATGGTCCATCCACTCCAGAGAGTAGTAATGCAACTAGTGAGATGGATGATCATGATTACTGTAAAGAGGAAGCCCAACAGCATGAAGCCCCGCATCAGCGAGTTGCAAGTGTCAAAGACCCACCAGCGCTAGATCTATTGGCACCACCAATAACTTCTATTATTAGTGAAGATGATGGCCAGCATGAAGTACCTCCCATTTGTCTCTCTGTAGAAGACCGAGATTTGGGCGTGATGAATAGGACGCGAACTGCTAGTGGAACGTATACCCAAAGGACATCGAAGCGAAGTCTTTTTGGTCTGAGTCGGGGAAGTCGTCAACGTGCACAAAGTGAAGAGAATGGAAGTTAACAAATGCTTGAACAAGTGAAAATATAGTCCCAAGGCAGATTTCAGAGAGAGAATAGATTGAATTGTCATTCTGCTCACGTATTATATCCGCACATGGTTGGTGGTATGATACGTACGTATACATGATAGCGGGAAAGGATAAATATCAATAACGATCTAATATATATATTATATTGCAACTTTACCATACGCAAACAACTCCTCCATCCTCCCTAGTCAAGTGTTGTTACAATATTTCGTGACATGCCTGAATCGACATTGCGAGAGACGTAAGCCTCATAGCTTTTTTTCTATTGATTTTACCTGCCCCAAGCATAGGTTTGCTATCACCACTCTCGTTGTCGCATACTTGGCAGACATCTGCAAAACTCATCTCGCTCGAGTTGACACCCGATGTATCCAGCATTAATAGCCTTGCAAGGATCTGGCAATTTACATCCTCGTATCAAGAGTGCCAACTATTCTCGCTGCTTATTTTTTTCTCCTTCACTATAGCGTGTCCCAATTGACATTGATCTCCACCACATCAGATCTTCTTAAACCAAGGAGTGATCGATGTTACCGGCGTGTTCTCTGGGCTTTAATGGTTATGGTTGTTGTCTACAAATCCTCTCGATCCCACAGGATTTTCAGCTGGATATCATCGGACATGTATTGGTGTCATCTCTGCCTTGATCGTATCATCATCACTACGCTCCGAGTGAAGCCATATCGTAAGCAGACCATTTTTATACGTCACAGGTTTGACCTGTTCACGGATGACTCGCGCCTGCAATGATGTCATGTTGGCTTTGCAAGAAATCAGAAAGCAACAATCTGAGAAACGGCCTACGCAAGCATTGTGGCGTGGCTGAATAGTAATATTCTGCGGCTAGTGAGCATCACAAGGAGATGAGATTGTTGCGACGCTTTGCAAGGATACATTAAGGACAATGCGCAGAATGAACATTCTTGTCGTGAAGAGCAAGCAATCGTTGAGGATCTGCTCCATTGTGGCTAGGCCAGCTGGTCATGTCGATTGAGTTGGGTGTCATACTTTGATACCGGGCTCATGGCATGACAATTGATTGATTACGTCGTTTGTGATGCTATCATTCTTCTCGATGGGAAACGGTGTCCATCCATGGTAGTAACATACATTTGCTTCAGCTTGATCTAGCATAGCAAAATGTAGCTGCTTTCATTGAGCCGCTCAGTTGTGGTGTGGTACAAACACGTGCATGTAATTGATGGTGGCTACCAATACATGCAGACACCGGATCAGACAGCATACAAGTTCCATTATAAACACTGTTGAAATCTGACGTGTGATTGTCAGAGCTGCAACTAGTGCACCAGCAGGTTCCAATACGTTGTATCGGTGATAGGTACCGCAAAAAATGATCATCCCGCTGGTGTTTTTTTGTTGTATACAAAAATACTCTCGGTGAGAGAATCAGAGACGCGTTTACTACGGTACTTTTCTCTTCAGCAGTTATTTCAAAAGAGGCGGTAGGAGACTAGCAGTTTTAGCAAGAAACTTTGCTGGAAAGGACAGTAAAAGACGATCTCGTCCTGGTCCTAGCCTGATCTCCTGTTTCTTATCGACATGTACCGATATTGTACACTACGCGACAAATCTGCCTGCCGGCTGCAGATGCGGAAAATGATTTGGTGATTGACGAAGCCAGTGTACTTACACAGATCCAAGTGGCTTCGACATGGTCCGTGTTCGCATGTTCCATAATTGTTGTCCTAAATATTCGCGTCTTTCGTATTGAAAACCACACTGCAAAGGATGACGAGATCCGGGCAAAGAGCGTTCCCGCAATAGTTCTAGAACCGGTGCACAGATGACAAAGCCTGCTTGGAGCATCCCGATTTTCATCCTCGACCAAAGCTTCTTTCTTTGCGCCAAGAAATTGGTCAGACTAAGACTCCTGGAGCAGAACTAGTTTCTGAAGCTTCTTTCAAGCGCACTTCGATAACGTCTGAGCCATTCTCTTGCTAGAAACAGACTAGGTAAACGGAATGAAGAGATCAACTCCGATGCAGTATTCGCGTCGTCACGAAAATAAAAACGCTAGGATCTCTGCTTGTGCTGTCGGTTTTTTGCTTGAAAGCACCACTGACTCTTGCGGAGCTTTTAGACAAAAATGCTATTGTTACCTAGGAACAGCGGGTGTGTCTGGCTCCGGCTCACGTCCGGCTCGTATTTTATGACTATCCAATAATTCTCGTCTTTACTATAGCTATGTCCCATTCCTTAGCGCGAAGCCTGTAACCAGAAGTCCTGGCTAAGATACGTGAGTGAGTACTCAAGCAGATGGTGCACGGTCAGTAAATCCATCTAAACTGTCCCCGAGCTGTCTCCAAACCTGTCTTCCAATCGGAACACTAGTAACTTCACTTTTGGATTTGCCTTCTGTCTCCCAAGTAATCCATCTCTCTCCTTGCGACCACCACAAAATGGATGCGTGCCTACAAAAGTTTAAGCTGAGCATGGGCTCCGTGTCAATCATACCCACCACCTCTGACGAGGTTGCAGCCTCCACACGACGCCGGGTCGCTCATTGGGACAACAAGCGCGAGAAGTGCAATAACTGCGAGCACATCTACCTTACGACACTGAGCCAGCACTTGGGTTTCTGCTCGGTAGACTGCAAGTCCAACATGGTCTACCTGGAGAAGGTAAATCGCACCATTCGTGCCATGAAGGAGGCTATAGATGAACGTCTATCTATACAAGAGAAAGCGTTTATTGACGAACCAACGATGCAGCAGGACCCGCATCAGATCAAGACTGATCAGCAGTCCAAGCTGCAGTCACATCAGACGTCCCTGCAATGCGACGTTGCGGAAGCTAACGCCTCGCATAGCTTAAAGCACGCAACATCATTTGCTGAGTTTGGTATTGAATCCCGAGTATTAGACACGGGCAAATTTGAGTGGTCTTTCAGTGCAGCATACTAGTACGCTGTGGACCGATTGTATAAAAGTAGAGCCTCACACAGAGAGAATTTAATGTGAGATGTAGAAAAGTACGAAGCCCTTATAAACGACATTTGTAATAGTTCAATTGATATCTGAAAATCATCGTTTCAAATGATTTATTCACGTGTCGTTCTACTGCACTGCAAAGAAAATCGATACATATGGCATGTAGCAAGAGCTGAACCCCTTAATAAACCTATATATATGCTTTCGTGTCATGTTGGCAACGCGAATACACAATAAAGACACATTTTGTGTACATACAAACTGTTGTTATTGTCATGAGCAGGGCATCGAAACTGTTTTACCACGTAGAAGAAGCCTGTCCATTTTGTCCATTTTTGTCGATAATGTTAGAGAGCTGCTCAACGTTGGCACGCGAAACACCGTCTTTCGACGTGGCGAAAGATGCATGTAACGGATAGCGTACTGTACATATACATGCTGCACACGTATGAGACTCGAAATGCCAGAGTCTTTGCAAACATTTAGTGCAACAAAGCATTGAGAAAAAAGCGACAGCTGACCTAACTTCGGTTACACAAGAGAGAGGTGACGCCGACGATTTTCACAAATTCCTGAGTTAGATCGTCCGCTTTCTGGTCTTTATAGCTCCGATCTCTTGTCGCTTTGAGCAGATCGATGAAGAGATTGTGCTTTTAATGTGCACGTCCAGCTGGTAGAAATTTGCTTGGCGTGTCTAGAGGAGTCCTTCAATCTAGTCTCTCGATTATCAAGTTGGTAGGTGTGCGAAAAAGACCAAGGTGAGGTGAGATAGCTAATGTCCGGTTGCGTTGGATCAGCTTACTACAGTGTAAGCGCCTAAGGCCGCTGCAAAACTAGTCGCTAATTGTACGGTAAGGTAAAAGAGCGAGACCGGAGCCTTTTTTAGCGAGGACGTTATCGGCGCTCGACAATCGAAAATTTGTGCTACGTGAGTCAAGAGAAGGACTCAATGCCGTTGTTGCCCATGTCTGCAGACGGACCGCAGTCGAGCAAGTCTCCATTGCATTTTTGCGAGTCTCTTGTTTTGCACTCGCCCGTCCGGCAAGCCGATGCAGAAGATGCAATTTTATATGCAAGGTCCGTCCCTTAGAGCGTGACCTTTTATCCCGCGAGCCGGCTGAGCAGCTCAGAATTAGAGCATCAGAGCTCTGCTGAGGCCTTTCAGCTGAACGATCGGTCTATGACCTCTTGGTTTTCGACAAATAGCGTCATCCTGATTTGTGACTGTCTGACTGTCATTATGATTCTCCCGACCAAAATTGAGCGAAAGGCTGATGAATAATAACATATACAGTTTATCAGTCTCTTTTGTATCATTCTGTGTTTTGTCCACATGAAAAAGAGCATAAGAGCCAAATAACGAGTCTTGTTGATGTATTCATAAAAGTTGGTGCAGTAACCAGCTAGAGCGCATTCTTGACAGTAAGTAAGCAAAACGTTGGTGATGATGATTTCAATTGTCCTATTTACGTTTGAGCCTATAAGCTATCGACGTCAAAACAGTTTGCTACACTCGTGTGATTTGAACAAAGTAAGCCATGAAACATTTGTGTTGCATGCAGATTGATTATTTAATGAGCATGAAGCTTTGAACGCGTTAGCAAGAAATATACTGCGCAGTTGCAGCACCGTGTAGGCCTAATTAGCACATATGAGACTGTGCAATGATCTTCTCAGATCTCTTGTAAGCAAGTACTACACATAAGACAGCCCTCTTGATCGGATGATCGTCTCATCCATTTTCATGGGTCGAACAATGAGCGATAGACGTTTATCACCCATAAATCATTCTCCTCAAACAGGACGAAGATAATAGTCAAGGCAGTACTGCCAAATCTCTCCAAGCAGAGCAAACAGGTCTTCTGTACATTTACGAACTTACAAATTCACAACAGTACTAGAGCCACCATCTTTTATGTCGCAGGAGTCGTAGCATCATTTCAACCAATCGTACTAGCTGATGACATGCTAAGATTCTACCAATCACCACTCACTACGTTTATCCATGTCAAAAACCTTTGTGACCAACATTCCGTGGTACTAATTATCACGCATACAAACTAGAAGACCATGAGTAAACAAGTCCGCCAAGTGATTGTCGATGACCAAGTGACTAAATTCTGGTCTCTCCATGTAGAAAACTACACGTCTCGAATTGGTCTATTAGTAGGTCAATTGAGCTGTTCAAATAGTGGAGATTTTGTACTAGCACTTGTACCAATTCCATCTGAAAGTGAGAGCAGTGACGTTTCAAGAGGACTTGACGATGTATCAGTTGATTGGGTGCAAGAAGTTGCTCAACAAGTGGAGCGTCTATTGCCTGGTGGTCTTAATGTGCTAGGATTGTATGTGGTTTCAACTGGAGACATTTCTACACAGATGATGCCGTTCCTTCGTGCTGTCGCAGAGGTTGTGACGTTACCCTCTAGTATCATTGTCGGAGATAATGTTCATTACCTGGCATTTGTATCTCCAAAAGAAGGTGATGTTACATTCCAGAGCATTTACAATGTGAACGATGTGAACAAGATACAAATGCTATTAGCTGGACTGAAAACTCCGGTGACGGATATTGAGTTTAAGCAGTATCGTACATTGATTGAGCTTGAAGAGCCCATTTCGTTTGCAAGTGTATCACCTTGGGCGGATATTACAGCAACAGAGCTAGTCGAAGAGCACATGAATGAGGTGAAGAACCAGTTGAAGCCGTTGTTTTGCCGGGTCGAAGAGGCCAGTGCTGTTCTCAAGCTGACAGGTGACACAGAAGTCCAGCACATGAATTTGCTGACACTGTCACCTTCGAAGCCTAAGACACTCGTTAAAGATGTGAGTTTGCGTGGGAATTGCTTTGTGTTGTGTGATGCTGAGATTTGTTTTGGTAGCCCTTTGGTGGCATCCATGGTGCTATTAGCTGCGTCGCATTTGTCTCGCAAAGTGAACCTGACGCTAACGAATTGGCGGCAAAATACCTGAAACGCGACTTTATCAAGTCATTGCTAGTGCGTGTGTCATTGGCACACGAGCGGTGGGCCGAGAATGATGAAGGTGAAGCGTTGATACATATCGTTTGAACCAAATTATGATTTCGGATTGTTGCTTGCTCATCTTCCGACTGTAATTTACGTAGCCGAGCCGAATATCGTGTTTAAAGAAGGTGGAGCGATTTGCCTTGCTCAGCGAGGTCAAGTACCATGGCGTAGCGCCTCCGTATCAAGCCCGCATTTTTTTGGAACGGTTCATGTGTTTCCTGATGAAAATCCTGTGCAGGCCGTGAAGAACGCACTTGAGATTGTCGGAGATGACGCGGCCAATGATGGCACTGCTTGGGTTGCAATGGAGATTGGCGGCCAACCCAGCTCTTCCATGAATCTTACCTCGAGCGTGAAGAAGTTAGAGTATTCTAAATACGCGTACTATCTGCTGCTTTTTGTCATCATTCTGATTCTCCAAGCCGTTCAAAATTACATGCTGTAAGAAGCATGTATGTGTATATCAAGAGAAGAATGCTCCTTCTAAGTATCATAAGCTCCGTTGCATTCGACAGTTTCTTACTTTTTACATATTTCTGGTTTTAAATTTACATCAAATCTATCGTCTACGGCGCGTGTTTGACGCGATCTAATACATAGCGCTAAACGCCCACTCGACTTTACTGGCGTCAAGAATACGTGACTCGAGACCAAACTCAGCAAAAGTTTTGCATTTCGTTTCCATATCCTCCACTTCATCATCGTCGTCCTCATGAGACGTCGGATGTTCGTGTTCCTCTACTTTATTTTGGTCTTCCTTTTGTCGACGTTGCTTTTGTACTGCGTCCTTCATGGCGTGAATTGTACGGTTTATCTTGTCCAAGTAGACCATATTCGACTTGCAATCGACCGAGCAGAAACCAGGATGTTGGCTCAACGTTTTGAGGTAAATATGGTCGCAATTCGCACACTTTTCTCGCTTCTTGTCCCAATGAGCGATACGACGGCGTGGTATGTCGCGGGACTTGTCCGTGGACGATGTGCGTTGATGCACGGAATGCGAACGTGGGGTGCCAGACGCAAGAAGCACAGGCTTTGGTTGCTTAGTCTTCGTGCTTGAAACAGACTTGGCAGAAGTAAAGAGCAGACTGCTTGCAATCTTTTGAAAAAAGGCATCCATTATGACAAGGTTAAAGTTGATTGAAGAAGGCCTCTTGATTCGAATGAAGCAAAAACGAAAGTGAGATAGATGATAAAGGCTTTTTAGGTTGGATCAGTTGGCTCGGTTTTGCAAAAATTACAAGTAAAACACTGCAAATCGTCGATGTGCAGAGGTCTGGAAGGATTATTAGCGCATCTCCTTTTATCGTAGCGTCTCTTGTCTTGTGCAAGAGCATCAACAACCAGATTAATGACTGGGCGGAAATGGGATCAGGGAAAAGCCAAAGCTTTTTAATATACGCACAAACCAGACAATTCATTGAGCGCTCGCTCTGATCATGTACCGTTTGGCGCGGCAGTAGTATACAAGTGTGGCTGTGGTTGTGTATGTGTGTCAATTTTTACGTATATGAATCTCATTCGGCAGGCATCTTGGAGTAAATGGACATGCATTGTATATTGGAATATCATCTACCGCCTTTTTGTGGGACATGAAATGAAATTCTTGAGCTTTGGCAGCTCTCGGTGAAATTCACCTGCCGTAACGCTTCATGATCTGCAAATTTCGAGGGAGCGGTTCAGTGTTTTGTGTACTCTTTTTAGATGCTTTTGGTCATGCCTCAGCCGCCTGATGCTAGGGTGAAAATGCACGACACGTGTCATCTGGAGGACTTGAGGACGTCATGTCACCACTGACATCGCCACACGTGACACAGCTATTAAATATGGTTTCAGAGATGAGCTGTTATTGATATGCTTTGGGTTCGGTGCGCGCTGTGGGTTAAAGCTTGCAAGGTATTGATAATATCAAACACTTTAACGCTTTGAACCAGAATCAGCATGGAAGTTGTAGATGCTGTTGCGGATATCCTCTAGAAACATGTACGTCGATTTTCCGCGCGTAGCTTTTTACCCAATACACGAAATCGATGAGTGTGTATCGCCAGCAGAAATCTGGGTGTCTGCGTATATGAAAAATGACCAGTGGACGTTGCCGCGGTCTAATGTATTGGCCTCTATGGCTTAAGATCACACTTGCAAGCATTGCCGTATGGGCTGAAAAGCTCGATCGTTGAAAGCTTAGTGCGCATGAACTTAGTAACGGTTCTGTATGCGCACTGTACACCTTGGCCATATGCAGTATCGAGTTGTGAACCCCCGAAATAGAATCAGAAACGTGCGATAGCTTATACACGCTGGGAGCTATTCCACGGTTTGGGAATAGAAGTTCGGGGCTCGCTAATTTACAGTGCAATGGTATCACGGCACGATACGACTACGTGGAGCAAGTTCATTTTCAATTCAAGCCACCTTCGCTTTTGCACTCATCTAACCCAGCTTGCATACGAGCTGGTCTGCTTTTCTCTTGCTGTAACGCACATCGACTTGGTCGGCAAAAACATAAAGAGCTGTACATGTAATGAACGTTGGTATTGATACGTTCAGGCAGGTTTGTCCATGCATCGATACATTTTTCACCAACAAAGGTGTGCGCGGAGCCTAAAACGAGCACAACAGGCTGTGTGTAAACGAGCCCCATGTCGCATCGGGACTGCTCGCATGCCGGCTGCACTGGGACATTACCATTGCGTATTTGCGCTCACAATGCAGCAGCAAGGATGTGAGAGAAGATGGAGTTGGGCAGCTGTTGCAGCTGCTGTTTCGTGATAACGTCTGCTGAAGTCGAAACATTACACTGTGCAACAATGTTGTGACGCGATGTCGAATGAAAGAGGTTTAATAGATTTGCTGTTGCAAACGTATTCGACATCAAAAGAGTTTGTCTGTAGGCAGATTCAGCAATAGTAAACTGTCCAAATCAATGGCTCACTGCAAGCGATACTTGTCCTACGAGCTCGGACGTTGCCAAATTTTTCGTTAGGAGTTGCTACTGGGGATGGAATGTGCTGTCTCATTCGGGACTCGATTGCTACATTGTCATCGAGTCCAAACCATCAGGGTTTGCCAAGATTTGTTTTTACTAGATCAAAAGGACCACGCCATATTGTAATGGATGAGTACGCTTTACAGCCAAAAAAAGACTCATTTGATGAGTGGTCTTATACTTGAAGTGGTCCTCTACTTGAAAGGGCTCACCTGACGCGGCTGATACATGGACTATCTATCGTATACCATTGTAGGATAGATAGAGTGGTGCATGTACTACTAGCCAGCTATTGGTGGCGGTGATGGTCTTCATCTTGATGGATCGACACGAAGCAGTGCAAAACCCGGGCCATTCATTGACTGAGACATATGGCCACAGACGTGGCTACGAAATGGTTGGTCTGGAGCAAGAATTTCTAACAATGGATACATACATGCATGGCCAAGTCATAGGTCCTGACTGTATTACAATGTTTCGTGTGCATTTATTTGTATCACGTCTGCCTGCCACGTCAGCCACGACTCTTTTTTGATATACACGATGCGGTTGTGAAGCAATGCGTGGCGTAAATGGATTCATCAAGTTGAAGCTAGCCTCAAATCATGTACTGGATGCAGCACATTAACAAACGTATCGACACTTTAAAATAATCAACAATGGCAATGGGGTGAAAGCAATCCAATCGATTAAATCGTCTACGTGCTAGCACGAAGTACCTAACCTACATTTCACTTCCCACCGATCATACATTGTAAGACACAAGCGCAAGCAGAGCAAAAAAATTGTCTCTTATTGCGATCTGAATAACGTGACTGCCCCTCATTTTCTACTCTTTTCACTTTCACCCCTCGATCGTTAGATCTTACGTAGCCTTCCATAATGTCATGCCCGTGCATAATCTACTTCATCCTCTCAACACACCATCCTGGAGTTTTCTAAGCCAGAATCCACGACATCAAGCTTGTTCTTCGCCGCGCTCTTGATTTGATGTTCCTCTTTAGGCCACCTCCCTGTCCCAAACATGCCCCATATTTAGATAGCGTCTCGTGTCGTCTCTCATCAGCATTCTAGTTGCCTGAGGGCAGCGAAGTAGCACTAGCGCCCTGGGCAGCCATTTCATTGGCGTTGCTGTCCATGTGACCAGTCATGTCGCCAAACATAGGACCTTGGCTCTTCTCCTTCTTGTGCTGCACTTTCAGGCGTTTGCGACCAACCTGAAAACCATTCATTCCCTTAATAGCAGCATCAGCTGACGAAGCATTGTCGTAGCTCACAAAACCTGCACGCCGCATAAATCGATAGTCATTGTCATAATTGGCAGTCTTTATACTCGTGTCTAAATGAACAATGCACACGCACCAAAACCACGGCTCCTTCCCGTCTCCTTTTCCACCATAATGCGAGCGCTAATCACGTTGCCAAATGTAGCAAAGTAATTGAAGAGATCTTGGTTAGTCATGTCGTTCGGGATATGAAACACAAATAAATTACATCCAGGAGGTCCTGTATGCAGCAATACGCAACACGCAAATGTTTCCAGTCACACACACGCACATAATCGCGTGGTGATTTCCAACATTTAGCTCATGCACAATATGCATTCATACAAAGATGAAAACAGTACACAAATCTACAATAACTCACCTTGACCACTTTCCGTGGTCTGGATCGGAGGACCTGGACCTACAATCTGTGGTGGATAACCTATAGTCCAATCACATTAACAAAACCATATTTACATCAACAACCTTCCCTTCACTTGATTTTCCACCACTCGTCACTCACCATAAGCTTGTGGAAAAGGGTACATATAGCCACTACCACCGTACGGAGGTGGATATTGCATAGGTTGGCCGTATGATTGTGGATATCCTCCATAGGGCGTAACACCTGTATAGGAAACAAAAAGTAATCAATCATGAGCAAAACAGTCCAACTCCTTCAATGGTGAAAAAAACATCCAAGTATCTTTGTGACGCACCTTGAGGTGCTTGACCTCCAAGTTGTTGCTGAGGCTGTTGAAAAGCACTAAGACTCGATTGTTGCTGAGAAGTGATAATACCACGAGATAATTCTGCTTGTGAAGCTGCTATTGATAGTTCTACTGGACTAGAAACAGACAGTATAGTAGTACCATAAGAACAACAAAATAGCTACAGTCATAGACGAAGACAACAAAATGAAAATCAAATGGCGTACCATTCCCACGTCGATTCGCCTGTAATTGCATTGTAATAATACTTTCGACCATTCGGTGCATTATGCTCTGACCAGTGTGTAGATGAAGTCACTTGAGCTTCAATCCCACTAGTTGAATCCACTTGATCAGCCATTAATAAGAACGTGGTATATAAACACACAAAATATAGAAAATGCAGTGTGAAGAGAAGAAGAAGATGACGAAGATGATGATGAAGCAGAAGGTGAAGTCGTAAGGCCTTCTTTTGTATACAATTCAATTCGGTTTTGTAGACACACAATCGATTTTATAAGATTTGTCACTTGTTGTAGACACAAAGAGACAGAGAGACAGAGAGAGAGAGAGGAAGAGAGAGAGAGAGAGAGACTTGAATTCAAATGCTTCCTTGGAATTTTTTGTCTTGGTACTGCTTAATATTAATGGAGGTGAGGAGAGGGAAGGGGGGATAATGTCATTCAAATGAAGGAAAAACAACACTCAAGTGAGAGAAAAAACCAGGATTTATCCTTTTTTGTGTGTGTGGTTTTTGTTCTGACGGTTTATATTAGGCTGGTTGGTAATTCCTAGGTTTTACGCTTTATTTTAACGTATTATAATTTCGACCAAATATCGTGAAGCCCATTGTGACTACGAGTAAAACCGGTAACACCTGTAGTCAAACTCAATAAACATACCGAATTTGTTATTGCCTACAGTGATGAATGACAGCACAACTCTCGAGCATGTCTGCTGTCTGCCTTAACTTTAACTCTTACTTTATACTCAGTTAAAATATACCTATCCATGAACCTGTATTCTGAAAACATCACCCGAGTGGACCCTATCACAATAACGTAAAGACAAAACACATTGTGTAGTACAATCTGATAATGTCTTTAGGCTGGAGCATACAACGCTTTGCCAGCAAGTACCGATCAACAAAGTTGATTAGGACGATATCTGAATACCTTTCAAGTCTACATCGTGGAAACAATCCGTACGACCCAAACAATCTGACATAAGTAGCTAATACAAACCAAGTGTACTCATGTGCATTGTTGTATTGTTGCACGATGGACAAAACTAAAAAAAAACGGTGGATTTTTGAGTCACTTGAGCAAGTGTCTGCTTGCTTGCTTGCTGCTGCTACCTTTACATTAATTTTGTATCCAGATAAACCCACCTTGTTCTTACTACCCATGATGTACTGTCCTCTACTATTACTATTGGTGGTAATTTGCTATCTATTATCACCGAGTTGTGCGAGACGTCCTAAACTACAACCAGACGGACGTCAAATGTGAAAACCCACAAACCTCACGTTCTGACGATGTTGTGTCACAAAAATGCTGTAACGGCTGGGGACAGGCTGATTTGTCATATTGTATCGTAGTATACAATAAACAAGTGATTTAGGCCAGACCAGAAAAGGATGCGCACGTAAGGTCTAGAGAGACAGTGAGAGCTCATTTCTAGTTTAGCAGCTAGTGAGGACTATCGTCATCTTCTTCTTCTCTCGTCTCTCTCTTTCTCTTGCTGCTGCTACTGTTGTAACAACGTACAAGTATCATGGTAGTAGCTCGTAAAGCTCTTATTGTGGTTGGTGTCCTCGTGGCTATTGGTGCCGCCATTGGCATTATCATTGCAGTCACTAGCGGAAATGATGATAAAGATGCTATTAGTAGCGGCGGAGGGACAACGCTCGATGGATCTGGTTCAACGCAGTCGAGTACGTCCAAGGTGAAGGAATCGGATCTCTTGACCAATTTAACATCAAGTGGCAGTGGTTCGATGGTCACTAATGAACCAACGAGTGATCCAGAAAAGGCTAAAGCGGCGATCACGATGCTTGCGATTGGAGACTGGGGCGCTACAACGGACAAGCCTGGATCTTGCTGCAACAAATATCGCAAGGTTGCCAATGATTCACTTGAGATGAAGATTGATTACTGGGCCCAGATGAACGTTGCTGAGATCCTGGCAAAAGCTGCTGGAGATATTAAACCGTCGTGCGTTATTAGCCATGGTGACAATATCTACTATAACGGTGCTGGACCTGATGACATTGACTACCGAATGGAGACAACATTTGAGAGTGTATATGACCAGCCTGCGCTCCAGGACATTCCATGGATCAACGTTTGCGGCAATCACGATCTTGGTGGCTCGGATCACATTTGCGGTGAGAAGGATTACAATTTCCGTCAGTGCGAAAGCGCTCAGGAGCTTGTCAAGTACTTAAAGCTCAAGTTCTCGCTGCAGCAGGAGTACAAGAGCCCCAACAGCGACCGCTGGAAACTGTCGGACCATTACTATGTGGAAACGGTCAAGGAGAACGGCGTGTCGGTCGACATTTTCAATGTTGACACAAATTTTGCTGATTCACACGGTGTGATGCAGATCTGTTGTCAGTGCTACGGCTTCGTGAAAGATAAAAAATTGAGCGAAGCCGAGACCAAAAAGCTGGGCGCTACGTGCAACGACCGTACCCCAGGTGATGAGCTGTGCGCTGGTGGAAGTACCGAGATGTACAATGCTTGCGCCGATACAATCAAGGAATGGTGGGACGACTCGCTTTTGCAGGTGAAGAAGGACCTCAAGGCGTCCACTGCTACATGGAAGGTTATTAATTCGCATTACTCGCCGCACTTTCACATGAGTGAGGATAAGATGAAGGAGTGGTTTATGGTTACTAAGGAAGGTGGCGCACACATCTGGCTCAATGGCCACACGCACGGTTTTAATCACGATATTAGCAACTGGGGCACCCACTTTTACGAGAACGGTGGTGGCGGTGGCATCCAGTCTGAGACGTCGGGTATGCCTCCTGAGGTTGCGGAAAAGTATGTCGAGCATGCATGGATTGCCGCTGGCAACCCATATGGCTTCTTCATGCTTCATTTCTCAGAGGATTGGCTCAAGACTGAGTTTGTAACGTTTGACGACACATGGACGTTCAGCGTTAAGAAGGACGAAATTGTCAAGGGCGGCTACAAAAAAGGTCACTGCTGGCACATTCCTGTGACTATCGGTGCTGGTAAAGAATGCACAACTAGCGAGAAACGAGTGTAAACATGCTTACTGGCTCTAATGGCACGAATGGCACAGTTTCTGAGCTGTTGTGTACATAGCTTTCATGACTCACATATGTACAGTCGTTTTGTTTGCATTGCCCAACGCCATGGAGGTACTGTATGACAAAAGTTCATAGAATCGTATCATTTGATAATACCATGTGACTTCTAAAATCGGTCTACGCGGTTAAATACTCCAAGAGTTCAAATCTTTTGTTTATTCTAGCCATCTCCATGACGTCGTGCTTTGCCCGCTCCTGCAGGTGTCTTGGACAAGTCTATCTTTTTATGTCCATTCTGTTTCAACAAAGTGAACTTTGTAGGTATGTCATCTTTACATGATGAGTCTAATTGTTGATGTTGCCGCTCTTGATCGGTCGCCAAGCAAACAACGTGATTGGGGATCGAATCGGTAGGTATCGACAAGCAGAAGCAATCGATCAGTTCACCACCTCTCTGCTTAGCTGGCTGTGGAGAGGAAAAGTCCGTTTTACTACCAGATCGGTACCCGTTCACGTGCTTTACGTTACTCAAACCATTTCCTACTCTCTCGTGTGTCTCTCCGCTATCGTGTTGTACTTGGGCTCGATTATTTGATGGTGAAAAAGTCTGGCAAACTTGTCCGCCATGTTCCTGGTGTCTCATATCTTGCTTTTGATGATTCTGTGCAACATCAGACCTGCCAATATTTACCTGCTTCTCCAACGTATCTACCACCTTCTCGAGTCGATCAACCTGTTGCGTCAAGTCATCTACCTGATGCCGGAGAATCTTGTTTTCAGCAGCTGTCTTTGCAATAAACTCCTCGGCCTGTGCACGCAACGCAGCTCGTTCTTCTTCAAATTGATTCATCATCTGTATCTCCATATTGCTCACATACTGTTTCGCTTCCTGTACAATGCTTCCATGGACACGTCCAAACTCGGCAATTCTCTTCAATTGTTCATCTATCGATCCAAAATGCACACAAAATTCACACAAGAACCACAAACACACAATCAACATCAATACTTCACCACACTGCCCATTGTATTCGTTCCCAACACGTACGCACTGGAAAAATGGTCTTCTACATGAAAAATCACTCTTTGCTGCCATTTTTCCAGCTCCAAGACAGAAATCGTCACCATTTCTTCCTCCTCGTTGACTTTTTCTTGTCTCTTTTCCTCCTGATCCTCCTCCTCCTCCTTCTCACTAGAATCTCGTGTCTCACTCAGTCGTCGATGAACGCTTACGTCATCACTCATCACCACTGCTACTACTTCGACGTTTTTTACACTGCATCTTCTTTCTTCGTCCTTGAGTTTCTTCTTCATCAATAGGAAACGCTCGATACAAATTCTGAATTGACGAAATATTTGATAGGTGAAGACCGTTTGCCGTGGCTCTTGCTGTCGTATTTGGTGTAAGGGCCGTTAACGCATGCAATCGAGATGGAGATACATTACCTGCTTGATCTGAACTATCTGAAGCCTGATAAAGAAAAAGTACTATTGATTGAGGAGGATGGATTCACGTAGCGACGGCCAATGCGTTTATTGCGCATGACTGACGACTGGTTTTCACTGCTGTTTGGATGGATTTGGTCACGTCCGTTATAACATACAAGATGATGATTGGTAGAAAGTAGTTTCAACAGGTCACGTTATTGGCTACCTATCAAAAATCAATCCAATCGGTCACGGTAGCTGATGTAAAATCCGAGCTTCCGCGAGAGAAAAAATAATAATAATATCCATGTGTCAGCATGGATTTTCTCGAGATGTTTTTTTTCCAGCAAAAAAAGCACTTTTCTTACCAGCTAAAACAGCAGCTCCAAAGCCATTGTCAATATTGACAACCCCAACACCGGGTGAACATGCATTTAGCATTGTCAATAATGGAGCCAATCCACCAAAGGCTGCACCGTATCCGACACTTGTAGGAACTGCAATCACTGGTGCGGATGTAAGTCCTCCCTGTGTATACAATTAGAAGCATTACAATGAGAACATTGGGATGTACACTTCGGTTCGTGAGAAAAAAAGTATCGTATGGACAAGCGCACATGACGTACCACAACTCCAGGCAAAGCACCGTCCATTCCAGCAACGCAAATAGCAACATCGGAAGCTTGTAGGATATGTTGATTGCGCAATACACGATGAATACCAGCCACGCCCACGTCGTAGAGTCGAGTAACACGGTAGTCAGCCAATTCTGTCAAATTCCACATACATGTTCTTGTTAGGTTAGACACAAGTGAATGACGAAGTGTGTATATACCGAGAGTAACAGCGGCTTCTTCTGCAATAGGTAGGTCCGATGTACCAGCACAAAGCACACAAGCAGTGGGAATCTTGAAAGAACACGTGGTCGTTCCAAAGCAGCAAGATAGGACACAACATAGCTTAGAAACAACCTTCCAACTGTCTTTGTTGCCACTAGTGCCACAGCTTCTTACCTTCTTATCCCCCACATCTCCTAGTGTCGTTTCAAGATCCTTTTCCAATGCTTTCAATGCTAGAATGCGAGGTACTTTGTAGTACGTCAGGTCTTGGTCCTGTTAAACACGCATGCAAACTTTGATCAGAAACAACCGTCTTTGCAAAGCAGACACACACACGATCCCTCTTAGGCTTCTTGTACCGGCATCAAAGCTTGAATTTCATCGGCAGCTTGGATCGTCACACGTGAAGCCATGACGTTATCTTCACCTCCATCAATCATCGCCTTCATAATAGCTGCCACCTGCTCTGGTGTTTTACTCTCAGCGTATACGACCTCAGGGAAGCCCGTTCGAGCTTGTCGATTTGTATCAATCTTGGCATAATCGCCCACTTGCTGATAATCTGACGTAAATGTACAGAGCTCCATGGCTGCTTGAGGTAACACTTGGCCGTCTGCTACGCGCTGCAAGAGCTTTAGCATCGACGTCTTGTCCACGGACGATGACGTTGACGAGGTCGATAATGCTGACACGCGAGCCGTTGAGACAACAATCTTTCCACTAGTTATAGTGCTTGTAAAATCCACGAGCGACGCAAGATGACGGGAATGCACAAGCTTCATGGACTTCATGGGGACGAAGAAGAGCTTTTTCGAGTAGAAGGAGGCTACACGTTTAGTATGAATATATGTATGATAGAAATCGTTATTGTCAAAATGAAGCATTGGTCTCATCCTATGAGCTCTTTCGTGACGATGATATGTATGCATTGTTCCGTAGTCGACAATGAATTGAAAGCATTACGAGCGAAGAATGCACGGTTAGTAGCACAAGTTGAAAGACTGGAGCACTTTATACAAAGTGCCGTGAAGAACCAAGTGTACAGAAGGTAGTAGTCGAGGATAATACTTCAGTAACGTATTCACCGTTCTCGAACCTAGAGCTACAACGATATGGACGTCAAATGCTCGTTAAGAAGTTTGGAGTGAAAGCTCAACTAAAGTTACAGATTGCAAAGGTATTGCTGATTGGTGTGGGTGGACTTGGATCACCTGCTGCAATGTACTTGGCTGCTATGGGTGTGGATACGTTGGCGATAGTTGATGATGACCATGTCGATCGAAGTAATTTACATCGACAGATTCTTCATGATGAACAAGGAGCAGAGGAACGAGAGAGAAAAGTGCATTCACGCGAAGAAAAGACCGCATGAGATGAATCCTTTGGTTCGATGTATAGTGTATCCAATGCCCGCTGCAAACGCGTTGAAACTTGTTGGAGAGTACGATGTCGTCGTAGACGCTTCGGACAATGTTGACACGCGCTATCTTGTAAATGATGCATGTGCTCGTTCACGTAAGCCATTGGTGTCAGGTAGTGCACTAGGCATGGAGGGACAAGTGGTTTCACATATCAGGACGACGAACATGCAACTGGATGCTACCGATGCTTGTACCCAACTCCACTTCGAGTTGCAACGAGCTGCGTAGAGAACGGTGTGCTTGGCGCCGTGCCTGGTGTGATTGGATGTCTTCAGGCTATGGAGACCGTTAAGATTATTTGTAATGTTGGCGAACCTCTTGTTGGTGTGCAGTGCTTCTATGACGCATTTGATGGTCAAATCCGACGCCTCAAAATTGCCAAGAAGAGAAGCCTGGACTGTCCGTCCTGTGGAAGCATGTTGCTAGTTCTGAGAACCACGAGATGGTACCTATTGAAATATCGCCGCTTGTTGAAGGCAATTGCACGAATGGTGGAGAGATCATCGACGATCTGGACCCTGTGTTCAGCATTAGTGCTGAAGAATTTGCAAAGGTGCGCAAGGCAAAACAAGAAGAGCGAGATAGCTATCTTTTGCTGGATACTCGTGGACGCATCCAGTTTGAAATGGTGCACTTTCCTGAGGCAGTAAACATTCCAACTGATGAGCTCATGAGGCAGGATCCTGCTCATGTATAGCTCCTTGCAGCGTTTGATCACCGGTGTCACAGCGGCGCAGCGTACACTTTTTAGAGGCCAAACAAACGTTCGTGATGTGCCGTCGAGGTGTGGACTTTGTCAAGGTGACTTGGTGAATGATCAATCACGGTATTCAAAACGTTTTCAACATAGATGGAGGATACACCGAATACGCTAAAGATGAGGGTGTTGATCCGGGATTTCCGATGTATTAGAGCACAACAACGCACAAAGCAGACCTTGTATTCGAGCAATCCATGACCACTGCATTTAAATTCTGAGCTTGTCACGGCTATCGTAGGAATGAATGTCTAAGATACAGGCTATAGTGCACTGAGAGGTAGTTAGTTGACAGAAGCAAGCTCGCAATGACGGCACTTTACGTCCGATAGTTCAGATGCTTTGTCATGCAACGCAGTTACGGTAATTGGCGACGATTGATTAGATGCACTTTCAGCAGACTCTTGATCAGATACGCTTTCAGCAGACACTTGATCATCTTGTTCTCCCTCTTCTTCTTCTTACCATTATTCTCGTCCTCATCAGGTTCGTCATCGCTTCTTTCTTTGACCTCATAGGTCTCGTCGTCTTCGCTATCTTCGTCCTTGCCGGCAAACATGAGCTCGTTAAGCTGGCGATAGTCTACGTCGTTACGTTTTCGTTTGCTACGGAAAATTGGCATCGGATCTTCCTCGGACCCATCGCCTCCTTGATCATCGCCAGTATCTTCTCCCTTGGACTTATCACACTCTTGATCATCGCTACTATCCTCGGCCACAGCATGATTAATGGCAGCCTGTGTCTTGCTACGCGTTAGCATTTCAGAGCTCCCGTCATGGTAGTCAATGCGCCATCGCGAATATCTCCCCTTGACCGGTGGCTCAAGCTCTGCTACGACTCCAAGTATTACTTTGCCAGTTTTGCGGTTGATCTTAGCTGTTTGTTTACCTATAAGACTCGATGTTTTACGAATGGGCTTTGATGGTCGTCTCGCACTTTTCGAACGGCTTGACCGACTACGAAGAGCGTTAAGAACAGCGAGAACGAATATTAAACACGAGTCACACGAGTATACAGTCAACATCACGTACTGGTCTGGGTCGATGACGTCGTCTTTGCTAAGGAAAAGCAAGTCTTGAGAGCTTTCGGGCACCTCCTCGACCATTTCTTCTTCACTTCCAGCTATCTCTTCCGTCGTTTTTTCGTCACTTTCTTCCTCATCTTCGTCGTCAGGATCTCCTTCATTACACACAAAGTCTTCATCTTCTTCTTCGTCATTATCCTCATCAACACGAGCACTGCCACTTTCCTCGCCTGAGCGAGAAATGCTGCTTGCATCCGTTTTTACCGGTTGTTCCAACTGAGCAAGTTCAGGGAAAAGGTCATCGGTATTCTCATACGTCGTGCCAAACACCCAGTTAATCGACTTGAGACACTCAAAAACGGCTAGACATACTTCACAAAACCAAAGCTCGTCGCCTGCCGGGATATTGGCAGTCAGGACAAGTGGTGTCTGACACCGTTGATGGTAGGCACGATGACAACCAAGACTATCACAGAGCAAGATATCGTTGTCTAGTTCGATATCGGTGCTTCCACATCGGGAGCAATGCACATCTTCAAACACAGCGTGCGGTGGCACTTGCGGGTCGTTTGCATTGAGTGCCTTCAATTCGTGGAGACCGTCAATCAGTGCACGTTTTCCTTTTGTAATCTTATCGTGTTCCGCTTCAAGTTCTTTGTTGGGCTTGAGCTTTTCTCGACTCGATTTCCGCCATCCTTCGGTTTCATAAGCCTCAATGAAAGCTAATGAGTACCGCAATCGATGCACCTACACCCATGAATACACAAATCATCATTCTTCAGCTTTCGTAACTTCACACCCTTCTTTTGTAGAATCAACCACTGTCTTCATCAAAATCAGCTAGCTACCAGATAAACACATTGCATAAACATACCTGTGACTTGATTTTTTTCTCCAACCGCTTATGTTCTGGTCGAGAAGGAGTAACAATAACGGGTGGAGGATGATTGTCACTTTCTGGGCTTGACCCCTTTTGCTTTCGAGTTTTCCGTGGTGGGGTAGTGGTACTTGGTGAAAATAAAGCAGGGGCCCGTCGTTTCCGTGGTTTCCGTGGTTTTACGCTACTAGTACGGTCCATGAGTAGAAAACAACAAGAAGAAGAAGAATGTTATTCACCTCGTAAGTACTTTATTCAAATTCAGACAAATTGAAACATCTTCAGTATCAAGAATTGTATCGTTTGTACATTGATGGACGATGAATAGAAGTGGATGAGAGTTCATTGGTATGTTGATTGTCGACTGATGACAAACGAGCTTTTTTGGTTCGCATGCGAGGCATTTTGTGTCTCAAAAATGGACGCAATTTCGACAAGACGTTTCAGAAGAACTTGATTTATCTTTACGGAGCTTTTCGTCTCTGGTAACAGTTGTTAATAAGGTGAGTTAGTACATTGAATTATTTCGTGATAATGAAAAATGACTATTATTTGTTGCAAACAGACCTTTCGTTTGTGATTGTTACGAGGGAGAAATTAGTCACGTACTTACTATATGGATAACAAATTGGTTCAAACCAATTGATAGATTTTACTTTGGAAACAGTCAAGTCAAAAGAAGTTTTTTGCAACAGGTGGTGGTGATACAAATCAAAAATCTGGATGTCTTGTATCAAAATTACTAGCGCGTAGTAGTACTAGCTTGGCTCACACAATGTCTGAACCTGGAACAGTTGCTCTATTCATATACAGTCAGTATTGGTTATTTTTGCCTGATCGGAAAACGATCTCAAGCTCCAGTGTGATGTTGTATGCTTTGTTGATTGGTTGAACGGGCTGTTTTATCTGTTTACAACTGCGAAAATGGAAAAAAACTGCGTAAGAACAGATTTTCGGGAGGTTGTATTCAACTCTATCACGACAATGAGATAGGGATGCTCACGAAAATACGATCCATTTATAAAATGGCACACTACAATAATAATAATACTATGTTATTGTTTCTTTACCGACGTGTTTAAATGCGTTATAACTATTAAAAGTTCAAATGCGTTGTAACCATGCAGAGTGCGTCTGATCTAGCTGTTGAGTCAGTTATTTGAATCATACGATGCATTACGTTTTCCGAAAAGAGAAAATCTACATTATGACTAAGTAATCTAAAGCACGCAATCTCAAGTGATGATGCCACCAGTTGACGAGGGAAGAATGTACTTTGATGATTATAAGATATCGAGGTCATTGATGTAATTTTACACAGAACACTTGTGTTTCTCCAATGCGATTTTTCGAATTGGCATTGTCATGGTCGTCGATAAAGTGGATTGTTGAAAGCAAAAGATCTTGATTGGGTCGACGTTTGAGCAAAAACAAAGGTGAATGTTGGATGTCCAAGACAGGAAAACTGCTTTTTACCATTATAGATCAAGATTGATGAAGGTGTTCGAAAGCTCATTTTGTGGAACCTATGGTCGAGGATCGGTATGAACACCAATCAATCTTTCTTAGATTTGTTTGCTGGTTCATGCTGGACAATGAAGGTGTGGAGAAAGCACAAAAATCACCAGTTAGCTTGACGTCAAGACGTAGCAGTAAAGACATACAAGGTCATCACTATCTGACTATTCATTAAAAGAGAGCAAAGCATATGCTGGAGTGAGTCCTTGCTCCGATAGCTTTGTTTGTGCCACTTTCTCTTGGTATCAGAGTTAAGACGCATGCATACTGTCAACGTCACTGAGAAAGGGTCTTGTTTGACAAACACACATATGAAGCCAAAGGAGGATAATAATTACAAAGTCTGTGTCTCTAGGAATGCGGCCACATCATCGTCTCCAAGCGCCTGCGCCATTGAAAAAGCCGTTTCACCGTCAATATCTTTGATCTTGGGGTCCACTCCCTTCGCAACAAGCAGCTTGATCAGCTCAACGCTAGAGCAGCCGAAGAGGCACGTCTGGCCAATCTTGTTCAGTGCATTCAGATCAGTCTTCTCGCTATTAGCCAGGAGTTCAACAACGTCGTGCATCTCAAACATTACTGACACATGCAACGCACAGTCACCATCCGAGGGCAGTGTGAAGTTAACATCCACACCCAGTGCAAGCATCTCCTTTACGACATCAAGTTGGCCAAAACGGCAGGCCTGAAACAGTGCACAGTCATTGTCTTCTGCATGGCCTTTCACTCCGTCTTTTAGTCCGACCGAATACGTCGTGACAAGCTTCGTAGCAGACTCAATAGCGCCGTTCTTGAGCAAGAATAACGCCACAGCTGTGTGTTCCGATTCGACAGCCAAATAGAGAGCGTTACCGGCGTCCTTAGCGGTGCCAGCGTAGTTCACGTCAGCCTTAAGAGCCACAAGATTCTCTGTCAACTCATAAAGTCCACAATTAGCTGCTTGCATCAGCAACGTCCATCCGTAGCGGTCCACGATGCTGTTCGGGTCCTTGAGGCCCAAACGCTGTAGCAGTGCCCTCGCTACCTTACCAACGCCCTTCATCAGCTTCTCCGCTTCGTCCTCTATCTCAGCCAAGTCCTTTTCCGTCTCATTGTGTTCCATTTCTTCCTCTTGGACACCAAGGACGTGCACAAAGGCCTCGTATTCCTGCTGCCAAGTATGCAACCAGTCCATGAGATACACAAGGGGTGACTGGTCTCCAATGTCGCCCACAGTCTCCAGAAATTGCTCCACGTCACCTGCAATCAGACTCTTACGCACATCATCCAGCTTGTCACCAACTTGAGCGTTTTTGTCCTTCAGTGCCAATGTCACCAGTGACAAATGATCTTCTTCAGTCATGATGCTGTCGATTGTCAAGTGTGAGATGAAACGCGACTGATCATTGGCTGGTGCATATGGCTTTGCTATGAGCGGTTCTAATTGGCTCTAGGCCGACGATATTGAAGCTGTCGACTAAGTGGTACCGCAGCATTAAATACTACGAATTACAGTGCTCGACATCTATTTTGTCTGTTCAAAAAAATCATAGTGTTCAATCAAAAGCTTAAACTCATTGACGGTAATTTGTTCCAGCTCCTAGGCACATCGAATCTGTTAGCAACCACCCTTATAAGGGGAACGTCTTTACGTCATTTTGACTTTCTTACACACCAGCAGCCACTCGATGACCTTGACCGACTATAATGACGTTTATGGCGTAACGGTATTCAAGAAAGTACAGTAACACATAGCCACTTGGACGCGATTACCTGCATGCAGGTCTACTTGAGCTACCAGCTCATCTGATGTTCTAGACTGCAACATTATGTCTTGTATGTGCCAATGCTGTTGTTGCAGTGGCATTTACTGCCAAGTAATGGCGTTGCAGTGTCATCTGTCGTGTAAGTTGTATCCTGGTTGAGGCCACAGGATAAACGCAGCAGTTGCCGTCGAGGACAAGCTGTCAAGCTACGTCTTTATATATCATGACTCAATGCAAACAAGTCGCTTCCTATATAGTCGTGGGTGGCTACGGCTGTGGGTGGGGGGGGGGGGGGGGGGGCGGGTGGGGGTGGCTCGGCTGTGGGTGATTTGACAGAATCATTGGCTCAAATGTCCTAGCATCATATTTCCATCTGATAAAGAGAAGAGAACAATATTAGACAACGATCAACGCACACTCTTGTTAAACACACAAGATAGCTTGTACTATATTTCAAGTGCTCTTATTGTTTGTATGTATCAGTGTATATGTTTCTTCCCTATATTCTCGCATCAAATTGTTAATGTTTGCACGAGAGATAGAGGTGATGGGGTGGGTAAGGGCGAATAAATGCCTCGCATGCAACGTGCACGTCTCATTAGACGGATGAGCGTGATGCAATGAGCGTCAGCGCTGCCTCTCGGGGGATGCGCAGTGAATTTTGAAGATTCGAGAGACATTGCTCGTGCAAATAGTCACGCAGTAGCTTGTTGAGCGAACGGCAGGCAAACTGGTAGAGCTTCTGGTAGCTCTCAGGTTGCTTCGTAAGCTGCGTGGGTGACACGTGAAACTCCTGGAGACACAAGTTTAGCCACAGCTGATCATCGTTGCTCAATTCGTGCCATGAGCGACAAACGCTGCGTGCTGAGCAGAGGGAAGGTCCATCCAAGAAGCTTAACACCACGTGAACAGTCTCATCGCATGTAAAGTCCAAGAGACTCAACGAAGAAAGCTCGTACGAGAACGACGGGATGAGACTACGAAGCCATTCGTCCAATGCAAGAGCTTCTGTTGATAAGTCATCATTTATAGGCGCAACAAGTGGGTGTAGAATAATTGCACGAGAAGAAGAAACGTTCATTTGACGAGAAGAAGGAGTTGAAGGTACAATGTCGAAGTTAATACAAGGAGAAAGTTCATGTGTACCACATCATCATGCTTTAACCCGTGGGTTCAATATAGACGAAACCCGTTTACGCGTTGGAATTTTAAACTCCAGTCATCCTCAGGAGGTCTTTTGACAATCACTCTTACAATTCCATTCATAGAGTCCATGCGAGTCCTGTCACCCCCTCTACCCACAGGTTCGTTCTTATCTCCTACACATGGCACTGATAGTCTCGAGAATTGCTTCAAGATGACGTCATCTATCTCTTCTTCTTCTTCTGCGTCTGCGGACAAGTGTCTAAAACCTCTTGGTACTACTGGTATTGTGGGTCATAAACGCAAAAGTCTGAGCTCCACTACCCAGTCAAGTAGTAGCAATAGTCATACGACAACACCTGTGTCTAATAATAAAAAGAGGACGCGAGTATCGCTTGTATATCCAGGCAAAGTGACACCCTTAGCTGATACTCGCGAAAAGGAGCTCCAGAGGACGTTTACGGAGCATGAAGTCTCGGAAGTATACAAAGCCATTCGCAAGCAGACAGGAAGTCTAGGAGGTAATGCATCAGGTGGAGCCATATATGGAGAGATTACTCAAGCTTCTTTTCAACGTGTCGTGGATTATTTGAAGGAGCATTGTGGACTTACAAAGACAAGTTACTTTGTGGACGTGGGTTCAGGACTTGGTAAACCGAATTTCCACGTGTCGGTGGATCCTGGTGTACAAGTGTCTTATGGTATTGAACTTGAGGAGCTACGCTGGCATTTATCACTGCACAATTTGCGCAGTGTGTTGTCGTTGGATTCACAGCGTAATAAACCACCTTCGACGGTATTTACAGTGGGTGATATCACTCATGCACACACATTTGAACCGTTTTCACACGTTTATAGTTTTGACGTGGGCTTTCCACCGGATGTGATGGATAAGATGGCGGATATGTTCAATCGTAGCTCGGCCAAGTACTTGGTCAGCTTCCATGCACCACGGAAGGTTGTGAACGCGTACGGGTTCTCGGTCGAGAATATTGGACGAGTGGCTACATCAATGGCAGGATCAAGCGAGGGACACCAGTGCTACTTTTATCGGCGTGTAGTGGCAACTAATGAAGAGAGTGAACCAGAAAGTGAGCAAGTGGTTGCAAAGATGTCGCCACCCAACAGCGTCGATTCTACACCGCTGTCTGTGGATCCTCTCTTTAGCCACGGCATCGAGCTACTGAAGAGCGGTCGCGATGGCATGCTTTTGTGGATTGACGACTTTTTTGGCGAGGTGAATGCGGGACGAACACGCAGACAAAAGCGCGAGTTGCGCGAGCGCCCGATGGACTCTTACTACCCTACGGTTAAGTCATACGTTATTGCGACGTCTAGTAGTTCATCGCAGAAAGGGAAGGAGAAAACGACGAGGTCGACAAAGCGAAAGATCAATCTTCGTGTCTAGACTGTCGTATTGCTACTAGTACATGGGAACTGGTGTCATGTATACTGCCTCATCTTGTGTGGAGGACCACAGTACAACTAGCACTTCACGTTGTCAATATACATTTGGGAAACAAATCAGATCAAAAGAAATACAATTGCACACTTACACATTACGCCTATAGGCTTCTAACTGCATCGCTCCTACCACCCGAGTATCAGTATAGACTACCTGCTCATTTGTCTATTCCATTGCTCGACTTGTTCCAACAGATTCAACAAAGAGCTTCTTCTGCAGCGGCGAGAAAATGTCGCCGCCTGCGTGAATGCAGGAGATTAAATAGGTCACATCTTTACTTTCAAAGCATTCTTCCTGACGAAACTGGTCCAACTCGTCACCAAAAGCTGTTGTAAACTCCTCCATATATAGCTGTCGGAACTCGTTCTGATTCGCGATATCTCCGACCGTGGCTGACTCACTGGCCAAATATTCCTTCAAATGGTGATCCGCTGACGCCAGTAGATCGTGAGAAGCACGCATCGTCTTGTGTACAACACCCAGACGTGCAAACTTCTGGGCTGCATCCTCCACATCATTTCCTGCCGCCACCAGGTCCTGTAGCAATAATGTCGTGGCTTCGTCCTTCGGTGTGTCCTCGTCACAATCCATCTCCTCGTCCTCATCGCTTCCAATATCTTCACTTCGGTTATACGCGACATTCAGTGTCTTTTGAAGCTTACAGAGGTCTGCAGATGTCTCTAAACACTTTGCAATAAGCTCTGCACATCGTACACTTTTGTCGATGACGGAAGTCAACAATTGGTGTCTCTGCTCGTCGTTCTCAGCCTTTGAGATAGCTACAGCAGCATCCTCTACTTTTGCACAAACTCCAGTAGAATCACAAAATGCATCTTCACCCAGTGCAGCAATCAGACGATCGTAGCGCGCCACCAACCGCGCAGCTTTAGCTTCATCCTTGTGCATGGTATCTCAATGGAATGGCTGGCTCCGAGTGGACGTCACTCGAACAAGGATGTCATTATTTAGCATTGACGCTGTACTATACACGAATGATTATGCTTTTCGTATGCTCCGTTCCATATTAGGATGTGCAAACCATAAAAAACTAGCACTCGTTTATCTTTTCTTGCTGTCATGTGTGCACCAATGACGCAAAAATACATCCACATGGAAAACAAGACATACGAAGCAGCATAAAAAAACCAAGCATACCATAAAAAATCTCAGAAAGCAGATTTTCTTTTTTCTAGAACATAGACGATTCCATCCAACCTGTCATTTTGCATACAATATCCTCCATCAAAAAAAGCATTTTGTTTCAAAAAAAAAAGACGTTTTCATACCTCCTTGCAAAATGAATAAAAAAACGGACTCAAGCTCAAACAGCGACAAAAATGTCGCATCTCGTTCATTACACATTTAGGTTAGGTATAATCAAGTGAGTCAGAGGGGACAATTATCGATGGACACAAGTCGCATATCCTCCAATGAGTTCGAATCCATGGATCACTTGATCCAATGGCCTCCTAGTCTTCATACTATATTGACAGTCTATGATTGGATCCAATACCATCTTGTGATGTATATACAGGTCGGTATTGCAGCTATGGCGGCTCATATCTCACGTCTAGCTGCAAGTATCCATCATCATATTCAAGCCCATCCATATCCCTATGCAGTTGGTGGTGTGACTACTTTCATCACAGTAGCAGTGATACTTGGTGTATTATTTGTATGGGTTACATCACGTCAAGTCCGACCACGCAAGACAGGACAAAAGCTTGAGAAACGACCGTCATCACCGACATCAAAACGAATGCGACATCATTCAAGACATTCCAAGTCGTTTTCGGATTTATTGCAAGCAGAACGTCAACGGATGCAAGAAATACGTCAATTGGAACTTGAAGATCATATTACATTTCCAAAGGAATTGCGTCAGAGCTGTGGACCAGAGAATCTCAAGTTTATTTATGATACCTTGTCCAAGGTATTTTCATTTCTACGTGGTGAATTTGTCGAACCATTGGCACGTGATTTAAGAATCTTACGCTTTGCAAAGGATGAAATCATTTGGAAGCAAGGAGAACTGGATGGATCGATCTTGGTTGTTGTTAATGGTGCTGCATCGCTCACGATCCATGGTCACAATGACGATGATCAACGGTTCTCGAAACTATTGGGATGTGGTGATACATTAACGTCATCGCTTCCATTACTGACAGTACTGGTGAATGAACTGCAGCATGGAGAATGCAGTGCACAAGTCAAGAAAGTATGCGGCGCGTTGTCGGCCAAAGCGGAAGAAAATGGTACACGGTTGTTTAAAATCCCGATACATTCGATCAAGAAAGTGCTTGAAAAGTATCCTGAAGCATTTTACCGATTGTCACAGGCTACACTCAGCCAAGTGGAAAAGATTACGGCAAAGTCGCTGATTGATCACTTTGGACTTTCATCGGAGATCATTCATATTACACCTTTGGTGCCCTCGTTGACCTCGCGTAGTGTCGATGAAACTGCAGTAGACGAGATTGCAAACGATGTTGCCGATGCGATAGGCTTGTTCGATTCAGAGTTGCGAGCAACGCTTGCTAGCTCTGTGACAGTTATTAAGCGTTCGAAAAACACGACAATTCGTGAGGATGGCGATTCCTCGAGCATACTGGGCATTCACATTGTATTGGATGGATCGGTTAGTGTTCAAGTTGCAACTGCTCCGCAAAAGTATGTGGAGCTGTATAAAGCAACGAAAGGGTGTGAACTCGGTATTTCTGCGTGTTTTGTTGGGTCACATTTCTTCGCGACTTGCAATGTATGTCTTGAGGATACGACTTTGCTGTGGATCCCCGAAGCAGTATTCAGCAGCTTGTTGCAGACGAATCCCGTTGCTGTAAAGTGTACACGCCATATAATTGAGCAGTACTCTGGCCTCGTATGTGTAGCTGATACTTCGTTTGAATGGCTACATCTCCGCAGTGGTGAAAGTTTGTTTGATCGCGGAGACTTGTGTGATTCTGTTTTTACGGTCATCAGCGGTCGCCTTCGTGTTGTGCAAGGGCATTCGCATCGCGGCAAAGAACTGGAGACGATGAATGATCTTGTGCGAGGAGCTACGCTGGGTGCAATGGATATGCTTGCAACTGGTGCCAGTAACTCTTCAGTGTTTGCAATCCGCGATTCTCAAATTTCTCAGATGTCACGAAACGTGTTTGATTATGTTGTGAGTAAGTATCCGTCCGTTCTTATTCATTTCACCAAAAATCTGGCGCGACGAATGCCAACTCCTCGAGTGGATTCTCTGAAGACTGATGCCAGTGGTGTCAAGGCTCGTAGCCACGACTTGCTTTCGCTTGGTTCGCGCTCCGCAACTACGGATGGACCAAAAGCGGGCAGCAATCTCCCACTTGGCACTGTTGCCGTTCTTTCCTTGACAAAGATGACAAAGATTTCGACTTTCTGTTGTCACTTGGAGATGTCTTTGAAGACGTTGACCTCAGTTGAACTAGTGTCATCCGAAAAAGCCAAAGCATTTCTAGGTGAACAGTGGATCAGTAACTCCCGCGTATCACGGGCAAATCTCACAGCCTGGATGGGCGAAATCGAGAGCTCGAGTGGCCTGGTAATTTATGAGGCTGATCCACAGTTGACTGCCTGGACAAAGCTCTGTATTCGCCAGGCAGATCGTATTTTGCTGCTCTGCTCTGATGCACATCCACAGCAGTCATTTGTGAGTGACATGATATCGATTTTGAAGAATGCCTGGGACAAGCGAGATGCTGAGATTAACGTTGTTCGTATCCGCGAAAAGGACTGGACGTTGGCTGCATTAGAGGCAGCCGCAATACAGGAGGCTAATGGATCTTCACGTTCTTACGCATTGAAGAGAAAACTGCGTCTACAGATGGATAGCCCTTTACTGCCACGCTTCATCCTTCCTATGGAGAAATACGAGTGGATAAGTGGTTTTCACAACGTGCAAATTCCGTTTGAGGATCATCGCTCGGATTTTATGCGACTGAGTCGCCTCATCACCGGCAATGCCGTCGGTTTGGTGCTTGGCGGAGGTGGTGCGCGAGGTCTTGCACATATAGGCGTGCTGCGCGCACTTCAGGAGTGCGGTATCCACGTCGATGTTGTTGGGGGTACTAGCATTGGTGCGTTCATTGGTGGCATCTTTGCACTCCACCCGAACAATTTAAGCTTGGTTGAGGCTAAAGTACGACAGCTTTCAATGTGTCTGAGCAGCATTTCTGAGAAGCTACGCGATATGACATTGCCCATTTCTTCTTTCTTCAATGGCACGCGTTTCAACAATAGTATCCGTGCGCATTTTTACGACCTGTCGATTGAGGACTTGATGCTGAATTACTTCTGCGTGTCGACGGATATCGCAAAGTCGCGTATGAGTGTTCACCGCAGTGGCCCAGTTTGGAAGTATGTACGAGCATCTATGAGTCTTCAAGGGTACTTTCCTCCAATCTCAGAAAATGGTTCACTGCTGCTGGATGGTGGGTACATGAACAACCTTCCAGCTGATGTCATGAAGGAAGAAGGTGGCATTAAGTACATTTTTGCGGTGGATGTGGCGAGCGAATCACGCACTCAGTTTTACCAGTACGGTAGTGCACTATCAGGATGGTGGCTGCTATGGAACAAACTTAATCCGTTTGCAGAGACGGTAGTAGTGCCTTCCATGGGCGATGTGTCAGCTGCATTGGCATACGTTTCGTCGGAGCAGCATAAGGACCGCGTTAAGGAGGAATGTATTGATCTGTATCTACGTCCACCGGTCAAAGACTACGGTACCTTGGAGTTCAACAAGATGGAAGAGATCATTGATGTTGGCTACAAATACGCGTTGCCGCGTATACAAGCTTGGACGGCTAGAGTCTTAGACGCTGAGCCCGACGCCGATATTAAACGTAAAACGCCGCCTACGACGCCACTTGACGTTGATAAAAATTCGTCCAAGTTGTCCATTACTACGTAAAGGCTGGCGGCGGCAGCAGCACAGGAATCGTGTAAACTTGTGCCTGATACACCATGAATATGAGTAAACCCGCCGGTCTATACTTGTCACGAAACGCGGAAATGGAATGTGCAGCATACCGTTTGCATTGTTTCTTAAAGAAGCTACAGGAGATGTGAATGAACTAGATGGCATTATGAGCCATGAACTTACTGTGATGAAGCTGATTCTGCTTGCCATGAACAACTCTTACACTTGTGACTTCGCGACATTGAAACTTGCTGGCACGCTACGCTTGAGCTGTGACAGCATTATACACTGACGTAAGCTTCCTTCAGCCAGCCCCAATGTGCGGCATGCAGTACGCATCAGATTGCTGCACGCAGCTTCGTTAGCGGCAGCCGCATATACTATTTGGCTACTTTGGACCACCTCAAACAGTCACAAGCCTATAGTGTGAGAGCACGTCTGTCGTCGAAACGGTTGTGTGATCAGCGCAAGTAGCCGCTTTGCAAGTCGATAGATTTATCATAGCCGTCCTGCGCGGAGCTGGATAGCAAATAGATGCCTGCTGGTCGGCCAAGTTACTTTCTTGGTGATCTCAATACCGTCGTAGTCGAAATGCGCGCAATCCAATTCGTCAAAGCGCGTCAAATCCAGCGACGCAAGACTGTTGATATTCTCAGCATTTGCAAGACTTACCACATCAACATCCAACATCTTACGCCATTCGCGTAGTTTTTGCAGCAGCGTCATGTCCAAGAGCCAGCAAACATTGTTCAGTCACATTGACGACGTCACACAGACGACAAACAGCTCAAGCACAAAGCACGCCTCGAAAGTTACGTAAAAGCGAATATAATCTGGGGTTCGAGTACAGCTTGTAATTGCAAGTACTGTCCCACCACAAGCACAAAAAATCAGTCGGCATGCAAAGATTGATAGAGCCAGCAGTCAGAGTCAGCAGTCAGAGTCAGCAGTCTTATTTTTACAAAACAGTCAACCTCAGCTAACGTCACAGCATTGCAATGCGTCCTGCTTTTCAGTTGCATAAGAATGCTTCTCTTCCTAGCAACTCATCGTGGGCTTTCCAAACACGAGCCTTCTATATTGCTGCTAATGAATCTTCACGACATTGCCACGTCATCAAATTGATCGGAAACTACTTAAATACGGTCGAAACTGCAGCCTTCTTGGTTTGAGCAGGCAACTCGAACATCATCATGCCCGAAAATGGATTATTCACTCCCTCCACCGATAATAATCGACAACCTTGCGCTTATTCGCGCATAAGCAAGGACAACCCATACACGCGGCTACCCTCGGGACAAGGATATACTCTCGAATGATGAGTGCCGCTGGACACTTGTAATGTCCACCCCATGGCTGTCAAACACAGTTCCATCGAGCAGTTCATCATCGGCGTCAAAGCGTACCATTCCAAACTCCATCCACTGCATGACCGTCACATAACCGATAATGTTAAGTGCACTAAGTGCACCGAGCGTCCAGTACATGTACTCAAAGTTGCCGTCGTTGAGGTCGTTCGTGATGTAGCGCTCAAACAGCAGCGTGAATGTTGACGTCAGATTACTCCCCATGGCGACCATGAACAGATTGATCGCCTGACATGTGCTCTTAAGATACACAGGTACCTCTGTGTAAAACAGCTCGTAGGCCGTCACATTAATCAGGCATTCGGCCACAGCAATGAACACATACATCGGAACTGCATATACCCAGTACGTATGGTTCATTGGTTCGCCAGAACCATTGTTCGGGATATCCTGAAGCACGCCATCTGCGTCCACGTAAGTGATCACGCCACTGTTTCGCCGAATAACCTCAAAAAATCCAGACCAAACCATTGTCAGCGTTGCAACAATAAGACCCGTTAGCACTTTTCCAAAAGCACTTGGAGGTCGCCCGAAAACTTTCCCCCACAACGGATACACAAAGCCATCCAGCACGGGGATCAGCAAGATAATCGTAAGCGGATCAAAAATACCTAAGCTAGCACCGGGGACTTGTGCGGCATTGTAGTCGCTGTTATTGTAGGCAATAATCCGGAGGTCGCACTGCTGAGCAATGGACTGGAAATTGGCATCCAGCTGGTCGTACGCACACTCCCACATAATCATGAACGATGCAAAAGGCAGCACTCGAATCACCTTTTTAATTTCGTCCACAGTTTCGTCGTTAAATTTGCCTCCATTGGATGCCTTGGACTTGTCCATGTATGCTGTGTTCATGCCGTACCGAATCCATGCGTACATGCCAAATATACAGCAGACGACAACAATATAGGACAAATACTGTCCCACGGACAACCAGTCCGACAAGAAGGACGCCAGTAGATTCAGTGGAAATGCTGTGCCAAATGCAATCAGTCCATAGTATAGCATCCGTGCCTCATAGCTAAATGCACAATTTCCCTTTACAATCGTACATAGCTTTGTCAGTGCACTATCCTGTGGTACAAAATGCACATATCTTGGTGATCCAAAGACAAATAAAATGTAGGCAAAGACCATAACTGATCCACAGATTAAAAAGCATGCAAAGTAGCCATATTCCTGACTAATGGTTTCCGATCCGTCAACACACAGGACCGAAAGGTATCCATAGGAGAAAATCGCACCAAGATTAATCACAATGTAAAAATAGCTAAAGAAATGTTCCTTCTGTGTCACTTCATTGGGATCATTGGGATCAAACTGATCAGCACCAAATGTAATGACATTGGCTTTAATTGCACCTGTTCCGACTGCTACACCAGCAAAAAGACCAACATGACACAATAAATTAGCTGTCAAGTGATTTCCATTCTCCATGTCCATGAATTTAGGATGAGCTGAGACTGTGAGTAGAAATGCACCCAATGTATACCAGATACCAAAGACCCAGAGCGTGCGAAAACGTCCCCATTTTTCATCCGCGACATATCCACCTAATAATGGCGATAAATAACAAATTGATGTCCATGTACTCTTGAGTGAATTGGAACCAACCTGTGACCATCCAAGTTTCCCCATAAAATTCTTTAATGCTTGATTAATGCCATAGTAACTCACACGTTCTGCAAATTCAAGAATAAGAATAAAACTGCACACATGAAGTAAAATATTTTGAAATCGACGATTTCGTTGTTCCCAGGGACCTTCAATAAAGTACGAAGAAGATGCACTTGCTTCATCATCATGACTTGATGGTAGAGGCACGAGTGAACGTCCTACTACAGACTTGGAATGGGTCGATGATTGCATTATTGAATTGAAATATATAACTGATTTATATATATTACAATACGCGTATTAGATTGTAAGAAAAAACCAGAATGAATGCCAAAAAGACCGTTGAAATCAAAGTTCAGAGAGGGAATCTGACTGAGAGTGAATGTGCTTGAGTGTCAGAGTGTGTGTGTGTGAGGGGAGAAAGAGAGACAGAGAGGTACGAACAACTATGGAGGACAGAAAATGGTAACAAGTCGAGATAAAAAAAGACGTTATTGATGGATTCAATTAGAGAGGACGAGAGGTTACACGAAAGTAGAGTAGTAGTTTACAAGACATGAACTTTTAGATTCGGTCTTTCGATTGGAAATGTTGTTATAAGGTAAATATTAGGATCATATAATAGCTGTAGATGGTTGGTTAAACATGCTCTTTTCATGATGATTTTGGTAATTTGGATATAGAAGCAAGTGATTAAATACGGTGACGTGGTAAAAGGTGTTATTGTACCCTGAGATTTTACGTGTTGCAATCATAAAAAAACACATGACAAATCAGTGGACGAGTATCGTTTCATTATATCATCGCTCGATATCTCGTCAAACGTTAGGAACAGTCTATTTATAGATTTGGGTAGAGGGACCTTATTGTTTATGTTTACAATGACACTTTCACCCACCATATAATTTCCCGTATGAGCTCATACATTGTATAGTCAAGTTGACTATATAGTAATAAATAAAGCAAGGAAAGTCGTTGTTGAAAAACAGTCGTTACGTATTTTGTGGTATATAGAAGTGGACTGTCTATCCCACAGATCAAAGTAACAACAGCTTGATAGGACATGTACCTGCTGGCTTGACGCTTGCGAAAACGCAACGTGCAGTCGCTCTAGAAATGCCTTTAGCGTACTATTTACAATGTAAATGTACAAGCTACGAGTCGTTAGTCTGAGCTAAGGGTCGTAATGACATACGCGCTAGCAATTCGACACGAAATTGTCATACGTCGCACATGAGTAGGAACAAAAGCACGAATGGCAAATGTACAGCAAGGTCTGGTTTGTTCATGTGAATCTCGTCGCATTGTCAGTGTTTCGTGTCTCACGTGATGATTATCATCAAACAATGGACATGACGTGCGCTTCTGCTGCCATACATTGCTGTATGGTTGTGGACTTCCCTTCAAACGGATTGCCCTGCATTATGCTACGACATCTTTGTATCTACTTTCGTGTCCAGAAGAAGTATGACTGTTTTTCTATGAAGGCCTGTCTAGTTCATGAACACACGAGACATAATGTACCATGTTATAGAGTTTTACTCTTGCAGAAATTTTTTTGAGTCTGGTCAATAGACGTCGTGGACCTCTCTGCAGTATTTACGCCTCACCAATTAGCCAAAAACTAATCATAAATCGACCGTCACATTTTATCTATTGCAACAATAATTGATTATTCTGATACATTTTTGATGCACCTTGGTAATTACATACTACTTGTTCTAAATAATAATTATAAAAATAATACAATAATGGCAATAAAATAATAATACGAAATTTCCGTCATCGTAGCACTAAACACCAATTGATGACGCGCACATATTCTAAATGGGTACAAAAATAACAACTTGACTCACACATGGCGGCAAAAGTAATCAAAGCTGGTGGCTACACATTTCACATACGTTCTGTGGCTGGTATTGAGTCCTGTTGCTACGTAGATGCTATTGATGTGGCATTTGATCTCGGTTGTCTTGTGGACCGTGTAGTCAGTAAATCGCACGTGTTCATCACACATGGACACATTGATCATATCGGAGCATTGATGGCGCATGCTGCGCGACGAGCTCTTCTCAAGCAACATCCAGCTCAGTATTATGTGCCTGCACACCTCGTCCCTCACCTGAATAGCATCTGTCAGTCTACAGCAGCCATGCAGGGTGATGCGCCCTTTCCAGCTCGCATCATGCCGCTCGAGGCATTCGATGAGGTGCAAGTCTCGTCGAAATACGTGGTGCGAGCGGTGCCCACGACGCACCGCGTGCCGAGTCTAGGCTATATTCTGTATGAGAAGAAGAACCGTCTGAAGCCGGAGTATCGGCTACTACCACGCCAGGAAATTGCAGTGCTTAGGCGTTCAGGGCATGAGACCTCATTCGTTCAGCTGACGCCCGAGATTGCGTACACGGGTGACACGACCATCGAGGCATTCACGGCAGCAGCAGACAACGAGTTGACGAACGACTTGCTGCGTGTGAAAGTGCTCATCACGGAGGTGCCGTGTCGTATTGAACCAATTTTGAGTGACCAATGCTTCGGTAGACTTACACTTTTGTATTCTGGACATTGTAGGCCACATACGCCGATTCCAAAATGACAGTTCAAGACGCTGTTGATCGTGGTCATATGCACCTTGACCAGGTACATATTCCAGCTCTTGACTGCGTGCCTCATTGTGGGTGATGCAAACTACATGTCAACTCATACGTCTGTTCTTTGGAATGCATTTTGTTTGACATCGATATACCTATTGCTACTGACACAAATGCTAAGAAACAGCTTGCTACCCACGAGCAGTTATTCCAAGGCGTGGGTACGTTGCTGCTGGTCCATTTTTCCGCTCGGTATAGCGCTAAGGAGCTCGCCAAGTGCGTTCGGACTCGCTTACCAAAGTCTCTACAGCACAAAACGGTGCTTGGGTGCTAACAATATGCACATTGGCAGATCTTCAGTAGCTCAATAAGGTTTGTTGCGATAGCACAGATACTAGAATGTACTCTTTCATAATAGTTTCGTGGCAATAAATAATTACACTACTCACAATACGCTACGGGCATGGATGAAATCTACAACGAAGAACTCCAGAACTCGGAAAAGTTGCGTAGCGGAATCGGACGCGACGCGCGCAGCACCAGAATCTCGTCACGCATCAGCAAGGGCATGGGCGCAGGCGAACGGTCAACCAGCTCGACCTGAGCGACTTGCACTTCGTCGCTAAAACGCACATGTTTCTTGGGTCTGATGGCCTTGACGGGCGAAAGCACCTGCGGCTGCTGAGTGGGCATGGCCGTCACATCAAATACGCGGTTGACATCAGCATTGGCCTGTTCACGCACTTTAGCACGGCGCTGGCGCGAGATCTTGTCATTTGCACGCTCGATCTTTTCAAGCACGGTGAGCGCACGCTCCCACTGGTTTTGCAAACACAGCGCCAGCGCGTGGCGGCGCGAGTTTTGAATGAAGGTGATAGCGTAACGAATGTTGCCACAGGCCAGCACGAAGGGCGACACTGCCTGCTGCTGCTGTTGTTGCTGTTGCTGTTGTCGCTGCAACATTTGGTGGTGCAGGATATACTGCTGCTGTTGTCGTTGCTGCTGCAGCATTTGATGGTGCAGAATATGCTGCTGACGCTGGGCCACGACAGCAGCAGCCATGGCGTGCGGCGATGCATCGCAGTCCTGTTTGGCAGCCTTGAAGAGATGCAGGTCGTCATCGGTGCTTCGTCCACGCTTGAGCGAGGCGACGGGTGACACTGGTACGACGCATGACGAACTCATTGGGCTGGAGATGGGGATGGAGATAGCGTCCGACGTGGAAGAGAAGAACGGAATAATTCAATTTGGCTAGTAGCCGTGATTTAATGAGGTGGTTGCTTGGTGGCAAATGGCGTAATGAATACGTCCCTGAACACACTATAACGATTGGACGGCACAAAAAGATGAAACGCCCGTCTTTTGGACTTTGTATGCTCCATACAAAAACCATACGTACACTATCGTTCGCATCAGCGACAGATGCATTTCTCACATCGCACCTAAGCGGTACGACAGCACAACATATGTGGTTTCAAGCCACGGTATAACGTTTGTAGCGTCGTTTTCACCATAGCCACCACATGAATTAAACGTCCTACAAACCTTACTGGGACTGCCTAGCCGCATAATTATGTCGTGTGTATTGTAAAGGACAGTTTGCTTTTATGGTAGACGTCGCTTGGAACAATTTTTAATCTTGAAGTACCTTAGTTGAGAGACACGCGCACCCAATCAGAACCTGGGGCCGCGACATGTTCTGACTGGTCCTTATTTGTGGCACAGCGTTGCCGCGATCAGCACTGGGGAAAAAAAAGCTGATGATACCCAGCTGCGAGGTCAATGCACAGTTTAATCTTGCTGTGGTGGACAATGCTTATTCCGTACGTTTCAACGGGCTTTAACATGTGAAAAACATACCGGATGGTCATGATACCCGTTAAAATACTTGGCCTGCAACAAACCTTTCAGTAGTCAGTATTAACAAACCTTTCAGTGTAGCAAGACGTATAAAGTTGTACAGGTAATGTAAATCGCACGAATAGCTGCAAATCCTACTGCACTGCACGACTGGTGGCACCAATGCTTACAATGTACATCTTCTTGCGTAACACTACGAAAACCTTCATCAGATACTACAGAATACACGCGACACTCCATCATGGCAAAAAAAAAACGGCAGACCCGACAGACCTTCTGAGTACCGGGTGGAGCTATTGATAGCATTACCCTTCATTTTTTTGCGCTTGATTCGTGTGTGTCGCTCATTGCGCCTGTCGTCGTCGTTGTCGTCGTCGTCGTCGTCGTCGTCGTCTGGTAATATTGAAGTTTATTTAATCGCATGAATCGCATCCTGCGCGATACATCAACACTGGCGTTGGTGTACAAGAGTCGAAACCGTTATTGGGCGGAATTGGACCCTATCGTCAAGTCGGTGCTCCCGTCTGCGCGAAGTGTCGCTCACGATCAAACGTATGTGTACGACAAGTGTGCAGGTGCCGCCGTATTGAATGAACTCCTCGATGGGGCGGCGAGTAAATGTTCTGGTCCGGCCAGACCAAAGGGATACTACAGGTGCGCAAGCGTAGTCGCAATACGCCTGTCAAACTAATGATGACAGCCTGGCAGTTTCCAACAGTACACTGATCACATACCATTGTCAGTCAGTCCACAGGCGGCTGGCTAGCCTGGTCGGTGACAAGGTGAGAGACATCGACGTGAGGGAATCAGAGCCCGATGAAGCGTCGCATGTTGTGTTACAAGTAACAAAAAAACCGTTGCACGGAATATAGACAAAGGAAGTGATTGCGTATTCCGTTCTTGCGACACGGCGAGGGGGTTAACAACAGTAGACAAGATTTAGCCTTTTGTATGTGATACAGGCAGGACGTGAGGATTTAGAAATTCGCACTTGATCGAGAAAGTACGTTTTTGCAATGCAAAACACGGTTGGCATCATGTAATTTAGAAGCGTACATGTATACATACTTGTCGCATTGCACCTTAATCTCGGTATCTTTATACAAGATTGTCGTATATTGATCAGTGATCCTATATTATAGTGCTACAACACAGCAGGGTCACGATGCTTTCTCAACAGTATTTGCTGTTTATACAACCTAGACATGAACCTGCAATAATGAAGCAAGCACACTTCCAGCGTGTTTATTTTGTCCCACAGTAAAAGCCGCTTAATAAGTAAGTCGCTTGATAAAATTAATCATCTGTCATGTGCAGACAAAAAAGTCGCCGTCACCGTACCACTATGACAGAATATTCACCAATGACAGTAATTCACCCAAATTCTTTGATAAAAAAGCCCAAAAAAGAAGTGATATCGAACATGAGTAGCAGCCGCATCAGCCAGCCCGTGGGCAAGATCGTGCTCACTAACGTGGCCGTAGTGCGCATGCGCAAGGCTGGTAAACGCTTTGAGATCGCGTGTTATAAAAACAAGGTGCAAAATTGGCGCAATGGTGTTGAAGAGGACATTGACGAGGTGCTGCAGATCGACAAAGTCTATGAGAATGTATCCAAGGGCAAGTTTGCCAAGAAAAGTGACTGGTCCAAGGCTTTTGACGTGCACAGCGAGGAGCAAGTGTGTCGCATTATTCTTGATCGTGGCGAGCTACAAGTCTCCGAAGGGGAGCGCAAAGCACTTGTTGAAAAGTAAAACGCGACGTCAGCTTGTTCATGTATGTTGAAGGCTGTGTATACTAATGTTTTCTCGGTATGTTATTGTTATTTTTCTGCAGCATGTATCGAGATATTGCCACAATTGTAGCGGACAAGTGTGTGAATCCTACGTCGAATCGTCCGTATCCGTACACTGTGATTGAGCGTGTAATGAAGGAGATTCACTATGCAGTTATTCCGAATCGAAGTGCCAAGCAACAGGCACTAGAGTTAATTAAAAAGCTACCAGAACACATTCCACTGGCACGTGCAAAGATGAAGATTCAAATAATAACACCAAAGTCAGGTGTACAGGCGATCAAGACAGAATTACTAAAGGAAGGAGCGGAGATCGTCGAGCAGACTGGAAGTGAGACGGTGAGGATGGTGGTCCTTATTACACCGGGATCGTACCGTATCGTCACTACGCTTGTTCAGAAATACACTGCTGGTCAAGGATCACTGGAAGTGATCGATCTAAAGAGCCATCAGGAGGGCGAGCACACAATTGACGATGAAATTTCACAGAAGACGGAACGTCTTGGTCTGTCAAGTACTCCAGCTGCTTCTGCACCGCTATCGGCGACAGCGACTACAGCAGTTACTGCGGCAAAGAACGCAAGGCCATGCAGCACGTGCGGCGGTGACTTTAGCGCTGATATGAGCAAGTACCGTGAGCACTTCCGTTCCGAATGGCATCGCTACAACCTGAAACGAAAGTCAAAGAAACAGCCAGTGATTAGCGAGGAAGGATTCGACAAACTTGACTCAGAGAACATTGAGGCCTTTCTTTCCTCTATGAGCTAGGTTGCAGACCAGCCCGTGCTAGCGCAGTGCTCAAAAAATACATGTGGTAATGGATACGAATCGTCAGGTAGCAAATGTTGCGGTGTATTCCGGGTTGTTCAACGTTACTAGCTAGCGGTGCAGGCACATCGACTTTTGTTCCATCATAGATCTTCATGGCGTCCTCGATTTCTTGCATCTTGGCCTCCAGCTCGCTATCCATCGGCTTGACTCAATGTCTTGATGCCGACTGGCAAGACTTTTGGTGCATATGGAAGGTGTCCTCTGATAACTTATCACGCATTTAAATAATCGCAACTCGAGCTTCATAATACACAAGAACGCACTACCATCTTTGCCAGTGCTTCTTTTCTTTTTGCTTGAGTCTTGCAGTAACGGAAGCAATACCTTGCAACGAGTATATGACGTCTGCCACCAATACAACTTGCTGACAATCATAACAAAGACATACTAGTCGTACAATAGCAAGCTGCGACCATTTGAGATGCAGGAGGTTCCGTGTTGATAAAGACACTGATCCAGATCATGCCGTGCAAAAAACAACGATTTTGTACCATGTCGCATAAACTTGTGGCTTTTGTCACATTGTGGACCACATCATGTACACCCTTGGAAAACCTAATTTTGTTCTTAGGGTTTGTCCCGTACAGTTCAGTTCCGAATTTTCCATTCTGCAGTCGAATATTACGACATACAAAAATCAATACAAAATCAATCCATACATAGCGTTTGTTCAAGAGCTCGGTATGGCGGCTTTAGGTCGTACATCTGGACGTTTGACCACTTACTCTATGCACCAGACGCTATTGTATCGCTCAGTGCTATTCTCATATTTTTTATTCCTTATTACAACTCTGACGACAGTCGTAAACGCATCTGAATGCAGTGCGTGTGGATATGTAGCCAAGAACTGCAACGCTTCGAGTGTTCGTGACTTTATCGATGTCTGCGATGTCAAAGGAGACATTCAAGTCGATGATGTATTTTGTGATGACAATGAGTGTCAATGTGCCAATGGTCACAAGTGCGTGAGCACTGTCGTAGGCTGTTCAAACATTTTTAAAGCACGGAATCGACGTCGTTGTTTGGGTAACGTGACGTTATCTCGACGCTTTGAAAAGTGTGCCAGATGCCAAGGACTTACAACATTGAATGCATCTAACGTAGCCAGTGATTGGATCTACTTCAAGCAGGGCAATAAATGCCAGTCCACAGACTGTCTGGCTGTCAAGATGTTTCATCATAGCGGCCTTGTGCAATGTGGACATTTGTTGGCGGTGTGGAAGACACCATTATCTCACTTGAATCCTTTGGAGACTATGTTGGCTAGCAGCTTTGGAGGAGATACGATGTATCATTTCATCGCGGACGGTTCTCGTGCGAGTGATATGAAAGCTGGAACCTTCGTCTACTCAGTTCCGTGGTCTTCCAAAACAGTAGCTTTGGAAACAAAGCAGGCGAATAGCACATGCATCAAATCGTGCTATGTGCTGCAGACACGGAATCAACCTAATGGTACGTGTGAAGGCTTGTACCTGCAATTTGACGCCAGCGTGCGGTTTGCCAAAAGTGACGAGTACGTGTTGTCCAAGTTGAGTTGGCCGGTGTGGGTTGCTGTAGTTGCTAGCGTGGCTGCAGCCATCTCTTCGTTTGTTATCATGGGCATTGTAATATACCGTTTTCACCACATGGACACGTCGTCTGTCGAGACTGGTGAAGATAGCGGCCTTTTGGGGAAGCTTGAGGATTTGCGCGTTCGCGGAGGATCTAGCCTCATGTGTCCTACTGGTCTGAGGTCCACGTCGCCAGCCTCCGGCAGAGGCCTAATGAGTCCTGATCTACGTCAGCGTGCAGCACCCGATGCAGACCAAAGCTAGCTGGACTGCATTCTCACAGAAAGTGAGCGGCAATTAATTGGTCATTTGTTTGATAGAGATGTTGCACGTGTTGGAGCTTTTGCTAGCCAGGGGAGATCGTGGATCTGATGGAAGTCTAAAACCTTGAGCTGTTGTGCCTAGCACTCGTAGACCATAAGCGATTGTTCTGAATAGTAGAATGTAAGCGAATTGACGAAGAGCGGGACGACCAAGTACTCATCGTGACGCAAAGCTTGTCTTGTGAATATGCAGAGGGGCCAATGTGCGGTCACCTTCAACAGCGCAACGTAACAATACGTAAAATGGTGCTCAGTACTCGACCACTGCAACATGATGCAGCGAGTTCACGCACACCTGACAACTATTGTTTTGGCAAAGGTTTGTTGACATCACTCGAGAGTAAGAACGACAGCCGTGCTGGACATTTGTTTCGCTGGTGAAGAGCTATTGATATTGTCTCGCAAACAGAAGGCTTCAAACAACGGTGTTGACATCATTGCGCCTACTTTACCTAACACCATCATTGACCGTCAGTGTATTCTTAAATTGTCTCAAATCATCATGGGTTTGCCAATTGCTTGTTGTTTCACCTTCAAGTGTCGACTCAATCGATTGCGACAGATGAATGCACAGATAAAGTGCCACGACATACCAACACGTGTTGCTCCAGTATGGGATATCGCATCTGCCTTCTGTTTTCAATAACCTTGATTGCTTTGCAAAATGGTGCTTGTACGTCAACGTATGTGTTACCAGAGGCAGGCATGTACATCGCATCGATTGTTGGTATTGTACAATCACAATAGGTTTTCTAGCAAGCAACCCTCTCTTTCGCCACGACTGACCATCCATTTACAGGAACACCGTTTCCGATCGACTCTATGCTATCACGCTCGTCACTTGACTCAACGTCATTTTCCTTTACCATTCTGAACATCCTTTATCGTGACCTCATTGGTCTCTGACGTTCCAGTTTTGTATCCATAGAAACATGCCAGCTCAGGATCAATTCACTCAATACCGAGTGCTTTATTGAAATGTGTTTGCGAGCAGTGGGCAAGATCTTTCTTTTCAGACACGTTGTTACAACATCCATTATCGCCGCATGATGGAGCTTAAACATGTCTTCTTGCCCAGAAAATCCATGAATTGGCTGTATTTCTCTGCACTCACTACGTGCGTTAGGACCTTGGACGGTTTATTGGTTGCATCATACCTGTTGCACGTACAACCGGTCACTGAAGTGTCTCTGAATATCATAGCAACGCTTTTTTCCGACTTCACGTGAGATACTTTGGGTACAAACATGACAACATTGCAATTCTTGCTGACGATTTCAAGAAAGCATAGGATCAAAGACCAGTAAAACTAAAGACCGTAAAGTCTCTTGAGCTTACATGTTACAGACAAAAGTACTGATCGCCGTCGATCCATTCCGAGAGACATTGCGCTACCGGTGTCTTGTCCGGCTCAATAACCGTTGACACCATTCGTATTCCAGACAAATTGTATTCCACAAGGCTCTTCCATCGTTCTCACTGTACACATGGTTGTGCTCAAACATGACGGTCATGGTAAAAGTCCGTTTACAGTTCGAACAAGCTGACGACGCTCAAGCATTCACCACACATAGCGAGCATAATGAGCATATATAATGTTGGCAAACGCAGAAACAAGCATTTAACGCACTTGTCTACTGACACGTACTTTTTGACGCTGCTCGGTTTCTTGCAATAAAGCTTGTTACCGGTTCGTGTAAGTAGGACATGATGGCCATCTGGTCGGGTACTACCTGGATGCTTGTTGTCTCTCCCATCGTAGCGGCGTATGTGCGTCAAATCACGCCTACTCCCTATCACACCTTTCGCCTCGTGTATCAGTAGAGGATCACAACTACCTGTATGATCGATTGTGCCATACTATGCCGTCTTCATTTCGTCATATACGCTCATTACAGTAGCTCAGCGTGCTAGATGACGAGAAGTCCGATGTACAAAAACTTACCATCTGACAACTACCATAAGCCTTTTCAATGTACTAATCTCGCTTTACTATTCATTGAGCCTTTGTAATGCAATGGAAATCACTGTCATGACCATGTGATTCTAAACTTTACCAAGTAAAGACAATGCAACCAAAAGCGTATATATTCAGACGACTCGTCTCAGACAACATGCGACAATTCTTCGTACAATGTCCGGTCGAGGATTGGTGGAAATAATCACGACAACAATTATTGAACTGAAAAAGGCTTGATGTATATATTATTGGATCGATATCCAGTAATAATACCAGTACAGCTATTGACCCAATTCTCAGCTACTTGTCGGACGGAGATTATAGCGTAATGTTTTGATACAGCCAATCCTTAGTAGTATATCTGAATCTAAAGTCTCTGGATAGTATGTATATCTTACTGTATGAGCGATCAGAGATACATTGCGACGATTAGACGATGACTGACAGGCTCTTTTGAAAAAAACCAGAATGCAGCCATGCATTTGCATCCCATAACACAACAGTTTGTTTACAGTATGTTCAAGCCAGAGATAAAGGAAGTTACAATCAGATGGTGTGATAACTTCATCAACTGCGTGGGAGAGAACATGGTTCTAACTACCGTTCGTGATGGTGCTAGGATGAAATTTCAAGCAGACAGTGGTGATAACAGAGAGTCTGTGATGTCATCGGATGTTAAGTCGTACTTACGAGGGATTCCGGATTGCTCTACGTACATACTAAAGACAAGTGTAATCATAGCGTTAGGTTTATCCATGTCTTTTCTAAGTAACCTATCACAAAAAGGACGAAAGAAAGAAAAAAGGTGTGCGACACTAAAATGTATACACTCTTGTATACACATAGACACAGATACATATGAACCCGTTTTAAGCACAGTAAAAACGGTTACATAGCCCGGTCCCCCGATGATTTCTTCTCGGTCTGTACGTAGATAATAAAAGGTCATTCTCGTAATCGCGTCGCTATTGCAAAAAGATTGAAAAAGTGTTGTATTGTCACAAGAATCGAGTCAAGCGACACAAGTTTATAGCCATTTTTTCAAGTGGATCATCTGTAGATACAGATATCTATCAATACAGTTGATAGAGTAACAGAACACATTGGAAATTTCTCACATGCGACGAGATCACACATCCATGGCAAGTGCAAATCGACGTGCAAGCGAAGCGACTACTGCGTTGTCAGTCGACACATTGGCAGCTATTGAGGCAATTACCGACGTAGATAAGGACAACAGTTTACCATCAATGCCTCTTGAAATTAGTGCCGTGAGTGATACGACCATGAGTAGCAGTGGTCGCTCTCGTTCTAGTTCCTGCTCTAGCTCGAATTTGAGTGCTGACGCCCTAGACGACGGCTATGGTGTACACGTATTGTCGTCGTCGTCGTCGTCGTCATCGTCATCATTATCAGATGATGATAATGATGAACTGGAAGGAGAGGGACAGAATGTGGAGCAGGATACGACGAGCCACTTTCTGGTCAAACCGATGACTTCAGGACTCCAGGTGTGCCCCGTAGACGACTTGGCCGTTGAGGACGAAAAACGACGACGACGCTCGCGTCGGAATCTGAGGAAGAAAAGCAACGGGAAAAACGCACCACTTAATGGCGTTAGCCGCGATGCAGAGAGTCTTCCATCGATGCCTAGACCAATCATGGTACGCACGCGTCGCAGTGGAAGTTCTCCGGTGCTCTATGCGCCAGACAAGTCTACTAGTAGCATTTCTTCCGTCAGTCGTAATGACCCCAGCAGTGCTAGCGACAAAAGACACTCGTTGACATTATCTCCAGCTGCATTAGCTCCAGCGAGCGATCCTGTTTTCGCACCCGCCGTCCCTTTGCTTCGAAAAGACTCGGCAGCAATACGAAGACAATATTGGAGCCATTTGGGCTTCAGTCTGTCTCGCAGCGACTTGGAAAAGAGTACAGGGCGTAAGAAGGAACGCCGTGATGGGTTGAAGATACGGCTAAACGATGCTGGGGACAGCACGAACGAAGAAGGCGCCAAAAGCTTTTTCCGGTTTATCGTAAGCTGGTACGCGCCGGTGACGACTGTGAACGGCGAAAAAGACAAGACTTCACGGAAAGATAGGGGACGCACAGCCAGCGCACAACAAGTGCGGTCGTCGCTTTTACGCCATTCCTTGTCCAGTGTCGGTGGCGACAACAGCGACGTGTTAACACCAAAGAAGAGAGTGCAATTCAACGAAGAAGCCGAGTTGTTTTACATTCCGTTGCACCGTGACTACTCGAAGCGGCAACGTGACTGCATGTGGCCGACACGCGCTGAGTTTGTCGCGATGGTAGAGCGCAATCTGGATGCTGTCTACGACGAGATGGAGCGTGAGTACGAGGCTCAACTAGAGAGCGAGTATTTGGAGAATGAAGGTATGGCGCGTGAAGAGGCACGACAACGCACTATGGAGGCTCAGCAGCAAAAGGCTGCCGAGTCAGTTGCTGAGTCGCAGCGTAGCCTCTCACCTCCATTGAGCCGCAATTCGAGTATCACATCATTATCTGTGCCAATGCTTACACTATCACAGAAGCAAGTGATTGTTTCACCTCGTGCTCGCTCTTCCCATGATCTTCGCTTTAAGTATCTGAAACATCTTGGCATTGACACTTAAATGAGGAGGAGATGAGAGATGGATACACTTTTTGATTTGACACGCAAAAAAAAAAACATTCAGTTTGATGGTAGTATACATATGTTTTAGGGTTCTCAAATAAGTTATTTGAATGACATATTTTTTATATACAAATATACAAAATTTAGTCTTTTGTGTGCAATGCCATCAAATCAAAAGGTTTGCAATCAATCCGACCAATCCTTACTCTTGACGTAGCTCCATGAACATTACGCCAGCTGCTATGGACTCAAATTGTATGTATATGACTTTATCTTTTCCTATCATTTGCATCTATATCTTGTCTTGATCGTCTGTGAATTTCATGTATTCATATCTTCTATTAACGTGATTATATCAATATCAATTTCTTGCTCCATAGTGATCAGAAAGGAGCCACTGGTAGCTGCTAAAAAGACTCGTAATTGCAAGAAAAAGCGACATAGAGAGATACCTGCGACACCTGTGGCTTCTGCGTCGGTGATGAATACGTCGTTGAGTCTAGAAACGCTCGAGAAGGCTGAATCGAGCTCATTTCAGAGCATGGATGGCTCCAATTCTACAGTACGTCGCTCTTTTTCGCCTCGTAGTGGCAGTAGTAGCCAACGATCTATTAGTGGAGAAGAGGAGGAGGAGGAAGAGGTGGAAGAAGACTATGAAGAAGATGAGTACTCGTCCGAGAGTGAGGATGAAGGTGACAGCAGCTATAAACCAGGAGGTTATCACCGTGTACAGATTGGTGAAGTATACAATCGGAGATTTGAGGTGCTGGAAAAGCTTGGATGGGGACATTTCTCTACTGTGTGGAAGTGCTTGGACCGGCAAACACGCAATACAGTCGCCATGAAGGTGCAAAAGAGCGCACGTCATTATATGGAAGCTGCTAGAGACGAGATTGAACTGTTGGAATACTCAGTGCGAGCAGCGAAGGAAACATTTGAGTCAACGGAGCAGCAAGAAGCAATCAAGGTCGTTTGTCTTGTCGACTCGTTTGAACATAAGGGTCCTAATGGCGTGCATATATGCATGGTGTTCGAAATGATGGGAGATAACTTGCTGACGCTTATTAAGTACTACAACTACCGGGGAGTGCCCTTGAGGCTAGTTCAGCGTCTTACGAAGGATATGATGGAAGGACTGGATTTTCTGCACAAAAAGTGTCAGATTATTCACACTGATCTGAAGCCCGAGAACGTGTTGCTCTCACATCGTATCCCGCAGCTTCCAAAGATTCGGAAGTCAGAGTGGGATACGTTCCGCGCAATGCGTCTTGCTCGGCGTAATGTGAGAGCACTTTTAAATGGAAATGGCAGAGCTAGCAGTCCTTATGATGTTGTTGCAGACGGCACCGAAATGTCAAAAGATGAAAAAAAAGCGTCTGAAGAATCGACTAAAAAAGAAAAGGCAGAAGCTAAAAAAACAGGGTGGAACGGCTAAGCGCGAAGCTTTCATGAACGATGATGCTGCAAGTGGCAAAATGGACATCACTGCACGTCCCGCTGTACTTACCAATAGCGGTTCGTGTGTGGATACCCTGAGTAGCAGAATGTCACAACTCGTGGTTTCTTCAAGCGCTGGGAACAACATACTAATTGACACAGTGCTCAAACTAAATTTTGCTGGAGATGCCAATGAGACCGTCAAAGAGGACACGTGTACATTACCAGATCCAACGCGAATATGGTATCACCATGTTGGGCAGCTTGGCGACGAAGAAGATAAAGACTGGGTGAACTTGCCTCCGGCATTTGCGGCACGAGTAATGCTTTTGCTTCCAGAGGGCTGTGTCGCTGGCTCAAAGCACAAAGAGCGTGAGTTTACTTTGACTGTGGCGACCAAGTCAATGCAGCCATCAGGAGAAAGTGTGAACGATGAAAAGGAAAATGAAACAGTCGAGACATCGTTTGTCTTACGGTATCTGGATCACGTGGATGACGACGTGATAAGATCGATTGAAGAACAGGTTGTCGGTCTGCATGAATGCAGCACATTTCAAAAACGCATCGCTTTAACTAAAACGATGTACCGGGTATGGAGACTTGAGTTTGATGCAAGGTATACACACGCTGTGTTAGGTGCGTACTTTTATGCGCTGCTTTCCATCTTATCTATTGCTTGCTAATCGTTCTTGTTTTTGCTATGGTTCTAGACTATTTGGAACGTCGTATCGAAGGCCTTCATTTCTTGACCTTATCGCATTCTTCATGCCTTGCGCTTCCTGGATTCTTTCTCCCGAAGCCGCCTAGCAATGATGATATTATAAAGAAGAGTACAGTGAAGACCAAGAAAGCTGGCAAGGATGACACTGGGCCTGATGTCGTCATACAGGGCATCAGCCTTGCACCGCTAATTCGATCATCCGAAAAGAATCTGAAAGTCAAACCGCTCCAGCAACGACTCAGCTGTTGGGCTTCGCGTTTGAATGAGCTGGCAAGCAGTGAAGGGTTTGACCTCATGAAACTTAATGCAAAGATCTGCGACCTTGGCAACGCGTGCTGGACTACTAAGCATTTTACGAACGACATCCAAACACGTCAGTACCGGTGCCCTGAGGTCATCCTTGGCAAGCCTTACGATACATCAGCAGATATTTGGTCCATGGCATGCTTTGTGTTTGAGCTGCTGACAGGAGACCTTCTTTTCGACCCAAAAAGTGGTCGCAATTTTAATCGCGACGAGGACCACCTGGCTCAAATGATTGAATTGCTGGGTCGTATGCCGAAGTCGTTGAGCGGCTCTCAGCGCGGTTTGCGCGAGTTTTTCAACCGTAAGGGCGATTTGAAGAGAATTCGCAATCTGAAGTTTTGGAGCTTGCAACAAGTGCTTATCGAGAAGTATCACTTTTTGCATCATGACGCAGAATGCCTTGCATCGTTCTTAGGCCCCATGCTACGCTACGAGCCGTCAAAGCGTGCTACAGCCCACGATTGTCTCGCACACCCGTGGCTTGCCGATGTGGATGACATTGTGGAGAAGGAAGAATGCCTCGGGTAGTAGCAGGCAGTTGTGTAGATCAAGATGTTGCGCAGGAGTTGTGCGAGTGGCACTGAGGTTTGCTATAGCCCAATGAATTCAGACTGGAGAATGAGAGCACCCTGAGATGCATGATTTTAGAAGGAGCACGAGTGGGTGAGAGATGCTGTATCAGACGGGTATTGTTGAGCCAAAAGCTAGCTAAAGCTAAATTGCGATGTCTTATGCGTTCAAAGCTAGCGGCGTTAATGGTAGCAAACCGATCAGGTGAATGCAATAAGCTGAGCTTACGATTCCACAAACATTACAAAGCAAACACTGCCATCCACCTGCCATCCCGCTGATAGTCTTCTTTTAAGAAGCTTGATACGCTACGACGTCTGCACCATGTTAGTAAGTTTATCATCCTGTAAGCTGTCGCAGATGCAATGGAAGGTGAGACTGAAGGTTCGAGCCATTTTGTTTTTCGTTGTTGATGTGCCTGAGCCATGAGGTGCTAAGATGGCTACATAATCTATCATGTAGCCATGATCACGTGGTTTTGCCCATCACTGTTACAAATTCTGATCGAATTATCAGATCTCTCGTATATCATTGGTAGATAATCAATAGCTCCATTAGTGACTCAAAAACAAAATGAACATTGGTCGTGTCCTGCTTCGAGATGGACACAATGTATGGCATGAGAAAGTGGCTACAGTCAAGAATAATGCATTAATATTACATTCACCGTCTTCTTCTTGGGATGCAGCAGCTTCTGTAGCCATCCGCTTGTCAAAGAAGATAAAATCCAAGCTCCAGCACAAGTTTAAACCCAAATTGACGAAAGAATGCAGTCAATTGAAAGCGCTGGAGCTTGTGGAATTGCTGCCATTGGATGGTTCATTACAGTGTGAAGATATTGTAGTATCATCAGCTCATCGGCATGCCGTAAGGCTTCAAGACGTGCGTTCAGGCCGTGAGTTTCTCGTGGATGTCACTACCAAAGGGAAAAAACAAATGTGGATCGATTTATTTACAAGTGCTCAGAATAGAGACACTATCAATACAAGTTACCATAGAGACGTACCACAAGTAGACTCAGACGATATAGGACACGTTGTGAGGTGTGTACGGATGTTGACACTGGGGGATCGGCAGCAAGGAGTAAATATGTTGGTAACTGCGACTAAAAGTAACACAGCAATGACAGTTTTGAGAGGCTACGATGTGGAGGATATTTTACTTGGAGACGGAAGTGCGGAAAATTTTACAGCGGACGAAGCATCGATAATTGCTAAGAAACTGGTGGAGGATGACGTGTTGCTACCGTTTTGTTGCTCGTGCAGCTTGGTGTATCGTGCTGACAGGGTGTATTGTGTAAACACTAACCATCATTTGGTGAAGCATGATCTCCATGTAAGCGTTAATGACAAACAAAAGCTGGTCGATGAAGGTCTGTCGGATGGAAGTGGATATAGTCGGGGCCAATTGTTGTCGCTGCATGATAGCGCTTTTCAAGACGTGCTCGCGCTATTTGATCGACTGCTATGCAAGGATCTTGAGAAAGGCATTTCAGGGACGGACTGTATTAACGCACTGCTTCAGTTTGGAGCGTATAACGCCCCAACAGCAATTGAATTGGCAAATGACTTGTTGTGTCATGAGTTCATAGTCGATTGTTTTTCCAGCAACGAAAGTAAATCTAAAGCATTGTTCCAAATAAGCTCTACTGCCAGATACAAGAAAGTTTGCCGAGAAATCACAAATGATGTTGTTGACCATTGTGGCATTAAGAAGCATCGATTAAGCCGAGTAATCGTCTCGAGCGAGCGGGAGGACCGGTGTGAGTTAGAAGTGAAGGCACATAACCTCAAGGAGGACAACTCGCGACTCTTCAACCTTTGTGGCTTCTGCTGCGTGTTGCTGCTCGTTGCGCTAGTCACCACTGTATTGTTACCGCTTTCACTAAACGTCAGTCTTGTGGCAGGATTGTTGTTATGGCTATCTCTGAGTGGCATCTCAGCTCCGTTATCCTTTAATTTCGAACCACGCAGTCACGCAGAAGACGTCAAAGTATCTCAATGGAGCAATGAAAGAAGACAAAAGAGAATGGATCCAACTCGCCAAAGTGCGCTGATGGACAGTCAAAGTGAGTCAACTTTACCCACAACAATGATCACAAAAAGAAAAGACTCAGCAGGAGCAAAGCTCATGCGCGAAAAAGCAATGAATCCGACTGCTATCGTGCTGACTCAAGCTCAAAAAGCTGAAGTCCATTCATTTCGACTGGCAATTGAGCAGGCTGCATCTGTTCCTGCTGAGGCGACTGCTGTATTTTCGGACGAGTATCTTTTCAGTGTACTGTGCGTAAAAAATCGTGCATTTGCGTACGCTGTAGCCAAAATGGCACGCGTTCTTCAGTGGCGACACATGTACAACGTGGACAGTATTGAGTGGACTGACGTGAAATCACAGTTGGTGTCTGGCAGTATGTATTGGTATGGGTACGATTTCCGGAATCGCCCCATCTTATGGGTGCGAGCGAAGCTGAAAGACTGGACAACAATGTCAAGTCGACGTGAGGTGGAGATTCGTGCACACGTGTATCTGCTGGAGCTCGGTTGTCGTCATTTCATGCCACCTGGAGTCACGACGTTTACAATCGTGACAGATTCTACTGATTTGGGCATGGCACAGATGGACCTTCGTCTCATGAAGGGGTTGCTAAATGTATGTGTCGCAAACTTTCCCGATCGGATTGGTCTTCTCCACGCTGGTCCATTGACGCGGGTTCTCAAGTACATTACATCGTGGATGTGGCCGTTACTTCCAGTGCGTCTACGTGCCAAAGTTTCTCTCATGCGTGATTGCGTTGCCGAGTTAACGAAGCACATGGACAGCAAGGTAATTCCATTGCATTTTGGTGGTACTGTCATGCATAACCTTTGTGCACCATGCACAAGCCCTACCAAAGCTGATGATAAGATGGACATAAACTACATGTGTGACCAGCAAAAGCGATTTATGGAAGAGCTTAAGATTTAGCAGTAGTATTAGTCATCACAGTACGTTACATTGTCGTCATCCATTCGTATTTTAGTCTTTTGTCGTGTTTTTGTTATTGTTGAAAGTCATCAACATGGCTACAGTACGTATGAGAGTGTTTATTTTTAGTCCGACTAATTTCTAATTTGTTATAAGAGACAACCTATTTTTCAGACGCTTCGCAGCCATTTAAATTATTCACGACTTGTCCAAGAGCTCAGTTAGTTGGAACAATGCCCAAGGCTGAAAAGGGAACGTCGAAGCGCGCATGTCCGCTAGGGAAGCAATTGGACTTTGATAATAAACCGTGGTATGAACAGCGTAGTAAAAAGAACGCTCGACGTGATGCTGACGACTTGGATGATGATATGACGGAGGACGTGATGCCCGAGAAATTGAGTCGTCGGACACTGGCACTTGCGAAAGAGCAGCAGGCAGAAGAACAGGCTCGACAGAACAAAAGAAAAGGTCGATCGAATGCTGCACGGACGTCGGTGAAGTCTCAGGTTAACAGCAGTGATGAATCGGATGAGGATTCCGAGGTGGACAATGACATGGACACTGATGAATACAATGGACAGGATCTTGTGCGCATTAACGGTGACTATGTCGAGGAAGTAGAGATATGTGAGGAAGATGAAGAAGCTCTTGCAAACTTTATGATGGGTGCTCCTGAGCGTCGTAACCTCGCTGATATTATCATGGACAAGATTTTTGAGAAGGAGGCACGTGAACGTGGTGACATGGAGGATGACAGTCAAGCGCCTGAGAAGCGCAAGTTTGACCCCAAGATTGTAGAAGTGTACACAGGTGTAGGCAAGATCCTACAGCGATACACATCAGGTAAACTGCCCAAAGCCTTCAAGGTCATCCCAAGCTTGAGCTACTGGGAAGACATTCTGTGGCTCACGAGTCCCGAAAAGTGGTCACCACATGCAATGCGCGCAGCGACGCGGTTATTTGCGTCGAATTTGAACCCGAAAATGGCGCAGCGATTCTTTAATATTTTCTTGCTAGAGCATGTGCGGCAGGACATTCACGAGAACAAACGACTGAATTTCCATCTGTATATGGCTTTGAAGAAGGCATTATACAAGCCACAGGCGTTTTTCAAAGGAATCGTTATCCCGTTGTGTGAGAGCAGGAATTGTACGCAACGTGAAGCTGCAATCATTGGCAGTGTGCTGTCCAAGGTGTCCGTGCCTGTAATTCACTCAGCTGCAACGCTCATGAAGCTTGCATCCATGGAGTACGCAGGTGGTAACAGTATATTTATCCGTGTACTGCTCAATAAGAAGTACAGTTTACCTACTCGTGTGATTTTGGAGCTGAGTCAGCATTTTCTCCGCTTCACGTCCGACACGCGCCAGTTGCCGGTTTTGTGGCACCAGTCACTACTGGTATTTGCCCAACGCTACAAGAACGACATTTCCAAGCAACATAAGGAGGCCATGAAAGCGTTACTCAAGCAACATTTTCACCACCAGATCACCACTGAGATTCGTCGTGAACTGTACAACGAAATGTAAGGCGACAATAAAAAATGTTTATCAGTTATATAAATATCTGTCACAACTGCAGCTTTTTTTTCGTCTCATTATTCGGTGGCACTAGTCATTTTCGAATTGTAGAAAATGACGGAATCGTCGGACGTGGTTGTGCTCGAACGTTCTTTATTTCATGAGCAGAATGTGTGGGTTTATCAGGTTCCACCAGGTCAAATCACAAGTCTTGCACCTCGTGCCGATGCGTGGGATCCTGAGAATCCATTTTTTACAGGTTCTATACGTGTATTACAAAAGGGTGATGCGTGTTTCGTGCAGCTTTTTGAGCCTGATGCTACTACTGAGTCAGAAGCTCGAGGTCCTCGACTTTTTGCACAGTGCCCAATACAGATCACAAGTGACATGGCATTGGACGCTTACGTCCACGACTGTGCCGACTCGTCACGCTATTTCATGTTGCGCATGGAGGACGAACAGAGTAGTCGACGTGCTTTTGTCGGTATTGGTTTTCCAGATCGTACTGCTGCTTTTAACTTTAAAGCGACACTACAGGACTATACCAAGTATGCAATGCGTCAGCTGGAGGTGCAGCAACAGCAGGTTGAGAATGGAGCTACTATACAAGAGCAGACTACAGCAGACCAAGTGGCACGTAAGAAGTCAAACTTGGGTCTACCAGATGGAGCAACGATTCGAATAAAACTCAGGACAAAGAGCAGTGACAATCCAAAGACAGTGACTCAATGTTCACGACGCAATGATGCGGGTTATAATGCAACAAATATGGCAAAGACTCGGTTGATTCCACCCCCACCTAGAGATTCGCCATCCTCCGTGGCGACACATGCCCGGCCATCGGTAATTGCCGAATCGTCTGCAATTGATGATGAAGACTGGGGTGACTTTACCTCTGCGTAAAAGGTTATGTTGGGAATAACAGTAAACTACCGATTTCAGACGACCGACGTACTTTCGTGATATTGCTTCCATATCATGGTGGTAGCCACCCTTATCTGGAGGAATGGCCGAACGGTGATACACGGACAGTCAGTCCACCGTATTTAATCTAGACTACGACTTCAACTGAGCTTTGTGTTGTCCAGGCCAAGGCCTGGGATTTTGGACAAGCTGTAGCAACACGACCAGACCGTGTATATGTAGTCGATTGAATGCTTGTACAAGCAGTTTATATAATTGCTTTTCCCATCATATCACCCTTTTCTCGACTTAATCTACCAACACATCAAGGAAGTCGCCAAACGTGTTAAACAGTGACGATGCTTCTTCACTGTCGCAAGCTCGCGCCAACAGCGAAAGGCCTGAATCAAACAGCGAATTCAGCTCCTTTTCTGATGATAGAGTGCTTTCTTCATACTCAAACGTCGTATCCGTGGGCTCTACGATACCTTGCGCCCAAAGCTCCTCGTCATCATCTACATACTCAAAGCGACATTCATCCAACGGATCCAAACTTCTCTCCGCAGCTACGGCATTAGTGACCCCATCAACCACTTCGTCCGATATGTCAGCAACAAGGACAGCAGCATCTAGCAGCTCATCAAATGATGGCAGCACGGTGTACGCCTCTTTCATCACATGCACAACCCTAGTGAAACCTGTGGCTGCACCCACCGATGCTCCAGCAATCCGGTAATTCTTTCCATCCAGTGACTCGTGCAAAATATCACGGCACAGTAAAAACGCGTCGTGCGCTTCTTCACTGTTAACTGTCTCGTAGGCCCATTTCAGTAGGTAGAATGCGTTCTGCGGACCCAGCAGTTTCACCAGCATTTTTATTACAACTTTTGTCTCATTTACCACATCTTCCTCCAAGAAACAATTGCTTACAGTAGGTACCAACGCTCGCAGCATCCGATACGATGGCACCGCAATTGCATGTGACAACATATTTACCGACGCATTGCCAGTGATATCCATGCCTTGCCATACAACGTTCGATACTGACGGCAGAATCGCATAGCTCACAGTCCTCACCGAAGCTCCAACCGCTCCAGATATTATCGAAGCCGTAAACGACGCCGTGGACACAGCTCCATTAGTAATACCTCTCGCTACGTGCATTCCCGTCCTCGCAACACCATCAGTTGACGCCACAACTGCCGATGTTGCTAATGCATGAGATGCTGATACTGCACCTGATATTTTTTGTCCACTATATGTCACAACCTGTGTAGGAATTGCCACAGCCGTCGAGACACTACTCTGCACGAGGCGTACAGGTAAATAGAGTAATTGAGAGATGACACCACTCTCGTGTGTGGAAATCTCTTGTCCACCACTTGTCACTTTCTCAGCCAATAATGACTCCATGACTTCCTCATTATCACTATAAACGTCACTCACAGTGCTCGTATCACTCGCCAAGTCTTCCTCAAAAGTATCCGTATCAACATGATTGGAACGAGATCTCGTCCATGACTCCACGATACTCGCTCGGACTTGATTTGTCAAATATATTGGGGCTCTCATAACTGTTGACGTTGCATGAACAGCTGCTTTACCTGCATAAATATATGGAAATAGCACATAACTTGCAGCAAATGAAGCCACGCCAAGTGTCGTCTGTAATGTCGATTGCTGTGGGAACTTGAGACATGCGTCCTGTTTGTCCATCCTCGTCCTCATCATTGTCTTTTGTTTTTCTTCCTCAATCATCTCTGTCTCATTTACGTCATTCATTGTAAAGGCCTCTGTTACTAAGCCAATAGCCTGTTCATTTACCATCACTTTGAGTAAAATACACAATGCGATGGAATTAGTAGGGTCCCATGTTTCTGAGTTGATATTGTGACGAGGCAGTCGTGGCAGACACAACAACACAGTTAATTATAAAGGCGACAGTGCTTAAAATTACAGTACGAATTATCTGATGTCATGTAAATATTAAGCGGAAGATTATAACGTATTTCAATACATTTCATACTACCGAGACGGTTTCATGTAACGTGGACTTTACATAAAACAGACCATTCATACAACCCCTTTACTTGTCCACTTTTGTATCAATGGCATCATTATCTTCATTATCCTCATCATCTTCTTCTTCTATCTTGACGCATACTCGACGTATTCCACATCGACGTATTGCATTAGTACTGACAGTTTGTGTATCCGATTTACTCCTCACAGGCCTTGTATTTGGATGGGCACCATTGCTGCTTTTGCTAAAAGAGGAAGGCCAATACCATGAATTATGCATGGACTCAAGTGAAGTTACGTGCATAAGACAAGAGAATCGACTTAATCTTATCTTTGCTATTGCTTCCGTAGCAATGAATGTTGGTGCACTACCTGTTGGTATACTCTTGGATCGTCTAGGACCTCGTGTAACGATTACGGTCGCTGCTATTATTGAAGTCTCAGGCTTGACAATGCTCGCATTATCTGACTCCAAGACGTTTGATATGTTTGTACCAGCTTACGTGTTGATTGCCTTTGGTGGATGTATTACTATGATGTCATCGTACCCCGCTAGCTTTGTAATTATGCACTATCAGACTGCAATCCTTGCAGCTATTAGTTGTCTTTTTGATGGCAGTAGCGTTGTGTTTCTTGTCTTGTATGCTGCTCACGAACGCTTTGGATGGTCAAGAAGCGAGCTATTTCTTGGACTTGCTGCAATGGCTATAGCCGTCTATTTGATGCTTATTTTCCTCTGGGGACTTAACGAGAAGAGTTTGCGTTCAAAACGCAGACCTGGTGTCAATGGTAATGACACGATTGTATCGACACCACAGCGAGAACAATTGCTGTTGAGAAATGGAAAACCCAAGAATATAGCATATGGCAGTATGGAGGTAGAGCAGACCATGCCGATCCCGTTGACATCAGAAATGGCCAAGGCCGATGATGTAGCGCTCCATCTTGTGGATATCTCTATCAGTAAGCAGATGAGATCGTTCGAGTTTGTGTACATCGTGATGTATGCAGCAGTGCAAGTATTGCGGGCGAATATCTATATTGGCACGGCCAACAAGCTGCTGGACAACTACGGTGACCGTGAGCATGACTATCTTTACACCAAGGTGTTTAGCTTTGTATTGCCGATTGGCTTCCTCTTTGTGCCGTCGATCGATTATTTGGTGGAGACTCGCGGGCTGTCAAAGGCATTGCTGTTTACAAATGTACTAGGTGTACTTTACAACGTGCTCGAGCTTATACCGAATCTCCCAGTGCAGTGCGTAGCCTTCCTTCTCTTCACTGCGTTTCGTGCGTTTTTGTACGCAATCATCTCGGCATTTACTGCAAAGACCTTTGGTCTTAAGAACATGGGTTCTTTAATGGGTATCATATTTTCAATTGGCTCGGTCATTAGTCTGGTAGAGTATCCGGCCGTGTACATCTCCAACTCACTATTTCGCGGTGACTTGACAGTACTGAACCTCGTGTCGCTTGTATTTTGCATCCTGATGATTCCGCTGACAATGTATCTGCGTAAATATGAACACGAACACGAGAAGAAGCGCCGTGCCGAGATTGCGCTCAAAACCGGCGTCGCGAATGCACACGTCCATCATCGTGAAACCTATTCGTCACTTATGGATACACCAGCTCTTGGTGTAGCATTTCTCCGTTCACCGGGCAATGTATCAGCCACATCACAACCTCTTTTCTCCTGAATGAAATTAGTAGCATAGTAGCTGTAGAGCTAGCAGCAAGTCACGTCACTAGAGACTCGTCTAACACATTTTAATCTTTCTAAATGGCTACATAAGCCTGAACATGGCTACATCTGATTATCCCAAACCAGGTTTTTAGGTTTTTTGTATCCCTCATAAAGTAGTGGTCACGAGTAAGCGAGCCAAAGGAAGAGGAAGAGGAAGAAGAGGTTTTTCCTATTGTTAGAGACCAATAGTAATCATGGCAAGTAGATTCTGGGCAGGTAGTTCATCTTCTGAGGAAGAAAGTGATGTATCCGATGTTTCGGATGTCGAAACATCCCAGCAGCAACAGGCACGTGCAGCGTCACGTTGGGCCGTGCAATCCGATTCAGATTCAGATGAAGAAGTGCGTGTGGTCAAGAGTGCAAAAGATAAAGCATTGGAACAAATGGAACGTAATTGTAATGGTATTAAGAACCATATGAAGATTAATGATTGGACACAGATTCAGACGGAATTTGATGAGCTCACGAAACAGCTCGAACGTGCAAAAAAGACGATTGTCACGTTACCGATATTTTACATGCGTACAATGATACTGCTTGAGGATTTCTTGAGTGAAAAGGTGAAGAATAAAGCAGAGCAAAAGAAAATGAGCAAAGAGAATAGCAAAGCACTTATTCGGATGAAAGGGAAGCTGAAGAAACAATTAGAGCCCATGCGAAAAGAGATTGACGATTTTCGTGCACATCCTGTTGATTCTAGTGAAGAAGAATCCGAAAGCTCATCCAGTGAAGAATCGTCGTCGAGTGAGGAAGTATCGTCCAACTCGTCGTCTGCTTCGTTGGAGGACAGCAATGATGAATCCGAGTCGGAGGATGAGAGTAGTAGTGATGATGACAAATCTGGATCCGATGAAGATTCCGATGACTCGGACGGATCGTGGCCGAGCAAATCGTCCTCGTCTTTGTCGTCTTCAGAGGATGACGACAATATGCCCAAGGGCCGTGCTCGCTGGCTGAAGCAGACACCTGTCGTGACCAAAGCCAAGAAGGTCAAGGGTCCCAAGGTTGTCAAACAGCGTGAGAATCGTCGTGCATTGGAGGATGATGTCAAGAATACGGTAGTAGAGGAGGAACTCAAGCTCACCCCTAGCCAGTTTGATCGTCGTGTGAAGGAGGCGATTGCCATGCGTGGCAAGAAGGGCGTAGATCTTTCAGAGCAGCTAAATTTGATGCGCAAACTTGCCAATTACGCTCGCCGTCTTGGCCCTGCCCGCCAGATTGTAGCTACCATGTACTTGGTGGGTACGTCCGTTTTCGACACCTCGTCCAAGATTGACCGCGTCATGTCGGCGCGTCATTGGAAACAGGTGCAGACCAACATCTGCACGATTCTTAGTCTTTTGGAGAAGAATCCTGACTTTTCGCTGGCTCCACTGACGTCAGAGGACCAAGCTGATATTGTGCGTGCTGGCCGCGAGAAGGTGACTGCTGCTCAAATCGCCGCAGCTGCCGCTGAGGACGCTGAGGAGGACATGAATTTTGTAGACACGATGCCCCAGGCCGGCAAAAAGGGCACAATCCAGGTGTCTGGTGACCTTGCTGCTTTTGTGGATCGACTTGCTGAGGAGTACACAAAGAGCCTGCAACAGACAGACCCGCACACGAGCGAGTACGTCGCTCGTTTGTACGACGAGAACTTGTTGATTGAGGTTGCCGAACGCGTCCAGGAGTTTTATGCTCGTAAGAAGGATTTCGAGCGTGCTGCCACCATGGCGCTTGTGCGTGCCGAGCTTATATACTACAAACACGACTCGGTCGCTGCAGCTCTGTATGAGGCCCAGGCAAAGCGTGCTAAGTTTGGTGATCCCGCGTTCCTTCATCCTGCGTGCACGAGCACCAATGCCTGCAAGACAAAGGAGTTTGATGCATTGAAGACACATCCTGCTTCGACTATGGGCCAGCCTACTGTTGAGGCAGCCCCTGTAGACGCCGAGAAGCTGCTGCGCGAGGTGTGTCGCTTTGTGTTCCAGCACGGTGATATTCGTGCAAAGACACGTGCTATGCTATGCCGCATCTATCACCACGCTCTGCACGACCGTTTCCACGAAGCGCGCGATCTGCTGTTGATGTCGCACATTCAGGATAACATCACGGATGCGGACATTCCTACTCAGATTCTGTTCAACCGCATGATGGCCCAGCTTGGTCTTTGCGCCTTCCGTTGCGGCCTCATCTGGGAGGCTCACGCATGTTTGTCTGAGATCTGCACAGGCTCGCGCACCAAGGAGCTGCTTGCTCAAGGCCTTCAGTCGTTCCGCTTTGGTGAGCGCGACCTTGAGCAGGAGCGTCTGGAGCGTCGCCGCCAGGTGCCGTACCATATGCACATCAACCTTGACTTGCTGGAGACGTGTCATCTGGTGAGTGCGATGCTACTGGAAGTGCCGAACATGGTGAACTCGCGTCTACCGGATCGCAAGCGTATGGTATCTAAGGCTTTCCGTAAGCTTCTTGAATTCCACGAACGCCTTGTGTTTGAGGGTCCTCCGGAAAACCCGCGTGACCACGTGGTAGCTGCCGCCAAGCTGCTTGCACAAGGCTCGTGGCGTAAGAGCGCTGAACTCCTGGCGGGTCTGCCTGTGTGGGACTTGTTCCCGGGTGTTAACGTAAACCAGCGTGTTAAGTCTATGATTCAGCGCAAGATTCAGGTCGAGTCTCTTCGAACGTACCTGTTGGCATTCAGCGCCGAGTATGACTCGGTGAGCCTTGCCCGGCTAATGGCGATGTTTGAACTGGACGATAAGACGGTGCACAGCGTTGTATCGAAGATGATGATCAATGAAGAGCTCCAGGGAGCATGGGACCAGTCCTCGCAGGCCATTGTCCTGTACAAGACGGAACGCTCGACGTTGCAGACCCTGGCGGTGCAGTACTCGGACAAGCTTTCGCAGATAGTGGAAAACAATGAGCGCATGATGGACTTGCGCTCGGGTACAGGTAAAGAGGAATGGGGTAGTCGTCGTGGCGGTGGCGACAATCGTCGAGGTGGTGGTGGTCGTATTGGTTTTAGTGCTGGTGGTGGTCGTCGTGGTGATAACCAGAGTGGACGTGGTGGTTTCCGCCCTCGTCGTGGCGGTGGCGGTGGCGGTGGTCGTGGTTCTCGGCAACAACGGCAGTAGAAGATAACTGTTTGTTGAGTGCTGCGCAATGGAGTTCCGTATTGGGTGCGTCTCTTATGGTAGATCAAATCCCTTGAGGCGCACAGTGTTCGTGCTAGGCGGACAAAGTGAATATCATGTTGCGGGATTTGGCTAAATTACGATACTAGAGTGATTCAGTCTCTCGCTCTTTTGTTTGGACCGAAGTGGTCAGTTTGCCTTCTTTCGTCTATGTTTCGACTGTGCTAGCTCATTGTCGTGGTAGGCGGAGGTTGAGCTACCTTAAGAGGGCGTACTGTGTAAATGCTAACAACTGTGAGCACGCAAGCAAGGATCCATTTGTCACTATTTTTATTAGCTTCATCTGTTCCTCTGCACAGTTGCTACCAAGGACGTATGAAATCCAAAAGAGCCCAGCTCCACTCCTTGACTCGACATCACGAAAACCTCAACCGACAAAAAAGAACCTTTCGGATGATTTTGAGATAGGCGCGTGTACTCACTGCCCATCAACGGCAGCACCATCCGAAGAAATTGGTAGAGATCCGCCATCTCCATTACGTCGACTGCTGTCGCCGCTACGGCCGCGTCCTCGACCACGGCCACGTCCGCGACCGAAACGACGTCCTTTAGCACCTCGGCCATTCACCTGTCCATTTTCACAAGCTTCATCGTCATCTTTACCTTCTTCAGCCTGTTTGACTTTTTCACCATTGTTTGGCGTTCTCTCTTTTTTTCTTCCACGTCCAGACTTTCGGGTTGTCGAAACGGGAGGTGTCTCGCTCTCTACTTGCTGTTCCACTGCACTAGTAGCTGCTGCGTTCTCATCTCCTTCCTCATCTAGTGTTTTTCCGCCAGACTTTTTACCTCGCCCTCCATTATTGCCACTTCGTCCACGACCACGTCCCTTCCCGCGCTTGCCACGAGTAGTCGGCGTACTATTCAAGACACTATCCTCACCAAGTGTCTTCTGATTCTCTTCTTCTTCCGTCTCCTCTACCGCCTCTTCCTCAGCTTCTGCTGCAGCTGCAACTTTAACTTCACCACCACGTCCACCATTGTTACGACCTGATCGTCTGCTATGTCCATGCGCTTTCCTAAACTCCCGCGAGTCATGATACAATAAACCTTCCGTCACTTGTTCAGCAGGAATAGGACTCTGGTACCCTGGATCGTCTCGATCCAGTTCATCCAGCGACAATTGAATCGAAATACTCGGGATCTTACGCTTCGTCTCAATACGATCTAATCCTTCCTCCAATGGATCATACACGTCAACTGTCTCAATAGACGAAATATGCGTCACCATATGTAACTTAGCCACTCGATGCTTTAAAATCTCCGCTACTGTCACAGCTTTACTAATAGCATTTCCCATGGCCTTTAACACAACACGACGTTCATTCTTTTCCTACAATAAAGAATAATAATAACAATTACCATACAATTGACTCAAAAATACCTAAGATCTAAAAAACGCTATACAAACTCCACAAAACGTACCACAAAAAGACCGTGACTATAGGAAATATAACTACGGACTTTGCCCTGCTGCGTGATACGAATTTCATTCGGCTCAACTTGCGTCATCTGCTCATGACGTTGAGGCTTCTCGACACGTCGGTATTTCTCCATAAATCTAACGATTTGATCACGTAATAAAGAGAACGAAACTTTTATCTCGTAGAAAGTCGTTTGGTAATTATTTAATCTGATGGTTAGTGATGAAGGATAAAGTCCAAAAGTAAACGTATGAAGTAACATCATCATTCAAGTTAAAGTAGTGCGTACGAAATGACCCGAGTTTCGACGTCTCAGTAACCCATGACGCAGATCGATAGAAAATTACATTATCTGATTGTTGTATGGTTGGTAATCAAAAAGAAGCAATTGTATTAATGACGTCTATTTAGTGAGCTCTCAATCCCATAGTTCTGACTGTAGTCGTCCAAAGAATACATCGCGCACTTGTTCTCATGTTGTTGTACTGTCGCTCTGACAAGCTCAGGGTCAAACGACGCGCATGAAACTTTCCATTTTGCCATAAAGCCGCCATGCTTCTGCCTTTTCGACGTTTCTCATCGTCATAATCCTTGTCACGACTCTTCCTTGCTGTTGTTGCTGTGCATCTGCGCGGTGAGTCATCATTCCAATGTGTCAGAAACTAAGCTTTTCTAGTATACAACACTACGCTTTGACAAGATGCACACGTTATTTGTAGAAAAGCATGATACACGTTGCAGTTTGCGGGCTGCAGCGTGTAGCTTCTATGCTGCTTGTTGCGCTTTCAACAGTCTCATCAGCATGTAATAAGCACGTAAAACCTTTGAATAGATTACAGCCGTCATCTTCCCTGGCGGCAAAACTGAGACCTTGTTGCTGGATCCTCTCACTGCAACAACCAACACATTGTTGTTGCAGTCAGCGTCCATGACCGGTGTACCGCCAAATCCAGAGGTTAACACGCGTCTCCCTCCTCAGTACTCAAGCACACATACCTTAGCCTTGAGCTTACCATACGAGATGATGTGTAGCTCGAGGTCCGCGGCGTACTGAACGTCGAGAAGCCGGATGGTGTTCACGACCCCGAGTGCAACAACTACAATGTAGACAATCCCTTGCTTGGTAATCCGAAGCACACCTCCATCCGTTGCAACTGTCAAGCATTCGTTTCGACAGTCATTTGGGTTAACCAGAAGAGGCAAGTCATTGACAAGGTGTTTCTGCTCGACCCACTGTCGAGGATCCAATGATAGTCTTGCAGACGGTCACCATTGTCGATCGCAAACGTAAAACTTGCTCTCAGAACCTTTGACACCTGTCTCTTAGGGCACATCGACTTGATATGTCCCACCTCTCCGCACTTGTAACACGTGCGTTGATCGTTGTCGTTTGAATCCTTTGACACCTTGAGCTTGACCTTGTCCTTTGGTTCCTTCCTGGGTTCGACAGCATTGACCGCGTCGCGTCCGAGGTGCTTCGCGTGGTTGTCAAATTCCATTGACTGGGCGAACTGTGCCAACTCTTCGGTTTGACTTAGGCAGTCGGTTTGGTGGATGTCCAACCTGTACATCATGGTCATCAGCATATACGGGCCGTAATAGTCGATGTTATCTAGTACGAGGGTATCTGCCCCTCCGCAAGCATCACTGACTGCCGTCAGGTACAGGAAATGGCCCGTCCAGTTTCTGTGAGATGCATTGGGTGCCATGAACAATCTCATGCTTTGAGCAGGCGTGATCGTGGTGCTGAAAGTCTGAAGCAACCTTTGCAAAGCATGCTCCAAGGTTTGACTTTCAGACCACCAAGTCTCCACCTGACGACGATAGTAAGTCTGTGCCTCTCGGCCAGGTCTAGTCTTAAGACATCCACCTTGATGTTCTTCCGGCCATGTGAATCCACACGCACGCTCAGCAAACAAAATTGGCGCACAAATTCCTTGCCTCATCCGAGGAAACCACTACCAAGTCCATGGTATAGTTCTTTCCCATCAAAAGGCTGTAGCGCAAGATTCCGATGTTGTGCGTCTGGCATACCCACAACCTGTTGTCCTGGGTTGACATGCATCATGTTCGGCGCACCGGTGCAAAAGCCTGGCACCCCTGCCATAAAATGTGCAGGTTCCGGTGCCTGTCCCATGTTGCGATCTGCTGCAACATGGCCTGACCGATGATTTTCATCATCAGCTTCGAAGTTTTGCCTTGCTCCAAAGTATGTAGCCGGCGACACGTCGTTCGGTGACCTGTTCCGAGGGGGGGGTAACTTCCAATGCCTGGATGTTCATCCCTCCACCTTCTCCCAGAGCCAAACCAAAGACGCTTGACTCCGTAGAGTCCTTCCGGTGCCCACTGGGATAACTACCTGAGCGGTACGGCCGAGCGATATTACAACAAGCAGGTCGACACATGGTGGTAGTAGTCCCCAACGCTTGAGCACGTCATGGAGCGGCTTCACCAGACATTCAAAACGACGATCACTGCGTCACAGTCGATGAAATGTTTACGGCAAAAAAAAGGACCCGAAGCGGGCCTAGCCCGAACATTATCTCTATTTGGTGGCGGTGAGTGATGCGTGTAGCGGTGCTGACGCGCAAGTGCTCGACAACATTGTCCGCTATGCGCCAAATGAGCCACAAACAGTTCTGATGGCCAAGTATGACGGATGCTGGGTCGACTACCTTACCCAAGCTGAAGAGCTTGCTCATTTCGCCTAGTCTGTGGAGCTGGACACGCGCAGCGCTGCCTCTTTTGAAAAGGACGTCGTGACACACGTTACCGAAGAAAAACCGCGTGTTGATTCACGCACGTGCTATGGATGCGGCCAAGTAGGACAAATCCAGTCATTTTGTCCTAACGAGCGGACAAAAAAGACGAAGAACAATGACAAAAATGGAGCATGGAGGAGCAACGCAAGGACCAAGAACGTTGTAAATTACACGCTGTTTGTACAAGACGCCAAGACCGATGAAGACTCGTGGACACTGGACAGTGGGTCCAGTAGGCATCTCATCAACAACAAGAAGTTTTTCGAAAATGCACGAGAGTGCGACAACCAGTGCTTGGTCACCGATGGAAACATGCTCCTCCCGACGATGGCGGAAGTGTGTTGTTTCGCGTGATGACTTGCAGGATGGCAAGTATCATTCGCCTGACTGAAGTCTACTATGCGCCGACGCTTACTCGCAATATTATGTATTATGGAAAGCTGGAGCTAAGGGATATGGGCTGAAGTATGAGAACAAATAGCGTGCGCTTGTATCGCTTGACTCCGGTGCCGTCGTGTTTGATGTGGAGATGCACAACAACGTGCTGCTTGTTGAGACTCAAGGCGTCAAGGTCGGAAAGGAGTGATTGATACTATCATGGTTGCGATCGACGAAGCTGGGCACCAAGAACATGATGATGGTGTGCACGCTGCGACGCTGATGCATTTCACGAACGTTTTGGCCACCTCTCATATGAAAGTATTGAGAGGATGGCGCGTGAGCTTGGATCCAGAAGCCTGCTCACATACAGGAAGCGAACGACTTGCATCACTTGCGCAAAAGCGAAGCAGTCCAAGAACGCACAGCCCAAAAAGCATACCGGTCTATACTCACCGATCGATCGCGTTGGTGGTGTGATCTGTTTGGATCTAAAAGGACCGGTAAAGCCAAAGGATCGATCGGGAAATCGATATCTTGTCAATTTTTTGATCACAAGAGCAACCTTGAAAGACCAGGGTCTACCAACAAGGGCCAAAGTTTACCAACGAGGGGCCAGGTTCGACCTTGAAAGACAAGAGTCTACCAACGAGGGACCAGGGTCGACCTTGAAAGACCAGGGTCTACTAACGAAGGACCAGGGTCTACCAACAAGGGGCCAGGGTCAACCTCAAAAAGGCTGAGGTCCACCTCAAGGAACCGGGGTCCATCAGACTAACCGCGGTTAACTCCTCTGAATGAAGCACGCTTAAACCGTACAATCTCCTCATCCAATGGTCGTCCGCCGTCCCTTTCTTAGCGCCCCGTCTCTCTGTCCCTTACCTAACGGTCGCTCCTCCTTGGTGGGTACCCTTCTCTTTGACCCACCGGTCCTCTGGCCTACCAATTATTGAAACGCTTCACCACACGTGGATAGCCAAGCTGCTATCTGCCAGATTGATGACGAGGCATCCTCCAATAGGGCAAAACATATCGACGTGCGCCTGAAGGATTTTGCTCGTCACGGCATTTTCAGGCCAAGTTACGTTAAGTCTAAGGCCATACTCGCGGACATACTGACCAAGGCAGTGGACCAGCACAAGCTCAAGAGTTTGCGGACTCTGGTAGGTCTGCACTAAGCAAATTGCCCGTTGTGAGATCGCGAGGAGGAGTGTTGAAAATGGTGTTGGTTTCGAAAGGTACGCTATCGCAAGGTCACAAGTTTTATGGATGTTTCGTAACGGCTGCGCGGAAATTGAAGGCAGGAATGGGAATGCGTGAAAGTTCATTTACTGGTGATATTTTATAATGATTGGTGGTGAGCAAGGTAGCCTAGTATCAACGTGCAGGTAAGACGGTAATAACAAAACAGTATTCATTAAACTTCCTATCAATCACTACGTCTCTGCTAACAAGGGGATGTAGGTAAGATAAAGTTTACGCGTAACAAAAAGAATGAGTAACGAAACCAGCAAGTATTTTAACTATGAAGTTCGATGAGTTAGCGCTGCAAACATTATCAATACTTATTGACTAACGTAAAATTTAGGCTTAACGTTTTTTTAAATAAAAATTGTGCGTGATTCAAATGATTGAAAGATCCTGGCTTCAAACAACCTTCGCGACAGCTGCATCGCTCAAAACTTTTTTTCTCTCTGACCAAAATGGACGACTTACCGATGAAGGGTCTCTTGGACTGCCTGAACAGAGCGGTTCATCTATCTTGGTCAATCAGGGGAACCGGCGATTTTTTTTGGCAAAACTTTCTCGACACGAACAACATCTTCCCTCATCGGGCCTTCGTCCATTGACGCGCTCTCACACATCTTTTAGCTCTTCCACATCAACCAAACGTAACACGTTCAATTGGTCCGCCAGGTCGCGGTCATCCAAGGTCTCAATATAATGCTCGACATGTTTCTTTAGAATCTTGGGTGGCCTGTCCTTGATCTTAATCTTTGCCCTAAGTCCAATGTCATTCAGAAGATGAGGCAATTCCAAACGGGATTCGTCCGACCTTTTCATCACATGGTATTAGCGGGCCACTAGTTCCCGCCCAACCACAGAACTGCATCTGGAATTCCTGTAGCAGGTTCTTCCAATTTTCTCAAACCGAGCGACGCAGTTGGCGGTACCAGTTCTGGGCTGATCTGGTCCGGTCAACAGACCATCAAAAACGAAGCAATTTTCTTCACTTGAAGCTCGGTCATTCGTGAACGCGGGCTTTAGAGTGGTCACCCAGATGCGTGCTCGGTCCCCATCTTAATATTTTCCATGGAATTCTTGAGGTCCGAGGTTGCTGACCATGTTGGGCACCTATACCAAGATGGCATTGGCCATCCTCGCCAGAGGTCGTTCGAGGTCCACGTCATCTGGATCGTATTCATATATACTTACCGATTCCATCTCCACATCATTCGTCTATTGGTCTCTTGCAGCTTGCACAAGTGAACTTGGATAGGGATGGGCCGTCGACCTATGCGCCACCTGTCTCCCTCTGGCCGCACTTCCATACATGTGTGCCTGCGGGTATTTGGTGATCTTGAAGGAGCTTTGCCATCGCCGCGTCAAAGTATGCCTGCAAATTACCTACCGGATTGGTAGGCTCTACTCCCCGGGCAGCTTTGTCACGTGACGGAGCAAAATCCGGTACTAGTCCTGGCTCATTTCTAATTGGTTGAAAATCCAACTTATCAGAAGCCCGAATTTATATTTGCTGTACACGCGTTTCCGTTTCGTGAGCTCGCTACCCGTCTTCCGCGTCTTTCCTCTCGGGCCTGGAACAGTGGCATGCCAGTCGATACCAGTGGCATCCTGCTTATTTTGACCAGCAGCAGATGCCATCGCGCCGACTGAGCATGGGCTCGTCGACAACAAGATTGCGGTGGCTCACGGCGTCGTGCGGTTGTAGCCACATCAAGCGCGCGCTCAAGCTCCTGCACGTCACACACATCATCGAGCGCGAGAACACGAACTTAGTGTACTCGTGCCAGAGCATCAGCTTCAAGTTCAAATAAGAGCGAAGCAGATAGCACAGCGCTACTTATCAAGAGAAACGTGAATGTTGCTATATCTTAAGATGCTCAATTCCAACTTCGTTTCCTCGAAGTCGTCAGGTAACGACATGCTATTGGCAAAGTCGGTCAGAAGGTCGCTTGTCATTTCTTCTAGGTCAAAGACCATTTTTTCGTCCCTGTCTTCATCTTCAAGCTTGTCATATTTCATGCCTCGGATCTCCTCGGCGCCGGCGCTAGCAGCATCAGACGGCTGGCTACGTAGTAGCGCTCTGTAGACTGACCCGTTTTGGTCTGGACCTGCTAGCGCAAAACTGTATATTCCAGGTAAAACACCCATCAGGACGATGACAGCTGACAAAACAAAACGCATAAACTGATGTTAGGAATAATGCCAATGATTTTTAGACTCAAAAAAGATAATATTCATCACTGGATGCCCGATTCTTCCCAACCCTCTGAACTCGCTAAAGTGTCCTGACCAATAAGGTGGCACTGTGGAAAGGTCGGATAATGAGTCTTCTATCATGCAACGGCCTCGACTTTTCATCAAAACGTGCGATCGGTGGAAGTATAGTTTGCTCCTGTAACGCCCTTCGTTCCGGCATTCGGAAAATACTTAAGGAGCACGACAGCTCGTCCTTGATGGTTTCAAGAAATTACCACTGCTGCGACGGGAAAGATGAAGCTGGTAGGTGTATGCAAGTAATGTTGTTTCTTTGGGATCTTCTCATACTGCATTCATCCAAAAAAGTCGCTGTTTCTGTTAAAAAAACGAGCGCATATAGATTTTGTGCTCAGCTACCGTCGTGCCCTGCGTAGTTACCATCTGCACGCTTACATCAAAATAACGCTCAATCGGTCACGAAGATGGAGGTTTTGACAACAGTGTAGTGAAGCGCTTCAAAAATGCGGGAGTCCAAGGACCAGTGGACCAAAGCAAAACGGCCCTGCCAAAAGAAGGACCGTTGGGCGATGGACTAGAGAGAAAGGGCTCCAAAAAGTGGGAGAAACGCCCGTTGGATGGGAAGAATTTGCGGTCAAAGCCTTCTGGTTGGCCACTATTCAAAGGGGCTAACTGCGGTTCACCCCGGTCGACCGCGGTCCCTCAAGATAGACCACGGTCCTTCAAATTCTACCCTGGTCTATCATCGATAGACCTCGGTCTTTCAAGATCGACCATAGTCTATCGTTTGTAGACCTTGGTTTGTCAGGGTAGACCTTGATCCCTTATTGGTAGGTCCCGGTCCTTCAAGGTGGATCTCGGTCCTTCAAGGTGGACCCTTGACCTGGGTCCCTGTAGGTTGGCCTTGGTCCTTCGTTCTCGGATACAAGTTCAAGCTACCCTAGCCAATCAGAATCAAAAACTAGGTCTCAGGGCAAGGAAAGAGTAAAAGAGTTAAAAGGTAGGGCTATATTACACACTACCCAATTTGCGATCTACGTGGCACGCCTTCGTCGTACTTATAAGGAATTTGTATAAGTCCACCCACCTGTTCCGAGAAGGGATACGTTTTAGCCCCCCCGTTGAGGACAGCCGTATGGTAAGAGATCCCCATAATATAGTGGCCTTCGTGTTTGTCTAAGTAGCACCCCCATTCCCGTTTGACCCGCTATCGGAAGCGGTCTCCCTACTCTAGCGGTTCGGGATCAAGTATAGACCTCGCGGTTAACACCCCTGAGACATCAAGGAAGGAAAAGGCCAGGGTTGAGAACCTCCCCTGAAGAATTTGGTTGCAAGCCCACCCTCGACCGAGTCGGCTGAGTGGCCACCTACTAGCCTACCGAGTGAAGTATATCCACTCGAGGCACCCCAAGGTCTATCTCTTTCAAGGCCTTCATCGCATCTCCACCAAGTCTTCTGAAGAGTGCAGCCCGCCAGCCGAAGGGTACACAAGATGAGAGAAGGTCCATACACGGCATCGGGGTACCCCTCCGACAGTCGGCAGACCGACACAGTGAGTGGCTTGGGGTCTCATTACGCAGTTTTGAGAACACACTCCACCACAATGTTACGCGTGCCCGGATCTTCGGAAGACGCGGGATATCATTGCGAGTCCCAAGAGATGAAGATGTTCAAAGAAAGATCGAGGAGAAGACCGAAGAGTCACTGGATGACCGATTGCAATTGACTGCAGAAAGAAGCAACAAAGGATCGAAGGACCGACCGGATCTTGGGAGGGGTCCGGTCAGCATGGTCAAGGTTGAACTTATTGAAAAGAAACCGTAATTTTCTTCCTATGTCCTCGTCGAGGACACCTTGGATCATAACATTTATGATGCTCCAGAGGACCATCAGTCGAAGGTAGACTTTGGCCCCCAAAACGCAAAAATCTACAAAAAAATAAGATGATATGTCCAAGCCGAGCATGTTCAGGATGAAAGCGCCAATCGACACCAATTCGGTAGGCCCAGCGACCCCAGGACCTTCGACCTGGTCGGACGCTGACGTAGCCATGGCTTACCACCGACTCAAGCTTGATGCGTTCTTGGAGAGCGACCCCGTCACCAAGATCCTCTAGTTCACTGCTGGGTCAGCTCAGTGGACCTGTGTCGATCCTTCCCAAGCTGGGGACCGTGACAGACGCGATCACCGCGCTAGTTACCTTCCTTTAGAGGCAGGCATGGTCGCGGGGAGGTTCAAGCCAGACGACTTGTTTTCCCTGTGGTTTGACCGTATCAAGACCACGTTAGAGATTCTACACAAATGTTTGGGTATCCTTGTCGAAATAATTCCAGTAATGTTCGACTAACCTCCTGCGACTGCCACGAAGGCGCCGTCCAAAAACAGCTAGATGACCCGCCAAGACATCGAGGTCCATCCTCAAAACCAATGGCCAACCGAGGACCCATAGTCGGTGCGAGGTGTACCACAGACCACCTTGTCTCAAGGTTCACAGGTCCCTGTGGGGCCATTACTTTCGCCGCAACATGATCGTTATACTTCTCATTTGCAGTTAAACCATCTGTGCTGTCTTTTCTTTGAGATTGCGCCTAACGAGCTTGTCTTCGGTGAGCTTTTGTACTTGCTCCATCATCCGCGAAAGAGTGGCGTCCATGTTGCACTCCATCAGCATCAAGTTCTGGTGGACTTCGTCCTGTACGTCTTGGCTTGCCTGGGTAGATATGTCGCTAATATAGCTCTCTATTTGCCCGTCTTGGGCGTTTTGCAGGGGTTGAAGTTATTTCCAAAGGCATGCTTGCGTGGCCGTCAGCGCTTCTCCGAGATTTACAGCAATATCGCGTTGTTGGTCCGTGACCTGTCTTACCCTGGTCTATGATTAGTCCTGCAAAGCCATCAACGTGGCGTTCTGGGCGTGATTTTGCCCTTTCTGTTGGTACTGCAAGGCAGCATGCTCTCTTGGCAGCACCTGAGCCTGGAGAAGAAGCTGCTGTGTGATCGCAGTGACGTGGTGCATGACGCTGGGGCCGAGTGCATGTATAGATATAGTTGCGGCTTTATCAGCGACGACAAGCGCTGCTCTACGGTCAGCACCAGCGGTGCCGATCTTCCATCGTCGACGTCGTCAATTTCACGTAACCGTCATCTCCACAGCGTTCTGAGCAGCTTGAGCGCGAGTTAGCACCATCGTCTGAAGACTGCAATATATATATATATATTGCCGAGATAGATAAATTACCGTTTGGCGAATAGCAAAAAGGTTTACCAACCAGACCGGCGAGAAGAGAAGAGAACACACAGTGCACACGCTAGCATACTCCCTTGCGAAAACCAATATTTCCAAAACCTCGAGAACAATATTCTTGAGGTTTTTACCTCCCTCTTCGTTCTACGAACAGTGTTCTTTCAATGTTCGTCCATGGGTTTGGGTATTTTACAAATGATATCACACGTTGCGAACCTTAAGCCGAAAGAGCGTGCAAATTACTAACTCGCTGCTTTGCTGACCACTAAAGCTGCTTGCACGAGACTTTTCATTCGCTCGCGATTAATTTAGATATTGCAGTTATTGAGGAAAAGGCGGTGTTGTTGCGCGACGCAAGCGACTTGAAGCTCATCCGGCAGCATGATAGTGACCCGTTTGAAAAGAACGTTTTCTGCATTAAACCGATCCAATATTGGCAAAGCAAGCAAAATGGCGTGTAAGGCTTCTGGTGATGCTGAAATTAAAGCGCCATGTTCCGGCCATTATGCACACAAAGACGAAAAAGCGAAGGGTAGTACGTTGGGACAATAATCGCTCGCCATCGTGTTGACGACCTTCATACACATACGAGTCAATAGTATCTTGTGGACGTTTATCTGCTTGTAATTTGTCTCTACTTGTAAGGCTGTATACATATATATACTTGAATAGTGACGTGCGAATAGCTGTCACGTTTTGAATTCTCATTTATTCCGTATCTACGATATGTAGCTTGGAATCCTGTAACATTTCTAGCAATGCACGCGTAACTTTACCTTTAATTGCACTGGCGCAATTATAGTTCTTCATTCTACATTCCAAGAGCAACAGGCTATAGAAAATATCAGCTGTTCTATCAGGTGCAATGCAGAATGCGTAGCTGCTGTCCATTAATAATCATATGCTCTAAAGCACAATCAATGCATATATATCATTCGTTCGTTACTCATAATGATATCCATCGTTTTAAACGAGACGTAATGACACGAATAGAAATTGTAGCAAGAAAAAGCAAATTTTCTATTTCTAAGATTATCTACATGTCCATGTATTGAATCTCAAAGCACGAAACTTGAAAGGAGAAAAGATCGATGATACAAACTCGTAGAATCAGGATCAAAGGGAATGTTTTCGCAAGCAAAACAAACAAACAAAAAAGATCTTACAACGCCCGTTCGACTACCCCAGACCCATTACCACCAATGAAATGGCTGGGAAACGGCGCATTACATTCACCAAGACAAAATGATCCAAGCCGATCAATCGCTGTTGTCATTATTCAATTTGCTCTTGCTCGTAGACACTAGTTTTGCTCTTAAAACGTTTAGAACAGCAACCTTTGCTGATAGAATGTCGCTTCAAACGAACTTGAACTCCGTATTTAAAGCGAGCTTTAGACTACTGACCATCCTTTTGTCTACATTCGTACTACATTCGATCAACGCTATCCAAGAAGGATGTCAATGTAGACGAACCATGAAAGGTCGTGATCATTTACATCCCAAGCTGTATCCATTACCAGTCATGTCACTACCCGAGACTCTAGAACTTGAACACTTACCAAAAGATTTAGACTGGTGTGAACGAGGTTTTTGTGTACCTAGTTGGAACCAGCACATTCCACAGTATTGTGGCTCTTGTTTTGCCCATGGCGCTATGTCAAGTGCACAGGATCGGATTAAGATTTTAAACAAACGTCGCAATTATAAAGGAGCAGATGTAATGTTAGGTCGACAGAGCTTTCTTAATTGTGCACCAGGTCATGGTCTATCCTCTGGTTGTGATGGTGGTGAAGCTGCCGATGTGTACGAATTCATGCATCGCTATGGTTTACCAGATGAATCCTGCTTACCTTACAATGCAACGGACCATACAAAGTATCTCATGACGAACAATACGTGTCCACCAGAAGGATACTGCATGAAGTACGTAAACATAATGATTGTATTTGCATTCGACTTTTATATACCTTAGGAGTGCTAACGAACTAACGTTTGCGTAATGATTGTCACAGCTGTATGTACACTCCTCAAAGTAGAAAAGAACCACAGTGTTTTCCTGTGACGAAAATGGTGCGTTACCGTGCCAAAAGCTATGGTCACTTGTCAGGTGAGTTGGCTATGATGAAGGAGATTATGAGAGGTGGTCCCATTACATGCGGCATTGCCTGCAGTAAAGGATTCACCTACGAATACAAGGCTGGTATTATAGAGGATACAACTGGTTTCATGGACATTGATCACGACGTCGAAGTTGTTGGCTGGGGTGAAGAGGACGGGGTCAAATACTGGCACGTCCGCAACTCGTGGGGAACGTACTGGGGTATGAACGGTTTCTTCAAGATCGTGCGTGGCAAGAACAATCTTGGTATTGAGGCGGATTGTGCCTACATGGAGCCAGATATCAGCGACGAAGAGCTCGTGTGGGAGGAAACGTCGATCTATGGTGGTTCCATATTCGGTATCGTTCCGTTTAAGAATACTGCAAAGGATCATCCAATCACGGACACAGCTGAGGACGTCACACACGGTGAAGACGAGGTTCTAACAGCTTATTATCTACCCGATGAGATGAAAGCGTTTGCATCTGAAACCAAGTCTCTTCATGAAGACAACTCGTTTACAGCGCTTGCACTCATGTTCTTTGCATCCGGCTGCGTCTGCGCGACACTCGCTGTGGTGTTCATTTTGAAATCCCGCGGTACTCGCTACGTGTACCGAACGATCTCGTAAAAAACGGTTTGGAGTAAGGATTGAGCATTGGGGCTCGTCAAAGTCGTTGGTTTCGTAGACAGTAAAACTATTCAATCCAGTCACTTACACGTTGCCATGACCAACATTTGTCACGATATAGGATGGTCATGGACTTGTTTATGAATGCAGGTAGAGCAAGAAAAGGATAAGAAAGGGTATAGCTAAACACATGGTTACCACACCAGCTAGCTTTGTACATGAGGGGTAAGTACATGGAAGCAGCAATTGATGTAGCACGAAACGTGACGGATTTTGTCACACATGCACTCTATGCAAGTGTTATCATTAACAGCATGGAAGATGCTTCAAACCTACCAGACAAAAGACCACGGAACACACAAGCATCAGAGCAAAGTTCCAGCCGTGTAACCATCACACTGATCCGTTCAAACCATCTACTGCTGTAGCAAACAACTGGATTGCTATGCCAATCGAACGTAACATTCAAGGTACTAACCAGCACAACTCGACGAGCAATCGTTTAATCGCCATAAAGCAGTCGTGTTTGCAAACTTTGGAAGAAAAAAGACTGGGATGAATGATGTAAAGTCTGAAATACGCTACAATTATACTACGTATGGTCTCAGCAAAAACGACCACAATCACCCAACAGACTACGACTCCTTCTTCTACGGTGTCTCATTTTCACATAGCTCGCTAGTTGCAAGGTGTGCGCACCACATCTCGTTCAGCACCACCATAAGAAAACAAACCTCACATACGATAGGAGATAGACATTACACACCATGAAGTTCTTGCGCGTGTTCGGTGCCTTTAGTCCAGACCTTGTGCGCTTTGGCAAAGGGTTTGAACTTCGCTCAGCCACTGTCGACCAGTTTCAATGGAGCTATTTAATTCGACCTGCAATCAACCCCAAGAGCCGAGAAATTGCTGTGTTCTTGCATGGCCTAGGGTCCTCGAAAGAGGCCTGGATTCGAGTGTCCAGTGGTCTTAATAAAGACTTTCATATCGTGATTCCCGATATTCCGGGTCACGGGAAGACAACACCGTTGGACCCGCTCATGAACTTTGCTGCTGACCGACAAACTCGACGACTGCACGAATTTTTCGAGTCAGAACTGTATCCGAACAACAAGGTGCACTTAATCGGTACTTGCATGGGTGCTACCATTGCAGGAGTCTACGCTGCAATGCACCCGACACGGGTCAAATCTCTCACCATGATGTGTCCTTGGGGCATAACAATGCCTACGGTGAGCGTCACGCTTAGTGATATTGATGATCTCGGCGAAACGACACTGCGAAGCCCCACAGAGATTTCAACAAGTGACGGGGGCGAATGGTGCGACCATCACTCGAGCTCTGCAAACATTGCGTATACACCCCGTGTGATTCATGCACTTGCAATATCGAAGCGCGGGCGTGCTTGGAAAGTGTTGCGAAAGGTAGTGGCGGATATGCTTGCTCACCCAACGAGTTTAGAAGACAAACTTTCGAGGATTCGAGCCAGAGCTATGGTGATATGGGGCAAGCAGGACAAAGTCCTGGACATCTCGTGTCTAAAGGCGATCGACGACAAGCTTCGCGTCGCACGCAAACACATGCTAGTGCTTGACAAATGTGGACATTTTATCCCGCGTGAAAACCCAGTTGAGTGTCTTAATGTGCTTAATACGTTTCTAGCCGATCACGAACTCAAGTGTACGTTTGCTCTCCGAGAACAAGAAGCCGTTATGGTTTATTAGACGCCTTTTACTCACACTGGACGGAACAAACAAAACACTAGGAACCATGTATTTATCATTTATAAGGAAGGGTGAGCTTTAAGATGAACGTTCAACGCAACCGAAGCCAATGGCATGGCAATGCTTTATTTGTATTGATTGATTGTTCTCACACAACTTGGTTGGGTGTAAGTACGATTGTAGTACTGAATCGACCATTCAAGCAGAGAATTCTTTGACACCTTTAGAAGCGATATCAAATGCCAAATCCACTGCTAATGTCTATGCTTGACGCCGTGCGTTTTGTATCAGGCTTCTCTGCGAATTTTTCTACTGTCGACAAGTACAATTGGAGTTACATTGAGAGACGAGGAAAAGATAAACACAGCACGGATGTTGTTGTATTTTTGCATGGCTTTAGTTCCATGAAAGAGTCGTGGGTACGAGTTGCTCGAGGAATTGATAAGAGACATCAGATTATAATTCCAGATCTACCTGGTCATGGTCGTACAACTCCTATCGATGCAGTGATGAATTATTCCATGTTTACTCAAGCTCAAAGACTGGATGAATTCTTCAAACAGGAGATACCCCATGATAAGAAAATTCACCTCGTTGGTTGTTCCATGGGAGGAATGTTGGCAGGTATGTACGCGGGATTATATCCTCATCGAGTCAAGTCATTGACAATGATTTGTCCGGCTGGCATTGGCATGCCACAAAAGAGCGACCTACTGATTATGTTGGAGGAATCAGGACGCAATCTTTTGCTCGCACATACGGCAGAAGATGTCCAGGAAATGAACCGAGCGATTAGTTTCAAGCACACGAAACTACCGTCTGCACTTGCATCAATTATTGCGTCAGAACGTAAGAAACAATTGCCCGTATTGGAAAAGATCATTACTGATGCCTTACAGAATCCCATTGCACTGGAAGAACTACTGCCCAATATTCGTGCCAAGACGTTAGTAATGTGGGGAAAGCATGATCGTGTACTGGATGCATCGTCAGCAAAGGTGCTGGAGGAAAAGATGCATCCAGATGCCCAATGCCAAGTGATTCTATACGACGACTGCGGTCACATTGTACAACATGAAAAATATGTTGAGTGCACTGCCGCAATCAACAAGTTTTTGGCTGATCAAGACAAGTCGGACTTGGCAACAATTGCATAAGGATTTTGTCAGCATAGAAAGCCAAGGAACGATGCAAGGAGCTTGTGCGTGTTGTATGTTCAATGGACAACATTTACATGAGGGAATATTCAGGATCAAAGTTTCAATAACTTATTCCACAAAAAGGTCATTTGCTTTGACTTTGTCCATCTAAACTGTGCTATTGACTGTAAAGTAACACAAAGCACGAATATCTCTCTCGAATGAGATATCAAACCTTCTACCGACCACATTACGAAAAAGCCGTTTTTACTTGATTTTTCTGTTTTCCCCATGGTTTTAGTCCTAAAACCTTTCATACAGCCTATTTAATGCACTCCATGTCACTCCAAGAATCCAGTTTTTCTTCCATTTCTAAGAAACACACCCTCAATTAACAACGCCCCTCGACGGTCATTTGTAAATTTTCTATTGATCATGACTACACTCAAGATCTCATGGCCGGAAAAGCAGGATATGCGACGTGTACAGCTCGCTGCTGTACATGAATCACTCCAATCGCTTGATGGTCGTACGCCTTTTGATCCTCGTGCATTGCGTTATCGTGATTTAAACGATTACGTTCGTTACTTTGTTTTTCCTGAGCTTCAGCATGCATCTCGACATGAATTATTTCTTTACTATATGGATGATGATAATGAACGAGTTCGTATTACAAATGATGCAGAAATGGAAGAAGCTTTTCGTCTTATGCGGGAGCTGGCGATTGCAGCTGGAAAGAATGCAGAAGAGAATGCCGTGTGCAAGATTATTATTGTGGTGAAACCGTTGGAATCTTTGACTCGTAGCAATATGAACAATTGTAGCAAGAAAGCGGTCGAGAGTGTACTACCTAGTGATGTCGACAAGATGTTGGCAAATCAACAGAAGAAGAAAATGTCGGAGTTGTTTGTAGATCTTGTCAAGGTGGTTGAAAAGTGGAGTGCTAGTGGTGAACATCAGACGTTGAAGAAAGATCTTGTCTCTTTATTGCACGAGCCTGGATGTCAAGAGGCATTGATGGAAATTATGGCTAATCCAAAGGTACGAGTGAGCTATGGTGTTGTCAGCGTAGACGGATTCGTTGTTAACCTTTTGTTTTTTTATCGTTGTGTAGTTTGTAACGCAGTTTCAGACTATGACGGAGGAATTTAAGAAAAATGGTAATTTTATGGAATGTCTAGTAGCTGTTTCTGGAAGTGGAGATGTCGAAGAGGTTGCCAAGATTTTGCTGGCAAAGTGTCCCAGTGCGCGTGTGCAAGTGGAGCGAGTGCTTCAGCACGTGCAATATAGTCACAATGCACAGCTCATGTCGGCTAGTGACTACTTTGAAACGATTAGCATGGAAGAGACCAAGCAGGATTTGGGTCCAGTTGTGGCAGTGTTTGAAGGTGATGTCACGTGCCCAGACGGCACGGTATTGGCGCCAGGAGAGGCTTTTGACAAGGTGTGGAAATTACGCAACGGTGGTCCCACCAAATGGCCGATTGGCGCAGTGCTTTCGTGCGTGGGTGGTGACAAGATGCAAGCACCTGAGAGTGTACTGATTCCGTCGGTTTTACCTGGCAAGTCTATTGATGTGTCATTGCGCATGGTGGCACCAGCAAAGGCTGGGCGGTACACTGGTTACTGGCGTTTGAGCACCACTGACGGCAATCGCTTTGGACAGCGTCTTTGGGTGGATATCAACGTGATGGATCCGGAAGAACCTATTATTACTGACACAAAAGAGACTGTTGATGCTTCTGCTCCGGTCCGTTTGCCGACGAGTGATGAGGCCTCTACCGTCTCGGCACCTGCTACGGTGGTGACGACCGAGTCGAAGGAGGAGGATCTTCGATGGACAAACCTGCTGCTTGTTCTGGCTGACATGGGTTTCACGGACGACGCGCGCAACGTGGCTTTACTATCGGAGCACAATGGGGACATGGAAGCTGTTATCACGAGCCTGTTGAGCTCCGCTTGATGTGCTCATCAAGCCATCATCTACTTGTGTCGACCAACGAGCTAAAGTTCTGTGACAAGCTGATGGCTTTTATCAGTTGCGTATGAACGATTTGTCTTTTCCACATTTTTTGCATTACATTGACAAATTCAACATGTTCCAACCTTCTTTTCTGTCGCGACGACTGACCGAGTCATCGTCGTTTTCAAAAGTTCAGCAAGCTGTAGCACAAGCTCTTCCGCTACATCACTGCCAGTTTTCAATGTGATAAGAGCATTTCCAGTCACCGCAGTGATAGCTATCGTTGCCAAAAAGAACCACGACTTGTCACGCTGTTTCGCGTAAAACACGTACTTCTTCACACCATCGACTGCTCCGCTGGCTATACACAAAATTCCATGCACCTTCATTTCGACTAGTAGCATCTCCGAATCCAGGTGCTTGCCCGTGTTGGTCCATTCATACCGAAACCTAAGGTATGCGCAAAAACAACAAAGCTAGGTCAAGTGCAGGCAGAAGCATGCGCGTATCATACTCGCTAACCTTTCGACATATTCGTCCCACATGCTCTCAAAGCGATTCGAGTGTAGCGATGCTGCATGGTCAAGATCAAGAACCAGCTTATTTGTTGCCATCACTTTGAGCGTCTCAGGTAAAGCCTTCTTTGTCGCTGGGTCATCAGTTTGATAAACGAATGCATGTTGCTTCATTGCAAACGCAGGCATCCTAAAGAGACGCAGACACGAGTAAACACTAGCATTCTTGCAATAAACTGTTCAATTGCAAACACTTACGTCAAATCAGGTTCAGGTGCCGGGTTTTCGGGAGTGTTCGGAGCATTGGAGGCGACAGCGTTTTGTATAAGACTGTATTGAGGTCATGATCAACCAAACATACCAACAGATGCATTTGTCATCAGCGAATAGTGCCAGTACGAGTTTGCGCTCATATAATTGTCATACCTTTCCATCTCAACATGGTCTTCACCCCTTTTTGAGATTGTAGCTCGACTGGTTGCCACACGAGTTGAAACTGGCTTAGCAGAACGATGAGCAGACATCTTTTGCGACCTCCACAGACATCGTGTTACTACACGCTCCACGAGGTGAATACTGTTCCGATTACGTCTGATATATAGCGCTACCGCAAGTCCTAATGCTAAAGCAACGGCACAGGAACCGACTAGGCAGTTCAAGAGGATCACAGCAACATGAATAGTCAGCACAATACAACAAATCTTCCAACCACCAAAGTATACAAAAACGTACTCTGCCAGGTTGTGAACGGAAATGACGACAAGATTGACTGATTGGTAGCTAAACTGAGCGAAACCAGGTCGTATAAATTATCTTCATCATGCGGTTGAACCGCTTCTTCTCTCGCCATAAACCTTTTTCCGTCCAGTACACCTTCAAACACATGCGATCGAAAGCCATTATGCGAGATATACAGCATGTAGCTTTTCAATGGATCTACTGCTGCTCTAGTAATTGCCTTGAATGAAACTCTTGCATGATCTCCAGGCTGCACCACCGCTGGCGCAACAAGTGGCAAAACAAAAGCATTAATCTTTTCCGCACTATCCTGTCCATCGTTTCTCTCTACCAACGTCAATTGGTACAAATGTAACGGCGTCTTGCCATCATTCTTTACATTCAACTGCACATAAGTGAAAAATGTATGATCCTTCTTTTGGTCGTTTGATTCCTGTTGTTCGTCTTGGTCATCTGACCATATCAATGTCGTGCCCATAAGAAGCCGTGGCAGTCCACTACTACTATTCATAAGCTTATACATTGGTGAGATCAATGTATGTCGTACTAACCCCGTCGTCTCGTCAACCAAGACTCGCTTTTCCTTCTCAAATAGACTCTCCACTTGTTGTTTCACCTCACGTCCCCAATTCATTTCTATCTCGTCTTCACTGTCCATAGTAACAGTAGAACATATTGATACAATACCCATTAAAGATATTGTAAGGGACTCAACGTCCATTGGTTCGACCACACAATCCATTCCATGGAGTGAAAAGGTTGTCAAAGATGATCTCAAGTACCTCATCACTGCATTCATGAGCGAACTACGTAGACAACATGTCGCAGTAGTTGATGCTGCATCATTTCTACCCATTACTTCTTCCACATATAGATTAACAAATGTAATTTCGATACCAATGTCAAGACAAAAGATTGGTGGTGACGTGTTCATGATAACGTCCTTGTTTGTAGACGATATTGTACGCACTGACGTGGTCATTTCAGACACAGAACTTGTATGTACAGTACTAACGTATATGTCGCAAAATAGATAGAGCCAGAAGAGTATATACAACGATACACGTCCACATCCTTGCCACATGACACGCATGAGAGAGAAAGCTTTGTTATTATAATATGGGGAACTAGACAGTATTTTGATTGGTGGAAACATAAACTATTTTGATTGGCGGAAACATAAACTATTTTGATTGGTGAAATACAGATCGTTTTGGATTGGTAGAAAAGAAGACACTATAAAACACTAAATTTAGAAATATAAAAATAGGCAGTATATACATGTCCTCCCTTTGTCTGAAAAGTATACAATACGTTGATCAAACCCCAAGTTGCTAGTTATGGGGGATGAAAAGAACCATCAATATTGTGACTATAACAATAATATAGTGACTACTAGTCATGTACTAGAGACTCAAGTAGATGCTGTAAGTATACTGTATATTATTTGTATACGTTTCTAATAGGACAGGACTTGGCTCACATATTATGAATTACTGTTCTCTCCTTCTTCTTGTCTAGTGTTGTATTTGTCAGGACGTTGTGGATCGATTAAAGCAAGGACATTTATCTGGATGTAATCATTGTTTTCATTATCATTGTATTGTCACATGGGCACAAGTGACAAATCTCTGTCCATTATGCAAGACCAAGTTTAATGCAGTAACTCGAGTGGATACACAAGGGATTGAAGTCGCTCGTCAAGTGATTCAAGACACTAGACAAGTGTATGAACCAGAACCATTGGATCATACTATTGATGCACAAGTAGAGTTGATGATGCATGACATAGCGTGTGAACTTTGTGGTTCAGGAGACAATGAACACGTGCTGTTATTGTGTGAAGCACTGGGCTGTGAAGTTGCAAATCATACTTATTGTATTGGATTACAAGCAGTACCAAATACATCGTGGTATTGTGCAAGACATGCAACGACTCAACAAAGAGCTAGTGATGTGATTGAACGACCAGCGATGACAGTGACTACTCGTCGTCGGACACGAAGATTAGCGACGTTGATGTCGAATGTACTTCGTGGACGTGGTAGATCGACGACAACAAGGGGGTCTCGTCGACGTGGATCTCGTGGTTTTGTTGCAGTGGAAGAAGCAGAAGATCGAAGACCGATACGAGGAATTGCTGCAACTTATACGTTGAGGATGTCAAGAGAGTTGATGCAGGTACAGCAGCGGGCTGATGCTATGTTTGCACGCGGTGATTTGACACAGTCCTCGTTGTATGGCGGAAGTGCGGATTCTGCTTTGAGTACTGCTCGACAAGGAACGCGATCAATAGTAGCGACATCGGGACCGTCACCGATGGATCAGATGTGGAACGACCAAAGTCGAAGTCGACAAGAACTTGCGGCGGCAGCAATTGCAGCGCATGGTCATGGCTTACTTAGTAATGCTGACAGTAGTACGCGGTCAAGTCAACGTGCCAATCGTGTATCGAATACATTTGCTCCAGAATACTGTGCTCTTGCCAAGTTGATGCAGGATGCGGTCAGTAGTGATAATTACGCATCATCGGTGGCGCTGTTGATACCGAAGACGGCGAAGCTGAGGTTAGTATCACGTGTTAAGACCTTTTTTGGTCGACTCAACGCAAAGGAAAAGGCTGCTGCAGTCGAATTGGGCTGCTTGTCAGTTCTGCATCAGTGGATTCAGCAGGATAGAGGCAATAGTGTATCCCTCCCCAATTCACAGGTACTTGATGCGGTACTATCTATTTTTGAGACGTTGCCTTTGCGAAAGGAAGATCTTGTGGAGGTAAGTGCTGCCTTTTATAACACGATACGAACGAGATGATACTGAGAAGAATGGTTTGTAGGAAGAGGGGTTACAAGTCACGATAGACAGGCTGTTAGAACTTTCGGAAGTTAGCATCGAAACACGTCAGCGGATGATTGAACTGAGTGAAAAATGGTGCGAGTTGAATCCTCCAGCACCACGCGAGCCTCCACGACCTCAAGTAAGCCAACCTGTATTGTCACCTGTCAATGTGGCGCAGGAGTTACCTGTCATAACTGCATTTCCCTCTATAACGCGGCCACCACGGTCAAAAGGCAAACGGAAGCGACAGCGCGATGTGTACGTATGGATGCAGCAACTTGTGTTATGAGTGCAATACTAACGTCACGTTTCTATGAGCAGGTGGTCCGATGCTGTTGTCGAGTACGTGAAGGCTAAGCTGTACCCGCTCTATAAAGAGAACAATGGCACTGGCAACTTGACACGCGAACGATTTAAGTCGATTGTAAAGGAAGTGGCAGCTTTGTTTGCTCAAGAAACATCGTCTATGCAGTCTGCAGTGCTTCTTCCTTCTGGAGAGTTGTCCAATCTTGCAAAATCACGTGTCAAGAAACTTATCGACAGAGTATACAAGGAGTCGTCAACCTGCGGAACGTTTGCTGTCAAGTCGACTGCTTCCGGATCTTTGCTAATGGGACCAGTCGCTGCTGCATCAACGTACTCTGCAGTACCGACTTTGAAGCATCAGCACCGAATATAAAAGTACTTGTGTGCATGCACAGAGACAGGATAAAAGCGGTCGTAAATAAATTGTAGCATCTTTCCGTAAGGAAGAAAGAAGCACTGATCAACAACATCCAGTACCTTTGTTACTACACAAATTATAATAGCAGCATATCAAACGATTTCAAGTGCCGAGCTGTTTCAAGTGACTCGATATCGTACGATCTTCATGACAAGTACATTCCAAGAGCTGCCGAGTCATTGTGCGAGATATTGGCATCATTCAATCTCTTTTTTTGAATCATCTGCTCCACCATCCACTCTGTCTTCATCTTTTGCGTTGTAATTTCAGCTTGTTGCAATTGTTCCTGTGCTAACGCAAGTTGCACTGCATGCAATTCACTCTTTCTCTGTTCACGTTTGAGTTCTAGATCCAATCGTCGACTTTCAAGCTCAAAACGTGCGGCCTGTACACTTAATTTTCGTTTCCAATACTCTGTCACGTCTTCTTTTTTTCCATCCTTTTGTTGTGCCATTGATTCACTCCTTGCTCCTGCTGCAGCATTCTTCTTCCTCATCGTCTCCTTTATCTTCTCCTTCTTCTCCTTCTCCTCCCTCTTCTTCATCTCATTCTCATCACTCACATTCTCCATATCTTCCATTCTTTGCCGTTTTGTAACCTGAAAACTCTCCACCTCTGACTCATGAGCTGTTGCAACATTCACGACACTTGGAACCAAAGTCTCCGACTCAAGGTGAGGTGATGATTGAATTGAATGGCCTGATGGTGAGGAAGAAACTAGACGTGGAGCTTGTGTCACATGAACATGAGCAAATATCTGATCCTGTAGCTGCTGATGTTCTTTATCAGTTGTATACATTGAATTTTCCTCTTGTTGATGTTGTATACGTCCTTCTCCATTCGTTCCATAGAGACCCTCTTGTTGATCTCTACTATTAGTAGTCGTCGTTGTACCATGTATAGTGTGTATACTTTGTAATTCGGATGTTGAAGTAGGTATAAACATAACCGGATTTTCCTCATCCATCGTATGTTTCAAAGTCGAGTCTTTTGTCTGTTCTTGATCATTTTGGAGCAAAACACGCACAAATGCGTCTTTATTACGTCGACGTGGATTTGTCTTTAATTGTCGTTGTGTAATCTCACGTTTTAATTGCATCAGAGACCAATCTTTATAATCATCGGATTCAGGTGGAAAACAACGTTCATCACCCTTTGCAGACCAGAGACGAGAGATTTTTGAACCGCCGGGCCATGATGGACATGATGGAGTGTTCATTTTGTATACATGAGCTTAAATTCTGTTAGATTATAAACTTGATATGTATTATCATAGGTTGGATAAAATAAACACGCACAAAAACATTTATATATATATTATTCTTTCGATTGAAAAAAGAATAAAATCCATTGTGAAACAAAACGAAACAGCAAAAAATCAACAAAAAGAGAAACGCTTGAGATTCAAAACGCACACTCATCCATACTTCAAAGCAATGAAACCGAAAAAAAAGGCAGATATTCATGTCGCAAATTCCTTTTTTTTCATTTAAAAAAAAAGCAAGATATTAGCTACAAAGCATTTATATCCGCAGATCGGACAAAATCCACTCGCCCGTATTTATTCTAGTCGTCACAAAAATCGAGATATTTCTAGTCGATCGAACAAACGCGCCGTCCTTCAGGTCGAAATCATTGCTCGAGTTATACTGAATGCCAGTGCATGTCGAACAAGTTGTCGCTCGCGAGAATGATCAGGTTCGGGCATATAACTGCGTGGAGATTGAAGAATACGCAAAATACCTTCCATGTCACACGTTAATAGCTGTTGCTGGAGTTCATCCAAGATCACCAGGGAAAAACTGAACATGATACGCCATCCGTCAATGATAAAAATATCAAGCAGACGCGTCACAAGAGCTGGTGCTAACGTCTCAAAGGACGAGAAGAATGTCAAAAACCAGCGCGTGCAAAAAGTCCCAACGTCGACACCCTCAGCTTGAAAGTGAGTGTAGAGCGTAGGCATGTGGGTCGACAATTGCAGCTCAAATTTCGCCAAATACGGTTGTAGCACTGCCATTCCAGGTTCATACAGATTCTGATCATTCTTCGGTTCCGAGAATCCTACAAACAACCAGAAAATATCGGCTTCGTCCTGGGCGACTTCAGCCAAAAACCGGACTAAAAAGCCCATACCTTGACAGTAACCCACGCGTGGATTATACATGACGTACGCACGAAGTACACGACGCATTTTTGCTTCCAGATCCAAGTTTCGTACGTCCGTACTGGAAACATTCGTGCAAGCGCTTGTATGCGAATTACGGCTTGCAAAAGTATCGTCCATCTCCGTTCGGCCGATACTTTTCACCATCTCTTGCAAAAAAGACTCGACCGAGTCGTCATTCAACTTGTCAACAGCTGCAGTCGGTATTGGTAAGAATGTGCGCGGCTTCACTTTTGCATACATACTCCGGTGGCATGTCCGAACGACGTCAACATCAATTTCTCGGAACCAAATTGCAAGCTGCGCATCGTCATCAACCAATGGCGATTCCTCTGCAATACATCCAGCAGCCAGTTTCGTTCCTACTTTCAATAAAAGCTGATCATACATGCTGCGACGTCTGTCAGCAGACAGGTAGTGCGAAGTGCTTGCAGTATACTGCCAGGGTGTAGACTCGTAAAATAGGGAAAGCCATAGGGAGCTCCGAACATTTGGGGAAAGACCACCAGACCTAATGCACTTTTTCCAAATTGGAGCGCTATCAATCAAGCAAGAATGGAGCCGAAAATTGACCTGAATGTGCAACTTGCTGTTATCAGTAGTACTCACTAGAAAATACCAACGAACAAGCACCATCAACTGCTGCTAGGAGGGAACTAACCTTGGAAAGACGTGCAAGATCTTCGGCAAAGAGATATGAGAGGCATTCCGAGTACAGAGAATCGTCCTACAAATTAACAAGAAAGGTGTAAATATGCGCCAAGTGTAAATCACGTTCAAAGTACGAACAAACCTCTTGAAGTAATCTAGACAGAATGTCATCAGCATCAGAGCTGATCAAATCGGTCTGCAAGAGCACGTTTACGGGTGACCTAGCCTCTCTCACGTCTAGTTCCCACAAGCAATTTTCGATAGCAAGCCAATGTTTAGGGGATTGCGGAATGATATGAAGCTGTTCGTTACGCTGGAAAGAATATCAAAAACTACGTTAGGCCTCATCCATCTATCAATACAAAGCAATCCATAAGCAGTTACATTACTTTTTTCGGTGAATCAACTGCGCTCTGGTCGGCACCCGTAGATGTATCAGGAACAGACGCAGGGATCTGCCAAAACATTCTTGCCTCTCCACTCGCGTGATTAAGCTTGCCCCATATCGTTTTGCGGATTGACGAAAGCATACTTGTCCTTTGAGGTGTACGTGGCTTAACGCTCGCAGTTCGCGGCCACGGGGACGTTGAGCATTGTAGCCTACTAGCTTGCCCACTATCGGCATTCTTTCCTCGCATCCTTTTGTTATTTTCGCCGTCACGTGTTACCATCTGATACGCACCCAGAGCCACACGCTCCGATGAGTCAATGAGTTTGCGTACTAGTTGTTGTTCAGCACCAAGTTTGGTCGATTTGCTTGCTCGAAGTACCCTTCCAGCCTCAAAGTCGTCGCTGGTGATTGATAACGCCTGAGTTTCATCATCCTCATCACTTCCGGAAATTGCTTCAACTCCGTCAAGTTCCGTAGACGAGCTCGATCCATCCAATTCAGACCATCCATCGGATACCGAGCTTAATTGTTTGCTCAGCTTTGACGATAACGAGATACAAGGCGGGTTGTACCGCATAGCTGCAGCAAATTGAAAAGCTTGGTGAGCTTCCACAACAATTTCCTGTTCTGAGCGTGAAAGACTCGACTGAATGGATTGGTTGGCATTCTGAAAGAAAATTGCCGTTTGAAGGCGCTATCAAGAGAGAAAAACATGTCAGATACCATAAGGAACAAGAAGCTCAAGCATCTGTCCAAACAAACCGTTGTCTTGAATAAAGCTGCTGCAGTAATTGCCCCTGATTGAACAACGTCCTCTGCCAAATATAATATAGATATAGACAATCATCATGAGATGATGATACACACACACAAAACAAGAAGAAGAAGAAAAAGAACCTCACACATTCCATCCGATAACAACATATCGTACCTAATCGTGGTAGTAACAATGTCTCTGTTTCCTGTAATAACGTTGCTACTCGATAGAGATCAATTTCAATATATGGTCCATTTGCATCCTTTTCAAGTCGAGATGAATGTATTTTTAGCGTCACAGCACGAAGCATTTTGGATTCCGCTTGTAGTTTTTCCCACGTGTGAATTTCCTGTTTCAATTCATCGTATCGTTCCAATCTTGCTTGTAATGGATCTAAGATTGTAAACCGAATCGATTGCTCCATTCGTTCAATATCTTCCTGTTCAATCTGTTTCATTGCAGCTTTATAATCTCTCTCATCGTCATTGCTACGGAGCAACAAAAGTATCAACAATATCCACACAAAACACCAGCAAAGAAAAATATCCATAAAACGCGATTAAAGACAAAAATATCCACACTCAAAAAACTAAGACAAAAAAAAGATAAAATCATACCTGCAAATTGCCATGAAAATATCTACCACTGTAGTCATGGAGGTCACTGCAACCTGTAATAATTAATAATCATAATAGTAAGAAGAAGAACAATCCAAGAACACGATCCAAGTATTAACTGTTTTTTTTTCTCTAACCTGAATCTGATCCAGCATCTGTCGCATTTTCATCTCGAGTCGTCGCAGGGCCCGATCCTGTCGATTAAATTGCCATACTGCCGCTTCCAAACGTGTCGCGTCCTCTTGAAGTTTCTGTCCTTCTATCTCGTCCACATGTTCACTCACGGGTGTAATCGAGCCCCCAATTTTTCTCCTTAATCCTTGCAACATGGTTTTATTCATCTCTCTCTCTCTCTATCTCCTTTTCTGACAACAACGCCACTTGAATTTCTTCTCTCCTCGAGCACTTTTTCTTCTGTTTGTTAGTAAATGTGATTGGTGCTTCGTGCTCGAGCTTTCAACATCAACCCACGGCTTTCCTCACACGAACGTTTTGCGCTTCCCCCGTCGCAAATATTATCGTCCTATCGATAAAATCCCACTTTTTTTAAACAAAAACGGCTGGATTTTGTCTCGTTTTTTTGTTGTTGTTGTTTAGATTAAAAAAAAGTTGTTGGCAGAAAGAGAATATAAATGGGACTGTTTAGACACAAGAAGTGGCAAGAACGGTCTAGTGATAGGAAAGATGAAGATGGAGGACGAGGACAAGGAGATGCAAGAGCAAAGAAAAAGGACGTGGTTGGAGATATTCTACCTCCACCACTTCATTTGTTATTAAATGCTATACATGAGATGGAGAGAAAACCACCTGTAACACTTTTACTCATTGGTATGTGTATGACTTATGAAAAAGCAGTAGTTTTGGTTACGCATTCGAGTAGAACAATGGAAATGAGAATGATGACGTATATGGAATGATCACAACCAACCAATGTAGCTATCATGTATCTCGTGCATTTACAAGCAACTCGAACGGACCATTCGTTTTTGCTCCTATCCTTTGCCTTGTGAGCAAATTCTCTATATCTACATCTTTTTCACATAAACAAACCCCCCGATAAGAACTATAATCTTCTCATGCCTATTGGTTGTAGATGTCCTGAACAAATCATGGTTTATCACAATCTATCAGCATTTCTTTTCGCTCCTTTTATCCATCTTGAGGATTTTCATCTCTATCAAAGCTTGTAAAGTTTAAGTAAAAATAAAACAGAAATGTTGTGTGGTGTTTCGTGTTTATGTGTCTCTAACTGGGAATGTTTGTTTTCTCATAATTTTCTTCTTTTGTTTAGAGCCTCGTTGCTATGGAAAGGGTCAAAACTTGAAGAACGGCTTGGAAGTCTTGGATTTGGTATTCTTTTAGTCTATCTAATTGTCCTATCTCAAGCTCTAATTCTAGTTGGAGCTTTTTTAATCCCATTGGTTGTTTGAAATGACGAGTTTTATCCGTGTTTTTTTTAAGTGAATTTGTACTCACGTGGGGTATTTTTAATGTTCTTATTATGATATTCCTAGGGACCATTTCATGAATGTTTTACTGGATTTTCCAGTATCCTTACAGCCATGAAGGTATGAAACCAAGTACATACAAGTCATTTTGTTGATAGGAAAATAACTCGTCTCACTTTCTTTATTTCAGGTCATTTTGACAGTCAAATCACCGACATTTACAAGATTCTACAATTATCAAGTTCCGACAAAATATGGAGCGTGGTTTGAGCTCCTGATTACCTACATTTTCGTCCCAAAGTTACCATTACTAGCTCAAGCTGCTGGACTGATTGCAGGCACGTGATGTGAAATATCTGAGCAGATTGGAGCATGTTTGTGTCTAATTTGTTTTCAATTGGTGTTGACTGTTGTTGTTGTTGTTTTTTGTTTCTGTGTTTGTTAGGATATAGTTATATCGTGACACCAAATGCAGATGCATTGGTTGCGTGTGCTTCATGCAATATTCGACACTTTTTGATTCGTATTGGGCTGATAAAGAGACCAGAGCAATGGTGGCGTGTATGGCCGAGGTTTCGGAATGCTGTCCGAAGAAGAATATCATTGCAAAAGACGTGATTCATAGATGCATAACACGATAAGGACTGTACAACAATTTGGTAATATGGGTGGGATATGTATCGTTAAGTTAGACAAGATGCTGAAAGCTCTCGGGCTGGATGTTGAAATGGGCACTACGACCTCCACCTCTACTGTGCTCTTCTAGCAAAAACGTGACTACACCACAATTGCGCATCTTGCTTGACTTGGCCTCGTGGTACACGTCACGAGGAAAGAATTCGCAACAAAATGCACGAAACCACAACGAGTGACCGTACACAATCACTACCTCCTTTCGCTGCTTGAAAACCCATTGCGCAAACAATAGCAGACGGTCGCGGCCACTGCCTAGCACCGCTTTGTTACCATGGCTCTCCGCCACATCAAACAGCTCGTCTTGACTTTTCTCTCCACGTGGTAACTCTACCAGCACGTCTTGTGGTGGAACCGCATGTGGCAGACTAATGGCAAGCGTATCAAAGTTACGGCCAATCTCCTGTAAGCACGACAGCACGTGAATCTTTTCTCCTGGCACCTTCAGTCTCGATGCCGACGCGATGCGTGCCGTGTCAATGGTACGTCGTAGATTGGACGTGACCACCATACTATCGGGCAGTGGAAAGCACAGATATCGCAGTAACGAGCTATCTCCCATCTGAAGCGACGAGTGGTAGAGTGCGTTTCCTACTGGTGTCAACGCTCCTGCATTTTTGTCACCGTCACTACCTCTTCCAAGCAACGTCTCGTAAACGTAATCATGCAGACTTTGGGCCTGGACACAACCGCGTCGACTCAGCGGTGAGTCCAGGAACAAGGAGTCACCTGTAAGCAGCAAAAGCCACTCACGCACCACTGCACGGAGGAGACTGACAAACGCACGCCAATTCAAGCCGCGATTAAAAATAACATTCCACTCGGACTCTGCGTGGCGCACGAAGATGATGCGCTTTCGTTTAATCACGATAGGATCCTGTTGATCTACTGCTGCTGTTGTGGTGGTGGTGGTGGTAGTAGACATGAGTAGCACCGTTGTATCTGGCAATGCATCAATTGCTCCTGATGTCTGAGAAGAGAAAGGATGAGAACGAGAAGAAGAAGAGGAAGACTGTAGCCACTGCTTGTCACTGGAGAAAAACAAGTGCAATACACCCACACTAAATAGCTGAAGTTTCCATATAATGTGGTTTGCAGCATGTAGTAGAGAAAACAAGACGCTTAGAGATAAGAAGCGACCATGTACGTCGTGGTTCATTAAAGTGCACACGACTTGACGCGTCGCGGACGAATTAATTTTTAAAATACCATCGTCTCGGATAAATTACCGTCACAAAAAATTAAACCTTTCAAACAAATGCACACAAATATACAAATTTTGTGATCGTATTGTCTTCATTGAAGCTCAGCTGTAGGAAAGAATCAAGCGAGTTGTTCGTACGCTGTGGTGCCAATGGATTTGATGCAGTCAAGCCGTTTTCACATGAACGATCACTCATGATCTGTTTATACTTCGTTGTCCGCTGGAAAATCGAGCTATACGCCGACGACGCAGTTCGCTTCGAGTGAGTTGATCAGCTTCATGTTGTTCTCGTGGAATTCGCGCTGCTTGATATTCTTCTTCCTGAAGACGTCGCGCCAATTCTTCGTCCGTCTCGATAGAGGTTGTAGACGTTCTAGTCGAAGTGCGTGAAGCATGATATGATGCAGTTTGTGGATCGATGTTGCGGCGGTTGGCAATTGGCTTCATCAGCGTCTCCAGCCATCGCCTGATCCAGCGAGAACCGGTATTCATAGTCGTCTGGATCGATGGCGAATACACAAACATGTATCCTATGAAGCAAATCAAGTTTGTAAGCAACTAGTCACACCATTATTGGTGCTCCAATACAATGGTTATGAGACATCTCCACCATACCAGCTAGTACACCACACATGTGGCCCATAAATGAAGTTCGTGGCACGAGAAAGTGGATTGCCACCAGTTCTAGCCATGCTGCATATTTTGTAGGCACTTGAAAGCCATATATGGATGAGAAAGTTGGCGAGTTATGATTCAAGAGTACCTGCGTAAACGATCCAGCGTGATTGATTGATCCACCAAAACGTTCTGTGGTACGCATGGACACTCTGACATTATCTCACTACCTTGAGTGCAAATAAAACACCTGAAAAACCCACACTACACTGATACAAAGGACCCTGCAAATTACATGAGAAACCATCAAGTGTACCGACAGTTTGCTAGTGCACGCACCGGTATCTGGAATCTTGTTGCTAGTACAAGTGACACTATAACTACAAGGGTATGACATAGCACAAGTAAGTAGCTAATGGTAAAGAGGAAGCGTACACTTCCCAATTTGGACTCTAGATTGTATCCTTTCCAAAGAAACGAAATCCTGATCAAGTTTTACAGTCAGATCATAGTCACAGCAACAACAAACAAAAGTAAAATGGGTCGATACAAAATGAAAGCGTACATGTTATGGTACAAGTGCCATTCATCCACATGAATAAGTCCCGAGATAACGATCCGCATGTAGTCGGACTTCCTGATTACTTGATCAGGACAGCTACAGACAGTACATTGTCACTCTTTCATGCCCAAAAACGATGCAATCCATTCATTTTCTTACAGATAGTATGGCACAAAGCGCTCAGGTGTTTCATTCTTTTGAAAGTGAATGCCACACATCAGTACTATATGACAAAACAATGTAACAGTAAGTATAATGAGGTCAAAGGATACGAACAACACAAAAGAAGAAGTATGCACCCATAAGTCCAAGTGTAACAGGTGGTTTATGCTCCAGCTGATGCACTTGACGCAGTAGCATCACTATCAACGCAATTGCTTGGTCATTGTAGCCGATGTCACGTCCTCCACGTGCACGACGTCTAATGCTTGGTCCATACATCTTGAATAATGACGTAAGATGAGAATTTGGATTATTCGAAACTGTAGGATGGAATTAGTCTTTGAACATGCCGATTTTGATTACTCAGTACACAAAATAAGTCCGGAGCAATTAAACAACTCGTGTTGCTAGATTGTTTGCAATTTTTTGTACGACTACAATAAAGGCTGACACCAACTATTTGATAAAAAATTTACTTTATTTATGTCTCCTAAATAAGGTCTACCTACACCTTCTAGAACAATAGTTGCTTATTCAGACAGTACAAAAAAATTGGACTGTCTGTAAAATTGTCCGATTGAAAGGGTTGTACTCACAATCCACACAACCTGTGAGTTCGTGCATTTTCTGATTAGCTTCCTCAATCATACTCCGTATAATGTCTGTGTCCTATGTTGATCATCTTCTCTCCATACCTGAGAACCATCTATTGGGCTACGTCGTAGCTGCATTTATGCTTTACCTATCTGTTCGTTCACTCTTCAATGTAGACCGTGTTCTTGCAAAGCTCTGGCCGTCATTAGTGCTACTCTTCTCTTACTACCGTTACCGTTTGGCCGTTGCTGGCTTTTCCTCCTCTCTATTACTCCAGCTCTTGACTGTAGTACATCAGCGTGCTTTTCTAGTTGAAGCTGTCTTTAGTGACACGCTTATTCTGGTCGTCGTGGTCTCCACCTTCTCTGCAGTCGCAAACATTGTGCGTCGCCTGCGCTACGTGTCTCGTAAGAAGCTGCTCAATGTCGTGGGTGGTGCAGTGCTCGCCGGTCTCAAACGACTGCCTATTGTATCCACGAAGGTGGCCGCGGAGATGAAAAAGATTGAAAAGGAGGTGGAGAACTTGCTTAAAGGCCATGATCCACTTGCCTCCAAGATGGAAAAGCTCTACGCTCTCCCAGAAAAGGGCATGGATGACGAGAAACTGCTGACGCTTATGGAAAATTTGGCAGGCAATGATGATGACAAATGGAGAGAAGGACTCGTGTCTGGAGCTGTGTATTATGGAGAGAAGGAGCATTTGGATGTGCTGAACAAGGCCTATGCTCTATTTGCAGTATCTAATCCACTGCACGCCGACTTGTGGCCAGCGGTAAATAAATTTGAAGCAGAGGTGATAGCGATGACGGCGGGGCTGGTGAACGGAGGCCACTCGGAGGTGTGTGGCACACTCAGTTCCGGTGGTACAGAGAGCATTTTTCTTGCGACCAAGGCCCATCGCGAGTACTACCGCCATAAACACGGCATTACCAAGCCTGAGATCATTGCTTGTGTTACGGCTCACGCTGCAATCGACAAGGCCTGTGACGTCCTAGGAATCAAGCTAATCAAGGTGCCAATGGACCCCAAAACGCTCAAGGTCAACTTGAACGCAGTGCGCTGGAGCATCTCGGCTAACACAATTTTGCTCTACAGCAGCGCGCCAAACTTTCCGCATGGTATGATCGACGACATTGAAGCACTTTCGAAGATTGCCGTTCAGAATGATGTTGGTCTTCATGTTGATTGCTGCCTTGGTGGATTTGTGCTGCCGTTCGCACGCAAATTACGCCAAGACATCCCCCTCTTCGACTTTTCACTGCCAGGAGTGACCAGCATGTCGTGTGATACGCACAAGTACGGCTACGGCTCGAAGGGAACGTCTGTGGTGCTGTACAAGAATGCGGAAATTCGGCGATTCCAGTACTTTTCGTACCCAGATTGGACAGGTGGACTTTACGTGACACCCACTCTTGCAGGCAGCCGTCCTGGTGCACTAAGCGCTGCAGCTTGGGCTTCAATGGTACGTCTTGGTCACGAAGGCTATATTGAGAAGACCAAGGGCATCTTAGACACGGTGGATGAGATCAAGGCTGGCATTCAGCGCATTGATGGCATCCACCTACTGGGAGATCCGAAAGTGATGGTCGTGAGTTTTGCTGGCAATGAGGGAATAAATGCTCTTAAGGTCAGCGACGCAATGACGAAGCACGGATGGAGTCTCAATCCGCTGCAACACCCGACATCTGTGCACTTATGCGTTACTGTTCGTCACATTGGTAAGGCAAAGAAGTTCTTGGATGCTCTTGAGGCAGCTGTGAACCAGATAAAGGAAGACCCTGACCCATCATCACCCGAGGGTGGCAGCGCCATTTACGGCATGGCCTCAAGTCTTCCCGCTGGACCCGTGGACGATCTGTTGCGCATGTACACGGATATCTCGCTCAAGGTGTAACCTGTGTCAAAGTGTTTGGAGGAATCTCATTGCAGACTTTTTTGCACTTGAATGTGGAGGAGACACGTCTATTTGTAAGCTTTTCAATCAATGATCGTATAGTTGCCTACTTTGTTGTATTAACATCAACTTTGTTCACTGCAGTTGTAATTGGTTTCCTTGAGTTTTTGTCGCACGTTTGAACGAAATATATGCACCATAACACCATTTATGGTCAACTGACGCCAAAAGCAAGTAGCGTTCATAGAAGTGCGTTTGTTTTTGACGACACGCATGGGCAAAATTTGGATCATTCCGATTTGTAACTCTGGCCTATCCAGATTAGTGTGTTGACAAATATAGCAAATACCTATTTTGTGTCTTTCTCAAGACGCCATCGTCATCCAAGATCTAGTACGTATCATTGAAAATGGAAACAACAGATGATATCTGCCATCAATTGATGTTTTCATTATGACAACAATAGATTGTATGTCCTTGACATTCGATTTTCTTCTGAGTCCTGAGACCAATCAAGATGCTACTACAAACGAACCAATACATCATATAGGCAGTAATGTTTGTCGCATTTTTAATGATTCTGGCCGGATACCATCACGGCTGCACATTGACACTGGCTCGTTTCTCAAAGCTCGTCTGCGCCTATCAAAAGTTATAGGTTTGGTCATATATATATCAGTATCACTATGTTGATTATTTGAACCACTTAGCTACTTGATTGAAAACACCCTATTCTTGAAGCCAGTGTCAGGAGCCTACGCAACAGATGGCATTAGAACAAAATATTCTATTCGTACTGTCAGATGTTTTTCGAAACGTACATGTACGTAGAAATTTCAGCTTTTCACCGTGATGAGTTCCTACTATTCCTGTTTGTATCAGCGTCAGGTAGTGGCTGCAGTTCCTTCTCCTCTTCATCTGCTTTCTTCCTAGACTGGTGCAGTTCCATCAAGCCCTAGAGCTTGTAGCATCTTATGTAGCGTTGTCCTGTGTTTCATTTTGTAGTTGAAGGCAATGCAAATATCTCCACACGACTATTGTCAGTTTTCTTGGTGTTGCTATATCATGTATCATTGCTGATGTCCTTGACTCCAAAGCACATGTTCTGCTGATAATTTCTGCAGCTAGAGAGGATCATGTCGGTCGAAAAAGTGTATTGTAATGTCTAAAGGCTCATATTAGTTTCTCATTGAAGCGATAACATCACGTTCCTGCACTTTTTCGTTGTCACTGTTAGATGAGTTATCGGTTAGCACCTCGCTGCCATGTTCACTACCGATAAAGGAATATATAGTGAATACCGGTCAGCACGTGTACAATGATGCAGGTATAACTCTTTGCAGCTATATCAATCTCCACGACGTGTCTCGAGCGTTCCACGTCAAAATAGTTATCGTCGTACAATTCTGTCGTAGAAGCTCGCTAGAAGGTACATATCACCTGTATCTATTACTCACAGTTGGTTGTGCTTTAGTGTAACGAGAAACTGTGGACACAGAAGTTTAGTGTTTCGTTTTGACAAGACTCACAATGTTCCTAGATGTAAGACATCTCGCCAGAATATCGAAGCCAAGTGCTGAAACACCGCTACAACTTGCAGTAACCAAAGTACGGGTGCTTGTTCTTCTTTGAAACACACAACAGGGAAATGATGTGACAGACAATTACTAGCATTTGACAAACAATCATCGAGCAACAATCATGACCAGCAAATTTCGAATTGCTCGGCACGACTGGAGCTTGCGCTGTGGACCAAACGAACAGTTGCTACGATCAACTAAAACGAGCTCGGTAAACAAAAATTAGAGTGTGTGACTGTCGCAACAAGAGACGTTGTCGCTATCCTGCTTTGGACACGGCGTTACCAAACTGAGTCGCCCGCGCAAAGGCAGCATCCAACAAACGTGCATTCATCTGATCGGTATTGGTGTACCGTAATTCAAGGTAGGATGTATATAGTTCAATCGGGGGAACATTTGCAGAAGAAGCGCCAAATCTCCATATGTGCTGTGAGACGCTCGAACTAGCTACTGCTTCCTCCGATTACAAAATCCATGTAGGGGAATGGATATTTGCTAAGTGTGGGCCATCACGCCCGGTGTTAACCTCACCTATGTAGTTCATCGAATATATGCAGTCCTCGTATCTTATCATATATATAAAAATGGAACCTAGTTAGTTATCACTAGCATTTGCACCAGCTGGAAGCTGCGAGCTTAAGCCTTGACGTAGAATGACATTCTCGTATCTCTTTAGCTCAAATTGATATTATGCCCTCTACTCGATGCATGATCCACAATGTTAATCCTTCCTTTGGCTTTTCTTCAAAGACACGTAATGACAAGGCTTGTTTCTCCTCCTGCCAGTACTTTCCAATCAAGCAACACCGACTTGATATAATCAAGCGCTGTAGTAGCATCGCTCGACCCAAACGTTCAGGTAATCGTTGTCATGTAGACATGCAGTACAAAGTCTACAACCGGTCAGGAGAAGAAGCATTGAGCCATCCTAAACGCATTAAAATGAGCGAGTGTTTTCCTTCTTTATTTTTGATGTCGTGTGTTGGGCGTGGTTGTAGATTAAGCGACAACTCGCTTTTGATCATTCGTGTTTGCTCGTGTCGGTCTCGTTCATCCCTTCACTTCCCAGCTGATTGTTCGGAACACATGATAAAAAAAATGCAATCAACTGATCGTAAGCAAAAAGGAGGTTCCTCCCTGGTCGGAAACTCTGAAGCCTTATACTATGGCCCTGGTCGGAAATAGACACACCATCTGAAGCCTTATACTCCTACTAGACCATATTTTTTCCCATCTCAACTAGATTCACATATGCTATCGTATCATTACATCGTAACTTACCGTTTGCATGTGTATGTGTGCAACATATAGTCCGGATCATTATTCTACGGCTAGCGACAGTCTATGAACGCATGCGATTTGCCACCCCATTCTCGATTTTTCCTCCCTTAACTCAAGCCAGTTTGCTTCTTTCTCAAGTGTCATTGATAGTACATTTGACGACTTAGAAACATCATATATACAACAAACATGGTGCTTCAAACGGTTAGGTTGGCTATCCATACACTCCTGCTTCTGCAGGTACTCGATCATAATAGTTTCTTAGTTCTTAGTGACTCGAAAAGCGTCAATTTTGACGACCTGATCTCAACGTCTATGTCTCCAGCTAATATCCACGAATCAAATCTGGAGGAGCGTGATGGTTTTCTTGGTATAAACATGGGACCACCCGCAGTGGAAGGTCGAGATGAAGATTTGTATGCAACTACCACTCCAATGCCAGGCTTTGTTAAACCTTCTGTTCGCGATTATATTGCTCAGCACGGTAGTTTTCTCGATGATTTTGTGAACGTTGACGCTCTTCTTGGCTCTGGAAGTGATGCGTCGGAAGCTGACACGAATGCACCAGCTACAAATGCCAAGGGAGCCGTCGCTTTAGCATCTGATAGGGTAACGGATGAAGAAGAAATAAAAGGCACGGCCTCGAAGGTACCAGCTACAAATGCAAAGGGCGTCGTCGCTTCAGCATCTGATGAGGAACTGGATGTAGAAGGTCTCGATCAAGATGAAGACATGATCGCTAACCTTGGCTCTGAGGATGAAGCGAATCTTATGCAATTAATGGGCAGCGGAGCCTCTGGAATAACTGCCGCACTTGATGGCTCTAAGGCTGGCGAAATTGAAGCGATGATGAAAAAGCTTGGCGGACTGTTTAGCATGGTAGATGGTTTTAGTTTGTTTGGAGGAGATCCGACCGTACCGCAAAACAAAACTATCGAAGACAACGATATAATTCTTGGTCAAGTATTCGGGGGTAAGGAGCACGGTGATGCATTTTCTGATATAAATAATGTCAGGTTCGGAGGAATGTTTCTTAACATTACTCTTCGCGGCGGTCAACGATTGGATAAGATTGTTCTAGAGGTGATGACCCAGGAAGAAATTGGAACCTTATCTCACGGTGGTAGTGGCGGTGGTTTTGCCTTTGTTGAGCCACAAATTGGCGAGGGTATTGCTTCGGTTGAAGTGAATTGGAACAAGCATAATGGTAAAACGTGTATTTTCTATATGAAATTGACGTTAACTGGAGGCAAGACAATTTCTGCTGGAAAGGAAACTGGTAACAAGGCTGTAATAAAGCCACCGAAGAACTACAAAATTGCCGGATTTCATGGCCGCGCAAGTTCCAAAGGTATTTTCTGTATTGGTGCGATTTATACAAGAGTTGGGGCTGTGGATCTGAAAGTCACGGATGTGATGGCTATTACGAGCAAGGGATCTCCTGACATTTACAACTACAATACCACTATTCGTAACTGGGTGGGTAAAAACGAGCATGGCAAGGACACTGCTTGCTACCAAAAAAGAGTAGATGTCAGCAGCACGAATATGTGTCCTTCTGGTTATCGGCAGGAAGACGACACTTGTGTTGCTCAGTGCCCGCTCGATTACCCCGTTGAGTGTTATAAAGAATGCATTCCTCAGAACAATGATTGCGCGCAGGCGGTTCTCGCCAAGGTTTCCGCTGTGGCTGCTGTGGTTCTAAACGCCGCTACAATGGGTTTGTTTGGTTCTTTTGTGGCAATGGGCAGGGTGATTCAATTTGGAATTCAATGCGCTCTCAGCATTGCCAACGCTGTCAAGTCGCTCATCTACTATCTGCGTTATACTCAAACTGAAATTCCTAAAACCGACTTAGAGAAGTTGGCGGATAAGGCATTCCAGATGCAGATTGCCATGCTTGACCTGCCGATAGCTGTTGCAACGTGTTTAGGCATCCCTATTCCACCCAAGCTATTGTTTACGGCCGTTGTTATGGTAGTGGTATCTGCAATTGTGATGATGGCGGTAGTGATTGGTGAACAGATTTTTTCTTCAAAGAAAAACATAATGAGGATGCTGCGTGAATCGGGTGCGATGAACGGTACAGCTCTTAATCATGAAGTCTTGGAACTTGAGGATTTTATCAAGCCGAAGAACGGTACTTGCGGTTACGAGATGAAGACTCTTACGAACCGTGTCTTGGGCAAGGTTCACGAGATCCGCAGCAAAACACCGAAAGCTGATGAGGAGGATGTACGCGTTGCGGTGAGCAAGTCACCGATTATTACTGACGATATTCCTATTATCACGAACCATTGTATGGGCCAAATTTTGCCCAACACTACCCATGCGGCTTCCTTTAGTACGCGACACTTACTTCGTAAGACACTTAGTGTCATTATCGAGCAGTTGATTAAAACTGGTACGACTGACATGGGTAAGCACGTGTCCAGGAATGAAAAGATCCTTGACTACTCCGATCTTGGTCTTTTTATGATGTCCATGTTCGACCCTACGGGTATTGCCTGGATGGCATCCGAGTTTGTCCAGCCTATTTGTGGCCCCAGTGAATATATCGGCGAGATCGATGATGGTACTCTGTACGACGCTCTAGGTCTTACCACCGTTGATCAGGCTTTTGTGGGGAGTTACGGCGTCTGGAAGAAGAAGGGTGATGGCTCCGTTACGGTGTATTTTGAAAGCGTTGACAAGTTCGAAGTGGAAGTGGTTATCTACTCTGGTAGCGAAAAGGTTAATACTGTAAAGGTACCTGCTAATGGCAAGGCCAAGTGGAGTGCCAAAGTCGAGGACTTGGAAGACAAGTCTTTATACATGGACCGTTGGCGTCCTGGTCTTTTCGGACTTCGGGGTTCTGGTGGTGGTTCGCTGCTTATGTGGGTTCCGCGGTCGTCACAAGGTGGCAATCTTATCATGCACGTACGCCTTAATGTAAGCTAGGGATTACATAAGTTGTTTAGCGTCGTGATCACTTCTCAGAAGATATGAGCAAGTTGTTTACGTGTTTAAAGGAATGCATTAAAGTTTATTTGTTCATTTGTCGAGCTGTACGTACGTACATCCATATATGTTCTACCTTCACTTTCTCATAGCGCTTTCTGCTCTTGGAGGCGAGTCTCTGTACTTCATGCGATTCCATTACGTTTTGCCACAAAAAACAGTACTACTAAGAAGCTCCAAAGTCGAGTCAAGAGCTGCTTTTAAAACCATGAGATGGGTGCGGCTCCTCTCAACAGAAGACAATTGAGTTTCAGTAGTGTCGTATAATGCCGTTGCTTCGGTCGCGTCTTGAAGTCTCTTGTCGATACACATCAAAACATCCCAGATACCGCAAATGATACTCTCAGTACGAATACCTGTTTCATTGCCCTGTGGAGCGGAAAGCAAAAAAACGTGTTAGTTGCAGACTGCACCTGCCATTTGATCCGGATCATCAAACTAACCTTGTCACGGATGTATAGAAATCGCACCAGACTCATACAACTTGCTAGCAAATCAGCCTGCGAAACAAGGTCGCGTTCTACTGTTTGGCTTAAGACATTCTGTATCAGCAAGCAGATAGCTGTCGTCTTAAAAGCTGGATTCCAAGTGAGATCGAAAACAAGGTGGTTGGAGGTCAGTCGGGTCCGAAGAAATCACGTTGACACCATTTTAAATTAGACGCACGGTATTTGTTGCTCGTATCGGAGGAAGACCATGCCTGAATTGCATCCCCACGAACAAAATCGACCAGTATGGCTGATACATTGGCATATGGACATTTCATGATCAAGCTACGTAGCATCCTAAATCTGACAAATGCCACGAAGCAGCAGTTGATGTCAGCATATACCAAGGAAAAGCTAATAGGCAGGCAAAACACAATGTTAATGCATTGCGTACCGGTCATCACCTACGAGCTTAAAGATAAGCGTTTTCAGTACCTCAAGCGCTGCAGATCGTTCTTTGGCATCACAAAATGAAACCATTGCGTTTGCAATGACATGAATCAAAGGAGAGAGCCACTCTCTTGCACGAAAAGCTATAGGGAAGCAAGATCATAGAGCAAATGAGTACCAGGTCTTATTGAGTACAGAGAATCAAGGATGTTGACACGTACAAGCAGCTTGGCCTCGGAAGGATCGTGGCTTATCTTGCATTGATTCAATTCCTTTCTCTACAAAAATGGTAAGTTTTTCTTGAGGGCATAGGTTACTTGCCGCTCGTAGCAAATCAAGTCCACGAATGCGATCCTACAGAAGACAGATAGAACAGTCCGATCACCGTACATTTAACACTTAACTAGTCACGTTAAAAAACGCAGTGGGTACCTGATGATTTTCTGAACAAATCATGTAGTGAGCATATGCACTAACGTGGAAGAGGAATGAAAATGGTGACATCAGCACTGGTAGCGCGTTAAATTTGTGCTGATCATCCGTAAGCAGAGCATGTACAAAATTCCCAATTCCCTGATACGACCACGAAGAAAATGCGTGCTCGTGCTCCGACATCTGCAAAAAGAGTCGATATTTCGCCATCCCCCACTCGTTGACTACTCGGTTGACAATCCATTGAATGTCTTCCATTGCAAGCTCCCTCGTTTCTTCTTCTTCATCATCATCATCATCTTCTTCTCCCTCCTCCCACTCAAACTCTGAATCGGTTTCATATGAAGGCAGCAGTAGTCGACGACATTCTTTTAGCTCTTCTCGAAACCGAAGTGTCGCGAGGATCACGTGAATGTCGACGCCACATCTCAAAACATCTGCAACAAGTCTTGACTCTAACGGCTGTGATCCCAAAAGTCCAGCAGTTTTTGCAAACAAATGCAATAAAGCAGCAACAAGCACGCCCCGTGGGCATGCGTTTTCCTCTTCATTGTCCATAGTACTAGAAATTGACACTGTCGAGTGTATCAACGGCTCAATAAATTCAAGATACAAATGAATCCCCTTTGTTGTTAACATTGCCACTTCTTGATGATCAGTAGCCCCATTGTGTCCACTTTTACCATCCAAAAAAACTAATGCAAGAGTTTGTTGCAGTACGACAGAGCAAGCATCTTCCAGGAACCTCCAACGTTTGCGATGAATGTCACTTAGGGCTATAAACAACACATTTTCCATTCCAAAAACAACAATAACACTTGGTTCTCAATCACTACGTCACGATAGTGAAGAATCTTACCGTCATGAATGATATTAAAGTGAGCATAAAGACTGTCTACCGATGTTGTAGTCTGTACGTGTACAAGTGCTTCTAGCAATTCCTCCTTCCCCATGTTTGACTCAATCGTACCTTTCTAACCAATAACAACAAAGGTGGACCATTCGTACCTTTACAGTACATCATACCTCGATATGACTGAAGGAAGTAGCAAATATACGATTGCATTTGTTAATGGACTGCATACAGAATTGATCAAAGCGATCGCAGCGGTCTATCACAGAAAACAAGTGTGTAACATCTCCGTGACTTATGACCGGGAGCATCACCAGGAGCAAAAGTTTGAGATAAGCACTACGACTTGTGGAAAATGACAGTGATATTTGCACAAGAGCACAGCATCAGTTGTGGTATGTAAGAATTCCACTCGAATGCTATTGTAAAATCTGGAGCTCGTTCGTCCTTTTCGCTTGAAAATTACTACGCAAGAGAAGGAGAAGACATTAGACTGGTGCGACTCCATCACGTACGTATATCTAGTCTAAGATCACATCATAGTCGATTAATTATTCTAATAGACTTATCACTTTGGAAGAGGAGATACTGCCATGGCTTCAATGTAATGGATAAAGTGCTTCTTAGATTTCCATGAACATCACCACTATCATGGACTCGGATGACAGGCTATGGAAGAGAGTACGATTATCTAAGACCACTGTGGTATAGTACTTTCTCCAACTAGAGTTGTGCCGCTAATGAATGCCTGGAATATGAAGTCACAAGATCAGAGTATCAAACGAGTCGACCATATCAAACAAGTCAAACTTCCAACACGTCCGACAATAGGGCTGAATCTCGTGCAGCTCTACAAAAAAATAACGAAGACGGAATCGAACGACGTAACTGTCATTGCTACCAAGCAAGAACTACTTTGATGTCGTGCAGATACATTCTCGAAAAGTGCTTCTTCATCGGTAATTCTGATGAAAAGTCATCTTGATTATGACGTTCGAGGCCATCCGATTGTCTCGAAATTAACGGCACTGTCCTCAACATCAACAACGAGTATCATACAAGTAATATGTGCTCCAAGTGGGTGTAGCGTTTTAGTCTGATACATTATCAAATGTAGCATGTATATCCTCTATATCTAGTTCCATACGAACTATCATGCTACTCTCGCTATAACGTCATCGTCACAAGCATCGTACCGTTTCAATTGTTTACGCATAATATTACGAATCAAATAAAAGCAGAGTCGGGTCCTTGAGGTTATATCAAATCATCAACTAAATCCTGTCAATCTATTATTGTGATTGGTTAAAAATAGCCATTTGCATTCATTAGCGGATATTTTAGGACAATGAGCTCGTTGCTAAAAGGTCTCAAGTTTATGCGTCGCTTAGAGCGTGATGGTGACGATACAAATGACAAGAAAAAGAAGAAAAAGAAGGAGAAGAAGAAGAAGCGTATAAATAGACATCGAGATAAGGAAAGGAGCGAAGAAGAAGCAGAAGAAATGACGAAGAACAAACGTATTGAAGAGAAAAAGACGAGTCTTCGGGATGAGTGGATGACGATGCCTTATATGAGGGTAAATGAAGAGCATATTGAGACCATTAAGACAAGTGACGAATTGGAAATTGAAGCAAAAGAGAAGAAAATTCAGAACGAGATTGATGCTGGTATGAGAGAACCTGTGACAGGGATGGTCTATGGTCTTTATGATCCAAAGAATCCAGATGCTCCTCCAACAGTTTCTAGCAAAGTAAGTCAAGAAGATAGAGACGATGATGAGAAAAGAGGAGGAATTGAAGAGAAAGGAGAAATGCCGTTATTTGGTGATGGAGGAGCTAGTTGGCGAGGAAAGATGTTGAAACGAGCACAAGATCGTGCGCGATCGTCAGGTGTTACGTTGGAAGAAGTAGTAAACGGAAGATTTGGATCAGTGAGTGCACTGAAGGAGAAGGCAAAAGGGTCGGCGTCGGACAAGGCCCATCTTCAGTACAAACGACATCGGATTGATGACGAAGATGACGAAAAGATGACGGGACAATCACGAAAGTTGGAAATTGGACGAGATGCAAAGGATAAAGCACTGTTGCCAAAGTACTCAATGCGACTGCAACGGTCAGTGGCGCACACTGTGGAAGACGGTATTAAACGTGATGAGGGTCGACGCCAAACAGATCGAAGCAGCAATCAAAGCAAAAACCAAGAGGAAGACGATCCGATCAACTATGATAAGCTGCCTGATTTTGACCGCGGTGTCGTTGCCAATGTTTCTCGACCTGTGGATCATAGTAGTCGCACCCGTGACTACAATACGAAACGTTTTCAAAGCAGTGACTTTCGCCACCAAAAGCGTACTCGTAGCAGTAGTCGGAGTAGGGAAAGATCTGATCGTGCGAAGCGTTCACGAGTGCCGGAGAAACGGTTTTGCTTGCGATCTCGCTCTTCTTCGCCAGTCCATTCGGAATCCAATCTTTCTGACAAATGTGGTCGTGCCGAGCAAAGCGAAGCTAAATTATTGGAGCTCGAGAGGCACGTCACACTGACCTCAGCTGCATCAGCGTACAAGAAAGTGACTTTTCTATATGCCGTTGATGATGCAAAGGCAAAAGCTGATCTTGAGATGGAGAAACGGAACGCGTTTCTTTATGGCAACAAGAAGTCTGATGCTCTCAAAGTTGCAGATGCATCGGATGTTGTACCACCTTTTGCGTCCGAACAGAGACCATTCCAATTTGAGACCGCGAAGATGCCAGATTCATCTGCAAAAGATACCAAATCCGTTTTCGAAAGGAATGGCAGTGCTCACGAGGAGAACGAAAAAGCCGAGCTCAACAAGTTGGCGGCAAAGGCGTTGCGAGCTCAGATGATGGGTAAGTTATCACTTTTCCGAAAGCTGACAGAAGAGCTTAATGAATTGGAGGCTAAATTGGGACGGGAGAAGACTGCTGCAGCAGTTTCACACTGTGAGGCTATTGGTGCGCTACCGCCGCTTGAAAACGAAGACATGCGCTACGGGCCGCGTAAGGGCAAAAAGAAGCGTGCAGACCTCATGGATGTTAACAGACCGGACGTGGCAGCGTCACTGGAGGAACTTGTCCGAGAGGAGCGTATGTCGAGTGCACATGCTGAAAACGGAAACATGGATTCTGTTCATGCACGGAATATTGTTCGACTTGGCTCGCGTTACAAGGGAACAGAAGTGAATGTTCAAAATTTTTCCAGCGGATTTGATGAAGAAGATCAAGTGGACATGAAGATGCTGCAACAACCTGGTTCAAACCTGACTCGGCGTGCTCGAGTCCAGCGCGAGCACGCGATTGCCGTAAATGAGTGTAAGAGGTGGGATCAGCGGACTCATAAGTGTCAACTGTGTATGAAGAGTCCTACTTTTAAAAAACACTTGACGGTGTCTTTGGGCGAATTTACTTATTTAGCCGTGCCAAATCGACCTCGATTGCATCCTGGACACTGCGTGATTGTGCCGATCGATCACACCTGCTCTGTTGTCCAAGCGGATGAGCAGGTAAGTGACGAAATTACCCGGTTTCAGAGTGCGCTTTCCCGTATGTGCGAAAAACAGTACGGTATGAGTGTAGTGTTTATCGAACAAACAAGTGTGCCTCACCGAAAGAAACACACGGTGGTTGAGTGCATTCCTGTTGACTCCGAGTTGGCGTTGGATACGCCGCTTTACTTCAAGCAAGAGCTCATGCAAGCCAATGGCGATTGGAACACGCATGAACCAATCATTGACACCAGCAAAGGTGGCATTAAAAGTCAAGTTCCACCAACGTTCTCATACTTTCACATCGAGTGGCGTACTCGTGACGGGCGAGGAGGATACGCCCATGTGATTGAAGATGAGGACAAATTTCCCCGAGATTTTGGCGTGAATGTTGTGGCAGGTATGCTTGATATGAGACCACCTAAATTCGGGCGTCGCGAGGGTGGCAATCGTCGCTCACTTGACGATGGCAAACGGGACGTTTTGGCATTTCTCAAGGACTGGGAGGCGTTTGATTGGACGCGAGACCTTGATGGCGGAGAAATCAAGTCACAAGCACAAGGCGACTAATGCAATATCGTTGTTGCTGTACCGAGCATGTTAGTCCTGCTGGGGGTCAAATCATTTTGTCTTGTCCGTTGGCAATCATCTCTGTAAGTACATGCAGAACGCTTTCTGTTTCAAATGTCAGCGGTGGGGACGGTCGTCTGGTAATTGACAGGCGATGCTGTGTGTGACAGGTTCGTTAACACATCGTTGTCAGCGTATTCGGTATCAGGAATGTATTCGTACGCTATTCACAGCCCACAACAAATAAGTTAATCACAGTATCAAATAGCCTGGCTTGAGTCATAAATTTACCCGCGTATGTGTCGATGACATCTTCCTTTGACTTGACTACGACAGTTGTCACCCCACCTTGCACTGTGAAAATCACAGCATGGAGAACAGAAGCCAAAGCAGCTGCAGTTGTTTGTTGTCGTGGGTTATTGTGCGCCTCCAGCCCCTAAGAACCCAGCAAAATGATCAGATAAAAGCGACATTATCGAGCTAGCAATGTTTCTACATACCCAGTAGAGAGCACCTTGAAAAGCCATCACCAATATTAATACTGACGCTCCTACCAGAAACCCAATCTACTTAAGTAGCAGGCAAGTCAAAAACGATTTCGATACAGCAGGTAGTATGAGCTTTAGTATACAAAAGTCTCACGGAAAAGGCGGATGGCGTCTTGTTCAGAATGACAATGGCCACGAACGTGAAGACCACGTAAATACCGGCAGTGAGTACTGCATTGAAGCCTATGTTAGGCGTAGTTAACAAGAACAAGGTATTCACTAGCAATGCGCATGACAGAATCTATTGCATTAAGTAAATCACAAAGATCATTCGTAAAATCGCCTCTATGTGTCACAAACGCTTCATAGCAGACCAACTAGAAACCGAATGGAGATCAATAGCAGTGTAATGGAAAGCTAATAGTCTGTACTTGTAGATATACTAGCTATAAACGTACCGTATTGCCGACCATTGCCGCATTAAGCAGCTTGCGGCGAGTCTTGAGCATTGTAAGAGGAAGTTTTCTTACCAAAATTCAAGATAGTGTATGAATAATAGAGAGTAGAATAATAACAAGATATATTTAAATGTGCATGAAAGCTTGACAAAAGCTTATGGGAACGGTGTTGCGTCAAATATGAATCTAAAAACATAATCAACTTAAGACATGCATCATCAAGTTATTAAAGCTGATCTGTGAATCGTGTATGTAGTATGCTTTCATAAGGCTGGATCTGTATGGTCTCTAATAAGGCCAATACGTGGTGAATTAGCAGTGATATGACATAAGGTACTATTCGAAGAAAAGATTCCATGCAGGATTTTTTTACGTGTCAATGGCGGATCTCTCACTACAAAAGGACTCAGGAGAATTACAAAAAGGCTTCATGAACTGTAAACTAAACGTCAATTCACTTGTCTGGTCGAGGTAATTTAACAATAATGCAGTGTGGTACTGAATGTGTGGCTCGGTCTTTGTCTTTCGTGGGTCAACATTGTTGACCAAATCGAACGTTGCTAGACCCTTCTTTGTTACTACACCCAAGCTCTTTGGTTTATCACTATGCTTTCAATTCGACGTTCTACTTCTACAAACCCATTTGCTTGATGTCGTCATGACAATAGGGCGCTCGGGAGTTGCCGGAACGGAGTACAACGCTGGAAGAGCGCATGTGAGGCTCAAACCAAGCCGCCCTTCTCATTGTATATCCTACAGAAAAACGACACTAACAAAGCGAATGGATTTGTTGCCGATTGGACGTGATGTTTGACGCTCCTGTCTCTGCACGGTCCCGAGCACGAGTCTCCGGCTGAAGCGTGTTACTCGTGTCTTTCGTGACGATCGAATAATAGCGCAGCAGGGGCAGTAGCCTACAGGCCTGACGCAGTCCAGTAAGTTGAAGCCGTCATCAAGCGACCGTTGCGGCGGACGCTGTTGTTCGCGACGCTACATTACACATGTGCATTGAGATTCTCATCTACTTACTGAAAGAGTTGACAGATCTCCATGCGAAGTACTTGACAACAACGTTGCGCCCATCGGCACCGGCATTTTTAATTATCTCGGTTACAGACATAGCAGTAATCTTGTACAAAACAGTAATTTGACATTCGAAACCATTCTATGTCTCTCTTGCTTTCGTCACTAAAACAAGTGTGTGCACTAGGGATCAAGGGCTTAGCACAACGTTGTTGATAGTTGTTGTTTATCCTATCGTATAGTACCAGTTAATCATTTCATGTTTTGCTTAGGGATATCAAATATAAGGTTGTGACACTTGTTTGACTATCAATGTTGTGAATAAAAAGCACAGGACACTAGCAATATTAGGTTTTGCAGGTCAGATATCATAGACTACAGGTTTATCAAACATTCTGCCAAAAAACATAACAAACGTCTGTCTGTCTGTCTTCCTGCGTCCATATCGTATTTTTAGCACAACATTCTACATTGTCAAGCATGAGGTTACATCCGATGACGGTAGTGTTAATACTCTGGAGATATCTATGTCCTCTCCTTGTGGTCATTCCTGGAGTGCTTTCAGTCCCCTCTGCAGCAGCTTTGAATGAGAATGTAGCAGCTCCCGCCGACCCAATTCCGCAAACGCCAGCTGGTAAAGTGGGGACAGATACTGAACTAGACTTTGCCGTATTGTCCAACGACCCAACTCAGCAAACACCGGCTGGTAAAGTGGAGGCAGATACTAAACTAGACTCATCAGCAGCGTCCGACGAAGCATCAGTAGCGCCCGACGACCTAACTCAGCAAACGCTACCTAGTACAGCTACAGGTATTGAAAAGGACTCTGCAGCAGTGACCGACGACCCGACTCAGCAAACGCTAGCTAGTAAAGCTACAGGTATTGAAAAGGACTCTGCAGCAGTGAACTACAATCCGCTTTTTCAAAAGCCGGCTAGTAAAATAACAAGTAGGAAAAAGGACTCTGTAGCAAGTAAAGAATCAGGTGGAAAAAAGGATTCTGCAAAAGCATCCGACGGCCCGATTTCGGAAACGCCGGCTAGCAAAATTATAGTCACCAAAGCGTCCGACGACTCAAATTCGGATACGCCGGCTAGTAAAGTTACAGTTGTCAAAGCACCCGAGCCGTCTACACCGTCTGGTAAAGTTGCAATTTACAGAGGGTTCGATGAAAACCCGAACATGACCGTGAAAGACTCCATAGTGCAAAGCGAGTTTTATGGCGGGCCTCACGGAAAAGAATTCTCGGACAAAAATTTTGTCAATTCGGGTCAAACCATTAAATCTGTCTCTATTTACGCTGGCAAGCGTTTTGATGGTATCACAATAGAGATCTCAGAACCCAAAGCAATCACTCGCACGCACGGCGGCACCGGTGGAACACGAAAGGAGCTCCAGCTTCGTCACGGCGAGTACATCAACTTGATGGAAATTCACTGGAGCAAACATGAAGGCCGCACGCGGATATTTTTTGTGAAACTCGTCACGAGCGCGGGGAACTCGTTATCGGGGGGGTACGGAAAAGGCTGATAAGATAACGCTAACAGCACCTGTAGGCTTTCAATTAGCCGGACTTTGTGGCAGGTCTGGTGATGAGGTCGACGCGTTGGGAGCGATATGGGCATATATTCCTCTTGTCACGCCCCCTCCAGCACTCCCGCCTGCTGTTACTGATAAAGACTCACCAGGCCCAGGCGAATCTGACGATCTTGCAGGAAGCTTATCGGAAGTGAAGATAAAGCAGAATAAGAGGGCTGTTCAATTGAGTGATTCGTTTGGTGGGCCTCACGGAACACAATTCTCTGATCAGCTCGCTATCACTTCTGGAATGACCATCGCTTCCGTCACGATTCGTGCGGGAAAGCGTGTTGACGGTCTCAGGGTTGAAGTGTCTGGGCCCAAGCAGATGACATTCGTTTATGGCGGGAAGAATGGCAAGGACAATACTATTACGCTTGAATCAGGTGAGTACATCACGACCATGGAGGTTCACTGGGGTAAGAAGAATGGTCACACGCGCGTCTTTTACATTTGCTTGAGTACGAGTAAAGGTAAGAAAGTCGCTGGTGGATCGCAGACATCCAACAAGGGGTCGGTGATAGCGCCCAAGGGCTATCAGCTCGCCGGCTTTTTTGGTCGGTATAGCGACGAGATTGACCTTGTGGGTGCCGTGTGGTCAAGTATTGCAGTGGTTGATGAGACATCCGTTGTGGTGACGCCTGACGACAATATTGTACTCAGTCAGCTGTTTGGAGGCCCCCACGGCAACGCATTTTCGGATATTGACAAAGTCAAGTTTCAGCAGACGATCAGCTCTGTTACGATTCGATCACAAAAGAGACTTGATTCTATAACGCTGCGCATTACAAAACCCAAAGTCGTAGTTTTGAATCACGGTGGTCATGGTGGAAAGGAGCAGACGCTTGTTCTTGGTCCAGATGAGCATATCACGTCTGTGGAAGCTCACTGGGGTAAGGAAAATAAACATACGCGAGTTTTTTACATTTGTTTAACGACCAGTGCTGGCAAGACGCTTTCTGGTGGAACTAAAACCGAAAGTACGGGTGTTCTAAAACCTCCCGAAGGATTTGTGTTTGGTGGGTTCTTCGGCCGCGCTGGAGATGAAGTGGATCAACTTGGTGTAATATGGACCAGAAAGACGGCGAAGGATATTTTAGTTACAGATGTACCGGGTTTGGGAATTGACACCTATGGCTCAACGATTCGCAACTGGGTAGGCCCTACTATCACTCAAACCAGTGACAATTCGTGCTACCGTAGGACGTATGACTTTGACAGCAAAAACATTTGCCCGTTAGGCTACGGCAAGGACGGTTTAGATTGCATCGCCCAATGTCCGATGTCATACCCGGTTGAGTGTGGTCTGGAGTGTATTCCTCAAAACGATGATTGTGCGCTCGCAGTTCTCACTAAAGTTATGGCAGTTTTCGACGTGGCACTAAACTTAGCTACTGGTGGTGTATTTGGCCACATTTTTAGTACCTACAAAAAGGCGAAGTGGGCTGTCTTGTGCATTTCAAATCTTGTCAATGTGATCAAAAGTCTACTTTTCTATCTTCGCTATCGACAAACCACAGCACCAGAAGGTGGTCCAGAAGAGTTGCTCACCGCCGCCTACCAGGCAAATGTTGTTTTGCTGGATCTCCCTATAGCTGTATGCGTTTGCATGAATATCAAGGTCCCGAAGACCGCCATATTTAGCAATTATGTACTCATGACCGTGCAAGGTATTGTGAAGCAGGCGATCACCAATGGCGAGAAGATTATTGCGAGTGGAGATAATGTGATGCAGTTACTCTCTGGGAATGGTATGGCAAAAGAGTCATCACAAATGAAAGTGGCTGAACTGGAAGATCTAGTCAAACAGAACTCAACCTGTGGCTGGGAGCTGAAGCGTCTAACTGATCGCGTCACCCGTGCTGTTCTCAAGTACCGCAGTACCGGAGATTCCACTGCTGATGTTCGGACGAAGGTGTACCGATCTTCTATTGTGCTGAATGATATTCCTATTATCACGAACAATTGTATGACTCAACTATTGATTGAAAAGACTGAAACGACAGCGTACCAAACACGTGATCTCATTCGAAGGACCTTTGGCGTGATTATTGACCAGCTCATTGATATTGGTAAAACCGACAATGGGTCGCACGTAGCCGAGGACGAGTATATGCTCGAAGTGGCCAATATGGGTCTCACTGCACTTTCAATCATCGATCCCTATGGTATTGCGTACATGGCTGCACAGTTTGTACAACCTATATGTGGACCAACTGCGTACCTTGGTGAAATTGACGATGGAACAGTGCACGATGCATTAGGACTAACAATCGTCGACGAGGCATTTGAAGGTAGTTACGGATCATACACCCACGCAGGTGATGGCGTTGTTCGTCTTATTTTTGAAAGCGTCGATACAAAAGATGTGACTGTTGTCGTCCGTTCTGGTGGCGATGAATACGCAGAAGTCGACGTTGGTGCAGGTGACATTACTTCATGGGAGGGCACTTTTCCGGAGTTAGAAGACAAGACCATGTATTTGGATCGTTGGCGTCCTAGTATCGTAGGTATACCGTTATCAACTGGTGGTTCATTATTGCTATGGATTCCTCGATCGTCGGAAGGAGGTCATATTACACTACACGTGCGAATTAACTAACGTCGAAGTAGTAGTAGTACTAGTGAGCGATATATCGTTCACTAGTACTACTACTACTTCGACGTTAGTTAATTCTATCAATCAATCTATCTATTTGATCACCTCCGCTATCTTCCTTTAAGTAGCAAGGTCTGGTTCTACTTTTCTCCAATAGAAATACCATCATTATCCTTTATTTCTAATTAAATAGAATACTTGAAACAAAGTTGCTTGAATGTAGTTCCAAACATTCCCACCTCTTCACGTTTATTTTACCATCAAATACAAACTAGACGTACGTAAGCTATTACAAAATTCATTCATTTAGCTGGCTACGAAAATGTATCAAATACAACGAGGTCGAGCCTACTTTTATCGTAAGAGCTCTAGTCTTCATCTGACGAAGGATAAAACATTGGCGAGTAAGCTTTATGAATTAGCGCAATTACCTCAAACCGGTGTATCCCTTCAATACCTTTTGGAATTTGGGACAAGTATCACACGAGAGAAATTGATTCAATCTGCCCGTTTTTTACATGACGAATTACCGGTACGATATGCCCATCGAATTAAAAATTTAGAGAATTTACCCCATGGCTTAAGTGCCATGCCATCTGTTCAACAAGTACGTGAATGGTATATAAATTCAGCTCAAGAACTTTTAAATTTTCCAAAAGTTGTGACGTATCAAGATGAATTAGCATTTCGTGCTTTAATTGAAAGTATTAAAGGACGTCATAGTGGAACATTATATACTATGGCAAAAGGAGTGCATGAATTAAAGATGCAACTGTTTCAATCATTTACAGCAAAGGAGAAGACAAAGAAGAAGAAGGAGGAGGAGGAGAAGAAGACGTTTGTATCAAGTCCACACTTTTTAACAAAAAAAGTGGGTGAACGATATTTACAATCGCAGGAATTTGCTGATTTATCGGATTTACATTCCTTCTTAGATGCTTTCTATATGTCAAGAATTGGGATTCGAATGCTCATGAGTCAACATATTGCACTTCATGACGAAGAAAATGGATGGGTTGGATGTATTTGTGAAAGTACATCTCCTGCTGAAGTTGCGCTTGCGGCAATTGATACAGCTAGACACATGTGTCGAAGACAGTATGGTGATGCACCGGAAGTTGAACTCCATGGTCATACGGACTTTTCCATGCCATTTGTACCGAGTCACTTGCATCATATGCTATTTGAGGTCATTAAGAACTCAATGCGCGCAGTGGTTGAATTTCATGGAGTAGATAACGAAATGCCTCCGATCAAGATTGTTATTGCGGATGGAGAAGACAATGAAGACGTATCAATTAAGATCTCGGACGAAGGTGGTGGTATCCCTCGCTCCTCACTCTCAAGGATCTGGTCGTATCTTTATACGACTGCGGACTCGGAAGCGTTTGAAAGATTAGAGGCACCTAACGATTTTGGTGGTGACTCTCCGCTGGCTGGGCTCGGATATGGATTGCCAATTAGTCGCCTTTTTGCACGCTACTTTGGAGGAGATCTTCAAGTGATTTCAATGGAGGGATACGGTACGGATGCTTACCTGCACTTGAAACGTGTTAGTGACGCATCCGAGCCGCTTCCGTGAGAATTGCTAAAGAGATAGTGACGAAGCCAAAATCGGGAGTTGGTACGGAGAGACCGGATTCAAGCACAATGAGCGCACTTGACGCGAAATAGAAGGCGATGGAACGGTGATGCAGCAAGCGTGGTGGAATGAAAACCCGACGACATTTTTCTTTACTAAAGTCTGCCGACTATGCATGCTTTTAGATCGTAGCATCCGCGCTCTTAGCTTACACTCTAGGCATTTCAGCAGCGGCGTCCACGATGGCTCAAGTCAAGCGACATTTGAATAAGTTTTGACATTGTCGCCGAACGACCACCCCGTTAGCTCCCTATTCGTCGCGTTTCACGTTTTCCTCGTTTCTCTCCACAAGCTTTTGCTCTTGATACCTGTTTGCTTTTGGAGTAGTAACTCGTCATTCATAGTTGTCCGCGAGCGCAAGAGATCGTCATGGTTAATAACCTACAGCGTTATCGTAGTTAAAACTTACAGCTTATCATCCTTGACCCGTGTCGTGACAGTAAAAGTTGTAACTGTATGCTGGCTGCAAGCTAGTGCACTAGCTCCCGGCCCATCATCTCAAAGTTTGTCGCTTACTCAAACGGAAGGTAACCAATTGGTTTGACATGTAGCGTGTCGCTTGACAGCACCGATAGGTGGTTGTGATGTGCACATACTCTACTGGAAACACCTCAGTGACATTCTTGTATTCTGGTCGTGTTTGCACTTGCCAAGAGCACAATGTACTAACATTCACACCCAGTCCTTGTCGTATATACTCCAGCGCACCGTCTAATGCGTGGTCTGGCTGTGTCAACAAGTATCTGAGCAACAGCTGGTCCGTATTACACTGACAACGTCGTCTACAAATGCAAGTGGCTCTGTAGTCAGGCGTATGCTAATAGCTTAGAGTTGATCGCAACACAAGACTCGATAGTTACATTAGTTGCCTCGCTTGACTGTTAAAAGCCTATCACGAGAGCAATAACACAACTCGGTTAAAGCAAGCAATATAGCAAAGGTAGGTACGATAAGAAATATGTACGATATATATGGCCAAAGTCCATGCCAACGTTGATGTTGTCATCACAATAACACGCCTCGCATGAGTTTACGTGTCGCAAATAATGATGTTGTTCTTGAGCAGGCTCATGCGCAAAAGCAAGTTGCGTGACTCAGCAGCATACTTGCGACCCACTTCAAACACGCGCTCGTAAGTAGCAGCGCGCTGATTCGGGTGATACGCATACAACACCTACAATTGTCAGGAACAACGTAGATTAGATCTAGCAGCCAACCACCGACGAGTGACAGCATGCACCATACTGCAGTACCTTTTGGTAAGAATCCATTCGCGCATGGAGACGTTCCGCAGCAATCAGCTCGCAGATCTTGTTCTCGAGGTCATCTGTTGGCGTGTTGAACGTACGTGCCATCTGATGCAAGTCCACAGATAGATATGGGTAGAAGTACTGGATGATTCCGCGACTGCGAATCTCTTTACACAACGTATCGACGTGCTCACAGAGATATAGGTCCAGCTTGAGCTCAGGCTACCGGCAGGTTTTCAACCAAAACAAACAAATGTTAGCACAAGATGAAGCAACAATCAAGTTGAATAATGCTAGCAAAAAGTGCAGCAACAATTGAGTCAAAGACCACAACACCTTTATATGCTCCAACGTCTGCAGACATGAAGCGTAGTTGCTGGAGTAGAAGTCGGTAATGAGCTCACGCAGCCACGGCAGCAGCTCCAAGAAAGCTTTGAACGACGAGTTGTTGATTACGTTTTCCTTCAGTTCTTCACGCTTGAACGACGCTAGAGCACAAATGCCACCATAGAGCGCAATGTCTTCTGCATGCAGCACCTCGTTGTAACTCGCGCCAATCTCAGCGCTGCACGCAATAAATTTGGAAGCAGCAGCATGGTAGTTTTTCTCATGAAGAGCAACAAGTCCAAAAGCTGATGCAATCTTCGACTTTAACCTGAATAAAACAACAAACACATTCGTGTCAGCAATCAAAATGATCGCAAAATACAAATCTCCTAGGATACTATTATACATACACAGGATCACTTTGAGCACTGCTGACTTGCTCCAACTTGATTAAATAATTGGTCACGTGTGCAAAATTACGCATGTGTAATGCCACTTTACTCACGTTTAGACACATTTCAATAATGTGTTTATCCGTCGTACAATAATCCCGTGCTTGAGCAAAACTCTTTAATGCAGCAGATAAATCTCCTGACTTGAAGTAAAATTCACCTAAATCATTATGACCCATCTAATACGCCACACAAAGAAACATAAATTAACATAAATCAGTACCTTCAATTATCACAATAACAGCAATAATCACAATAGCAATAATCACAATAACATCTCTCTCTCTTATTGCAATACCCGGATGCTTTCCTTAATCATTGTCGACTTGTACGAATTAAGTTCTTGCTCGAGTTTTTCATGCTGTTGAAACGCTTTATGCTTGATAGTATCAATAAAAACAGTCTCTTCATGAACCTTTTCACCTAGAATTTCAGCATAAAGTTCCATATTCAGTCCTTCCTTAAGCTCTCGAAGTAATGCACGCTTTGCCTCAGTCTGTAACTCTGGACACGTCTTTACAAGGAATAAAAGACGTTCAGTACGATTACGTCCACTGTATTTAGCCGCATACGTCTCGACATCAAACCCTTCGAACGGTGCCATTTCGTGTCGCTTTCGTCTTTTTCGTTTACCGGTATTTGAAGCAGTATTTGCAATCTGTGGATTACCTCATCTTTTCATCACCCAATCATATTCGTTCTTTTCTTTCTAATTCCAATGACTCGAACACCCCAGTGTTAGAAATGACGTTGCCAGTAGTGATTGCGCTCTATCGGTTTGTACTAATCATTTTATCCAATGGACAGGATAAATTGATCACCTAAATACTAATTCGAAATACCGTTAGGACGTTACTGCGGTCGACGCAGACACTACAGCGTCAAGTAGAAGCTGGTCAGTCGTTATTTAATGCTGTCCGCTCAGGTGCTGTGGCCTCGTACGCTGGTATCAAGAGCGACTGGCAGCGTGAGCGCATGTTTGTGCGTCGCTTGGAAGATATGGCAGTGTTCACGCGACGAAGACAAGATAACAGGGCGTATGCTGCTATTGTACGCTCTGGGTTTTCCCAACCAGTGGGAAATAAGGACAAAGCGGCTCTTGACGCCCGAATTGACGCTGCCTTTGACGCGCTAAAGAGTGTAGATGACCACAATGCATTAATCCATGAGTTTAAGACTCATGGGCTTTTTGAACCCAAGGTTTCATCTGTATTGATCATGAGAAACAATGTGGTGTCATAATGGAAATGTAAATTGAATATTGATGGGGTCTTCTGGTTAGGAACGGACAAATGCAATTGAGTTTTTGATTGGCGATGTGGTAGAAGTGAAAGAAAAGAAGCGAGGAGTGATTTTCGCGTGGCATGTGATTACTGATACAGAGCAACCAGCTGCCCGTCCTCGGATTGTATACGATGTTTTGCCTCATAGTCCTGGATTTAGGTTGGTTTGATCCAAGGACCGATCCAAGTGACTGATTTTCTGTCGAAAGAAAAGATAGTTGTTATAACTCGTGTCTGCTTGTTATTGTCCTAGCAGCTTTGCTAGTAAGTTATGTGACGTGCCACAAGATGAGATACGACTGGATCAAGCGCCAAAGGTAGCTGATTATGTGAAGATAGTTTTACTACTAAAGCTACTACTTTAACATATCTATTCTACCACGTCTCACTACTCGTTGCGTTTGTGTATGTTACAGGCTGTTGTGCACCCGGCATTGTTGCTTTATTTCGACGGATTTGATGGTACTCACCACATTGCGTCTGAAGCTTTGGCAGCCAGATATCCAGGCGATGTTGCTGCAAAACCTAAAGAAGACGCGGCTGTGACTATCGTTACCCCGTCGATCATCCAACTTCAATCTGCCAACGAAGGCGAACTATTGACGTACCTGCGCTGTGACGATAGCACGATTGTCCAGTTTGCTGTGGCTGGTCTCGAGGGAATGTGGCTTGGTGAGTATGGATCGAGTGCCCAAAATGACGTCCAGCGCGCTGTGGAGCTTGCAACGCAGAAGAAATGGGATGAAGCTCGCGAGATGCTGCAGCAAGTAGTGCACGACTTTTCCGAGTATGCGTATGCATGGAACAAGCTTGCCATGGTGGAGTATCAGTGTGGTGCGTTTTGACTTGACGTTGTGGTATACTTTTACTTTATGAGGTCTCACTTGCGGTTGCTATTATCGTGTGTAGGTAATTTTGGCAAAGCGCTTGGCCACTACGAAACTGCGGTCCAATTGAAACCACAACTTGTCGAGGCTCTTGTAGGTCTCGGGATGTGCGCTACAAGGCTTCAACGATGGAGTGTCGCGCATCGCGCTGCAGTACAATTGCTAAAAGTGCAACCAAACAGCGACATTGCCCGGATGCTGATTGAACAAGCTGTTTATGCTACGCTGTAGAAAGACTACTCAGGGTGTTTTGTACGAATACTCGAGCAGCATCGATACTTAGACCTCCATCCAAATGATTTCAGTATCGTACGACCGAAGTCATGATACGAGCTTGCGCAGACCATGACTTTTATCTTCGTCATTGGCGTTATGTTTGGTTTGCCGTCATGATAAGATACAAGTCTGGTATATTTGCGTCGGCTGTCTGCAGTGAGAAGGCTTCTGTTGCAAATGCTTAGCCCTAAACAAATGATCCGATCAAGCTGTTAGCTTTGAAATAGTTTACAAATATTAAGCTCTTATACAGTATCTTGCTCTTGCGGTACGAAATGGTAGAAGTCGATACCGACTTTTGTAGAAACAATGCGTCTGGTGCTGTGTCTGCAACACGCGTTACTTAGAACATGTACCGAGACACAGACCACAGCATATCCGCGTCCTTGGAGCGAAACTCGTCGTCCTCTGAATCGAGCGTAGGTTCATCTGTAACCACACTAACACTCACACGCCGTTTGGCGACGTATCCTTCATCTTCTTGTGGAATCATCACAGCTCCACTCAGCGGCGTAGCCCACACAATCCGTTCACTCTTGTCAGCGGTATCCTCCGAAGCCGACTGTGCCTGCTGTCTGAGTGTCGGCAACCAGGAAGGTGTGACCATACCTCGAGGTGAAGACGGTGGAGAGATGGCGGCACTGCATGTAAAAAAGCGAATGATACGCTCCACGAGACTCCCTGCGCCAATGGTCTGTCGACGCAGATCTGTGACCTCTAATCGCTTGGCCTGCAAAGCCAGCTCCAATTCCTCCACGCGTTGTAGCTGATGTTTGGCTTCAGTCTTCACTTCATCGTACGATACTTGTAGCTTTTTAAGCTGCAGCTTCGCGATCCTCGCTTGCTCCTGAGCCAGGCTCATCATGTCGGTCATAGCTGCCATGCTATTCATTAAAGTTACATTGTCCTTCTCCAGCCGATCCACATGGATTAGACGCAGTTGCCGGTTGAAAAGGCTAAAGACTTTTACTTTCAGATAAGCAGCATGCCAGCGATGGCGAGCGAGGGCTTTCTTCTTGAGCTCCAGGAAGCGTGTTCTAGCAATCATCGCACGGACATGCGATTGCACACATAGAGCACTGCGCTTACGCCGCACAGCTTCATAGAGCCATAGAAAACCACGCTTGGCCATGTATTGTGTCGTGATCTTCTTCCAGCGCTTCTGCAAGTAAATGACGCGCTGCAGCGGCCCTAGCCACTTTAGCAACCAACGTTGCTGCACCGAGAGGTAGGTCTTCGAAAGCAACTTGTCTACTAGCACCATCTTGTCCTCGGGACGATCTTGGTACGCGCGGATGATTTGTGCTCGATGCGACATCCTCGTCCAAAGCTTGTGCATCCGTAGCTGCACACGAGTCTGACGCACATGCTTCCGAGCAAAGTGCTGACGCACCATGCACTGAATCATGGTGGCACGTCGATAATACCGAACATCGTGGAAGATGCGCTTAAACGCGTTAAAAGCGACCACAGCAGTGATAGCATTGATCCAGTGCTTCCTACGCAAGTAGAGTAGTAGCAGCTTGCCCAAGCTTTCGGCTGATACCGGAGCTGGAGTAAGAAGCTTATCCAACAAATCGATCTTGCCAGTGCGGAAGAACAGACGAGTGTCACCCAACCGGTAAGCAGCAGTCGGAAAGTCGTAGGCCCACAGAATAGCTTGCGTAAAGAGCTTGTCGTTTGAGTCAAAGCGACAAAATACCTTGTATGGTAGTAAGTTGCGGTACACATCGACCACTTCGGCGTAAAGAATACGCGTAGGCAAGCCGACACGAAGTACTTCGCAAGCTTGTACCGTACCTGAGCATCGTAACTGGTCGACGACAAACGGCCGATCGAACAAGCCAACCTTCATTTGCGTGTTCGGCTTAATGCAACGCACAAAGTTGCAGCACGTTCCCTCTAGCTCAGTAGTGAGACCCTTCATCTGCGTAGAAAAAAGGTTGGACGTACTTCCTCCCTTGAGACGCTTTGACGATGCTGAGCCGCCACCAAGAGGTGACGACCCGGCGGACTTAACTGACACAATAGATGCTGAGCGCGCACGGTTGCCATTGCGGGAGTTGCCGGTCAAGTCCTGCAGAACACGAGATGATGAGTTCTTCAAGAGTTCCTCAAACTGGTCGGAAATAATATTGTTGTTCTTGTCCACGAACGAGTCGATCGTGTAAGACACTGTGCCGGCAAAGTGACGGATGAGGAATGTGTGACGAATGTCCTTGGGGTGAGGTGTAGGAAAGCACGGGTGCCGTTTGAAGAGCGTGTGCAAGCGCTCGTTCAGCTTTCGGTCTGAAGGCATCGGCAAGCGAGACACATTGTCAATGGTTGCAAACAGGCCGCCATGGCGACTGGCGATCAAGTTCAAACACTCGCGGTTGTCTGAGTAGGCGACGAGGTCACCACTGGGCGCAACTTGTTCCACCACGAAATCAATCTCATTTTCTGGGTCCTTGATCATAATCGGTTGGCCAGCAAACGGGAACGGAAACGAAAGTGAGTGGTTTGTCGGGCGGTAGATGTGCTCGCTCTTGTACAGCTCCTGCTCAGCCTCAAAGATGCAGGTGTTGAACAGGCTCTGAAGTGTTTCGTTGGCATAGTTGATTAGCAGCTGCTCAAACGAGTTTCGATTCTTGGGTTCAAAGTCTTCAAAGCCAAAGATATCGAGTACACCAATATAAGGCACCACATCACTTCGGAATGAGTCGTAGTCCAACGCTGCAGCACATTCCCACATGAGCCATGTAAAAGTGTTTTCGTAGATCGTCTTTGCAATCGTGTCACGCGAATACACGGCATTTCGAACATCGCGTTTAATGAAATAGATCGAATTGCGCCGAGATCCGCGCGTCATGATCCGCTTTAGCAAAATGCATTCCGTTAGCTGCTCCGTGGAGACGCCGAGAAGCTCCGAAGCATGACGCACTGCTTCCTGCGACTCGACGTCATCTTGCCGGATGCAGGCTGTTTCTCCTTCTGCCGTGTCTTCTTGGGTAATTTTGATGTTGCCCATGTGCAGTAGACCTGCCACAAGGCGGAAAATCTCGTGTTGTGCGCTTTCACGAATACCAATAAACTGCAGCGCACTCTTCAAGTTGCAAAAGTTTTCTGCATCATCAATGAAATCAGAGCGCATACAACCCGACTGGTTCAAGTACGAATAAGCCTCGGGCGTCTTAGGCTTCAAGTGGAAGCTTTTCGCTAACTCTTCTGTGTTTTCCGAGTGCAACAATTCATAAAACACATGAAAATTCCTCTCTCCTTGCGGTTGAAATACCAACCGACTCTTTTCCAACAAATACGTGTCAATACTGGCACCTGATAGCTCGTGTGTCTCGTTAGCAAACTGCAATCTCATGTACTTGCCGAATCGGCTCGAATTATGGTTGCGGTGCGTCTTGGCATTGCCAAACGACTCCAAGATCGGGATTGTTTCCATCAATCTCTCACCCACTGCTACCGGAGACAACTTTCTCTTGCCGCTAGACTGCGGGTACGACATAGCTAGTGTCGACGAACCAGGTGGGCCTGTGCATCCCAGCACAGGTCGATTGTTTGCCGTAAATTCTGGCTCCATCTCGTCGTCTGAAGTGCACGATGCTGACGATAATGCCGGGTTGTGGACTGCTCTCATCGTCAAGAAATCCAAAATGATTTTGGATGTCTCGGTTTTGCCGGAGCCACTCTCACCGCTAATGATAATGCTCTGGTTCTGCATTACGGCACGTACGGCACAAAGCTGACGATAGGCATTCTCTGCCACATTATACGGGTGCGGTGGACACTGATCCAAAGGTTGACCGACAAATAGCAGCTTGTCCGGCTCTGGCAATTGACGTAACGGATTAACTGCAATCAGTACATTGGCCATAAACGTATATGGCCGTTGATTCTCAAGCGACGCTCGGTCTTGTAAGTTTTTAGCTAAAGCAGCTTCATGTAAATGACGTAGTGATGTCATATCTGCTGCAGTGGTGAATAGTGGATTAGCAGCAAGAAGTGGCGATTGTGTCAGGTCCACAAACACTTGAGTCTGTGGTACTAGCTGCTCGCCTGTGGCTTCATCAATCGGACAAAAGACAGCACTCTGCTGCTTGTGGTCAAAGGATGCAACTTGACCCAATATCCAGCCATACGGTCCTTCCTGCTTCCAATAGAGCTCTCCTATTCGAAGTTGCACGGTTGGAATGTCGTCCATCTTGTGCTCAGACATTACAGATGTGAGTGGTTTAAATGATTGCGTTGTCATGCCACCTCCAATAGAGTGTGTCATGTATATAGAAATAAGCGAGAATACAATCAGTTGAGCTTGTTGCCTATTGTGCAGAAGACAAAGTGATTGGGGGCACAGTCGAGGTGTCGTGTTGTATCGATGGACGTCACTCAGGACAAGAACGTGACTTGGTTATAGTACGATAACGATCGCTGATAGGTTAAAAGTCAATACACCTAGCGATCTTTTTATGGCGACAAGCTTCTGAAACGTCACTTGCCTCAACAGCTTATTATGGGTATATTGATGACAATTGTGACCCTTTTGTAATCCATTTATGAAACCCATTCTAAGCTAAACTTTGCTTTGTTTGGTAGTATCTGAGATCCAATTGGGTATTATATCAAGTGTCTCTCGTGAGAAGAGGGCAAATAGAGTCATTTTTACATTACGATAAATAGCAACATCGTGCTTTTTTCTTTAAATACCATCGGCCTGTCTGTTTGTTACCTACGCGTAGGACTACACGGGGGCTTCAAGGCAAATCATTGGTGAGGCCGGATGTTGTGCTGACTCTTGACCGGATACTTTTCCACCAAGGTTGAAGTCGCCTTTCTAAATACAAACAAGAAGAGTTTTAAGAGTGATGGTAGTAGATTAACTGACTCTACAGTCTTTATCGATTTCGTAGCTGACAATCTTTTGTATCCATGAAGATCATTTGTTACTAGACTTTTTTTGTAGGCCTGTCAGGCTTGACAGAGTGACGCACGTACCACTCATTTACACATCCGTTTGATGTGATAAGTAGTACAACATTATTGTATGCAAATAGATATCAGCGAACGGTTTCAATAGCCACCGAGTGTCTATTAGTTCAATGTCCAGGTAAAATTCGTATAGCAAGCTAAACATGATTGAAAAGTGATGATGTTATCAGTGACATGCTGTAGATTCAGTGCTAATGATCATGTTTGAGACAACGAATGACAGTGTCTTGACTCTCAGTACATGTCAAAGAGTGGATGGAAAGGCGCTAACGCAGACGCGGCGACGGAGGTACTGGGAGGGATGGAATACAACATGAGACTGCTATTAACATAGTGAGACAAAACCTTGATTTGTCGAACGAGTTATCCATGATAGCTCCGGATGAGAAAAATTCAAGTGGAAAGTTCAGCACCTTCCGTTGTCAACTTCTGTTTCGGTGACTCCGACAATCAAGAAGACGCTTTTCCATGAGGTAGGAGGATCCAGTTCGTTAGAATGCAAATGCGTACGCAAGTTCTGTTTTCGACCTGGAATGTCGCATCTTGGTGCTAGCAAATTGGTAGCCAAGACCATTTCTTGGATGACCGAGATGTTTCCATCAATCGCTGAACAGGATGAAAGCCTACGAGCAACCCTTGCCCCACTCCGGTTTTTCCAGCACTTACAACGTAAACCAAAAAACAACTAGCTGATATTTACTCGCACATGCATTACTAAATGACCCCCTTCGGACGACCTCGGTACCCACAACTTTAAAGACCCACCTCCACCCGGTATCGAAAAACCAAGAAAACTTGTTCGCTCTTGCTCCAGATACAATGTTTTCTCCTGCAGCCTTGCGACAGTGGAATTCCAAGTCATCATCGCGCCTGGATCCAGTGTCACCCTCACGATGAATTTGCCACCAGAGTGAATTTTAATCTTCACCGATTTTGTATGGATGCTAGTGAAAACAAGTTTCACGACACCATCACCCTTTTTACTCCACGTGCCATAACTTCCGATAAACGTTTCATCTACAATTGTTAGACCCAACGCGTCGTAAAGTGATCCATCGTCAATCTCACCGATGAAAGCAGTTGGTCCACAAACCGGTTGAATGAATTGAGATGCCAACCAAACGATTTTTGTCGGATCCAGCCCTGCAAACGTCGTGAGCCCCAAATTCATCGTCTCAAGTACGTACTCAGCTTCCGCTACGAATGCTCCCATGTTTGTTGCAGCCTTCTCGACTAGCTGATCAACAATTACGCCGAACGTCTTACGCAGCAAATCGCGAGTCTGGAAAGCGGAAGATTGAGTTTTGTAGGCAAGCATCTCGTTAAAACAGTTGTTAGTTGCTGCCGGTATGTCGGTGAGAATCAGTTTAGACTTGCTAATTATCACTCGAATATCACTAATCGTGGCATTAGGATTCTCGTCGCGAACTTTGTTGACCGAAAGGATGACGTAGTCCGTGAGCCGTTTGAGCTGGTACCCACAAGTCGAGTTGCTATCCAAGAAATCCTGTAATTCGTCCACGCTCGTGTCCGTGATGTTGACTGCGGTGGCATTCTGTATAAAACGATAAACATTTTTTGCGGACGACAGAATGTCGTCTCCGTGCAAAATGGTTTGCCTGGCAATACCTTCCACAATCATCATCACAACGCCAGAAAATACCAAGCTTGACGACACAGGGATATTAAGACAGTGGCTTATTGCGACAGGCAAATCAACGAGTACAACATCAGATTGGTACGCTATGGCAAGTAGTTCTTCAACAGTGCCGTGGGGTGCTGTCGTCTGGTGGAACCTAATGAAGTAGATGAGAGATCTCATCACGCCGACAACGTTTGCCGCGCAGAAGAAATGGCTCTTCATCTTGTCTTTCATGCTAGCAATGATGCCTAAGGCGCCAGCAGTCGCCACATTCACAACAGTGGCCAGCATAGCCGTAGCCTTCTGCACAATTTCGTATGCACAGACATCATTCTGGGGAATGCATTCCAAGAAACACGTAACAGGATACGCTAGCGGACATTGGGCGATACAATCGCCATCCTTCTTATTGTAGCCTGCTGGACAAGCCTTGTTGCTATCATGAGGCTTCGTGACCCTGTAGCATGCCGTATCTTTTGCATGGCCAATGGTAGGTCCCACCCAGTTGCGAATACTCTTGCCATACCAACCAGTATCCATCGTATCTGTGAGTTGTGCTGACTTTGCTGATCTCCTTGTCCAGATAACACCCAGTTGATCGACCTCAGCTGCCGCTCGACCAAAAAACCCGCTAAGCTGAAAACCTTTAGGAGCAGTCAATATAACACTTCTTGACGTTTTTGTTCCAGCCCATACACAATTTCCTCCACTCGTACTGATATTCAAAAAGAAGACGCGATCGTGTTTTTTTCGTTTGGCCCAATGAATTTCCACCTTGTTGATGTACTCGTCTGTATCAAGGAGAAGCGTAGCCTCCTGTCCATCTGAACCACCGTGACCCCAGGTTACCTCAACAGGTTTACGTATTCGTGTTGTCACAGCAACCACACAAGTATTAGCACGTAGTGTAACGGATTGCAATATTTGACCAAACTTGATGCATTGCATATCAGAGAATGCATCCCCATAAGGACCACCATAGACTTTACTAAGCTGAATGTCTTCATCAATCAATTCTTCAGTCGCTGCAAATGGAAGTCCCGTAATTACAAGTAAAATTGTTATTATTGTCTCGAGCATTGCCATGGCCCAGTGTGACATTATTAGTATGATAAATGATTATTATTATTATTATTATTCAACTCGACCAAGCACGACAGATGGATAATGCTTGAGTAGAAATGGTAAAAGATCAAGCGATTGATGAGAAAATATATAATTAAAATAAATTACCCGTACCAGCTCTGAAAAAAGTAATTATCAATGAAAAATAGTGCTTCAAATCATAATTAGTACGCCAAACGTTTATAGAGCATTTCTATTTAAATGCTAAAAAAGATGAGAGATATTATCTGTCCACCATCCAGTTTTCTTTTATGCAGCACTTCGTTGAACCTCCATAAGTAGTATTTCTACGTCGCCTGTTTATGTTTTATTCCATGCTTAAACTGCGTTTGTGTCACTAACTGTGCATATCACGTCGCAATTGCAGTGTCATTGCTTTTGCAATCGCAGTGTCATCAATTTTGAACCAGTTTCTCACTTTAATCGAAATTAAAATAAATTACGGGTGAAATCAGTTCCTAAATCTATTTTTTTCTTCGTCAAATAGATTTAACAATCTGATCAATTCAGATTCTTGAGTTACAAAATCGGTACACTGAACAACAGATGCTTCATGAATTAGTAAGACAGACACGGTAGTAGTACTACTATGCAACCTCAAGTCAATGATGACACATGGTGCAGTATGTTTTAAGGCAGATGGATTAGAAGGTTGACCAATGCCATCCATGCCTTTGATGCTTTTTGTATAACGAACATAGAAGTTTTACCTAGTCGCGTCGTATATACTGTATATTGACGTTATATATTAAGTCGAAGATGTCTCATCGTGGCCGCCTGGGCGGATCAGACAAGGTTTCACGCTGTTGAAAGGCAAGATCATCGCAATGGCTACATAAGAAACACAACGTTACTAAGTTACTAGTGGAAGGAGGTTCATTTTTGACTGACGAAGGTGTAGGTGGACCTTATAGTTTAGACTGCTTCACTGCAAGTACCAAAACATTCGAAATAACAATAACAAGCACCGATGCATTAGGTATATCTATTTGAATCGCTCATCGCTCGTTATACTGATCAGGCACCTGGAATACCATCATGTCTTCGACTGCTTTCGTAGTATCGTCTACCGATCCCATGGTGTCTCCTGAACAGTTGTTCTGGTCATCCATCTTCTGGAAAAAAATGACGGTACAATACTTGAACGATGTGGAACGATGTTTGTGCATCGCTTTATATAATTACGATGCTCTAATGAAGCCACAGGTTTAATTGATAAGCATCACATCCAGTCCTTCTTGCAGTCTTTGATATTCAGAAGTAGAAGGCCAAATGGACATTCACAAATGACGGTGGTATCTCCGTGCATGTTGCAATGGTCACAGACGCAACTTCTGTACAAGTCACGATATTGTCGTGTGATTAATCTTCTTAGGAGCAATCCTATTCTTTGATAAAATTGCCATTTGTTATTGATACAGTCATCAAAGACTGAAACCAGCTCTGCTTGAACCCAGCGACAAAAGTCTGCGATTTAGTGAGATTGCAGATGGTATTCAAAAAATCACATGTTTGATCTCTATACTCGGGTATCCTTGCTTCTGGATGATGATCGACTGTGCGTTTACAACCATTTTGCAAATCACCACGACAGTTGAAGTGATAATTTGTCCGGTTTAGTTTTTGTCTCAGTGGGTAAACATGCAACTTTTCGCGGTGCTGCAAGCGTTTGTACTTTTGTTTATAGTTTCTATCCACGGAGTCATCTTGGAAGAAGACATTCAGCTGAGCAAGGCGTTCGGTGGGTCTGGAGGCACTGCGTTCTCAGATATCAACTTGGTCGAGTTTGGTCAACGTGCCTCCTCAATCGAAATCAGCGCCAAGAATCGAGTCACTTCAGTGACTTTGCGGAGGGACAGACCAACCAAGCGAGTGTTGTCGCATGGTGGTTCTGGTGGAACAAGCCAATCTCTCTCTCTTGCAGACGGAGAGTATGTGAATTCAATGGAAATTTATTGGGCGAAGAAGGGGTTTAGCTCGCGGATTTTCTACCTCCAATTGAGTACGAACGCAGGCAATTCGATTGCTGTAGGAAGAAAGACAAATAATAACTCTACGATCACTGCTCCTAACGGTTTCCAGCTTGGTGGATTTTTTGGTCGTTCCGATAGTGAACTTGATCAATTGGGGCTTATCTGGACGAGAATAAACGCAACAGCTGCAGCACTAAATGATACAATGGGCACCGCTTGGTATGGCAATCGAATTCGGAACTGGGTTGGTCCCACAATCGGTGACGCCACTGACTCGGCGTGCTACAGAAGAAGGGAGATATTTGGCAGCGGTAAATCCTGCCCTATTGGATACAGCGCCAACGGAATCAGCTGTTTAGCGCAATGTCCGATATCGTACCCGGTAAATTGTTTTGAACAGTGTATCCCGCAGAACGGTGACTGTCTCGTGGAGATTCTTGGCAAGTCTGCGTCTGTGATTTCCGCAGCATTCAGCGCAGTGACCGCTGGAATCTTTGACACGCTTTTTACATCATTCAAGAGTGCAAAGAAAAGTTTCGTTTGCGCTGCCAATATAATCGGCGTGGTTAAGTCCTTAATCCACTACCTCAGGCTCCAGCGAACAATGGCTCCAGAAGGAACGACGGAAGAGATGCTCATTGTTGCATACCACTCTGATGCTGTGCTATTTGCCATGCCGATTGCTGTCGCCAATTGCCTTGGTATAAGAGTTGCTGGAAAGGTGGTTTTTGCCAACGTCGTCTATGTCATTGTGGAAAATATCGTGAAACAGACCATCATCAATGGCGACCAAATTCTCTCATCCGCTAACTCCGTCTTTGCTTTCCTACAAAATTCCAGTATAATCAACTCTGTGGATGAGTCAACAGTGCACGAGCTACAGGTTCTCCTCGACTTGAAAACAACTTGTGGATATCAGCTCAAAAACATCACAGACCATATTACTGCTACAGTAAGCGAAATTCGCAACAAAACACTCACCGCCACGACCGATGACATCCGCGTCGAAATCAGTAATTCCCCTCTCGTTCTGAGAGACATCCCTACCGCTACCAATAATTGCATGCGCGAGCTTATGGCGACCAAATCCTTGAAAACTGCGTTTGAGACTCGTGACTTGATCCGAAAAACGCTAGGAACGATCGTCGACCAGCTAATCGAAACAAACAAGACGGATATGGGCCACTTTGTTGCTGAAGGAGACCAAGCTCTGCAGACGGCAAACACAGTTCTCACCGTACTGGGTGGCATGGATCCGACGGGTATTGCGTCGATGCTATCACAATTTGTACAACCGATTTGTGGACCCACTGCTTTTGTTGGTGAGATTGACGATGGCACGCTGCACGATGCTCTCGGACTAGAAACCATGGATGGAGCGTTTAAAGGAAGCTATGGTACGTGGATGAAAGAAGGTGACGGCGTCATGGATCTTATCTTCGAAAGCATGGATACGGAAGATGTGACGGTCGCTATTTACTCAGGTGGTGAGGAATACAAAGAAGTGGATGTGCCTGCTGGATCTTCAATCACATTAGCCGAAAACATCTCTAGCTTGCATGACAAAACCTTGTATTTGGATCGCTGGCGCCGGACAGTGCTCGGAATTCCTTCATCTGCCGGTGGCTCACTGAAAATGTGGGTCCCGCGGTCTTCTCAAGGTGGCCATCTAACAATGCATGTTCGTATCAATGTAAGCTAAATAGTGTCATGTAAAAATTGTCAATGTTGTTCTCCGGTAGTCATGTAAAATTGCAATGGTGTCTTCTCAGCGGTAGCAAACATTGCATTTCATCTCTATCGTGCTAGAAAAAAGAGACCACAGGCTAGACTTACTCCTTATCCTCACTTGAATCTGAACCTTCTTCTACTTAGCCCCAGCAGAATGCGGCGACAGATTTGTGGTTCATGATGGCAGAGCTGCTGGATAGCATTCAATTTTTTGCAGGCAACATTATCTGAAGACAACGCAAGCACATTGCTGTACCACTTGTCCTTCCTTATCTTGCAAAATCACGGCCAATACCTCGTAAGTTGCTCAGCAGGCAATCGGGATGCCTCTTTTTTGACGAAACCCAGCAGCGCGTCACTCAGCCCAAACTCTCGCTCAGCATTTCCGTTTAGCAGGAAAAACAACGAGCCATCATCGTTCTTCACGTCGGCCAATTTTCGACGCTTGGCCGCTTTTTCCTTGCCTTTACCAACGGAAGGAAGTCATATTCCTTGATCAGCTCATCACCTTCGTCCCGGATCCACGAGCAAGCCTCAAAAGCGTCTGTGAGCTCGGAACTGGTAATGTGAATCGAATCCGACGGCATAAGTGTAGGCAACACAAAGCCGTACCGGCATAAAAGCTAACATGTTCATAACGTAGTAGCGGTTAGTTGGTTGGCAATATAGACTAAAAGCCGCACTAAGATTACCTGGGAGTTCGACATGTCCCCATACGAAATCGTAACCGATTCGCTTTTTAGTACCTTGCGCAACGCAACCAACTGACCGACAGCCAAAGAAATGAATAACAACACACGATAGGCGTAGCTGTGATCATGAATGCGCACCTGGTAGCTACCGGAATCTGTTTTCACAATATGCGCTGCTGGATTTTCAGCCTTGTGGTTGGCCATATCGATCACCGGGAGTAGTGTGGGCTCAGGTGTATCTGTAGCTTTGAAGGCGCTATAGTGTGCGCAAATACTTAGTGATGACCTCAACAAACATCGACAGATTATCATCTCGCCGTGAAGAGAGACAATCGACTATGCCCACTGATATTTTTCTAGCGTGGATACCTCGAATGGGCCAAACTGTCGAAAACTTTTTTGCCAACGGTGCTGCATATTCCGAGTAGATTTTGAGCACGAGCTTGTCGTATAGAATTGGGGCCCTACAAAATCATTCATCTACGCAATCATCATCTTTCATTTCTCTTGAATGTTATCTACCCTCTGCACTTGACGGTACAGCCGCTTGAACACGCGCATGTCTTTGAATCCTCCATTCCGTAAGTACTCCTTGTTTGTGTGGCTGTTCGATATACGTTGTCTGACTTGACGCATCTCAGCTGTTCCTTCCTCTGGGGTAGACCCAACGGCCGAGGGGTCGGTCTTGGATACTCAAGGACCGAGAGACGGAGCGCTCAAAGGGACGGGAAACGACCGTTGGATGAGGAGAATGTACGGTCAAAGCGTGCTAGTTAGCCGCCATTCAGAGGAGTTAACCGCGGTTAGGCCGATGGACTGCGGTTTCTCGTGTTGGACCCCAGTCTTCCAAAGTAGACCCTCGTCTATTATTGGTAGACCTCGGTTTTTCATTAAGGTAGACCTTGTCCCTTCGGTAGGTGGACCCTCGGCCCCTGTCCCCAAAGGTCGACCTTGGTCCTGCTTCAATAGACCCCGGTCCCTCGGTCACTCGGCCCCTCCGCCACCCTGCTATCAGAAGCGGTCTCCCTACCCTAGTGGTCGGGGAGCAAGTAAAGGCCAGGCGATTAACACCCCTGAGATATCAAGGAAGGAAAAGGCCAGGGTTGATAATCTTGAAGAATTTGGTTATAAGTCCAACCTCGCCTAGTCGACCGAGTGGCCACCTACCCGCCTACCGAGTGAAGTATACCCGCTCGAGGCACCCCAAGGTCGACCTCTCTAAAGGACGACATCGCATCTCAACTAAGTCCTCCGAAGAGTGCAACCCGCCAGCCGATGGGTACAGAAGGTGAGAGAAGGTCTATACGCGGCATCGGGATACCCCCTCCGACAGTCGGCAGTCCGACACAGTGAGTGGCTTGGGATCTCATTACGAAGCTTTGAGAACTCACTCCACCACAATGGTGTGCGTGCCCGAATCTTCGTAAGACGCGGGATATCACCGTGAGTCCCAAAAAGATGAGGATGTTCAAGCAAAGATGGAGGAAAAGACCGAAGGGTCACTGGAAGACCGATCACCAGTGACTACACAAGTAAACAATAAAGGATCGAAGGACTGACCGGACCTTGGGAGGGGCCCGGTCAATATGGTCAAGGTTGAACTTATTGAAAAGAAACCAAAATACCCTCCCTATGTCCTCTTCGAGGACACCTTGGGTCATGATGTCTATCATGCTCCAGAGGACAATCAGTCGAAGGTGAAAACCAATAAGACTATTGTCCCCAAAAAATAAGAGCATACAAAAACTACAAAAAATACGATCGCCATGTCCAAGCCGACCAAGCTCCGGATGAAGGCACCAGGTGGCACCAAGTCGGTAGGCCCCGCGACCTCAGGACCCTTGACCTGGTCGGATGCTGAAGTGACCATGGCCTACCATCGACTCATGCTTGACGCGTTCCTGGAGAGCGATCCCGTCACTAATGCCCTCGAGATCCAGATGCTGGGTCAGCTCAGTGGACCTGTGTCGACCCTTCCCAAGCTGAGGACGGTGACAGACGCGATCACCGCGCTCGTGACCCTTCTTCGCGAGGTGGGTATGGTTGCAGGAAGGTTCTAGCTTGAAGACTTGTTTTCCCTGGGGTTTAACAGTATTGAGACCACGTAGAGATTCTACACAAACGTTTGAGGATCCTTGTGGGAATGACCCCAGTACTACACGACTCACCTCCTGCGACAGCCGCAAAAGCAACGTCTGACGACGGCCAGATGACCCTGCAAGACATCGAGGTCCACCCTCGAGAGCAATGGTCGACCGAGGACCCATGGTCTATGCGAGGGCTATCACAGATCACCTTGCTTCAGGGTCCTCAAGTCCCTGCAAGGCAATCATCGCGAGGGTCGCCCGTCGCTAGTCACGTGAGCCGAATGCCACTAGGATCAACTGGCATTCCATCTACTGCAGACCCGAGCGGAGAATGCGGACGACGAGAAGCGAGCTCACGAAACGGCAACGCGTGTACAGCCAAGGGAAAGTTGGGCTTCTGATCGGCCGAATTTTCAACCAATCAGAAATGAGCCAAGACCAGTACTGAATTACACCTCGTCACGTGACGAAGTCGCCCGGGGAGGAGTGCCTAACGACCCGGTAGGTAATTTACAGGTATACTTCGACGCGGCGATGGCGAAATCTTACAAGAACTGTACGTACCGCAAGCACAAATCGACGGAAATGCGGCCAGATGTCGACAGAGGGCGCATAGTCAACGTCCCAGCTGGGCCCAAGTGCAGGTATGCAAGTTGCAAGAGACCAAGGGATAACAGACGTGGAGATGAAGTCAGTCGGGACGTGTGAATACGACCGAGATGACATGGACCTCTATGGACCTCAGGCGAGAATGGCCAATGCCACCCTAGGACAGGTGCCCGACATGGTCTCCCGTATCAAGCTCTCAGCGACCTCGGATCTCAGGGAGTTTCATGGTAGAGACAAGATGAGAACCGAGCATGCAGCTGGTTGACCACTGTGAAGACCGCGTTCACGAGTGACCAAGCGCCAGATAGGGAGAAGCGTCTCGTTTTTGAGGATTCTTGACTGTACCTGCCCAGAACTGGTACCGTCAACTAGGTCGATCTGTTCGTGGAAGTTGGAAGGATTAGTTACAGGAATTCCAGATGTAATTTTGTAGTTTGGGGATGCCAGTGGCCCGCCAATAATACCAAGTGAAGAAAAGGCTGGATAAATCCCCGATGGACTACCTGTACCGTCTGAATGTCATTGGACTTCGAGCGAAGATCGAGATCAAGGATGGGCCGCCCAAGATTTAAAAGGAACATGTCGAGCACTCCATCGAGACCTTGGACGACCCCGACCTGGCGGACCGGTTGACCGTGTTACGTTTGGCTAATGTGGAAGATCTGGAGAATGTGCTGAGGGCGCGGCAATGGATGAAGGCTCGACAGGGCAAGATGTTGTTAGGTCAGGCAAATTTCGCCAGAAAGCACCGATTACCCTTGATCGGCCAAGGGAGTTGAATCGCCGCTCCGTCCACGCAGTTCGTGCGACCCAGGAGGATTAAGCTCCAAAGACTCCAGTTTAGTGACGGCACCTACGGAAGGTCTACCTCATGGCTATGGAGGCGGAGAAGGACCTAGGGTCAAGGTCCTCGAGGGACCGACCCATCAGAGAGGTCGACCAGTCCGGACCCTCGACCAAGGAACATGGACCTCGCACAGCGTCGGCAACCCCAAGTGCAAGATGCGCCCATTGTGGGTCCAGAAAGCATGGAGACTTGGGTTGTTGGAAGAGGCTGACTTGCGACCGCTGTGGAAAGAAAGGCCAGTCATCAGACCGTTGCCTGTTCGTGTGTCGATGCTATGGAGAAACCCACGAGGTTGGGAAGTGCCCGATGGAAGAATTGTATAACTTGATCCGTCAGTGGTACAACCCGACTAAGCACGCTTGGATGTTGCCGGGGAAGGTCGAGCATAAGCTAAAATTAGGACGCTTGCCAGGTTTGATTCTGGTAAGATCCGAGCGCTCTAATTGTTGTATCTTTGCATATGTGAAAATCAGCCCAACGAAGGAAGGAGCATACATGATAACGCGATGGGAAATATATCGAAGTTTGGAAGCTACCCTATGGTCCATGTTGCTTCTTTGAGTGTACCTACTGATTTCGTTCGAGAAAGCGCAGTAATGGAGTTGAACCTACTACCGGGCTAATCAAGAGGGTATTGGAAATACCATCCTCCTACAAAGTGGTTCGGACAGGCCAAGGCCTCGGTGAAGATCAACAACGGTCGAGCTAACTTGTTGTTTGATACTGGCGCCGAGATATCTATTTCTGATATCGCCTTTGCTCGTTAGGTAGGCTGCCAGGTTGACGAAAGTGAGCGCCAAGAATGTGTTGGTATCGGTGAACCCGTGTATACCACGGAAGGACGCACCCGCATCAAGGTCACTCTGATTTGGAACTTGGTATACATTTTTAAGGTGTGGGTGAGCCCAATGGTGGGTCAAGATGCAATTTTAGGCATGAATTTCATGGTCTCAGCCGGTATTTGACTAGACCTGGCGGATGGAACACTATGCCTTCCCGATGAGGTTCGAGTCCAGTTAGCAGGACGGAGGTCCCTTAATGATAACCGGGTATCAGATGTGAAGTTGGGTGGATACGTGCAGATACCGGCCGGAGGGTACGAGGAAGTGCCTCTAAAAAGTTTGACCTCGCACCAATGGAAGTTGTGGGTCACAAGGGGAGAACAGTGGATCACGACTGTGAACCAAGGGGTGGGAAGTCGGAAGTTCCTGAAAGTAACCGATGTCAGTACCCAATCTCTAATATTGCACAAAGACACCAAGATAGGCATGTGGCTGACGAAGGACCAAGTACCAAGAGCGCAGGGTTTTGTGTTGATAGGGTCTCAAAGATATGCCGAGTGGCTAAACCTGGTGTATGAATCTACCACCGACCAGGTCGACTATCAGGAGGACTTAACGGGGAAGGATGAAGGACCATTGGGGGAGGTACCACAGTACAGTACTCCTTCGGATACTTTAGTGGCCAGGGATACTTGTTCCAGTAAGGACTATGGCATTCCAGCCGAAGCTCGATCAAGAAGAACCTGAGGTCGACCAGGTAGACCCTCAGGTCGACCAAGTGGGGCAGACGAAAGAAGGCGAGGGATCGCTGGTAGAGTCGCCACAAGCAGATGACCAAGTGTGCACGTTCGAAAGTGGGGAACTCTGGGCCAACGATGT